AGCGCGGCTTTTAAATCCATTCGCTTCCCGCATTTCGTTAGTCCCTCCTCTTCTTTCCTCTCTCTCTCTCTCTCTCTCTCTTTCTCTCGTTCTTGCCCTCTCTCTCTCGCTCTCTCGCCGTAAGAACGGAAAGGAGAAAAGAATTGAAGTTGCGGAGCGGGATCTGTTTTCTCAATTTATGGTTTATCTTCACACTTTGTACATTTTGTTCTTCCTACTTTTCCATTTTATCCTTTCTGATCCTCCTGTTACCACACAGAGAGAACGATTTAGTTGAATCTAGCAAATGCTTATTTGGAATAGTCCAAATAAATTTTTTGATTGATCGAACAAAGTTTTGTTTGACGCAACAAAAACATTTCGTTGGAACTAAGCTGCAACAAAATATTTTTGTTGCGTCAAACAAAACTTCGTTCGATCAATCAAAAAATGTATTTGGACTATTCCATATAAGCATTTGTTAGATTCAACTAAATCGTTCTCTCTGTGCACCTATTCGCAGACTGCTTGTTTTAAACACGAATGATACAGCGAAAAATGCAAAGTCAAGGATGCTTTTAAACAACATTTTTCTACCTGCCGATATTTTACTCGTATTTCATTTCTTTCGGAAACTGTCACGAAAACCGGTGCGAATTGAAAAGAAGGTCATCGTCCGTGACGTGTGCAACCCGACACTTCTTACGTGTGCACAGCACTGCTACAGCTAACGTAACGACGAGTCTTTTTTGTTAATTACACGACGACGACGAGTCGGATGAATGTTTCGCGTATGCTTGATTGTACGCAATTACTGCTCAGAAGAGAATACGATGTAGCGACTGTCTTTATTGTTGTTATTGGAATTCTCTCGCGTGTTCTCTCACGCTGATCCCCATCTTGAATTCCTTAATTATTCTTATTCTGCGGGTTTTCTGCAAGTACAATTTAAGGATGTTTTAATTTAATTTCAGTTTGTACTTTAATTCGTTGATTTATTTTGTACATCACGTCGAACATCTCTTTCGTGCATTGCAACGCATATGATAACTCTGTGCTCTTTTTAGGGTTTTAAAGTGCACGTGAGGACTTGAAAATGGCTACAAAAACTGACGATACAGCATCTATCGACAATCCTAACGATGGTAAGGCGATTTAGTTTCGGCAAATATTTCATCGATCGCAGTCGTAGAGCGTTTTACATGTCGTATGTGTTTTGTTTCAAAAGGAGAGAGTCTGGATAAGGAAATATTAAACATCGCTGGAAACGACGGAGGCAACCACCGAATTCCACCAACGTATTTGTACAATACGGGGTCGGAACAGGGTACAAGAATCTCAGATCAGGAGCAAGGAGCTCGAAATCGTAATCCGGCCACGGAGGATCAGTTGGGCCCGTTACCGTCCAACTGGGAGAAGGCATACACAGATACGGGAGAGATTTATTTTATAGAGTAAGCATGCAGCCTGTTATTTATACATTGTCATGAGACAATCTGGAAATATTGTTGATCTCTCATGTGTTACGACCAAGAATATTGCGAACTATCTTGTGGATCGATGGTTTCGATAAGTCCTAACTATATTCGACGTGAAGAAATGAAGACGTTATATAACGGATCACGGATATCCAATACAAGAAAAGATTCGCACGCGTCTTGATTTGCATCACAAATTATCCATCTTATTTCTTGACTCGCAAACATACGTGTTCGTTACAGTCACAACACAGGCACGTCTCACTGGCTAGATCCGCGTTTATCGAAGTTTCAAAAGAGATCCCTGGAGGAATGCCTCGACGATGAGTTGCCTTACGGCTGGGAGAAGATTGACGACACTCTGTACGGCACGTACTTCATCGACCATGTGAATCGTAGAACACAATACGAGAATCCGGTGTTGCAAGCAAAAAGGGCGCAGCAAAGCCTGATCGAAAGAAAGAGTCCCAACTTCACCAGAAATCCCGACAAGCTGAAAGGTCAGAGGATACGCACCACCTTGATCAAGAGTTCAAGAGGCTTGGGATTCACCATTGTCGGCGGCGATGACGCCGTGGAGGAGTTTCTCCAAATTAAAAGCGTCGTGCCAAACGGTCCAGCCTGGCTGGATGGGAAGCTACAAACCGGTAATTTGCCCGCTAGACACCGCTTATTCTCATGCCGGTGATTCACTCCCCGTTTCCGCTTGTCTCTACACGATTGTATTTATTTTCAGGCGATGTGTTGGTGTATGTTAATGATACCTGCGTGCTAGGATTCACTCATAATGAAATGGTAAATGTATTCAAGTCAATTGGCAGCGGCGAGACGGTGACTTTGGAAGTATGCCGAGGTTACCCGTTGCCCTTTGATCCAAATGACCCTAATACGGAGGTCGTGACTACGATCGCCGTGAACGCACCAGGTAAGGAAAGTCTATAACAATCGGTGATCCTCTCACGCGAGACTAATTACCTGTTAATCCGTGTAAATCTTTCGCGACAGAAGATCCCGCCATGTACATGGATTTGAACTCCTCTCTGCAAGCCAATGGACGCTACAACTTCCTGGATTCCACGTTTTTGCCGGTGCACAGTCTTCAGAATGGCGAGAATCTCGCCACTACGTCTGTCAATTCGATGCCCGATCTCTGTATCTCGGATAAGATTAACACGATCAAGAGGCCAAGCAGTACGGACATACTCTTGTCGGAGAGCAGCGATCTGAACGACTGCAAGGACTCGCCAGTGTCTTCCAAGCCGGAGTTTCTCAGCATCGCCATCGTGAAGGGCGCGATGGGATTCGGATTCACCATAGCGGACTCCGCCCACGGTCAGAAAGTGAAGAAGATTCTGGATCGTCAACGTTGCAAGAACCTGATGGAGGGCGACATTCTGGTCAACATAAACGACATCAATGTGAGAAACATGTGTCACTCGGAAGTGGTGCAAGTGTTGAAGGACTGCCCACGCACCGAGGAGGCGTTGATACACGTCCAACGTACGACGGCAAAGTCGAAGGAGAAGAAGGAGAAGAACACGCAAGATTTCTTCAGGAGCAAAACGCCCACCGCGGATATCTACAGCACTCAGTCGAAGACCGTCATACCTAGCCGACCGAAGACGCCATTGATCGATACTCGAAATCGTCCCAAGTCGCCGACCAGCGGCAGCAGGACCAACTGGAACGAAGTCCAAAGCGAGAACGAGCTGAATCCGTTGGACAGCCACTACAAGTACTCTGAGTATTCACACGGGATGTATTACTCGGATCCGTACAAGGCCAACATTACGAACTTGTCGGACAATTTCGCGGCGATGATGAATCTGGATGACGATTCCGTCAGGAACGTGCCAAAGCGAGACTGGTCGACGGGCGACAAGCTGAACATTAACAATGACATGTATTCCATCGACATTTCTCACCATGACAATATACTCAAGCAGAATGGCGGGTGCTTGCATTCCGACTATTACAAGGATCTCTACGCCGTACAATCGCATTCCCAATACAACGAGGACTACAACGCGTACTCTATCGGGCAGGAGCAGAACGTCGACACTGGTGAAATCTGGGACAAACGGAAGGAGACCACCAGTTTCGAGCACGAGCAGCCACGTTCCAGTTCCATACCGCGGTATGTCTGTTTCTTTATCGATTCATTATGACACGAAGAATTTTCATCAAACACTCTTGTTCTCCTGAGAATTTCAGGAATTGCTACAATAAAATCCAGTTGAATAAATCGAGTACGTCTAAGAAAATTGCACTCGACGTCGTTTAATTCGACGATTGATTGATTCAAGGTATCCGCAGTATACGAACGAATTAGTCTGTCCAATGGTGCCTGACATAGAATGGATAGAAACTCTGGTGACCTTAGTCAGACAAGACACCGGGTTTGGATTTAGAATAGTAGGCGGCACGGAGGAAGGATCTCAGGTTGGTTTCCATGATCCTCCGTATTACGCATACAGGAGTCTTTTAACAAAACTTTGTTCTGATATTATCGCGTAGTCACAAGACAATGCACGACGAAAACAAAAACGTTAATAATACCATGGTCAGCAGGTCTCAGTGGGTCACATCGTCCCCGGTGGAGCGGCCGATCTCGATAACAGGCTGAACACCGGTGATCTGATCATGTCTGTCGACGGAGAAAGTGTCATGAACTCTTCCCATCACCATGTGGTGCAGTTAATGATCGCGGCGGCGCAAAACGGCCGGGTGACTCTGGGAATACGACGTCGAATCATCACGCAGGAACACCTCCAGGAGAATCTACAGTCCTCTTACGGCCGGCAGATGAATCTGCAGTATCCTTATGACGTTACCGTCACGCGAATGGAGAACGAAGGATTTGGCTTCGTGATAATCTCATCCGTTAATAAGGCTGGCTCTACGATTGGCAGGATAATCGAAGGCTCGCCCGCAGAAAGATGCGGCAGACTAAACGTCGGGGATCACATTCTCGCTGTCAATCACATGGATATTACGAATGTATGCCACAAGGACATAGTCAACTTAATCAAGGACTCTGGTTATTCCGTCACCCTGACGATCGGATATCCGCTCGATGATTGCTGCAGCAACACGTCTCTTTCCCAAAAGGTACTTGTTTTGCTTGTAAATTTAGACAATAGCGAGAGGGATAGCAAAGGTTCGTTAATCCGCTTTGGTTTGGTGGTTATAAAGACGTTGGTCCCTTCCTCTCAGGATGAGCCGACAGGAGATGGAGACGGCGGTCAGTATCATGCTGTAGAGCTAACTCGGGGCACCCGAGGTTTCGGCTTCAGCATTCGCGGTGGTCGCGAGTTCCAAAACATGCCGTTATTCGTCTTACAAATTGCTGAAAACGGCCCGGCGTCCATCGATAACCGTCTTAGAGTGAGTAGAATTTTGAATCTAGAATAAACGGAATGATTCAACCACATATGAGTTCAATTGTAGCACGTTGAACAAACATATTGTAAATCACATCTACGTGTAACGACTACGTTATCGCATTATATGCAGTGTTCGTCGCTTTTAGGTTGGAGATCAGATAATCGAAATAAATGGAATCAACACTAAAAACATGACGCATACAGAAGCAATTGAGATCATACGTAACGGTGGACCATCTGTTCGTCTGTTAGTACGACGTGGCTGCCAAATGCCTTCAGTGGTAGGTGCTCCTCCACATCTCTACGATATGAACATATAGAATTAACCATTTTGATAATAACATATTAATCTTAAATTAACGACATTTTCACCACCCACTGTCCCCTTTTGACGATACTAATTCTAACACCAGCACTTGTATAGAGTCTCTTTGATGATCTGAAAGACAGAGCTTCAGAGTATATAACGTTAGTGTTACTACGCTAAGAGCGAAAAGAAGAGAAAATGAAAGACAATATGGAAAAAAAAAAGAAAGAATTTCTCGAAAAGACTTTTATTTTGCTGTATCAATATGCTACGGCAGGAATATTAATCTAGATGTTTCATAAAGAAAGGAGAATTTGTTACATTGTATAGTATCTAGTAATCTTTCACCCGATAGGAGGATAAATTGTAGTATACATTTTTTGTGAAAATTGTACACAGTTAATTTTTGCAGCTAACTCTAGTTGCGCGATACGTATCGTTTCGCTTCCGACGATATTTACATAACTACGGACAGTTTAAATCGTATAATGTATCGCAAATACATACTCGGTTTCAAAACAGTTTGGACACTTCTTGCGAGTACAACGAGTGAATTTAAATAGTCGCATTTACGAACCATCACTTACGGACTTGTGTATGTGTGATCAATTTTCATAGCAGACAAAGTAACAATACACGGTGTGAATACTAATCCTTTGTACCATTATATATTCTTATTTAAGAAATAACGATATGATAAAGGTACCTCTTTTTTTTTCTGAATTCTTCCTCGCAATTGTGATATCAAATATCTCAGATATTTCAATTTTTGTCATAGCAGATTACCGCACAAATTCGTGAATGGTGACTGGCAATCATGACCATTTGATGCGTTTCTATCAGTTTTATCAGAACAGAAAAGTGTTCAAATCGTTTCGCAAACGAGTGCACACTTTGCCACCAGTGATTATATTTGTACTTGTCTTCGCGTCTAGATAAAGCACTGAATTCAATTTGATAACACAAAAAAAAGTGATCCATTTGTGAAGATAACTATCGATAATCAGTGACAATGAAAAGTTTTTACGGCAATTATTGCGCTCGTGTCGCTGTAAATAAACAGACGTGATTAGTCGACGTTCTCTCATCAGAGAGCGAATATTGAAGTGGGGACACAGATGACATTTCTTTGTCACGCAGCTTGCGAAAGTCTTAATACATAGAGGAACAATTGTACTCTTGCTCACTCTAACAAAAATTAGGCTGGTGCTAACCTCTAGTTTCTCCTTTAGTTCTCCTCCCCTTTATTATGGATCTAATTGCAGAGTTAAATGTAATTTATCCTAACACGTGTGATAGCTTTGAAAGTATTGTGCCTTGTTGCGCGTGTTCCATATATGCAATAACGAAATTACTAAGTAAATATCGCAGCCTTCGAGAGTGTTTGTAAAACCATCATTGAAATTCGTTGTAGAGTAATCTCACGATCAGCCAAATAAGTATTCGACCGAACGATGAGGGCACCCCGCGCAGGCATTTATCGAAATTACCCGAGAGGGGTGTGCCCCCCAAAAAACGTCAGAAAGTTCGATTTTCCATTTCACTGAACTGCTGTTCGTCCAAAAACAGATACTTATAGCGAGTGCTTTCGGCGAAGAGCGTTCTTTGCATTTCTCAAATAAGTATATACACACATGTATGTAATGAGAAGTAAGTTGATATGTTTCGTAAGATTGATTTCACGGAGAAAGTAATCTTCACGGCGCATTTATACGCGATATTTTAAACGTTACGACTGTTGTAGTTCTGCGAGAGAGAAACAGGTCCTTCATTTATATAAATGCGAAAAATTGTAAATCGTGCGTAACTTGTACTAGCGTAATACGACACTAAAAATATGTTGTAACAAGAAAAAAAAAGGAAAAGAAGCGTCAGCAGCAGATGAAGTGACAAGTAACTCTCTACCATACGTTATACTGCTGATGCAAATAGCATTGATACGTATAAAGAATTTCGTAATTTGATGCGTTTTATCATGTAAAGACGACAGGCGCAGCTGTATACTTCGTACGCTGTGAAGTGATATTGTAGACTGGCAATTTGTATAATTATCGAATTTATATTAATCGTCTGCACTTCTTAATAACGTTTATCAAAAGGCGTAGGCTCTTCGAAATTCTAGGCTTCTGTCGTGGAACACCACTGTCCTTTCTGTGAAGATTTTGTCCTTTTAAATAGCGACATGATTGTGGCCTTGACGATGAAATAGTTACGCTTTTCGATATCACATAAAAAAGATCTGAAAGAACTAGCAACTGTTTATACTATTAATTAACTATAATGATTCTATACATTACTCTGGACGTATTATAAACACTCGGAGATTCTATCGATGCCTGATTCCTCCTTGTTTTTCTTTCTGAATATTTATTCCCGCTTATACGAGATGTATATGTATGTCATTAATTAAAGTAACTAAGGACTCATGCAACCAAAGAAGCAGATGCACTTATCAGCCGCTTTGTTTTTTGAGTGGTGGAAGATAATTACGAAAGAGTTTATTATTGTAATAATTACTTAACCGACCTCACACATACACACACACATACACACACACGGGGGCGACATAATTGTTAGTTTGCCCGCGATGATGAAGGTGATGTTTCTATATCGACAAGAGGTGAGACGATTAGCGAGCGGAAATTCTGACGGAGGATGAATTAGACGGAAATTTTTCTTATTCACTCTTCCTGTGTCTTTTTTCGATATTTATGAATGTTACACGTTTGAAAGAATAGCGTATATATATTTTTTTACTTGTAAAATAGTAAGATAATACGATGGGAATATTGTCCAGCACGTTATATTAATATAAGGGAAACAAGCGAAGGGGGAAGGTCAAACCAGATTGTATTTTTTAGATCTCAGAATTGAAATAAGAGCGGAGAAACACACACGGCGTTATATATTATACACACGTGTATGTAAAAACGCGCGAGCGAATCGTTTATTCGTCGTAAACGTTTAAAACGAACAATTCGCACGAGTGATAAGCAGCAGCAAACGCATTTAACTGAAATCACACAATACCCATTTTATAATCATCGCGTTTATTTTTTATAATTATATATATACATATATATATATATATACAGAATTTGTAAATTTTGTGTAGGATATCGTAAGTAAGTTTGGTATAAGTGTATATATTTGTTTTTTGAAAGGACAATGTTGATAATATGTAAGGCTAATGTAAGAAGCAATAATGTAACGTCGATCGCGATTTTATCGACTCGAAGTTCACTCGCCGTGTAATCCGAGTCTTTTTTTACTACTCGTTTTGCCCGCTCTCTTGCCAAAGCCACCCCCCACAGCTATACGACACGATATTATATTCTTATTTTTTCGACACACGACTCAGGCAGCTTCTCGATGCGATGGCGTGGCGAACGACTCAGCGTTAGCGCTCGGGAGGAAAAAAAGAAACGTCGAAAAACGCGTTTTCGCATTTTTCCACGAAAATGTCATGTATTGCGTTTCGAGTAGTAAAGAAAAATAGCAGCTGATTACGTAGATCGGATTTTACGCGCTGCGCATCATACGGCAAGTTAATTTACCGTTCGACTGATGATTTCGCTGATTCGATTTGATCCCTCGGTGATTCTTTATATACTATGAGCTTTGTATATTTATTGTAACACACGAATGTAAACCGAATTCTATATACATGTCCGTTACACCTTTGAGTAAATGTCGTTGAATGATCCGAGATAAAGCCAGAGAAAGAAACTGATATTGTTACTAAGAATATAATATACTACCATTATTATATTGTTGTTGAGAAATATACTGAGATAAAATAAATGCTACATTAAAAGACCACGGAAAGAGAGAGAGAGAGAGAGAGAGAGAGAGAGAGAGAGAGAGAGAGAGAGAAGAAAAAAGCGTGACTAATGTTACGTTTTTTATGAACAAATACGTCCGATGATCACGACTCAAACATTCAGACATTTAATTTTACAATCGCAATATACAGAACATTATCGCAAGACTTTTCTATTGCGCACGTGTATAAGCGCGATTCTGCAAGGAATATCAACAAATATGATAACAAATGTTTGATAAGATACATTTTTGACAACCTATGATAAGTGAAATCTTTGATAATCTACAAGTCCTTGATAAGTATCAAGTGTTTCACGTTCATTTCCACGCTTATTCCGACATAACACTCAAACTGAGCAGCTGAGATTACCATGCAACAATTATCTACATTGTAAAGTTCCGCGCAGAGATCGCGCACTGTGGACTCGGGGTTAATTTAACAACAAAATAAATCGTAGAACATTATGTTTTATCTCGAGAAATATTCACACGAAAGAGCAACGTTTTGCGCGTATCTCGTCTGTAGATTTGCATGAGAACATCCGCGTTTGTGCGCGAAAAGCAGCGATAGCTCGTTCTTTAAAAATGGCGCCGGTGCGCGGCGAATCGACGGCGGCCTTTCGATTTTCGAGAACTGATCTGTCGTTATGACGTCAGCCGATCTAGTTGACCTACGCGACACTTCCGCGTTCCACGGCCGCGTACTTTCCGCAAACGTAACAGCGAATGAGGTTATCGATCCTTATCGATGTACGTTCATTCACGATCGGCAAGTTCCGCTAAATCCGCGCGGTCAATCTTTCCAATTAATCACGCGCGTTCTCCGTGCAGCAAAAACGGCCTTAATTACCACGTTGGCAGTACTGTCAATCAACGGTACTCACTTTTCTCGAAACACATGCATTCGTCATCGATCATTGTCAATTCCTCGTAAACGATCTGTCGCTAATGTGTATGTATTTTTCTTAGATTTTGATATTTTTGCACAATTGCAACATCACGTGTACGCAAATGATCGGACATCGTCGAGCTATGATCATTCGCAATTAGCCGGATGGATTATCGATGTCGATAGGAAAACGTGCAATCTCGAAAGTACAATGTGACCAACGATCTCGAGAAACGAGATTGGAATTTCGAGCGAATATACGAAACAGGTATAAGAGCACTATGAATGGAAATAAATTTATACGGGGCGATAACAGACTAACAAATAAACAGAATATTTGTGTTTATCGAAAGAATAACTTCATGAAGCATGACACGAAATATTAGAGACTTTCGTTTATGGTTGAGAGAGAGAGAGAGAGAGAGAGAGAGAGAGATCGAGGCATATTCGACGCCGAGGAAAAATTTCATTTTTCATTTCATTTCGATCAAAATTCCCTCGTTGCTGTCGCGATCGAGGTTAGCTTTTGAAAATAGCGCTGCAGAGGCCACCTGGTGACTCGTGCGGCGAGCTGCGACTCCATTTCCGAGAACGCGGCGCTTGACGTATCGACTTGACGTCAGTCGCCGATCGGCGTGCTTGCGGTAACACGTAATTTCGAGCGGAGATTTTCGTGCAGTTTCTCTCTTTTCCTCTCGTCCGTCCTGTGCATTCTGTGACTCGCGAAAGATTGCGTACACGGTAAGAAACACGAAGGCATTCTGCAAGATGCAGCAGGATGATCGTGCAGTGAGACCGAGGTACGTGTCGCGCGGTAAATAATTCATCGACGAGTTTACGATCTCCTGACGGAGCATCGACGCCATCTTCCGTCGTTCTCGGCTGCCAGCGCCGCGGCGCTCCTCAGATTGGCAGCACTGGCGATTGATCGCGCATACGTGCGTATTTTACCCAGAATGCGCGTATCGCGTAGAACCATGAGTACCATGGACGACCCTGCTCGAATGTAAACAGAATTCTCTCGCTGTTATGAAGTGACGATATCGGGACGCGGTTCACGGGAGACGTGAGAGCATGTTCGTCGCATGTCAACCCAAACGCGCTGGATTGTCGCGTAACGCGCGTAGACGTGTCTCCGACTCGGCTCGTCGTTGGCGGAGTGTGCGCGTGTGAGTGGACACCGAGGAGTGTGAGACGAGCGACGGCACGATCGTCGTCGGCCGTGGCTCCGAGCTCGAACCCGTTGCGTGCACTCGCGTAAGATCTCTCTCTCTCCCTCTCTTTCTCTCTCTCGCTCGCTCGCTCGCTCTTTTCCCTCCCTCTCACCCTCTCACCGTCTTTCTCTCCCTGCCCACCTCCCGTTGGCTGCTCTTGGTGTATCCGTGACTCTCACGGTCGTCTAAGGATTTTCCCGATACCAACGACGAGTATTCGGAACCGCCTGCGAGAACGATCCGACGTCCGATCCGTTGGGATGAGGAATTCGACAGGCGGGCTACTCGTCGACGGAGCCGTTACGAGGGTGAGTAAACTCCATCTTTGCATCTCTCTGCGATACTCTTTTACGCATCTCGCTCACTCCGCCCGTCTACTACCTCGGCCGCGTTTTAAAAGGCCGTGTCAGAGTCGCGCGACAGGGGATAACTGGGGCGGCGAGGAGAGCACGAGACGCCAACGGGGAAAAGAAGCGAAGGAATGACAAGAGGAGGAGAGGCGAAACGAACGTGCAGCGAACGTGAGCAGCTACCAGCGAGACCGCGCTACCAGACATTATCGCTATTCCCTTTTTGCCCCCTGCCTTCCCCCCTCCCCCGCCCGCCTGCGCTCTCTCCTCTCTGCACCGCTGTCCCTGGGTCGCTCGTGTGATCATTAGCGATTTTTCGGAGCGACTGCGTACATTCTTTCTCGCTCTCCGGGCCGCTCGTCCTTCGTGCTGTGTGGGATACGCTTTACACGCTCGCTCTCTCTCTCTCTCGCGCGCGCGCGCGGTTCTTCTATTGATGCCCGTGTGCATTGTTTCGCTTCGGCGCGCGCGCGCAACCGTAGTCGAGCCATGGGTATATCGCAGCTAGATGTATATGTGTGTGTGTGTGTGTGTGTATTTGTACGTACGTCACGCGTTTAGGATTAGCGTTCCCGCCTTGCGGTGCGTTCTATCGCGACATATAAAGATGTTGGTGCAGCCCGCGCGGGTGCTACTGCATGCAGGCGCGCGACATGTGTGTGTGTGCACGCGCGTGTTTTCTATGTGGTAAATCGCACGCGAGTACATATTACGAGTCTGTTCTTTATAGACGTGCCAAGTCGCGCTATCCGTGCTTGAAACGAAACGAGTGTGCATTTGACACTTGGCGGGCGAGAGAGATGGAAGGAGAGGGGGAGGGAGGGAGAATGAGCGAGAGGGCAGCGGAGAGGGAAACGATGCTCGAAAGATAACGCACAAGATGGTTTGGAGAGAAAGTGCATCATCTATTATCATAAAGAACAAGACCTTGCGAGTGTATCTCGTGCGTATCGTCGCACGAGGGTGTCTTCTTACACGTGTGCGTAGGGGGGAGTGTCCTTTTACTAGTCGCATACACACGCTAATTTACGCGTATGCGTCCGTCCGTCCGTCCATTTGCTCGTTCCTCGTATCGAGTTTGTAGCGCGCTCGCGTTCTCCCTCTCTCTCTCTCCCCCTCCCTCTTGGCTTCTCTCTTGTAAATCGAAATCAGAGGTGCCTTTCGAGCCGCTACGCGGCCGCATGTTTGTCGCTCGTAAAGCCCCGCTGAGCCCGCGGGCTAAAGCGAGATGCTGCGCGCCGTTGCTATCGCGCCTGTAAATCTAAAAGCTTAAACTAACGAATACAAATACTCATACACGTCGGGGGGATATCCCGTTAAGAAACCAGAGGAAAAATCTCCTTTAATGGATAATCCCTTCCTCTCGACACCCTAGCTACTACTGAGAAAAGACTCGCTCTTCTATATTTGACTAACAAAGAACGAAGGAAATGACAAACCTACGTGTAAATAGGTAATAATTTTTTTTTCTTTTTCTTTTTTAATTCGTTCTCGTTGGTGCTTTCTCCGTGCTCCCTTTTCCGTCTTCTGCATTTCGCTCCTCTTCGCGCGATTTGGTTACACCGCTGTTTTTTTATTTCGTTCTCCTCCGCAGGAATGTTACGGGTCGAGTCGAATATTTAATCTCGCTGTTATTTTAAGGAAATTGCAGGTTTAGTGATCAAACAGAAAGGGTTTCATTTCGTTCCTCTTCGCGCGATTTGGTCATGCCTCTGTTTTTTTTCTTTTTTTTTTTTTATTTCATTCTCCTCGGCGGGAATGTTACAGGTCGAATTGAATATTTAATCGCGCTGTTATTTTAAGGAACCTGTAGGTTTAACAATCGAACAAAAAGGTTTTCGAATATGCGAAGTCCCGAACGTTGTTTGTAGCTGTCGATACGGTCCCTTGTTCCCTCGTTTATCTAAAACGACCTTACAAGTATCTCGACGAAGAAATTCGATTAGAGAGGACGCATTCTTCGGAAACTGCCTTCAGACCTGACGCAATCGATTTCTAAAAATCTCAGAACTTAAGATGACGTAAAAAGAGAGAACATGTTTAACAATGTTGTGGAAAATGTGTATATTTTCGATACGAGCCAAGTCATTTCCCGACCGCCGTGCAAATCTTATCCCTCGCGGAGATTCGATTCTTCGAAGTGAGAAATGCTATCCAAACTTCATTTTCCTCGTAAGCTCATCCATTTTCACGAGAAGCGGTACAATCGCGGTTTAAATCCAGCGATTTAAATCGAAAGCAAAGCGCAACGCAAGTCGTCCGCGACAAAAAGAAAAAGTGGAAACGCGCTCGTCGGGATTCGTCGGGATTAATCCCAATATCTAAGCGCGAGTGCGCTTATTTAAGCGATGGATCGCGCGCTTGTCGCATCTCGGCAGGCGGGTATAACCGAAAGCGAGAGAGGGAGAGAGAGAGAGAGAGAAGGAAACACACGGCATTTAAATCTTCTCCGAAACGAGATGCAACGATGTCGTACGTTCGTTCACTCTCTCTCTCTCTCTCTCTCTCTCTCTCTCTCTCTCTCTCTCGTTCCTTCGTCCCGCCGTTCGTAGAGCCGGGTCGCACCGCGGCGACCTTCGCCGAGAAACAAGATGTGACGTCCCGCTCGTAAAATCGCGAGGTGTGTTTTGAACGTCGAAAAGGAACAACCGTCGCTCACGGTACGCGCATAGAACGAACAAGCAAACGAAGAGGAGGAGAAAAAGCAAGACACTGCATTTTGAATCTGTCTGTCTCTCTCTCTCTCTCTTTTTCTCAGACGATGGGATGTAGAATGCAACCAGCGGCGACCTTACGACCGACGAAAGGAGCCCGTTTTAGAATTCCGTCGTCGAGAGAGTCCAGCATACCACGAGGACCGTCCCCGCGGCGAATGGATGGACCGAAGGGCGGATTTCGCGCCTCGTCCCCCCGTTCATTAGTATGCGGCCGGCGCGATGCGTGGAACGCGGCACAACGATCGGACGGGGTCGCATTTAGCGCTAAACACGCCGCGAGAATGTGGATCATGTTCACGATATATAAGTACGCGAAGCGCCGTAGCGGCGGCGGCGGCGGCGATGGCGATGGCGATGCGGCGCCAGTTTCTTCTCGAGCCGCCGAGCAGCGATGCAAATGTGCAATCTTCGGGCCGCGATTGCACTTGCGCCGCGATTCTGTCGCGATTGTTACATCATAGGCGCGGATATGGAATATGCGCGCGTTGTCTCACGCGATAAGATAACGGTATTATATTTAGGCGAATTTCCTAGTTATCGTAGGTATCGCGCGATCCCCGCGTTCTTGGACGTCCGGATGCGGGCGGACGGCCGAGTAGCGTCGAGATGTCGTTATTCGGTATCGGCATCGGCATCGCTGTCGCAATCGATGCCGATATCGGCGATTCGCCCGTCGTTGCTGTTTGCAACGACGATTCTCAGGATCTCGGAGTAACGGTTTTAATAACAAGCGCCGCGGCACAAGACGCGTCGTCGCCCTTCAGGGAAGCGATCGCAATCGGACGATGACGGCGATCGTCCTCGAGGCCTGCGTCTGTTTCGATCATTAATAATCCGTCTCGTTTCGAGAATAGTGTAGAGTAATCCGGAAATATTGATTTTCCAATCGCCGAGGAGTCAACGATACCATCCGCCGCTTCTTCTCGGCTGCTGTTAGCTGCGTGTACGTGCTCGAGCACGCCGCGGAATTCACGGGAAGCCCGGTCTCGGCTGTTTTTTAGAGAAACTTGTCATTCTCCGCGCTGAAGATATAAATACGCCTCGGCGGCGGCGACGGCGGCGGCGGAGGCGGCGCGCGCGCACCTCCTCGCCGCCCCGAGAACGAGAAGCCGCCGTCGAAAGGCCGCGCCACGACGATTTCGCTCTTCCGTTCCGTCTGATACGCGCGATTTATGCGAGGGTCGGGCACACACTCACGTGCTAAATATGTGTGTCCGCGTCCGTGTGCGCCGACTCTCACCTCTTTCGCGGAACCTCGTCTTCCGCGGAATACTATTTTATTTTGTAATCCGCTTTTCGGGAATCGGCATTACGCGTCGCCGTTGCTCCACGATAGATATGTATGTGCGCCGGCGGGAGGTCCAGCGCGCGCACGCGAGCAAACCGGTCGTACTATTTAGTTTTCGCTCGAAACGCGAGTTCTCGTTTAGCGAACAGCCGCGGATCCACCGCCGCGCTTTCTTATCAGGGTTAGCTCATGCGAGTTCACAGTCATGCGTCAACGGCCGGCTGCCCATTCCCCGCGCGCGTTTCTAAAAAAAGAGAGAGAGAGAGAGGGAGAGAGAGAGAGAGAGAGAGAGAGCAGAAGAAGGAAGACGTAGCGCTACGTCATCGGTCATTCGCTAGTGTCAATAAGTTTGACGATAATGAAAATTAGCTACGAGGGAGTACAGGCGTGTGCGCTTCCACACACACATACACAAACAAGCGCGTGCGTGTACGTGAGGCTTTCTTCATAATTTTCTTATCAGTATCTTTATACCTCCGACACGTGTACGTTAGGCATACGCTATGATCGATCCCTCCCTCCCTTTGCCGCCTTTTAATTCGAGTAACGATGGTATCGATAACGCTGACGCGCACTACCGTTGTGCGATGCGTAACGCAGGATTCTCCAATCGCAATTGTGTGATGTTTGTCGTATCGTCTTCTGTTTACGGACGGGACGAGAGATCTCCATTGACAAAAGTGAATCTCTTCGTAACGAGGATTCGCGAGGATATCCGTTCGATTTTTCATTTATCATGCAAGCTCGACGACTCTCGGCAACCAACAGCTTCCGCGAATCGATTCGCCCGGGGGAAGGCGTCCGCTGTGTTATAATGCGGAAATCGCGGCGACGATTCGCGAGGATACCGTGTGCAAGAAGTGCAACGCGATCGATGGGCGGAAAAAGAACGACGACGCGAGCGTCGAGTCGACGAAAATTGCGACCTCGCGCGCGTTGCGCTGCTATTATCAGTTTTTCTATTATTTCACGATTTGCTGACGCGTCGCGCAGCCCGAACGACATCGTCGTCGTCGTCGTCGTCGTCGTCGTCGTCCGGGATAAACGGATCGACCGCGGGGAAAACAAGCGGTATATAAGGTAGCGGCGGGATCGATTTATCGGCGAGATAAGGTGAGCAGCCGGCGCGCGTGATACCGTTCTCTGATTTCGCTGGCTCGCGGAGCTCTCGGCAAACAGGACTCCAATCGTTGTTTACGATGACGACGATGGATGGGAATATCGATCGTCGTCCTCTGCTACGTTTGTTGCGCGATCGTCATGCAATTTGCGCGCGCAAGACTCGGAAGACGGAGTGAAATTGGAAAGAATGTAAAATTAGAGAATCAGAGGAAGTCCATTCGCACGTCCTCTCCTAATTTGGCGTTAGAATTATGCAGAAGCGAGCGAAATTTTCCCTTATTCGTTCGTTTTCGAGCTGATATTTTGCCCGACGAATTGCACACGGATGTCCAACGTAAATTATATTTGAAATAAAATTAATAAGTTGGGCAAGAGTGAGAGCTAACGCCGGTGGACAAACGTATATAACTACAATTATTTATCAATTATTTAATTAATTAATAATCTACGATTATTTGTGAATATCTTAATAAATTCTTGGTAATTGTGCCTGTTGATCGGCGTTATTATTACATACGTTTGTCCACCGGTGTTAGCTCTCACTTGCCTAACTTGTTATTTTTATTCTGATTTGTATCTTTGTGAGCTTAGTTTATATTTAAATTATATTCCATCGTAGGTGGCAGCTGCTTACGAAATTCTTTCGACTGATTCGTCAGTTACAATTTTGAAATGATGAGACAGAAGAGGGGCCTGTGAGATAGGAAAATATTGCAAAAGATCTCTATCAAATCTATAAATCACCAAGTGTCTCGACGCTCGTCTTGAAATCATGATTGGTTTTCTAATCTGTGATCGCAAGAAGTATCGCGATTCTCTTAATTATCACTATATGAAAGAGAATTGCGACTTTTTCGTCGAAGCCGAACGTCGAAGCTCAGACCACAGCTCAGCGCACAGAGAAACCTCTCAATCGGTCGGTTCGCAAAGCCTCTCAATCGTCGGTTTACAAAGAGCCTTTTGCCGCACGATTTGCAAGAACCTCTTGCACGTTCTTAATTAGCAAAAGTCACGCACTCGGCCAACATTCGAATCCATTAGCATTCGTAATGATCACAAATCGTAGCTCAGCGACCGATTATAATTTCAAATCGGAGGAGTGCGAAGATGCTCTCGACGCAAATCGCGCCTGTTTACAAACGTTTCCCCTCTTAGAAATTGTTGACATCCGATCGACAATCTAATCCGTTAAATTCGCTAGACGGAGCTCATACTGAGACTCGATTGTTGAATATAATATTTATTGTTTGGTCACCGAGAATTTGCTCAAGTTTGAAATTCCCCGTGTGTTGATTTTATTTCTTATAGAAAGTCAAAAATATATATTTTTGTCCAATTCGCGCGATCCTCGGGTAGTCGATATAATCGACTGGTTAAGACACTTCCTCTCTCCCCCAGACTTCGCTCTTTGTTTTTTTGACGATCGGATGTATATCCGTGAAAATTCGTTGCGTAACTTACATGTTGATGATTTCGTAAGTAGCTCTGAAAACAATTTAATTGCCTTCTGTTTTTTTCCCTTGCCTTTTTTTTCTGTTTGATTCTTCCCAAGATTCGTTCTATGTTCCTCGCAAAAGATGTACCTCTCTGTGTCAGTTGGCTTGTATTTGTTACCTAATCATTATCTGTGCTGAATGCGAAAATTTTCGTCTTCGAACTTTTCAGAACGATCTCTGATTTTTGACAGATCTCTGATCGTCACTTCTTCCTATTGCCTTTTTGCAGGTACGATACGTCGTTGTTGAGTAGTTGAGTAGTTTTGTATCTCGCTTTATCAGGCCGAAGCGCTCTTGAACTTGGACTAAACATACACATTATTTGCCTGATGATTAATTGGGTGAGTTTTATCACGAGTAAGCGTTGTGTCACTTTCTTTTTTGTCGGAAACTAAGGTGTCCTCCTCCTAATAATTTATCTCGTGAATCGGAATGGATATATTATAGAAATGATTTTTTGTAAAATTATACATAAAGAAAATATTAAGTAAATATTAAACAAAAAACATCTTGGAACATTACGAAAGTCTTTAGTCGAGGATTATTGTAACGGTCAAAACGTTCCATTTCCTATATACGTTATACTTATTTGTATATAAATATTCTATTTATTATTGCGTCTTGTTACAAATATCTTATTTACTCGTATAAACACGAGTATCGAAAATATCGACCTATTCGCCTGTTGACTACATTTAGCTCGCTCGAATCTTTTCGCTTATTTTTGTTAAATATTTATTCTATCGTTATATGTTTCTCATTGGAATGTTCGAAAATGCGAGGTTTTCCACACAATTTTAATGTGCCGTGATGTAAAACGTGCGCCTGGAGAAAGACAGATTATTAGCTGCTGCTACGTACCTGCGGAGATATTCTATGAAATTATTACGCCGGTGCGGAAGGAAACGATTCTAAGTTCGAAAGAAATCGCGTTGGATTTTCCTGTTGTGTTCGCGCGAGTAATGACACGTCCGCGTAAACCGCTGTAAAACGCTGTCCGGTATATTCGTGAAAATCTTGTTCGCTATCAGATCGTTGCGCAACAAAGAGGCGTCATGAATAATTTATTTTACAACAACAACACGTATTCTCGAGGCTATCGAATTTACACACGATACTGTCTGACGTTATAATGTTTATCGATATTTTGCGAAATTACTATTGTCGTTAAACGTAAAATATTCGGTGGGACTTGGAATACGTTGCGCTTTGAATGCACAATGAGGAGGGGAAGAGAGATGGCTGTCGCGTAGAGAAACGTTATCGAGTATTGTAGCTGAACGAAGCTGAATTTATGTTATCGTCGTGTGTTGATAACAAAATGTAGTTTATGATGATTATTGGAAGCTGCCGCGCTCGTCGTAAAAAGCAGCTACTCCGCGTGTCACGACCTTAAATTTACTAATAAAAGATGCGTTCTTCCCCTCGACTTGCGTTCACATAGCACTTACGTGCGTACGTTTCCTAGATTACTCTCGGCAGATCAGTTGTGGCCTAGCTTAGTCGCGGTTCGCATCTCTTCACATCTCATCCGACTCCGTAAAATAGAGCGAGAGATTGACTCTCGCGTTCGTCACTTTAATTCTCCTCATAACTTTAACCTTTCACGGCTATTTTGATCGTACGATATTTCGTGCAAGAGAACTTTGCTGTCGTTAATTTCAAACGAACCATCGTTGCTTTTCTTCCGATCTTATCAATACAAATTACATAATATACATACTAAGTATTTGATGGGAAAGAGAGAGAGAGAGAGAGAGTGAGTGAGTGAGTGAGTGAGTGAGTGAGTGAGAGTGAGTTTGAGAAATGATTAATTATGCAGCCTGCCGTCACTCCGAGTTAACACAGATTTCGAGATCCGTACTTACTGAATCTATTTATTTTTCAGTGATAAGAGCGCATAATGTCCTCTTCGATCGATGTACGTCCGACACGAGTGCCTGAGGAAATGAATCTAGCGTATAGACAAGACGACGCAACAACGAGACATGCCAAATGCCGATCCGCGCTGGATGTCATGTCGCTGAAGTTTCCCGTTGCTCGCGGCAGTTATACAAAATGCAACGAGCACCGTGTATTCAGCAGGAGCGCCTCGTCGGTAAAGGACGACGAGGTGTTCGCTGCGCTAAGAAGCGAGCCGGATGACACGGCTCGCTTGTCGTGGAACGCCATGCCGTCTCCTAGTGCCTTTTCGACTGATCGATGCCCGCCGAGCCAGGAACACGATCGTCCCACGTACAATTGCAGTACAATGAAGCACCGAAGTCGCAATCTTAGACGGGAACGCGACGCGAGGATATACTCACATTTATTTTCGTTAGTTTACTGGATAACAGAATATTGTTATCATCGTGTATTCCGATCGAGAAGTCTGTGGAGATACGACTATCGATGGGGGATCGATTTCTCACGGATCTTTCTCTCCTTCATTTGCATTCTCTTCCTTATGATGCACATGACAGTCCACGCAGATTCCATCGACTCCATAAATGACACAGATATCATTGATACGCACACACCTATCAGTCAGAAACCCTGCGTGCAGGGTCTGTCAACACCAGGAGGTAAGTTCCTTTGAAATTGAACACCGATAACGTTATGTAAATAGCGAGCGCGAAGGATACCCCTTGTTTTATATTGGTACATATGATTCTTGAAATATTTTGTCTTTAATGTTTAGGAGTAATAATTCTTGAATGTACGCGTATTGTATTTGGTAATTATATTGCGAGAGAATTGTTAACTACAGTATTCGAGTTGACGTTTCACTTCCGTCGTTACATACACCCGAGTCACAGAGCGGTGGATAAATTCGGATTTACATATGTATTGTAAAACGCGGAGATAACGTAAACGCTCTGGTCTCTCGCATGCGCGTCCTGCCGGTGTGCTACAATTATAAATAAAACATACGTCTTATCTCTCCTTTTGGAATTCTAGTGTTGAGCTAAATACATGTATCTATATTTAATGCGCCAGCGGTACAGTTCATGCCGAAACTACCGATGAAATTTGAGAGCATACCGATCAAAATATTTAAGACAGCGTATAAATATATTTTACCGTGATTAGTATTTTTGTTGTACTGTGATGTATAGGTTTTGTTGTAACACCTCCATTTTTTACAGTGACAAGGCCGTATGGTGACATTAACATCGAATATGGTACTAAACCCTTGAGGATTATGTGTATATTAGACCCGAGACGAATACGCGAAAAGTTTCCAGGCAAAACCTCTGCGGATCTCTATTTCTTACGTAATACAGCTTTCATAGATAAAAAATACATCAGTATAATCAACGAAACGGCGATATTGTTGGAGGTACAGGATCTGGAGCCCTCTAAAGATCTTTATACCTGCGGCTTGCATGTAGAGGACGGTAAAGTCCATACCGTGGCAGTTTGTCTCAACGAAGTTGCAATTGGACGTAAGTCATCGAGTCTACATATACCTGCTCATACGCATGTATACAGATTGTTTGCTGCATGTATATTTATTTTTCATTTCATTGTATATAAAACATCTAGCGCATTATCCAACGCCATACGGACAGAATACACGTTGTATATGTAACAATCGTCGCATGTACGTGAAATAAGTATTTCTTAGTGGTACAGTAACAGTGCACACATTTATTCTTATCAGCACAGCGCTCAACGACGTTTTACGGAGACAACATTGCGCATTGATTCCCTTTTCGCTAGAATTATGAGCGAATCGTTTGATATGATACGTCTTAAAGTCGTTTTATTATCATGAGCAATAAAGATAACTAGAAAAGGGAGACTATGTAATGTTAAAAGTTACTCGTAGCGTTACTCTTTCTTATTTCGCGGAATTATACGTTATTTTTATGTGAAAAATAACTGCCGCAGATATAGGCACTAGACGGTGTATATATAGTATTAATGACATTTTGCATGTATTATATACATTCGTTACAATAAATTTTAGCGTTTGACGTAACGTTGTACGAAATATACTCGTAATCGATTTAAAGTGATTTATACCCCTTTTTTCACGTAACGCATTTTACATGCTGCTTATTCGTTTTGTTTTCTCTACAACAGACAAACCTACGAAACCGATAAGCTTCAATTGTGTGTCCGACAATTGGGAGAGCCTGCGTTGTTCATGGGTACCGGTGCATAATTATGTCAAAACTACATACAACCTGACTTTCACGTTGCCCGGAAAACGTAGCCGGAAAATATTTCCTTGCCCGAAAGATGTAAACGACACAAATAAAGATGACACGAAGAAGACAGACATCGACATGGCAGATAAAAATTCGTGCTATTGGGACACAAAGACCAATCCAATTTATAGGCAACCGTACGAGACGTATACCTTCATACTGTTTGCGTTCAATCCTTTCGAGAACGCCAGCTTTACGTACAGGATCGATCATTTTTCTAATGGTATGTAAATCTTTAGTGTATAGACATTCTATCACACTCATGTAGAAATAAGTGAGAAATATCGCGTTATTTTCATATACAAGTGAGTATACAAATGTGTTGAAGAATCTGGCGGTTCTAAAAATTTGCCAACAATTTGATCGCATATATGGATACATTATCGAGACTACTTTATTAAAACGACCTTTGTCACAGCTATTTCTGTGATCTCGCAAATACTCGATTCGTGTTTCTCGCTTGTCACTATGTGTAGTTACTAAGGCTGCACTCACTGCCAGCTGCCTGAAAAGCTATAGTTCATGTTACTTATACTATAGATTTTAGCAACACAGACAGTGAATGTAGAAACGCAGTCTGAATAATCAATTTTTTCGAAATCGTCACAAAATGCTCAAAATCATTTTGCAATATATTTGCCTGCACAAAGTATGATATTTGATATTCATCAACCATATTATGTCGTTGCTTCAGTTATTCCACACAGCCCGTGGCATTTGAAGGTGCATGATATAACGCCGGACAGCGCGAAACTGCGGTGGAGTCTGCCCTTTCCGTTGCAAAACTTCCCAGTCGGTATTCATCACAGAATTATGTATCAGAATCAATTGCACAGTAATAGCAAAAACGCTACTTGGACGGTAAGATTATAAATATTGATCTTTGTATCACAAATAGAATGTTTTTAGGTCTTGCCGACGATAGTTTTACAATATTTGAATTTTACGCAAACTGTCACTCGTGCCGTAACGATCATCATACGTTGTCCACAGGTTATCAACATTACTGACAAAACTCGTGAGGAGCATAAAGAGTACACTCTCTCCAACCTGAACTGCGGCTACTGTCAGTTTGATGTCCGTATTCTCCTAAAGAGTGCGACAGCTCCGGATGTAGAACATATGTGGAGCAAGCCTAGCATCGTCGAATTCAGAACAGCGTCAAGCGGTAAGTATACTTTGAGTCGGTATGAGAATCCACCTTTCGTTATCTCTTATCGTGTTTGTAACATTCGAAAGAAAATAATCGTGATTTGGGACCTATGACAAATTAACGTGTCAAATTGCTTTACAATCTCATTCGGTCTGTTTCATACAATTAAATTGTCTCCTGCTCGATTTCAGTACCGAGTTATCCACCGCGAACTGACATCGGCAGCTTCGAGATCACGGAGATCGACGACAAAAGCAGAGACGTGTTCTTGTATTGGCAAAGAATACCGCGAAACCACGAAAACGGAGAGAACTTTACATACGAAGTTGATTACGTGGAGAAGAACGGTGCCGATGCATATTTAAAGAACAAAAATTCCACCGTTGCGTATGTCAAGTATACGATCACAGCGGACAGCAAATATCTATTCAAGATCGCGTCGAAGAATGAAGTAGGCTTCAGCAGCAATCGCTCCGAAATAATCGTACCAACTCAGTCCGAAGGTGAGTACATAACAAGAGGAGAAAAGACAAATAAGATGCAAAGTAACGGTGAAGTGTAATTATCTCATCAAATCTTGCAGTCATCTCACTCGAACCAAATGCCTTTACGAAAATTGCTTACAACGAAACGTTATACGAGTTGTCTTGGAAGCCGCCGACCGCGAAGAACATCAAGAATTACACAATCTTCTGGTGCGAGGACACGCGCGATCGTCCTTACCAGTGTACTGTATGTATTTGCGTTTGTCTTCTACTACTCGTAGAGCATCGCTTCATTCGACAAGTCGAACGCTTGTACTTATCGAGTAACTTGTTACTCGCAGGGTTTCTTGGATTGGGTGCACGTGCCCAAGAACACTACCATGTACAATGTGACCGTGACCAATCCATTGAAGGTGTACCAATTTGCGATCTCTACCAACACGGAGCAGACTAGCAGCGGTATGGTATGGGCTTCGTGTACGGTGATACACAACAAGGTGACCAGCAAGATGAAAGACGTATGGATAAACAACATTAATTCGAGGTCTATCGAGGTTGGCTGGAAATTGGACTGCTCGGATCGCGTCGGTATTATAGATGGCTTCAACATCTATTACTGTCCTATTATATCACCGTATAATCTGCAATGCCAAGAGAACACCAAGAAGAATATTACTATCGTGGCCGGGCCGCATACGATACACGGTACCGCTCGCGAATTACAGCCATATACTACGTACATGTTGTACGTCACGGTCTTGACCAAATTCGGCGAGGGTTCTAACAGCGACTTTCTCTACAACACCACTCTCGAAGACGCGCCCAGCACCCCGCCGCAAAACCTGCAAGTCATGAACGTGACAAACACGACCATAAGTCTTCGATGGGAACTGCCTAAAGAGATGAACGGGGTACTGCGGTATTACGAGGTGCTGTTCAATGGCAACTCCATGAGAGTTGAGGACGTGCTTAGTATTAACTTGACGAGTCTGGAGCCATATACTAAATACAACATCAGCGTTCGCGCCTGCACTATATCGTGCAGTAATGCAACATTGCTAACGCAGCGCACGAAGATCGGCGTGCCGGGCAAGATAAGCACGCCTTATGTGTACTCCAAGAACGGCAGCGAAGTTGTCCTCAAGTGGAACCGGCCGAAGAATAGCGGCGGTCCCGTGCACTATTACGAGATCGCGCTGCACAACGTCAAATACATCCAATACACCAACGCATCAGGTGAACATTAAAGCTAAGGAACTTTAAGGAGAACTGATGACTTTTTACTCACGGATTTTTTCGTCTTTTGAGAACATGAGGCAGTTGATCTATGCATTTAACTATATAAAATTCAAAGGTATGCTTCTCGTGCGATGCAAAGAAATTTGATCGCGAAATGTTCCACTCGATGTCTTTTGTTAGTTTTCCTGCAGTCAAATTCCCAACTGCGCGCCGCGTACTCCTGTCGCATTAATTATAAAAAAAGAAAAAATTATACGTTTTATACTTTTTGTGTACAATTGTTGAACTGTTGAAACAACACATGGAGAAGAAATATTTGAAACCTGTTATCCTCGATCTCTCACACGATTTTCCAGTCGCTACTTTATAGCTTAAAAGAAAGAGTTGGTGAGTCGCTTGTCATCAGCTTTCTTTATTAGCTATAACTCCTTGGTATGTTGCTGAATCATGATATGATTCAGTCTACCTTTGTACGAGTATGTGTAATTTATATGAACAGATGCTTATTTGGATATCACTGTTCGTATTGTAGAAATACGGCTATCTATTCCCGACTGTAAGGACGTTGACAAACCTCAGGAACCATCCTACCTTCTTCGAGTGAAAGCTGTTAACATCGTTAATGACACCCAGTTAAAAGGACCCTGGTCTGATCCGGTGGAATTGAATTGTTATTCCGACGGTGTGTATTTGCTGTATTCTGTAATAAAGTAGTAGCCTATGCTGATTAATCCTTTGAGCGTGGAGCAGCGTAACGAGAAAAGTGTTCTTTGTTTACCGGAGTTTAGGGAGATTATCGAATGTTTCGTCTGTAAGACTAACGAGATATCAGATACAGCAGAAATAAAGATAAATATCCGATATTTCAAGCGATAAAGCCTGAATATAGCTGAGATCATTGTCAACAAATGCAAATGAGACAACTTCTGAAAATGATTCATACGAACTGGTTCATAATTCGTAGTAGTGAACTCTCAGCACACACCCTCAAAGAATTAAGTGACAAATCTTAAATGTTCATATCGACTGTGCAACCACTTATTAAGAAAGAAACGCATTGCTTTCTTAATACATGGTTATATTGATACATTATTTTATATTAATCTTGGTAATATTTCTTATACTTATAAGAAATATTAGTAAGTACGATTTCCTTGTGTAACAGGACCGTCCTTTGCAGCATGGCTCATGATATGTATCACCAGCATCATCGGCGTCGGAGTGCTCTTCGGTTGTCTCGTATACGGTTCTAGAAGGTAAAGAAAGAAAGAAATAAGATGCAATAAAAAAAAAGAAAGAAAAATAAGATGGAGATACTCGTCGTGGCGAATCTTGCGCATTCGCAAGTTAATCTGCAAATGTGCAAGCCTCGGCAAGGAGTCGCGCGAAGAATTGTTCTTGCGCGGCTCTGGCTGTCTCCAGTTTCGCGGTTCGCTGTAATGTTCTGTACCGTTTTTCTCTTGCAGGATGTGGTCGAAGTGTAGGGCGATGCAAGACGTCGAAGTGAAACTACCGCCCGGACTCGCTCCGAACATAGTAAGTGAGACAGATCTATCTACCCAAGTAACAGCACTTAACCTTTTGAGTGCGGAGCACTTGAAAACTAAACGATTGCTGGGGACGAAATACTTCGAGCTGTTGTACGTCAGTCGGTTAAAAAAGTCTTCTTGAAAAGTCGAAAGCACCGGGACAAGTGGACCGGGACAAATGAGAAAATTTCATTTAACGCCGTCGCTAAAATACGTATAAAAGAACACGAATATAAGTGTCCATCGCAAGTTGGCAACTGTTGCCTGTGTCGAGAGTATCAGCCGAAGAAATTCGTAGGGTGCACATATATACGCATCCCAGCACTCAAGAGGTTAACGGCGTCTGCTTATGCAGTCTTCGCGGATGCAACGATCGCCCGAAATCGCGCTATGGTGTATCGTAAGACGTGTCTCGTGTCTGCGCAGAAATTACTGTCAAACGTCGGCGAGCAGCATATGCGACAGCCGTCCGCCGATTCGAGCGGTTGCTCGAGCGCCCAGGACTCTGTCACCTCCTCCCTCACGACCAACTCTCAGGTTTCCAACGACAGCGGCACGGACATGGCATCCGACCCAGCATCGCCCGACAAGCTGTTGGAGTCGCTACCGAGTCGGGAGTCGAAGAGGGTGCGACAAAGGAACGTGGGCAATGCGCGATCGACGGAGAACGGGCAATGGGAGTTGTATACGAAAGTCACCAAGTCCAGCGAGCCGGTGCTGGGCGAGACGCTGTCGTTGACGCGGTCTACGCCCAATCTGACCGAGAGTGCGGGTTGCACGACGTCACAGCACACGTGGTCCTCTACCGGTTACATCAGCATGCCGTCCTCCGAAGAGGCGTCGTCTAACCCCAGCCCAGTGCCGAGGGAGAACCCGTTCATCGGCACCGTCTCCGGCATTGCCACTGCCAACTATAGCGTCGTCGGTTCCATGCCTAACAAGCCCGGGCAGATTGTCAAGTCTGAAGACTCGTCGGCAGCGGGCAAAACGGCCGCCGCCGCCACCACCGTCGGCGATGCTTTGATAACCCTCCAAACGGAAGCAGCCAAGTCCTCGAAACCGTATATCGCGCTCTCCGCCTTGGAGAAGAAACTGAAGAAGCCGAAACACGCGACTAACCCGTTAGACTGGGATGAACTGACATTCGTCGAGCCAGATAAATGTAACAATCCGGACACGCAAGCGTCGTTGCAATTCGATTCCGACTCCGACAAGATCTCCAAACCGTATGTGCAGACCGGTCTGATAGACACGCTGGAGAAGCAGTACCTCTTGAATCCGATCGTCGAAACCAAAAGGAACCTGTTGTGCGGTTCCTTCATGTCCACGGGTTCTCACAATAAGTCCTTCGTGCCGACGTTGTTCTCACAGGCTTCCGAGTCACTGAAAGAGTTGCCTTCCTCGTCGACGAAACCATACGTCGCCGTGTCGTCGATCTCAGAGGAGATGGCAACGACATCGCCGACTCACGCTGCCCAGCACAAATCTTCGTCGCGGAGGCCTTACGTTCAGCACGCGATACCCGCTACGTCGAACGAGACCTCGACCAAGCCGTATACGCTCGCGAGCTCTATACGACCGTTGCAGCAACGGGCAAAGACAGAGTTGTGCGCGAAAGTGACGAACGATGATGAGAACTGCAAGAAGGTTAACACCGACGACAAGAACTCGAGTGTCAAGGTGGAACCGAACAGGCTGCCCGTCTTCGCTAAGCAGAGTACTGGCTACGTCACGCTCGCTGAGAACCCCAGCTTGGGGAAGTTGAAGCCGGCTCCGACGTCGTCTCCGAAGCACCTGGACAAAGCACCGCAGCAGACGCAGACGACAACGGCGACCGGCCAGTCGGCCGATGGACAGTACAGTAAGGTGACGGTTGTGCCAAGTACAATGTAGTGAACGAACACGACAGACGCGCGTGTCTATTCCTTCCTCACGGTGGACAAGTTTAACTGCCACTCGCGTGAAACAATGAAAGAAGCAAGTGCGATCGCAATAGGATAGGTAGCTCTGCGCGAATGATGACACGATGATGTTGACCGCGCGAAGAACGAGTACGACCCGACCGCACGCCTTACAATTCCCATCGAAACGTTCTCGGTGCCGCCGCGACTCGAGGCCGACCTTCACACGTACGCGAGGTGTCGAAGGACGCGAGGTGTGAGACGTTGAAAGAAAGTGTTCGAAGCGAAGGACACTATTTTTAAGACTGAAATGTAATTCTTAAGGAACCGCATACGCGTACACTTTCGTCTGTTGGCCAGCGCTTATGGGTTTCGTCGCTGCTCGAGAATGTAAACGCGAGCGACTTTGACCGGGGCTAGCCGAGACTATGTTGTAATTAGCGACGCATCAATCATGACCGAGTTCGCCAAGATACGTGTACGACCGATTGAATCATCGCGCGACGATTATTGCGGGGCGGTGAAATATTTCGGGATTGTTTCCGTTGCTGTTGTTTAAATTTGAACGCCGCCAGAATTACGACGAGAATTATACGATTCTCTTCTGTCTCTTCGCAGTCTGTACAATTTGACGATACGAACGAGTGTCCCTTTCTTTTCTCCTCTCTCTTTCTCTCTCTCTCTCTCTCTTTTTGTATTATTCCTTATGGTTGTTACGACAACGGAAACGAATCTTAGTGCAATGACCTTATTATCGGAATTCTTATTAATTTGTGTACATATTTATATAGGACGGTTTTACGTGTAACATAATTTTGCACACGGCTTACATAACGATGCGAGATATATATACATATATATATATATGTATATGTGTGTATATATATATATACAAATATATATATACGTATGATCTTTTATCCGACGGGCGAGCTCTCCCCCTTTGACTTTTTAGTAATCAGATTTTAGGAGTACGATATGTGTGTGTGTGTGTGTTGTGTGTGGAGTTTGCGGGTGCAAACTTGCCGCCTCGTTGACACAATCTATTCACACTTGCGTGTTGTTGTTAATTAACATTTGAGAAATTGTTAAATGCGAAAATTTAAAACATGTGCTGAATCGCATATCATTTCTATCGACATATTACGTACACACACATACAACGATCACGCTACCATTCATAATCACGTTCATAATCAATACGTTAATTGTATATCGATGCTGACTCGATACTTATTCGACGAAAAAGATCTTGTACAGAGTATTGTAAAATATATTTTTATTGCTTTTCCTCTCTATCTATAACTGTGTCTCTCTCTCTCTCTGTTGTAATCTTTCTCTCTCTCTCTCTCTCTCTCTCTCTCTCTCTCTCTCTCTCTCTCTCTTTCCATTTTCTAGTTTCATTATTTATATCACGTACAAATTTCTCTCGCCTTTGTGCCGGTCGCCGATCGGCCGTACTGTTAATAATACTGTATTGCCATAATACTGTAATGCCATGCCGTCGAAACCTTGCCATTCGTATTTATTCGTTCTCGGAGCCCAAAGCTGCTACTTTTTTTTAACTTTTCAATACTCGCATACCGCACGAATCATGTTAGAAAGATACGACGACGACTTCGTTCTTTCGTAACTTTAAAAAGATACAACGCCGCCGGTGAAGAACCATTAGTTTATAAATAATCATTAAGGTGAAATATACAACATTTATATCGAAAAAATGCGCTGTAATTCCTCCCCGGACTAAATACGTTTTTCCCTACCGGGAACGGGTATCGTGTATCCATAATTTGGGCGAGTGTGCGCAAATTATCGATAATTGTCAATTATTGACAAATTGTCGATAATTAGATATCCACGAGGAAACTGAGAAAAATACTGTTACACGTTGCGATGCGTCGCGTATCTTTTAAACGCGACGTATCTTTTGTCCTCCACTGATTGATTTTGTTAGAAATCTCAAAAATTTTTCCAACAGAAGGCGGAAACTTCTGTGTGTGAATCTAAGTGTGTTTTGACGGACATCAATCTCGCGGATCTTTATTGCGAGATTATGAAAAGAAAAAAACCGGACGTTATATGCATGTCATCGTTGTATTCCATGGTATGTGTATGTGTGTGTGTGTGTGTATGTTGGTCGCACACTTATGACGTTTTTGTGCATTTACTGCGCGATAAATAACACGAATATGCAATAGATCGGGCGGCGCTTGCATATTCGATTTAACCCCTTCCGTGGCAGAGCAAAATTCAGTAAAATGCACTGAAACCGCCCCAAAAAAATGACGAGGCGGATTTTTTCAATAATTTGTATACTTCAGTTTTTTTGGTCGCTGAAGCCGAATTTGAGGTCAAAATATAGAAATTCAAAATGGCGGATCGAATATGGCGACTAAAATGTTTAGAAATGCTTAATATTATAAATAAAAGTAATTGGTCATTTCTCAAGTCACTAAATTAACGATTTTTATATAAAAATCGCTCTTAACGCTCTTGCTGCTCGCTGCGAACTAACTCGTTCGCTGCTCGCTCTTCGTCGTACATCCTCTGTTTTTTGGTACTACCGAACACTCGGATTCCTTTAGGCGCTGCGGTCAAACGACGCCAAACGTCGCGCGAAATCCATTGATGACGCCGCTGCCCTGTTCTAACGATGCCGATCCCTCCATCGGACGCCGCGGTCTCTTCTCAGTTTCTCTCTCTCACTCTCACACATCCCGTGTGTGAAAAAAAGATTTACAATTTTCCGACATTTTAATTTGATTATAGTTTTTTTTTATTAACAAATTATAAAAAACTAAGTTGAAATTCGTAATCAGCGACTCAAAAACTACTTGATAAAAATTCTACAACAATAGTTATTACACTTAAAATTCAATACAACACGAAATTGATCTGGACGCACCCGCGGTGCGTCCATGCCACTTACGGCACGGTTTTGGCTGGACGCACCGGTGCGTCCGTGCCACGGAAGGGGTTAAATATCTCAAAAAATATTAGGCAAGTAAAAAAATTCAGACAAAAGTTATTCAAATTAATTGGTGGAGAAAGGCGGTGTAATAAAAAATTGGGGTTTCCATTTAAGATTTTTATGTCAACCTTGATGACGTTTCTCAAGGTCATTCCAAGGTCAAACAATTATCAATATCTGATAGCTTTTTTTAAGCCCTACAACTTTTGTTTCAAACATTGTTTTAAACAATCATTTTTTGAAATAATTAGCCGTTCCGGAACTTTTTGCAGACCCTATATGTGACATGCGAAATGTAATAATCAATGCTGCAACCAATGATGCTTCCAAAACCTGGCAACCTGCTCACGCGTATATATTATTTATTAGTTCATTCACATGTGGCTGTTAAGTTGAGTCGTAGTGTGTGTGTACTCAAGTGTATTTGATGTTTTGTAAAAATCAAAAGTGTTTAAAGTGAGATAAGACTAAATAAATTCAATATTTTAAACCAAGCACTAAACATTTCAAAATATACCACGATGTAATCATATGTGTATAATTGAACTGGATATATACTGAATTTATCTTTTTCTTAAGTATGTTGTTTATTATGGGATCCATTCAGATTTTTCTATGAAATTTAAAATTCCTTAATATGTGTAGGATGGATGAATAGTGCATGAAAATGTCTCACATTGATTGCCAGGTTTTGGAAGCATCATTGATTGCAGCATTGATTATTACATTTCGCACGTCACATATACACACATTTATTTATTTATTCACTTTTTTACGTTTTTCTTTACATTCTTTTTTAGTTTTCCTTTTATTATTTTGCATTTAAGTCATTCAAATAAAATATCTTATTTTAAAATATATTATTTTGGTGTTACACAGCATTTAATTGCTCAATAAACAGCACAAGAAAAGCAGAGCATGTACATAAAAGGAGAAAGGGAAAAGGAAGAAAAAGAAGTCTTTTTAATTATTGATATTAAGATGAAGTTTTTTGTAATAAAATGGAGCGAACATTTGTAATTAATATAAGGCAAAAATGTTTACAGGGAACGCTACAGTACAAAGGGATTTAATTAGACACCAAATATAATGATTGGTTGGACCTAGTAACTCTCTAGGTGAAGCTTCCCACCGGTTGGTTATGTCCAATTGAGTCCCTGCCTTTCCTGTAGAGAGAGACCCATAATAGATTTGTATGTCCGTTTCTACCAACCGTGGTTAATTTAATCGACTGGTTATTCCATCCGAATGGACCAATTGCATTTAACAATTCTAATTAACGACAAATGTGATTGGTCAATTCCATTGGAATAACCAACTGATTAAGTTAATCAAGGTTGATAGAAATGGACATTAGGGAATAATATTTATATAGAGAAATTGTATTCTATCTGGAACAAATTTCTCTCGTCGGTCCTTAACCTGTAATTCAGTTGTAGGTTATAAACGTGAAGGAGAGTGCATAAACAATGGGAAAACACGAAGTAGGCACCAAAGTACATTGCTAATAAGATCAAAGCAAAAGGGTTGCAGAAATTAAGATAGTATTGTCAAATGTGTCAGAAACAGTGTAGAGATGAAAATGGTTTCAAATGTCATACGATGTCGGAATCACATCATCGTCAACTGTTGCTCTTTGCTGAGAGTGCGCACCGATATATGGACCAATTTTCGTGAGATTTTTCGAAAGGCTATTTAAACTTGTTAAAGAGGCAATTTGGTACCAGACGAGTACCAGCGAATCGAGTATATCAAGAATATATCTCTGAGAAGCGATATGAACGCAACCGATTGGTTGACATTAAGCATGTTCGTTAAATGGCTAGGAAGTACTCGACAATGCATTGTCGATAAAACTGAAAAAGGTTTGCATATTGTTAATAGTTATTTTTACAATTGTTGATAAAACTATAGAAATGTAATTACTAAGACTAAATTTCATAGAATGTTATTTTTCAGGATGGTATGTAACATATATTGATAGAGATCCTGAAACTTGCTGCACAGGAGAGAAAAGCAAAGGAGGGAAAAATGGATAAGGATGATGAAGAACGATTAATGGATTTTATCGAGAAACAAATACAGAGAGCAAAACAAGATATAAAGGAAGAAGAGAATGAGACATCCAAAATACCATTGACACGTCCTGAGAATGATGCACCTTTAGTTCTAGAGATTAAATTGAAACCAAAGCCAAAGTTTCTCCCTATACTGAACATGAAGCAGAAGATAAGAAATGAAGATATTAATGAAGATACACCTGTTCCAAGTAAATCAACTAATGAGAAAAATAAAAAACGAAATGAAAAATATGTAATAACGATGAAAAAATGAAATCTACAAAAAAATTCAAAAGTGATAACAACCCATCTGCAACTGAAGGTTGACTTAAGTAAGGTTTAATGGTTAAGGTTACTTCAAAGAGTCTAGGTGACAAATATTATAAAGCTGAAGACATGGTTCAAACAGTTGGCAAAGATAGTTTCATTGGTAAAGTAAAACTGAAGACACCGGAAGAAATTAATGGACACATAGAACTGGATCAAGAATACTTGGAGACGGTCATTCCTGCGATAGGAATGGAAGTCCTAATTCTTTGGGGAAAACATAAAGGCAAGAAAGCAGTAGTAAAAGAATTGCATATAGACCATTATAGCATAGTTGAACATGTTGAACTTGAGCAAGATAAGACAATTGTAGAAATGCTTCCATATGAACAAGTTAGCAAATATATAAATATATAGATTGACTAGTCGCTCGAAAAAGAATCATTAGGAAAAAAATAATGTATTTTCGTATTATTGTAATATCTTCAATATACTTGTTATGTTACTCTCCAATACCTGTGTACAAATTAAACAATATATTAAATATTAATACTTAGTGTATAAAGTATTATACAGACAATTTGGAAAGCAATTTTCTACAAAACATTTGTTAAATTTTCTTATTAAATATTTAATAAGTTGAGCTGTTTAGATTTTTTACTAAGTATATATTAGTTTATACATACATGCTGGCACATACATGTAGGTACATATCTAAGATCAAAGTGGTAAAAAAAATATTACATGTACATCATCTGTGTAATGAAATACTGTAATCTACTAATTGCCACTCAAAACAGATTTGAATTTATATCATAAAAATCAGACTATTACATTAACAAGTAAGAAATGTAAAATAAAACATGGTTTTCAAGAAATTAATACATATATAAATTTTATACTATCTTAATTTTTTTTTATGAGAGCATGTGACTAATATTCTAGAAATCTTGCATCTGTATATATTTTCAATTTTTTTTCTAATTACACTGATAATAGAAGTGTTAAATATTATTTATTTTATACACATCCAATTACAAGATTTCTTCTCTTGTGAATGCTGTTGTATTACATGTCTATCTCAGTTAAGAAAGTAACAACAGATATTTTGTCTATTATATTATTAGGTTGTTGCAGATGAAATGGCCATTTTTTAATTTTTAATTTAAATTTTTATTCAACACACTTTATATACATTTCGTCAATCGAAATAGTCTCCCTCCACCTCAATACACTTCCCCCAACGTGTTACAAGCGCATCAATGCCTTTCACGTAGAAATTAGAAGAGCGAGATGCAAGAAATTCGTTGAACGCATTTTTCACGTCGCTTTCTGTTTGGAATACCTTTTCACTTAAAAAGTTATCCAGATGCTTAAACAAATGGTAATCAGTTGGAGAAAGGTCAGGAGAATAAGGAGGCTGAGGGAGAACTTCGCATTTGTATTCTGTTAATGTTTTTAGTTTTTTTTGTAATATGCGGTCTAGCATTATCATGGAGCAACAACATACCGCGTCTATTTAATAACGCCGGCTGTTTAATACGCAGTTTTTCCATCACATTATCAATTTCTTGGCAAATCAAATATTTGTCAGCATTTATAGTTTCACCCTTTTTTAAAAACGAAAAATGCACAATACCCTTGGCAGACCACCATACAGATACCATAACTTTACGTGGATGAAGGCTCGGTTTCGGCATGTGTTTCGGAGCTTGATCAGCATCTAACCACTGGGCAGAACGTTGACGATTGTCATAAAGAATCCACTTTTCATTACACGTTACTATTCGATTTAATATTCCTTCATTATTGTGTCGGGAAAGCAGAGATGAGCTGATTTCCATACGGCGAAGCTTGTCTCTCTCAGTCAGTTCATGTGATTACCCATTTGTCAAGCTTTTTCACTTTCCCTATGGCCTTTAGGTGTCGGTAAACACTGGAATAGTGAACATTGATGCTGTGTGCAATATCTCGAACTGATAAACGTGAGTCTGCTTTAACCGTGTCTTTCAAAACATTGTCATCAATCATTGATGGTGCATGGCCGCGAGACAAATTGTCGAGATTTGTATCACCAAACCGAAACTTTTCAAACCAACGTCTAATGGTTCGATCACTTACAGAACCTTCCCCAAAAGCAGTGTTTATGTTTCGCGTTGCCTCGGCCGCACTATGGCCAAGTTTGTATTCATACAAGAATATTATCCGCATTTCTTTACTTTCCATGTCGAAGAGACAGCGATTTTCAATGATATAAACAATGTGATAAAAGTAAGATTATGCATGCAAATTTACGTGTGGGGCATATACTTTTCAAATATCACGCATGCAACGACAGCTGCATGAAAAAAGCTGAACTACTCGGCCGGGAAATTTGAATTTTGAAAAACGTCCATTTCATCTGCAACAACCTAGATGAGTGAAAAAGTTTTGATAAACCTCGTGATAAAGAGATATGAAATATTAGTTTTTAGACTTTCGCGGCCGTTGATACCATCAGGGTATGTTTCTTTCGGATGGATACCGCGTCGTAATTCAGCTTTGTGGCACAAAGCTAAATTACAATGCGGTATCCATCTGGAAGAAACATACTCAGATATGAAATAATTTTATTAAAATCGATTTGTTCATTCTAATAAAGTGTAATTATAAAGTAAGTAAAGTAATTACTTTCTATTATTTTTCGTCAATTTTCACCAGATAAAGGATAGTATTGTTTTTAATAAAAATATCTTTTTTTCTTTGTGTCAAAAAAATTTATCAAAATTTTTGTCAAATTTTCTCACCCATTTTTTCAACATAAAAAAATATATTTTTTAGAATAAAAGTTATTAGAATATAATTATTTAGAATAGAAGTTATAGAAGAAATAGAGATCAAATAAATAAAAAATTTACTGTTAAGATATAGACATCTTTTTAAAGAAACAATAGCTATTAATGACATGCAGGGTCTGCCAAAAGTTCCGGAGCGGCTAATTATTTCAAAAAATAATGTTTAAAACAATGTTTGAAACAAAAGTTGTAGGGCTTAAACAAAGCTATCAGATATTGATAATTGTTTAACCTTGGAATGATCTTGAGAAACGTTATCAAGGTCGACATAAAAATCTTAAATCCTAAATGCTCTATTTTTTGTTAATTTATCGATCTTTCGAAATTTCGAAATCATCAAATTAACAAAAGTCAGGGAGCTATTGTAACAATATATTCTTGAGACCAAGTAGAATAGCAAAGTCTACTACCATTTTTTATCCCGACAAACAGTTAGCGAGATATCGTAAGTTAAATATTAAACAAAGTTACCAAATTATCCTTAAATATCTCAAAAAATATTAGGCAAATAAAAAAAATGTTTCAGACAAAAGTTGTTCAAATTAATTGGTGGAAAATGACGGTGTAATAAAAAATTGGAGTTTCCATTTAAGATTTTTATATCGACCTTGATAACGTTTCTCAGGGTCGTTCCAAGGTCAAACAATTATCAATATCTGATAGCTTTTTTTAAGCCCTACAACTTTTGTTTCAAACAATCATTATATTTTAAATAATTAGCCGTTCCGGAACTTTTGGCAGACCCTGTATATAAAAGTAGCAAGTATTACAATCGCGGTACAATTCGCGAATGCCTTCGACCGTTGTCGGCGCTTCTCGTGTCAAAATATCATTGGGTGCTGCATATTAACGAGTCACCTAAAGCAACTGAGATATTAATAACACCGAAATAGCCGGTTGTGCTCGCGACGCGATATACCGCGAGCGCGGCTTCGCCTCGCGTACACTTCTGCAAATATGCGTGTTGCACATATTTATAACTGCTGTGTACGTCGCCTCGTACAGAAGCATATCGCCATATCGATCTTCATAACTGTCCTAAAATTATTCTCGCCCACACCGTCCATTCGTTTCCGATATGCGCGTTCTGTGTGCCACCCGGCTCAACGGAGATCCATCTCGATCGTTCTTCCGTAGATTCATTCGCAGATTCGTCAGATTCATTTTGTAAGGTTTGACGCAAATTTGTAAGGTCTGACATGATAAAGCTGATCGAGACAGGTCTCCTCGCGAGAAAGTCCAAAGTTTCGCATCTTTCAACCTGGGAGAGCCTCCCCCAATGTTCAGCGTCAGTCGACATTACTTCGATCGACTGCTGCTTCCTTGTGGATGGTTGGCGAAGGAGAAACAATCAGCACAGTTAATTCTCTAAATGTGGTAGGCATTTATTTCTCTCCTAATCATGGGGTATGCAAATCGATCTTGCTCCTCGCGCGGGGGGGCGCGCTTCGGGCAAAGGTAACAATAATAACCAGAGATTGATTAACAGGCTAATAATAATCTACAGTTCGCTTATCACCTATCTCGTGTGTTAATAATCTTCCATCTTAAATAATTATGTACACGGCTTTCGGGTTAGTCGTACATAGCCATATACCCGCGGCATATGGCGGCATTGGGGGGGAAAAGGATGGTGTATAAATAGTCGCGGCTGATGTTGTATATCGTTTATACGCTGCTGAGCACACACCGCGCGCACGTTATATATATATATATATATATATATATATGTATATGCATGTAAACCTCATTACTATTAAGGGCACAACAAATTCATTGACTAATGTGCATCATCAGCACACGCGCGCACGCACCGCGCTAGGAAGTCAAACGTACACATGTATACAGATTCGTGTGTAACGTATGATCGCGAGCGGCCGAAGACGGCTTCTCAGACATATTCGTGCGGCGTGTTCTCTCCGGTCTCGCGACAGCAAGTTCTCTCGAGTATCGAGATAAAAATCAGCGCTCTGACGTCGTCGCAACATTGAATGGATCTTTGAATCCACCTCTCGTACACAAACGCGCCGCGTTACACACCACTTTATATACATGTATAAGCTCCCGCCGATATATTTCATTTAAAACGTTTGTTACTCTTTACAAACTAATGTTAAAACTTACTGAACGTAGCGTCTAATGGACAGATACAATTTCTCTCAATTGGCTCTCCGGCTTTGCGAACTATACAACACTCGTGTTTGTATCTACAGTATTCGATCGATTCGGTTTGCGTGCGTAGTCTGACAATTTTTCAGAGTCTCTCTCTCTCTCACTCTCTCTCTCTCTCTCACTCTTCCTTTCTCTCAATTCACTTTAACAACTGTGGGCTGTACACTCGCGCATCTCGAAGAGGAAAACTGTTACGAAACTGTTAATCATACACACGTCCAAAACTATGCTATTGCCAGTGCTGGGCAGTATCGCGGATATATGCGAACTTGGAACAAATATCTCCGAAAAGAGACAAGACACATACACAGCGTGTATCGGAAGTATATCTCATGTATCTCGGAAAGACGTACTTCTTCTTTCTGCCAGATACTCGTGCCCAGCTCTAGTCGTTTCTAATATCGGTTATTGGGTAACTGCTGGATCAAGTGTATGTGTGTGTGTGTGTATGTGTGTGTGTTCACTACGTTATTAACGCATTCTTTGCGGGTGATTAGCACGGATAATAACAACGGAATTCACGTCGCGCGAATCTCCGCGAAGGTTGAACCATAAATAAAAGGTCTCTCTTTCTCTATCGATTCAACGATAAGAAAACTTGGCGTGGGATGAAAGAAAGCCAACCGGCACAAAGTGGAGAAGGATGCGGAGCCAGAGGTTTGCGATGGTAAGAAGGTTGTTGGTGACTGTTGGTTTTAATACTTGTGAAGAAGTGTGTAATGCTGAGTGAGTGTCGCACGTGCTAGTCAATGCCACATTACTCGCCCATTGGTTTTTAGTAGCTGAAACAGATCCACAACAACAGTAGGTAGGTGACACAGGCACACACACCAAATCAATCGTCGCCCTCGTGCCAGAGCCTGAAGCCTGATACTAACCGATAGTAATTAGGCTTGAAGGGACCCGCCTTGTTGAGGCCCATGTATTTCGCTTGCTCATCCGTCAATTCCGTCAGATGCGCGTCGAACGTGGGTAAATGCAGCGAGGCGACGTACTCATCTGCGCGGGCCGACATTATTATCAATTAGAGTGCTTGTCGTGTCAATATATGCGACGCGACGACGTTACCCATTTCGTTTCAACTTTGCGAGTTGAATAGACGTAGGTGTTGACAAATGCATACACATACCCATCTTCTTCGGGAGCAAATAAACGTCGCTCTTGTACCGTCCCGGTGGCGCATTGAACAGCTCGATCAGGGCCAACGCCTGCGTAGCGGCGGTAATAGACACGACGAACGACGGTATGCTCGAACACGACAAGTTTACCAGACGGCCTTCCGCTAGAAGGACAATACGCTTGCCGTCCGGCCAGATAACATGGTCCACTTGCGACCTCACTTTCTCCCATGTCAGGTCAGGCGTACGTAAACTGTTCTGTTTAAAGCAACATAAAAAGGACTTAGTCTCCGTTGTCTCTTTCTTATTTGTTAACCTTTAGAGGACCGACATTTTTTCTTTAAAATTTGTAGTTTTTTTCACGGAAAATTTATATATATATATATATATATATATATATGTAACCATCATGTCGCGTAGAGTTTTCGAGTTCGTTAGTGGCTCCTAGGAGCCACCCCGGTCCGGAACGGAGCGGCCAAAATAAAAGATTTTCAAAATTTGGATCTTGACACTTTTAGGGGGGGTTTTTTTTTTATATCGCTGATCATCATTTTGATATCAGATTATCGAAATTTTACAAAGAAAGGCAATTATTTATCTAAAATAAGTCTATATTGCTATAAGTAATCTCATACGGTAATAAAACTTCCCTTTAGCATAACCCAGAACTAACGACGCGGACGTAGAAAGTTATATGTAGCTCCTTTGTTTTTTTATATTTTTTGTTATTTCAAAATTTCTTTCTTTTGATTTTTTAAATTTTGGTTTTAAAAAATAATGAAAATTATTTTATTTCAAAAACTATTTCTCTGTATTTCTTATACTTATTTGTTACTTTTAGAGTTTTTCACATTTTTGTTATCACATTACTTATGGTAGTGTTTCTTTCGTATGAAATTGTTAACAAATGTTTATTTACAAGTAAGGTAAAAATCACACGAGCAAATATATTTTTAGAACACATAAACATCGATATAAATGCATAAATAACTATAATATAACCTTTAAGAAAACACTGAAAGCCGATTTATATGTGGCTCCTATAGCAGCCACCCCGGTCCTCTAAAAGTTAAGAGAGTGGAAACGAGCCACGAATTATCCCGAAGTCGAAAGATAATCATTACACGAGTGGAGAATCAGCGAGTCGCTCGCTAGTGATTCTCGGAATGATCTGCGTGTGATAACAAAGAAGATAAGAGCACGTACGATGTCAATCTCGGTGTTGCTGTGACCCATGTTGCACACCACGCATCCGTTCTTCATTTTGTCCATGTGCTCGCGCGTCACCACGTTTTTATTGCCCGTCGCTGTAATAACAATGTCTACATTTCGAATGACTTCATTGAGTTTCATCACTCTGAAGCCGTCCATGCTGTAAATGCGACAACACACATATACATATATGATCTCTCCGCCACTTGCTCGCGGACTTGGCCGCGGTAACGGCTGCTTTGCAACACGAGCGCACCTTACCTGGCTTGCAATGCGCATATGGGATCGATCTCGGTGATATACACGATGCAGCCCAAGCCCTTGAGGGCTTGGCAGCATCCCTTTCCGACCTCCCCGTAGCCGCATATTACAACCTGCTTGCCGCCGAACATGACGTCGGTGGATCTCTTTAAGCTACAAAACGATAAATTCGATAAGCGTGTGTGACCGCAGGTCCGACCGTGTGTGCGCGTGTGTGTGTGTTCAGAACTCTCGACAGACATCACGCGTAGGATAACGAAGTTACAGATGTCGTACAGTTTCCTGATGGTCGAGCAACATTCGACACCGTACAACTCACCTATCGATGATGCTCTCGCGACAGCTGTAAAGATTATCAAACTTGGTTTTCGTCACGCTGTCGTTCACGTTCATCGCAGGGACAGAAAGTTTACCTGCCTTGGACAATTGATACAGTCTATGCACGCCCGTTACGCTCTCCTCGACGATTCCTACAAGGATGTATACATACGCCCGCTATTTTATTCATTTGCAGTCAAACGCTGAGAGAAGAATTATCATCGCTCGCACACACATTATCGTTGTTAAATTAAATTAAATCATTACCATCATGGAATTATTATGTTTTCTAACTTTCTAAGAGAACTTGCTCTTCGCAAGATCCGTGCGATATGATAGCGAAACGACAGCGGAACAAACCTTGGATCATCTTGAACATGGCGTTGTACTTCTTGAGCATCAAGTGCGTGGCGTCACCGCCGTCGTCCAGTATCATATTGGGCTGCCAATTCTCAGCGGCCACACACTTGTCGATGCACCACCAGAAATCCTCCTCGGTCTCGCCGCGCCACGCAAACACCGGATAGCCAGCGTTCGCCAACGCCGCGGCCACCTCGTTCTGCGTCGAATAAATATTGCATGCCGCCCATCGTACCTGTGCTCCCAACTCCACCAGCGTCTCGATCAGGACAGCGGTCTGCGCGTTGATGTGAGTGCAGCCCACGATTTTGGCGTTCTTCAGCGGCTACGGCAGTGTAAGCACACATAAGCATCACGTTCTCTCACGTCTGGTCGACGCTTACGTTCCCCGCAATCTCCATCTTTCAGGAAGCTTTCCGCCCGAGAGCGCAACGCACCTTGTCGTCAGCGGCGCGTTTCCGCAACGCCATGATCCCCGGCATCTCCTGCTCGGCGATCTCGATCTCCCTGCGACCGAAGGCGTGCTGATCGATGTTGCGCACACAGAAGTCCGTGAAGCCCCTCTCAGTCTTCTGGATCTTCTCGCGCGGCGACACGTCATCCTCGTCGGACGAGCTTCCTGTATAAGATGCTAAGATAGCGCCGGATGCCGAAAAACATCGATTATTAGTAACACATCGAAGTGCACAGCGCGGTTATCGTCATCCTATCGCAGGGCAGCTAATGATACGCTCAAAGACAAAGGAATATTATTCACACGATTATGTGCTACGACTATGCGTCTAAGTCTCTAAAGCGGTTATCACACACGTTCGCAGTCGGAAGAGAAAGACGAGAAGAGAAGAGACGAGACGTGCGAGACGAGAATGAAGAAGCAAGCTCTCTACGAGAAGAGTTTCGGTCGCGTCAGTTGGTCAGTTGGTTCGGTCGCGAAGAAGCGAGACAGAGATTCGCTCTATGCTTGCTTGTTTCTCAGCACACTATGTGTGGTATGATCCACTATGGTGATCACCGAGTTGTGCGTCCGTACCGGAACTGTAACTATCGGTGCTGCTGGCCGACAAGGAGCGGCTGCGGTAGCGGCTGGACTTCTTCAGCGCTCCGGACTTGGAGTCCTACAAGATGGAAAGCCACAGTCAGTAAGGTTCGTGCCCGTGGAGGACGCTCAACGGTTTGTTGTCTTTCTTCTAAAGGGCCGCGAATGCATCGAAAGAAACTACCAACTGAAGAGTGCGCTGAATGAAGCTAGTTCACTGTGCTGAATGCAAACACACACAGATTAATACGGACGATTTGCGACCGTTTGAAGGAAGAAAAAAGGAGGAAGAGAAGAGGGCTGGCTTTTTTTCCCCTCCTGAAGATGTAAGAAAACGTACGTAACGTTCGTTTGTACGTTGACGCGGTGAGGCCTCGAAGTGGTTCCGAGTGCATCTCGGTACCGGCTGAAGCGCTTGATAAGATAGAGTTAACAAGTTCTAATTATACCGCCGCGACAATATGTAATCGTCCCGTATTAGTCCGTGTTGTTTGATCGGCAGGCGAGAATGATAAACTAACCAGCACGCACGACACTTATTACAGACGGAGAGAGAGACAAAGCAGCCCTGAGGGGTAAAGAGTAGTAGTAGTAGTAGTAGTAATAGTAGTAGTAGTAGTAGTAGTAGTAGTAATAGTAGTAGTAGTAGTAGTAGTAGTAGTAGTGGTAGTAAAATAGTAGTAGTATATATATACATAGTAAGGATTGTTCTATGGCTTTGGTTCTGGGGGCGAGGGGGGGAGTTTTACAAGTATACTTTGTGTTTTATACACATATTATACTCTTACTTACTAATTTCGTTCTCGCGCCGTGAAAGGCATTATTTGATGCCTCTAGGCTCTGAAATCACAACAACCACCATTTCATGATTCAAATACATCAGGTGTCTCTGCGACACAGTCCGTAGCTTGGTACAAAGCTCCCAAGGGTTACACACACACGCGCGCGCGCAAAAGTGTGCTTGCGACTCCCGTTAGCATCGAGCATCTCAATTTCGTTTTCTTTCGATTTTCGCTTTCCTTACACACCTCTCGCTTCTGAATGTCGAATGGTATAATTTTTTTTCTACACGGAGCGAAACGTTCTCCGATCGGACGAGACGATCAATCCGGGCGTAGTAGTAGCGAGCAATTTTCACAAACACAAACTTGTTCTCGAACTTGTTGCAAGAGTCTGGTAATATATAATTGCAAGTATCTGGTAATTTCTTGGTCGAATTCTACCGATCGATCGGAGATACGAAGAAGTACAAAGAGCAATTTTCACGTGATCGGTCTTATCGCGCGGTATTAACGCGGATGGTATTCCATTGACGTTACTCCTGACAATTGTCTTGCTTCTTCGCACTCAACACAATTCACATAGTGCTAATTGTGCCACGCCTAAATGGTGTGTCCAGGCTTATGAGCGATGCATGAGTGATTGGTACCGAACCTACGGACTACTGTGTGAATAATGCTCTATATGTAAAATAATATATAAGCGTCTCGTATGCCGCGAGTCATAGGCACTATACGTGTAACCGCATGCATTCACACTTCCTTAGGTTGCTATTGTTATTTCGATTAACGAGGTACGTAACAACACACAGCTTGTTACATGTGCCTGAAACAGCCATGAAAAGTATTCGCATGAAAGATAGTACAGGACTTGTGTGTGCGATTTGACAGATTCGTGGGACGTTATCACGATCTCTTAAAGGGAAAAAAAAAAAAAGATCCCCGGTGAATTAAGCGGGCTCGATTTTCAATTTGCCGTTTTCTTTTTTTTTCCTTCTTTTCTTGCGCTCGTTCGCCTCCGTTTGTCCGTTTTCTCTCGGGCACGATTCCGTTCGATTCGAACGCAACGAAAGGTACAACAACGAGCTAGTGGCAGAGAAATTTCTCAGACCAGTCGCAGCTGCGAACAGGGATCCCAGCATACTTGGTATACAAATAGATAGCTGTTAACCAACGCCCATTCATCAAAGAGCGACATGTCAATTAATACCATGTGCCTAGTTATGTAATAACCACATGTGCTGGTCACAAGACTCAGAAGGGTTGGGCGAACAGGCGATGTACAAAAGAAACACAGGTGAGGACTTGATAAAGACTGACAGAGACGGCCATAGGTGGGGGCAAAGAGAGGGGAAAGAAAGAGAAAGATCGGAAGAGAGAAAGAGACAGATGAGACGAGTGAGTGAGAAAGTGAGTGAGAGAGAGAGAGAGAGAGAGAGAGAGAGAGAGAGAGTGAGTGAGTGAGTGAGAGAGAGAGTGAGTGAGTGAGAGGAGTGAGTGAGTGAGAAAGAGAGAGAAAAAGAAAGAGAGAGGAGAGACCAATGTAAATAAGAGGGACGAGAGGAGAAGACGCGAGCGAGCCGAGTCGTGATTTCTAGCTTCCCCAGGACGAGCCGCGCTCGACGTGCACGCGGACATCATCGCCGACGGGATCCCACGCGTTTTCGCTTCACCGTGCACAAACCGCTCTCGGCAGCTTCGTCGTGAGAACGGCGGCAAATACGACAGTCGTGGCACACGGCGGTTAGATTAGCGCGAACGTCGGCGGGAGCGCGCGCGACGGCCCGATTTTTCTCGGCGCGATCAAAGCACGGCGCGATTTACCTTCGTGTTGGAGGCCGGATCGGTGACCGGGCCATCGTGCAGCATATTTCTTGTCTCTTTCCCGGACGACGTATTGCTCACACCATCCCCGCTGTCGGCCATTTTTCGAATGCACGTCCGCGAGACTTGCCGACCGGCCGTCAGGATGCGCCGCGCGCGCGCGTATCAGGCCCGTAGCTACTCTTGCGCGGAGCCCGCGCGGGAAACGTCACAGCGGCACACGGTCGATATTGGATACTCGTTTATCCATCGGGTGTGGGAGAGATGGATAACAGGCGTAACAACGTGTGTGATAACCCCTCCTTCAAAGCTGTATCTTATCTCGTTAAAGATGAACGTGCTCGAATCGAATAATTTCAAGACGTCTACTCAGCGAAACACATCGCAGGTGGAAGAAGAAATTCCGATCGCGTCGACAGTGACGTCGAAAGGACGAAAAAGTAAGCGAAAAGTGAGTCGCTTATTAATTTTCTCGCTTATTAATTTTCTCGCCACTTGGACGACGTCGAGACTTTCTATTTTGCCCGGGACGAGATTACGTGAGCGGACGCGAGACACACTCATATGCAGAACGCAAAGGTTCGAAAGGTTCGGCTTCCTTCGATGAACTTCGAAGCGCAGCCGACGTATCCAGTATAGGAAGACTCCTTCGCGTAAAACTGGTTCAAATTGGAACGTCGGATGCGTTTTGAAATGTATCGAGTGAGAAGCGTGAAAAAAAGAGTTCTGCGCGCCGAATATATATCTCCTTACGTCGAGCCGCGACGTTCGACGTTTCATCCCCTGCGTGGCCGGGCCTGAGCGGCGATTACTACCCGGGCGGAAAACATCGGCGTACGCCGATGCGTGCCCACCCGCCCAGCAAGATGGCTCCTCTACGAGCCGACACTCGGTGTTTGACGTAAAGTTATTTACACACCTGGGACCCCGCGCTGCTCACGGGAGACGTGCGAGTCATCGCGTCGATGCGTCGCGGTGCCGCGTGAACGTAGGGAAAGCCGTCCGTCGCTTGACGGCCGCCGCGTCTTGTGTCAACGTCACGTCACGTCGCCGTCACCGTCGCGTCGCATCACGGCGTCAACGTCGCGCCGCGTCGAGCCGAGCCGACGAAGGAGCAACGGACGTACAAGGACGGCAAGGCTCGCCGAGGGGCGCGTCCGGATCCCGCGGTCCTTCGACACGGCCAGATCCCGGTGACGACGGACCGAGTGAGCGGCCCCTTGGACGAAGAAGCAGCCTGCAGCGTGCGCTTCCCTATTCAGGTAGACCCAGGTCGAGATCACCGTACTGTGCTCGTCCCCGGGGGTCTCGTATACCTCGCGGACGCAACGACGGCGAGCGTCGTCCGTCGACGAGGATGCGCTCCTCCCGTCTCCTTGGCGACTCGGACGGCGAGCAGCCGCTCGCTCGCCCGTTACCGTTGTCGCCGGGAACGAGCGCGGTTGTGCACAGTGCATATCGATCTACACCCGCGGCTGTCATTTCGATTGACGGATTCGACGACCGTCGCGTCGTCGGCGAGATCTCTCTCGCGTGCGGCTGTCTGCCCTTCTGTCTCGCTCGCGCTCCCTCCGCTTGTTTCTCCCCTTTGCGCCGCCGGAGCCGGGCCACGTATATACGCGCACTCCTATTTCGTGCGCGTTGCTGAAAAAGTGCGGCGCGAGTGAGACGGACAACGGACGCGGGACGTCGGTTCCCTCGAGCTGCGGTTTTCGTGCTTCCTTTCAATTTTCATCGTTCTCTTTTTTTCCCTCCAGTGTCCGGCTGCATGTCGCCTTCTCCCGAGTCGCGAGTGCACAAGGTGTAGCGTAGTGCAGGTATACGCAGGACGAGAGCGTACCTGTAGTCTCGTCAGCGAACGGCTATGTGGGTCTTTCGATACATATCTCCCCCTCGGTGTCACCGACAGACTCGTCGCACGTTCTCATCGTGTTACGTTCGTAAGCGATTTTCGATTGCCGTTACTCGTCACTCGCTATCTCTCTCTCTCCCTCTCTCTCTCTCTCTATCTCTTTCTCTCTCTCTCTCTCTCTCTCTCTCTCTCTCTCTCTCTCTCGCGCGCGCACCTCTCGCAGCCGGCCGGGAATACCTGTGTAATTGCCGTTTTTCTTTTTATTCAACGCAAAACTATGAGACAGTTGCATATACACACGCGGACGACCCTCTTCCGCCCCCGCGAGAAAGCCGTGACCGCGGCTGGAAATAAGCAAGGTCGCTATTATAAAAGAGCCGATAAACCGATAATCGCGCGCCTGATGTAATCTCGGGCGACTTGGAGAAAAAATCTCTCGAAAAAATCTGTCCTCTCTCTCTCTCTCTCTCTCTCTCTCCCTCCCTCCCTCCCTCTCCCCCTCCTCTCTCTCTCTCTCTCTCTCTCTCTCTCTCTCTCTCTCTCTCTCTCTCTCTCTCTCTCTCTCTCTCTCTGCTCGCCTGCCGCGGTCTCTCCCGCGGGAGCGGGGGGGTTATTGTCGAAATCGCTCCGGGCACATGTGGCTTTTCTACGATTCCGCCCTTTGTCGATGCCGATTGGCGCAATTAGCATGACACTGGACTATTGTGAATAACTCTTTCAAGCGTGATGCATGATTCATGGCTGTATTTTAAGAGACACACCGGCGAGATGCGGCGTGTCAATCTGGAGTAGAGGAGAGAGAGAGATGGCTATCCAGTCGAGCGATCTAGCCGCGATCGTATCGTTTCGCGATCGAACGAGATCCTGCGAGTGTTTTATCCTTTTCTTTTTTCTGCGTTCTCTGCCTCTCTGATCCCTTTTTTCTCTTTTCTTCCAGATACGCAGTGCCATTCCAAAGAACCATTGCTCACAGCTGTGCTAAACTATAAACGCTATGCTTTAATGATAGATAGTGTTTAAGAGGTTTTCACATACATATACACGCGCACTCGCGCGCACACGTATACACACACGATCGTTGTGTGTAATTTATATTTAATAACGTAACGTCGCATGCACAACAATAAGAACTACTGAACGTACGGTGGAGGTAGAAGAGGACATTGTGTGCGTTTGGATAATTTTATATAAATCGAAGAATCGTCGGAGAGGGAGCGAGCGAGCGAGCGGATTCAAATTCTCCGGAGAGATGTTGCCAAAGGGAAGCTGAGTCTCTTTCTTTTCTCACCAAGCCAAGCTCTCGACTTGAAGTAATGACCAAGACTGTAAAGACATATTTGCGCTAGAATTGATCGCGCACGAATCAATCGTTGGAACATTTCACTATGTCTTGAGCGAAACTGTCTTGCACCCCACGAGAGAGTGAGATAGAGCGAGAGAGAGAGAGAGAGAGAGAGAGAGAGAGAGAGAGAGAGAGAAAGCGAGCGAGAGAAAGAGAGAGAGAGAGAGGAAAAGAGAAAGGAGAAGATTAATCTTGACAGTTTGTCGACTCGACGATATCACAGCGCGGTAAAAATGGCGAGGAAGAGCGACAACGCGAAGAGCATCAACATCGCGGTGGTCGGACTGTCCGGCACGGAGAAAGACAAGGGGCAAGTCGGCGTTGGCAAGTCGTGCCTGTGCAACCGCTTCATGCGCTCCTTGAGCGACGACTACAACGTGGAACACATCTCGGTGTTGTCGCAGGTAAAACCTGTTCTTCTCCGCACGACTGGTCGTCCTCGTTGCTTTCATTAACGCGCGTTACTTTAATTATGTTTCTTAATCTCTTCGAGCGTTACTTTAACGATACCCTGAAGTTTATCGGTGTCACTTTAACCGCATCTTTCAAAGTGTCTCTTCTTCTTTCGCAGTCTGACTTCAGCGGACGCGTGGTAAATAACGATCACTTCCTGTACTGGGGCGAAGTGACGAAGGCGGCGGAGGACGGGACGGAGTTTCAGTTTCAGGTGATCGAGCACACGGAGTTCATTGACGACGCGTCGTTTCAGCCGTTCAAAGGCGGCAAGATGGAGCCGTACGCGAAGAGATGCGCCGCCACGAAGATCACGAGCGCGGAGAAGCTCATGTACATCTGCAAGAATCAGCTGGGCATAGAGAAGGAATACGAGCAGAAGGTCTTGCCAGACGGCAAACTGAACATCGACGGTTTCCTCTGCGTGTTCGACGTCAGCCTTGTGCCCAATAGGATGATCGAGAAGCAGGTTGAGATCGTGGCGAACATCCTGAACAATCTGATGAAAACCAAGAAGCCGATCGTGCTGGTGACGACGAAGAACGACGACGCGAACGAGCAGTTTGTGAAGGAGGCGGAGAAGCTGATAATGCGCAAAGAATATAAAGGATCGATACTGATCGTCGAGACTTCAGCACATGAGAACATTAACGTCGACCTGGCATTCATGATCGTTGCGCAGTTGATCGACAAGACCAAGATGCGCAGTAAGGTGATACCGTTCGCCGAGGCTGCCAGAGCCAGGAAGGAGCTGTTGGACGCCTCCACGGAGTCCCTGCAGAGACTAATCCGGGTGCACGTGACCGATTATCGCGCGCTGTGGTCGCAGGCTTCGAAGAAGCTCGCCCAACACAAGGAATTCTCCACGTTTGTCGAGCTCTTCGGCATCGAAGCGACGCAGCGGCTCTTCAGAAGACACATCAAGAAACTCAAGGACGAGCAAGTGGCGAAGAAGATACAGGGCTACCTGGACATGTTGCCGGATATTCTTCACGAAATCTGCCCTGACATAACTAATCTGATTAACGAGTAAGTGCCTCACGCGAATTCATATTTCATTTCTTCACGTCTTCACGTCTTACTTTGGATTGGAACTGAACGTTTCACGCGATACTTCGCAGAGAATGGTCAGCGGTGCAGCAATACATCAAAGAGCACCCCGACTTTCACCAGTACTTCTTCGAGTGTCCCGAGGACATACCGTGGATCGACTGTGATTTCGGTGAGAGCAATGGCACGAAGATCCCTTACGATGTGTTGGAGACGCCCGAGGCGGAGACTGTCTTCAAGAATCATATTAACGCCTTGCAACAAGAGCAACGGCGACTGGAGTAAGTACCGTATAGTGTCGACATGACCATCGTTTAACTGCTTCAGCAAGTATCATAGAAGTTCGTACATCTTCCTCTCATAAAGCTGATAGAACTGATCTAGCGATAAGTTTACACAGTTTCATTTGACATGTATCAGAAGATAATACTCTCTCATGAGCGATATACTAATGCTTTGCTTCGTTCTGGGTGGTGCTTCTTTGTGCAGACTTCCGAAAAGGTAATCACTTGTGCCCTTTTTTTTCTCTTATTCTTGCTTCGTTACCTCTGGTATTAAGTGAGACTATATTAAGTACGTCTCAATCGCAGTATTAACACACGACACTCGCGCAGCGATATTTGCTGTGCTAACATTTGTGTAACGATACATATACGGCTAACACGTCAAAATGTAAAAATAGCGGATTCGAAGTGTCTGCGACTGGTCAATATTTGCCAGCGGCTAATAAGAAGTCGATCCATGCGTGTCGCGTGAATTAACGAAGACGACTCGCGACGAGAAATTAATATCTGATTCGACACTTCTCAATACACTGCATCGAGATATCACGTTATCGTGAAATAAACGATATACAACTAACTTTTGCGACGATAAAACGTCGGATTTATTACAATGATAATCGGGTCGGATCGCGTACTTGTCTAAAATCGTGTCTTGAGTTTTCACACGCTACTTTCCAATAAAAATCACTCGAAAAGTCTCGTATCCCTTGCGCTCCAATCAGTGATAATCGGTTTCCGTCAGGTGGAAGAAGCAATTCAAGCAGTTGTTGGAGGAAACTGGCTATGTTACACCTGGGAAACATCTGTCCGAAGTTAGAGTTTTGTTTATGGGCAGAGAATGCTTCGAGGAGCTTTCTCATCACGATTGCCAAGAGATTTACGACCAGCACCAAAAGGAGATTATCGAGAAGGCGAAACATAATTTTCAGGTAAGTTCCACGTAACGGTCACTCCGCGCGTTGTTGTGGCGTCGCATATAAAAGACACACGCAGAGCGAAGTCATACATTTGCGTTCTCGTTCGCAGGAATTATTATTGGAGCACGCCGATTTATTTTATCACTTCAAAAGCATAGCCCCGTCCGGCACCATCACGCAAGACGATATCAAAGAAATCACAGACGCGTTATTGGACGATTTCAGGTACGTGAGACGTTTTTGTACTGTTTCCAAGATCAATTTGATCAAATATTTCAATCTGCATTCGAGAGCAACACTATCGATTCAATCGCTGTTTCCGCAGATACAAAGCGCTAGATAGATTAGATCAGGATAGAAAGCTAATGCTGTTTCAACATTTGGGATTTGTGCATTGTCCCATAAGAGAGCATTGCCCAGCTTATCCGAATTGCATGGACGCGCTGATAGAGAGGATACTCGGCACGAAGGCACACAGGTAAAAAGCACCGTCGCTGCGTCAGATAAAATTTAAAAAACGCTTCTTGAACTTACTCTATAACAACTGTCTGGAAACGTTCTAACAGACCTTCCTCATGGAATCACAGTAGTCAGTGGCAGTTAACGTCGGATAACAATCAGTTGAATTTAGTCATACTCGGGAGTAACAAACTGAGTGAGGAATTCGCCCGCGAGATAAGGGCGCAAACTGAGGATGACGAGGTCGAGATAGACTGCCAGTTGTACACCCTCGGATATCGCATCATAGACGGCGATGTCGGGCTGCCGCACAACTCCTTCACTACCTCCGATTTCATGCCGCACGGTAAATATTGTCATTATTTTACGCATTTCAAATAATTTCATCATCATTGAACAAATGGAGAACTTTGCAAGTCTCCGGGAAGATCCTCGCGTCTAAAGTCTCGTCTCGTTTCCTTTTTGTTTCCAGGGTCTTTTTGTATCTACGCGAACGAAGATTCCTTTGAATACATTCGATCCTCCTTGGAGAAAACCCTGCTGTCGAATTTAGAGCAGGAGGACAGACTACCTTTCCAAGGATTGCCCATTGTAATAATGTTTGTACCAGAGTCTAGTATCGACGAGATGGAAGCCATGAGGCTGAAGGAGGAGGGACAAAATCTCGCTGACAGGTAAACGATTGCAGTCGCATATATTCTACTATAAATTCGAAAATTCGCAAAGTGTACTAATCAGTTTGTAAATTCTGCGCACAGTTTGCAGTGTCCGTTCATCGATGTCTGCATAGACGATCTGGAACAGGACAAGAGGTTCCCAACTCCCTTGGTGAAGGACGCTCTGCAGCAACTCATACAATCCATAAATCATAGGGCTGGTTTTTTAAATATTTACCAGAGCGTCATCGAATGCTTGGAGCCTGATATTAGGTGGGTATCATTAGGACGAATCACTCACACTTAAATAATAAATTAAAAAAAATCGCTCGTATCTTCATCGCATGTGGTTTCAGGATAATAATGTGCATGTTCTGCGGCGATCCGTATTCGGTCGAGAACGTTCTCGGTCCGCTGCTCAGCCATCAGTGTTGCTTTCTCAGCGGAGATCGGTCTATAGTGTTAGAAACGTTCCTGGGGGAATCCAAACGTCGGGTCGAGGTGATTATCTCGAGTTTTCACGGAGCTAACGCGTTCAGAGACGAGCTGGTGCACGGCTTCATCCTCGTCTATTCCACGAAGCGGAAAGCGTCGCTCGCAACTTTAAAGTATGTAACCAATACTATCTCGCACCGTGGCCCTTGAATTTAAAACGAAACTATATCTCACTTGACCATCCACGCGTACGTTCCAGTGCCTTTTCCATGAACATACCAAATCTGCCGATACAAATAATGGCTGTGACCGACACCGGTGGTGCGAACGCGTTTTTCAGCAACGACTTGAGTCATTTACTCATCACAGAGGGGAATGCCACTGCGGACAGATTGCAGGCGCATTTCATGACGTCCGCTTCGAGCTGTCAGCAGAAAAGTAAGATATTGAGATCAGGTCGCCGCATTCAGCGGATCGTATTAATGGATCTGATTAATTTAGTGACTCGATTGCTCTTAACTATTCTCTTTGATCGTACCATTTAAATTGTCCTCTTCGCAGCCGCGTTTTATACGCCTTTCTTCAAAGAAGTATGGGAGAAGAAGCCGGAGATCGAACAGGCGTTCAATATGGAGGAGCCGGGCAATTTGAACGACAGCGGTGAGGGCACCCTGGAATACTCGGCTCTGCACCCAATGCCACCGCCGCGACATGAGAGTTATCACCTTCAGACGCCGGATGACGGGTAACTATTCTAGACATGGCTCCGTAGTAACTGAGCGAACGGACTTACCTAGGCTACGCGAATCCCTCCTTCTCTGTGACTCAAAAGTCTAACGTGAAGCAGTATGTCTGTAACTTTCAGAAGCGGCTCCGAGTCGTACGAGCAATTGACGCCGGACGGCGATCTCGGTGACACCGGTCTCACTGAACAATTCGCTGATCACCGAGCTACGCCGAGCGACGACAGCGACATTTATAGCCAAGTCGATTTCTATCGCGAGGAACGGGAGAGAGATCTGATGAAAAACGAGGACATCACGAACAAGCTGTCCGGTGAGTTGGCTCGATCGATAAGACCCGCGGCAAATAATTGCGATCGTATACGGTTTAAGACACATCGAGCTGTGAATCCTCCTTTTTTCTCTCTTCCCTACGTAACAGGTTGGGTAAAGGACACATTTATGCACCAAGATGGAGTCACTAACAGTTACTCACACAGAGCCTTTACGACAGGTCGACGACACATTTCCCAGGCTAAACCGCGACCGAAAGGGAACAGTCAGACCTTGAAACAGCCCGGGAAGATAAATCTGAAAGATTTTTCGAATGTGACAGACGCGATAGCCAGGATGTCGATAGGCGAGAAAGACGAGCACGGCCCGAAACTGACCACGATGGGCCATGCGCCCCTCGCCACGCCGGAATTAGTCGACCTTGGCTCTGAATATGCGCAAGTGAAGGACGTTGTCCCGAGCATGTATTCGGCATATGATGGCGACTACATGTACGCCTTAGTGCAAGATTCCATCGGCAATAACAAGTCCAAGCTGCGTCATCGGCGTGAAAAGGGGCAGCCATGTAAGACCATCTCTTTCTAGTTTATCAATATAAGAGTCTGCCAATGTGATTATTACCGTGTGATATGCAATTTAATTGCAGTATACAATTCTGTGTCTTGGAGGAAAAGGAAAGATCAAGATTTAGAGACTTTTTCATATTTATAAGAGGATCTTTTCTTTTCTAAGATACTAGATCGTTACAAATGTGTAAAAATTACCGATATATCTTTATTCAACGTGATTCTCCACGAGTAGCGTACAGCGATTCCGATTCAGAGTGGAGTTCCTTGGAGAGACAGAGGGTGACCGACGCTTTGGGCAAGGCGAACAAAAAGCCTTCGTCACACAAAAGAATACGTAAGAAACGCACCGCAATACCAGTCGCGACGCCCAAAGTGCCGTCGTTAGCCAGCATGGGGAGCGGAGACGGTATAGTTGGTTTAAACTACAACATGAAGGACGACAAGAACTGGCGCGTTGATCCAGCGGATAGAGGTACAATGTTTCTTATTTTTTTTTTTTTTTTTTTTTTTTTTTCATATCCGTTTATACTTCTGCGTTAATCTTAGCGATTCACCAATGATGTTATTGTTTTAGTATCTAGCGAAACGCCCGACACTTCCGAATCAAGTGACCCGGAGCATACTTCGAGGTCCAGATCGAAACAGTACAAGTATGCGGCGGTTAGTCTGCGGAAAAGATTCTCCGGGAATTCTCTGCAGCAGCAGCACCTGCAACATCCGTTTAATGTGAAACATATGACGCAGGAGATGTTCAGCGCCTCTTGTAAGTAACGCGTGATACTTGTAGATCTTGATTTGATAGAAATATTTATATTATATATATAATTCTGTGATTGGTATATAATTAATATAGGATGTGTACAAATGAAAATTCTGATACCATGCATGCATATGCAGTTAATTAACGAAGTATGTTATTTACGTCTAGCTGAATTCATAGCTTCTTAAAATCGCTCTTTTATTTCCGTAAAACGCGATACTTCAATCAATTTCCCCATTGAGTTGCTGTCCACGCTTGCGCTAACTTGCATGAAACTTGTGGTTCTTTCTAGCCAAGCAGAGAGGTGAAAATACATTTGGTATTCCAGATGATGAATCAAGTCTGGACGTTTCCTCACCGCGAGAGATCAATTCGCCCAGCGTAAGTTTCCGAGTTTGTGCATGATAATAAAACTTGAAGAAATCACATAATGCGCGTGTAACGACTTCTTATCGCTGATTCTTCCAGTTTGGTATATTGAACAAATCAAAGGACGGAGACAAGTTGACCAGGAAGAAGGACAAGCAGAAGGCGAAGGAGGACGAGAAATTGGAGAAGAGAAGGCAGAAGGAGGAGAAGCTCAAGAAGCATGCGGAAAAGGAAAAAGAGAGGGAGAAAAAGAAGCAAGAGAAAATCAAGCAGACCAAAGGCCCGGGTGGCACACCGATCTCGAGTCAGTCGCAGCAACCCTTGATTGAGGATTTCGCGCAGAGCGAAACGAATCGGATACCCCTGTTCCTCGAGAAGTGCGTGCGATTCATCGAGGACGAAGGACTGGATTCGGAAGGAATATACAGGGTGCCGGGTAATCGGGCGCATGTGGAGTTGCTTTTTCAAAAGTTCGAAGAAGGTATACTACCCGTTAAAATCTGTCCTCCGATACCGATCTCGGTTTGTCGCGCTTCTCTCTCGAGACAATTATTCTCTCGTAAATTCGACCACAATGGATAATGTGGATTTGTTCTCTTTCTCTTTTGTAACATATAGATGGTAATGTCGATATACATTCTTTGGATATTCCTGTAAATGCTGTCGCTACAGCATTAAAAGATTTCTTTTCCAAGAGGCTACCCCCGTTGATCGATAAAGAACGCATGACTGAGCTGGAAGATATATCAGGTAAGTCGATACTTCTTGTCAGATTTTGGTATCTCGTATTAGAGACTCGAAGTCTTTATAGAACTTTTGTTCTGATCTTTCATTTTAAGTTTATAGATGTTTATATATGTGTCTTGAAATTTTAACTAGAATTGCATTAAGGAGCAAAATATTTTTAAGAACATGTTATGCCTATATCAGGTGCACGGGGCAAACCTATGTCAGCTACTTGTATGAACATGGAAGGTTAGTGCCGTTATCTCATAGATCACTTATCGACTTCATCCCAGAAACTCTCTAAATTGACATAAACTTGACGATTTCCTGCGGTTACAGACCGAAGTTGCAGATTGTTGGCTTTACGTTTGATGCTCAACAAGTTGAATCCTGTAAACTTTGATGTTCTCAAGTTTATCTTCCAGCATTTCGTGAAGTGAGTACTTTCGGAGATTAAGTGCCTACAGACACTCTGACACACGTCGATCGTGCAATATATCGTGCATTATATGTGTTAGATTTGATATATTATGTATAATCTTATATATATATATATATATTTTTTTTTTTTTTTTTTTTAATTTCGTATCTGCGATGCCCCAGGGTCGCTGAGAACTGCAAGCTTAACAGTATGGACAGCAAAAATCTGGCGATCTGCTGGTGGCCTACGTTACTACCCATCGAGTTCAACGACCTCGGTAGATTCGAAGCTATGAGGCCGTACCTGGAAGACGTGGTCCAGACGATGATCGATCAATATCCCTTCCTGTTCTGCGGCGAGGAGGCCATTGTGATGGTGTAGTGACGAATGCGCTGCCAAGTGCATAGTGCATAGTTGCTGTGCGAGCACAAGTGAACAAGTTTCGATGGATGCATGGATGATAGGTGGGTGGATGTGAATGGACGAACGAACGAACGAACGAGTGGATGAGAATGGATGGATAGTAGCGGAGCGTCGCGAGCATCATCCCCGCTCGCGGAATAATCCGATACAATTTTGTACGCGGTCGGCGTGATTACGCGATCGGGCATAAACGATTGGTCTCAATATAGTTTGTATCGATATTAACTTCGCTTTAGCGCATTCGTAACCGCGATTAATAACGTGCAGGTCCCACGGCGCGACGTGGACGATCGAGCTCGGAGAAGAGTCTATTTCGGTTTTCTCAGTCGCAGCGTTTCGTTCGTTTCCTTCGGAATGCGACGAGTCGTGAGATCCTCTTCTCCCCCTTACGACGAACGGAATGATCGGTCGGTCGATGGTCCTAAAGAGAAACGGCTGTTCGCGCGCAGATCAGAGATAATAACGCGAGTAATATGAGTCAATCCATGTGTCATAATAGTATGCATGTACCATGTTGAATGTATCCAGAGCGATGTATTTATTGATATTATATTAGGAATAAGGTTCGGTATTTGATAATAGCGATTAGCTTATAGCTGAGAAGATAAGATCGATGTTGCTTTTTCTGTTTTCTTTTTCTTCTTAGTTCGCTTCCCGGTTGTAACTTGTTTTCATGCCGTTTCTTCGCGTTCCACATGTCCGTATCGCGAGGAACGAAAATGCTGAACCGTGAAACGAAGTGACACACTGACGCAGCCTCGTTGAAGAGGTTGTAGTTAGAATCTAAAAAAAGATGACCACGCATCCAGCCCGTATCCAGCCGAAAGAATGTGAAACTTAACGATTCATCGTCAAATAATATATATATACATATATATATATTTGAGTGTGTGTATACACACACACACGCGCGCGCGCGCACGCACGCACGCACGCACGCACGCACGCACGCACGCACGCACGCACGCACACACGTATACATACATACATACATATATATAAAACACATACAGCAACGATATCAAAAACCCACAAAGTTATATATTTTCTGTATTTATTGTTTTCTTTTTTTTTTTTATTTTCATCACAGCACAAATCGAGTCTCGAGCGTGTTTTACTTCTCAATGTAGATTATCGTACAAGAATTTTTAAAATAGTGTTTATCGTGTGACAGGACCTCGAGGCAGGCCGGAACGATGATACAAACCGTATATTCTCATTCCGTCTAAAGAGATAAAGTGAAAACGTAAAAAAAGCAAAATACGTGAAAAGCATCACAGATAATTGCACAAATCTCGGTAAACAGCGATGGCAAGCGTGTGCGAAAAAAGAAAAGAATGGAGATAGTTATATAAAAAAAAAAAAGAAGAAAAGAGAAAAACATTTTGGGAAAATCTCACTTTGCGCACAGCACACACACACACACACAGACACACACATACACGCATCGAATCGAATCGAAACTACTGTATTAAGAAGTATTTACAGCTACGAACAATACTAAAATTTCTTAAAACGAATATGTACATAGAAATTTAACGATTTAAGGTACGAGATCCATTAACGAGAAATCGCTAAATTTACGCGGACTTTTCCGACGACGAAGAATTTAGCCCCGTTTTAACGCAGCCAGCTGATGTCTCGTCGTTTGTATTTTCGCAAAAAAGAACGAAAAAAAAGAAAAACGCAGAAAGTATTTATTAACGCAGTATTATTGCGCGCGGTGTATTCGATCGCGAGGATCATGATTCGCTTGGATTGTCGAGAGGAGGAAGGAAAATAAGCGTCGTCTGATTAGCTCATTCGCATATTCGAGACTCTTTAGAAATGTAACCGCCGCGAATTCAGTTTCTCCGTTCTCCGTGCTCGCTTTGAGTTCGCACCCGAGATCCGAATCCGCGACGTGAATTGACAAATTTTCCGACTCCGGATAACTCTTTTGTTTTCGTAGGTGTGCCATAACTTAAGTCGATGTTAACGAGATCGTAAATGATAGGTATACATCATGCCTTTTGGCGGCTCAACATTCGAAAGTAAGCTTGCGCGCGCGTCCACGCTGTTCGAGCGAATTGACAGCGAATGTTCGCGAGAGACACTCAATCGCCCGTGAATGTTGAAGCCACTATACGAACTAGAGAGAGGAAGAGCGAGAGAGAGAGAAAGAGAGAGAGAGAGAGAGAGAGAGAGAGAGAGAGAGAGAGAGAGAGAGAGAGAGAGAGAAAACGCAACAACACACTTTTGTAATTCGAAGATTAACCGCAAACATTCCCGTAAGGAACGTCGATGTTACTTCGCCGTCTCGAGAGGAGCGCGTTTCAACTGGATCGGAAATCCGTGATATCGTGAGAAAAAGAAAGAGAGAGAAAAAGAAAAGAAAATCTCATCCGCGATAAACGAGAGCGACTTCCTCTCGAGGAACCAGGCCGTCAGCGAAACGCGCGTCTCGCGAAACACGCTATACGCTCCGTATTTGTAAGGATAAAACGTTGTAACGATATTTCTACGATCGAAAACGCGTTGCAAGCAGCGCATCGTGGCGAAAGACAGATAGAGAGAGAGAGAGAGAGAGAGAGAGAGAGAGAGAGAGAGAGAGAGAGAGAGAGAGAGAGAGAGAGAGAGAGAGAGAGAGAGAGAGAACGGATCGTGCACATTCCCATTTAGTCGTAAAGGAAAAAAAGATTTTATACATTCGTACGTACGTAATTGTATAATGTTCTTAATAGGAAGGAAAAGACGTCGATGTTTTTACGTGTGGGAGCGCGAAACGGTCGAGAAAGACGTCGTGAATAATGACGACGCGACCGGCGCTTTCGCGTCGACGATGTTAAAGCGGCTAATTTGTGTCGAAAGACTTGGGAGATGTTTCCTCTTCTTGTTCTTCTCCGTCTTTTTATCTTCGTCTGTTTAACGTGTACATCGAGAGTCGACCGTTCAGTTAGAGCACTTGCGAAATTTTTCCCACGATTTAGATCACACGCGTGTGTTCACCGAGAGTCGCTTGCACCGTTTCATTGATCTCATTTCTCTTGCAAAAGAGTCGCACGTTTTGTCGCACATTGATGGTTAACTTAGATATAATGTATTACGGTATTTTCCCGTCTGTGCGATATCATTAGAATCGTTTGTGCAGAGATAATCCGGAATTAGCAATGATGCAATCGCCACCGCTGAGCTTCTTCGTTAGCGAATCTGTCGTGTGTATTTCGTATAATAACTCGAGCGACTTTCTATCATTTTCCAAGCGACTATCGTTTGAGAACCTTGCGCAAGCTGTATTCCTTCAAATGCAATCGAATGAAGCAGTTCGCTGCGACGGCGATCTAACTAGTTTTTCTCGAAAAACTTTGAGAGTTTTTCGCTAAATTATTATCTGACAAATCGTTATAGCTTTATTATTTTGACAAATAGTCGTAGCTTTTATGAATTTCTGATTATTAGTCGAAAATGTACTTATTTTATATAAGAAGTATTTATTTAAACAGTTGTAATTAATTTGCATAATAGTAATTTGCAATTATGGATATCGGTCTGAGAAATTTTCAGAATCCGAGAATAAATCAATCGAGACGCTTGTGTATCTTCGTTAATCCGTATTTCTTTTTTATCCTTAAGAATAAAATTCTTATCAGATCATTATAGTCCTAATTATCTGCGTATCAGTTGTGTTCTGTTCTTGAAAACTCAGAGCGACCGCCGCAGCGACGCAGAACCGCAATCGTAGCCTCGCCTTTCGTCGCACTCTCTCGTGTCCACCACGATGTTAACAGTTAAGCAATAGCACAAGAAACGAATCTGCCGAGTAACAAAGAGGTATTCGCCGACGCCGACGACGACGAACGACGACGTAGTAATAATGATAATAATATTAATTAGCGAGCACGAAGTAACGATCACCAGGCTTCGCAACGACTCGTCCTAGGCTCCTCATCGTCACCGTCACCGTCACCGTCATCGTCACCATCGGCTGTATCATCATCGTCGTAGTTGTCCCTCGACACGTATCCATCGAGCGTCTTCTCCCTCGCAAAGCCTAAAGGGAGAAAAACCACTTTTTCTACGATACGTCCGTTAAGATTTCCGCTTGTCTCTTCTCGCTGTACGAGGACGGGCCGAGGACGGGCCCTCTCCTCTTCCCTGCGTATCCACCAAACCACCTCTCACACCTCCCGATTACGAATACGAATATATCCTTGCGTTGTCTAACGTAGCCTGTGATAAGAACGTAGGCGTACGGACCTTGTTTCCCTTATTTATAACATCGGCTGATGTACGGATGTATTATAGTTGTACAGTTGCATCTCGGATGATGTGTATTATAAAGCCCGGTTTACTTTTGCGTTCTCTCACGCGTTCGTCTCTTTGTACTTGCGTATTATTATTACTATTATTATTATCTTCATCATCATTATCATCATAATCATCATTATACATACTTTATCGAATGGTCCGCGTACATCGTCTCGTGTTGTTTTTCGCATTGCGCTTCACGTCCCTGTTCACCCCCGAGAACTTTGATTATTTCTTCTCTTTTTCTGTCACTTACAATCCTCTTTGCACACTTTGCGAGCATCTCTGAGGTAACGATGGAACATCGCGAAGAGAGATCACGGGAGACCATGTGCCGCGCGAAACGCATCTCGTCAATTGCTCGTATCGAAACGTATTATATTCGTTGATTCACCGATCTCGCCCTTTCACGGAGTGTCACGGCGAGACTTTCAGTCTTTTTCGCGATCGACGACGACAACGATGAGACGCGAAGTGAGATCTCAGTCTCAGCACGTTCGCAGCAAATCGAAAGAGCTCAGCATTTGTTGCTGGCGCGTCCTCTCAGCGAGTCTCCAAACTGGATTTAGCCGCGTTTTGCATTATTTTATACCTTGACGTTCTTTATAACGAAATAAAATAAAAAGAAACGTATTTGTAGTGTTACATTTATATATTTATTTTGTAGCGTTGTGTATACTTGAGTGTCGCCGCGCGCGACTTTTACCGCGGAAGGATCTTCCTCGGCCTTGTCTCTCTCTCTTTCTCTCTCTCTCTCTCTCTCTCTCTCTCTCTCTCTTTTACCGAAATTACGTCTCTTTGTGAGAAGTGACGCTCCAAATGCAAGATACGAGCAATAATACATCGAGAAATTTTGCTAGCGGTAATGGCACTCGAAATAAGTAAAATCGTGTTCCGCCCTCCGAGTGGCTGTTCTTGCAATCAGCAGAAAATTCGCGATTCGGACTCGGACAATAATCTCAGAAGAACCCCTGACGCGAGAGATATAAATTGTAATATTTAGTATAATTGAGTATAGGTATTGTTTAGTAGAAATATCGAGATATTTTAGTGCAACTAAAAAGACTGATATTTATAATTTAACTTTCTCGCGCGAAAGTAACGGAGACACGAGTGAGCTTTCGTTTGTCGGTCAAATCCGTCTGAGGTACTTCGCGCGCTTTAAGTTTGTGTGTGAAACATATCTTTCTGTCTAACCTTTTTCTTCATTTTTCATATATTTATTATCTTATACTTTCGTTTTAAGTGTAGTACACGTGATGTTATATATGATTCGAGGAACGAAACTGGAGATAAACACTTGTACCTTGTCGTTTCAATTCAGACAATCGAAGAAGGAACGTCAGCGTTGCTCGCAAAGTATCAGCAAGTAAAGCTCATCCAAACGTATCCAAATGTCACCAACCCGTTGAGAAATTCGCCGCGACCCTCTGAATTTTGTAAAATTTATTGCGAACGTGACCCGCTCTTTCCTTCACGAATGCGTTTCCATCTTCTCTCCTGAATTACGCGTTTATAAATGTCGTCATTTATATACATGTAAACGATTTTTGTAAATAATCAGTATACATATATAAATATATAATTATATATATACATAAAGATATATATATAAATTATATATATATAAGGAACACAACGTGTAAATGGACGGAACCTGTCTTCGTTGTATCGATTATAGTCTTATATCAGACTTGTATATGGACGGAGGGACTTTTGATTATTAAAAGTTTCCTAGAGTAAAAAAAATGACACACGATATTTTCTCCATCGGCACCAAGACTTGTCCTTTATCTTAATGTAATTAGAATATAGAAATCGAGTGGCGTGTCGAGAGTTTAATCGCGACCAGCATTATTTTTTATTTATATCGTCCTTTTTTATTTATATCGTTTTTATTTGTATCTAATTACTTTAACAAGCAGGAAGGTATTTGACATTTAGATATCTATTTTCCAAAATATAGATATAAGAATACAGATACAGATAAGAAAATACTTCACTCGGAGTCAGCATTTCATCTGCACCTCAAACTAACGGGTTTAAAGAATGATCAATTATAATCACCGACCAGATACTATAATAAGACTGTTGGTCATACAGGATTTAGCATACCGGAGAAATTCCGCCGTGCACTAGCGCCCTCTTAGGAATATCGTGGCTGGAATATGAAACATTGCTCGAAATAAGCATGGATGGTAACAAATATGGGACAATGAGAAAAAGGTATCGGAAGATATCGAAAACTATTAATACAGAAAACAGGCCGAATGTGTTGTGTGTATGTCTCTTAGGATTGCGAGACGTGAGAAAATTTAGAATCATTTTTATTTTAAATATATACACACGTTGGCATTCCTTAAGTTAATAATTCGAGAAGTTGAAAAATACTAAAATTGCGATCGGAAACACAGAGTGGCTTCACAAATTCTTCGCTCCGAGGAATTCATGAAGACTACATGGAACGGATTAAGATAAATATAAGAATCCCATATCATTTTGCGATGTTCATAATAACCGAGCTATTAAAACATAATATAAAATAAAAATAAGATAATAACATAATATAAACATAATATTATGTTAATATATTAAAATATTTTATTGGGTGGTGCGTATTTTGTCATAACGTTTTTTATAACTATGTAATACTAGTGTATGCGTATGTTCATTAAAATATAAATAATATTTAATTTTATAATGATTATTAGTATCGCACGATGTTTAGTTTGAACTTAATATGTAATGTACTCCAAGATTTCATATTTAATACGTACTTTTATTTTTCCTGCTCCCCTCCCGTGCTCTTTTTAGACCTTTGGGCAAAGTCTGTCATAGAGGTGGCAACTGTGGTTGTAGCATGTACGGTCGCGGACATAAAGGTTGTCATGTTTTTTTTAATGACTTTCGGGACGCATCCCGACTCGAGAAAGATGAGAGCTGCTGCTCCGCCTGCGGAGCACGCCTGCGCAGTAACTCACAACGAAAGGCGAGAAATGAAGGCTGCGTTCCGATATTCACTACCAGCACTAAAAATCTATAATATACGTGACAGAAACTATGTATTTTCAGTACTGGCAGTGAATATCGGAACGCAGCCGAAATATACGTGGTATGACATAAGTATGTCAACAATGGGTGCATTCAGTACTACAACCGCTCACTGAGCGCTCAATGAGCTTTTACATTTGATTGGTATATTCTTTTAGATTTAAAAATATACACCAATCAGATGCAAGAGCTCACTTAGCGCTTAGTGAGCGGTTGTAGTACTGAATGCACCCAATCATTGCGTTTAGCGGAGAAAACCGCTCAATGAGCGATTAGTGACTATTGGTCCTTACTGTTAGATCCTTACATTCAAACCAATAACGTTGACAAATTATTCATCAGTTGCTCAACCGTTGAGTGTCGTGATGCACTCAATTCTTCCATTTTGAAAAATCAGTAGCGGAGGGATAGATACATAGTGCAAGTCACTCAAATGGGAATGCGTCTTTTACAAGGTCTTAAACAGGTATGTATATTAAATTTCAAGTGAAATCGTATTTTTTTAGTCACTAATCGCTCACCGAGCTGTTTTCTCCGCTGAACGCGATAATTGTTGACATACTTATGTTATACCACATATATTTCATTTCTCGCATTTCGTTGTGAGTTACTGCGCAGGCGTGCTCCGCAGGCGGAGCAGCAGCTCTCATCTTTCTCGAGTCGGGATGCGTCCCGAAAGTCATTAAAAAAAAGTGACAACCTTTATGTCCGCGACCGTACATAAACCGCTTGAAAGAAGATGTAGCATGGACTTCCACCACATGCAGATTTTACCACCGAAACCTGAAAGTGGATATAGCATCGTAGTTCCCCTCTCAAAATGGATGCAAATGGCGTCCCTTCCCAGTGGGGAAAGTTGGTGTCGCCGAAAACGGCGTGTTGGACTGTTGGCCGCTTTCAGGTTTTTCTCTGGTCAAATCGATATTGTTATTTGATAATTGGTACTTTAATTGGCATTTTGTAGAAAAATTGTATCGATCAATTGTGTAGTTTTTGTTTAGCGTCGGTTGAAAAATGGAAAAGCAAAACGAGCATTTTCGTCATCTTTTGCTTTTTTATTTCCACAAAGGAAAAAATGCATCGCAAGCTCACAAAAAGTTATGTGCTATTTATGGTGACGGAGCCTTAAAAGAACAGCAGTGTCAAAATTGGTTTGCTAAATTTCGTTCTGGTGATTTTTCACTCAAAAATGAACAACGCTCTGGTCGTCCAGGTGAAGTTGATGACGACCAAATCAAAGCAATAATCGATACGGATCGTCATAGCACAACACGTGAGATTGCAGAGAAGCTCGATGTATCATTGAAAATACATGAAAAGCGTTGAAAATATTTAAAATAACTTGGCTACTTAAAGTTACTCGATTTATGGGTACCTCATGAACTTAAAGAAATTCACTTAACACAATTGCCATCTGCGATTTGCTTATGAAACGTAACGAAAATGATCCATTTTTGAAACGATTAATAACTGGCGATAAAAAATGAATTGTTTACAACAAGGTCAATCGAAAAAGATCGTGAAGCAAGCAAAATAAACCAGCGCAAACAATATCCAAAGCTGATATTCATCAAAAGAAAGTTATGCTATCAGTTTGGTGGGATTACAAAGGAATTGTCTACTTTGAAATTTTACCACGTAACCAGATGTATACAATTCAGATGTATACATTCAACAACTAACCAAACTGAACAATGCACTTTGCGAAAAGTGACCAGAATTGGCAAATCGAAAAGGTATTGTGTTCATGACGATGCAAAGCCATACAAATCTTTGGTCACTCGGCAAAAATTATTGGAACTTGGTTGGTATATGTTGCCACATAGTCCTGACCTTGCACTGTCAGATTATTATTTATTTTGTTCTTTGCAAAACTTCTTAAATGGTAAAAATTTCAATAATGATGTCAAATTGCATTTGGTTCAGTTTTAATATAAACCACAAGTTTTATGAATGTAGAATTATGACGCTGCCTGAAAGATGGCAAAAGGTTATTGATAAAAATGGACAATATATTACTGCATAAAGTTATTTCATTCCATGAAAAAATTATCTTTTATTTTCTTAAAAAAATCAGCAATTAGTTGCCAAACCAATAGACATGCTTATTCTCTCATATGTATATTTCTTAAATATACCATTATTATATATATGTATTCACATTGAATTATTATGTTAATTATGTTAATTTCTTTATCTGTTAACAATTATTTTGCATGAAAAACGAGAATATATGTAATGTAACATTCTTGAAAATCTACCTGTACACTTATGTTAAAATAAAATAATGTATATTAAATTAAATTAATATGTTAAGCTAAAAATATATATAAAAATTTAAGAAACCTTGAATAAAAAAGATCTCCCTTTTTCTCTTTTGCTAAGATTGAACACATCTTTCTTCCAAGATCTGCAATTTAAGGAGCCTCTGGAATTACAGGAGCCAAGAGTAAACCTTGCTAGTTCAGAGCGGAATAATAAATAACGCGTTGATTGTTCACGTGGAAAATTTGTGGATGTAAAAAACGAAGAATATCGACTATCACATTATTCGACGAATACTCTGAATTCATGCCTTACGATAAAGCCAGAGGACGTCTAGCTCACTCTAGAGAGCCTCTAACTCACGTTAGTTCGAAAAAAAGAGGAAGTTTTTTGGGTGCGTTCGGTGAGTGAGCGCGCTATCAGCGCTAACACATCATCTGACTAGCGCACTGATAATAGCGTGCTCTCGGAGCACCAGCTTGATTTATTTGTGCACAAAAGAGCGGCACACCGATGATGACGGGCTACGTGCAGCCTGGTGCAGCCACTTGGTGCACCCTCGCGACTAGGTGGGGAAAGAGACCGTCCAATCGGCGTGCGACAACACTTCGTAGGCCGCGCCGTGTACACGGCTGACCGCCGCATACGGTGGAACGGAACGGCCACGTATGCGACGACGGTCGGCAGTCAGTGCCAGATAGTTGTTCGACCTGTAAGTGATTGGACGTGTGATGATGCTGCGAAAGTGTCTGACGATCTTGCCGCTTCTCCTCCTCGGCGTGCTCGCTGATGACAAGTTCGTCCTGGAACTCAGCGATGAGACGTTCGAGAGCGAGCTCGCGCGTCACGAGAATACGCTCGTCATGTTCTACGCACCATGGTGAGAGACGAACAGGGAAAACAGATTAGCGAGCAGAGAGAAAGAGAGAGAGAGAGACCCGACCCGACTCGACTCGAAGTCGTCCGGTTTTCATCTGAGATACGTTATCTGCGTTACGTTAGCTTACTCGCACCTTTGAACAGTGCAAAAAAAGCGTTTGCATATGCGAGAGAAAACGAGTTGAAATAGTTATGATAGAAGACAGGGAACGAGCAAATAGAGTTAGTCACCAGGGTGTGCAGAAGGTACAAGTGATAGGAACGGAATCTCCCGGTTGTTGATTCCTCAAGGTTTCCTCATAATTATTACGAAGGAATCTAATTGTATCGCACTGTTGCCGGTCGTTTAAAGTATTTTCCGCATGTATTTTTTATCCGGTAGGGTGAGAATGTTTTTCTAAGCGCATATGCGGTGAAACCCGCTAATGTCGTCGAATGCCGGCATGGAGCTTTCTTCCGTCCGATCTGATGACGTATTCAAAATTCTGATGTCTCCTTGGACAAATTGCAGCTCGCCGAACGCCGCCGATACTTTATCATCTTGCGAAATACCTGATTTGATAAGAGGATTTACGAAATTCGCTCTTTTTTTACCTACTTGTGTTGTATTTCTTTTCTGCTTTCCTTCTTGTATTTCTTTTCTTTTTTTATTAAACTACACTTTGCTTAAATTTTCCTTTCTTTCTCTTATCTTATGATTAGCTTATTTCAATCACGATAAAAAAAATATAATAATATGCAGCTAATGATCTTCAAGATAAGAATCTCTTTTATCATGAAGTAGAAAGCTAAAAAGAGTATACTTAATTTATGTAATTTCAATGTATTTAAGAGAGAAACTCTTGATATTAAAAATTTAGATTATTTGTAGTTACCATCTGGATGCTCTTGAGATAAGAACTCATAAATAAATTCATTACAAGTTCGTGTCTAAGTATGCTTAGCATGCGTGTCTAAGTATGTTCGTGTTTGTGGAATTATCATTGTTCAAACATTTGTAGAATTTAAATATGCGACTATCATTATTCAGCTTATTAATACAACTTTAATTTTGTTACCAGGTGTGGACATTGCAAGCGCTTAAAACCGGAATACGTTAAGGCAGCTGAATTGCTCTTAGGCAGCGAACCACCAATCACACTGGCTAATATAGACTGTACAGGAGCTGGAAAGGAGACCTGCAACAAATACAGTGTTAGTGGCTACCCGACACTTAAGATCTTTGAAGGTGTTGAAATGAGATCTGACTACAATGGACCCAGAGAAGCACCTGGCATCGCCAAGTACATGAAGGTAAAGTCTATCTTTCTTTTTATCACAATCATCTTAGCAATAATGTTGTCAAAAAGACTGCTATCACTTTTACCTGATTTATTTAATTTTCAGTCTCAAGTAGGACCCGCGTCCCAGGAATTGACTAATGAAAAGTCCTATAAGACCTTCTTAGAGGGCGACGATGTTGCTGTGGTGGGCTATTTCGAGAAGGACGATTCTCCGCTGGCTGCAGCATACCTCACGGTCACTAAAAAGCTCCGAGGAAAGGCCAAATTTGCGCACACCACGACGGAGCAGCTGTTAGAGTCGGCAGGACACAAGTATGTTCAGTCGTGGCTCGTAAAGAGAAACGCAGATTATTGAGAAAGCGCTTGAATTAATACACCTCTTTCTTCAGGAACACTATTGTGCTCTACCGGCCAAAACACTTGGACAACAAGTTCGAATCTAATAACGTGGTATACGACGGCGGTGACTCCATCAGCGACATCAATGAATTCATCAGCAAGAACTAGTGAGTATCGTTTAACTGTTGGAGAAATCTGACACATTTAGAATCGCCAACTTCCTCCAACTGTTCTATGTAATTTCGTTTTACAGTTTCGGTTTAGTCGGTGTTCGCACGCGCGACAACAAGGAAGAGTTCAAGAATCCCCTGGTGATTGCCTACTACAACGTGGACTACGCGAAGAACGCCAAGAGCACCAACTACTGGCGCAACAGGATTATGAAGGTCGCCAAGGGCTTCCCCGAGTACAACTTCGCCATATCTTCCAAGGACGACTTCCAGCACGAACTTAATGAGTACGGCATCGAGTTCGTGAAGAACGACAAACCAGTGGTCCTGGCGCGAAACGCCAAGAACCAGAAGTTCCTGCTCAAAGAGGAGTTTTCTGTCGACTCATTCGACTCGTTCCTGAAGGACATGCAAAGCGGCACGTTGGAGCCGTACCTCAAGTCCGAGCCGATTCCAGATAGCAACACTGGTAACGTGAAGATCGCGGTGGCCAAGAACTTCGACGAGGTGGTCAACAACAACGATAAGGACACACTGATCGAGTTCTACGCGCCGTGGTGTGCTCACTGCAAGAAGCTCGCGCCGATATACGATCAGCTAGGCGAGAAGATGGCGGATGAGGACGTAGAGATTGTAAAGTTCGACGCCACGATGAATGACGTGCCGGCGCTTTACAACGTGCGCGGCTTCCCGACCCTCTATTGGGCGCCCAAGGACTCCAAGGACAGCCCGATGGAGTACGACGGCAAACGCGGCCTTGAAGATTTCATCGAGTACATCGCTAAGCACGCCACCGATCAGCTCAAAGGCTACGATCGCAAGGGCAAGCCGATTAAGCCCAAGAGCGATGAGTTGTAAGTGACGTTATCCACAAGAGAGAGAGAGAGAGAGAGAAAGAGAGAGAGAGAGAGAGAGAGAGAGAGAGATCGCGAAGTTCGTTCCCGTTACATTTCAAGACCGTAACATGTCTCAATGGAACAATCCGTTAGAAGACGTTTACCTTACGTAACACGCGCAAGCACAGCGAAGAACGAGGCGTTTAGAAATGAGCATAAGTCGATAATTCGTGAAGACTCTCCTTTAAATGCAACGTCGTGTTTTAACACGGACTTTGAACAGCCTATTTTCAACAATCTTAAATCCACATACTCGAGGAAATTTGGAGGAATGACTCGACGTTACGGAGCTGTAGAAGGTTCATTGTATTTCATAAGCCCCAATTTTCAGTCGTTTGAAACTCCGACTTGAAACAATTTAGAAGCATAGTCGTCTCGGTTGATCGCGGACTTTGCTCTGCCTCTGAACAAATCAAACGTCGCCGGCGGGAATCGCGTATAAATCGGGAACAAACCAAGTCTGCAAACCAAGAGTGCAAATAACGTAACGTTGTCGCGCGAGACGTTTGCAATAAGTGCGAAAAGAGAGTGGAGAACTTTGAACTTTCGGGAGTGTGTCCTCTAATAGGATTCTGTCTACATGTATTATTGTACACTTTGTAACAATTGCATAAGAACGCGAGAGACGCGCTCGCGCGAGCGTAACAGAACTGATTTCAGATTTCGCCCGCGACATGCTTTCCAGTGTTTTGAGAAATTGCAGGTCTACTATTTTGCGAGGAGGCGCTGTACGGTGGCTTCCTGTGTCCTCCGATAAGTAAGCTCCATTCCAATCTTGCGTGTTTTGATTATATCACAGAACTAATATAAGTTAGGGAGACTCAATTTTTGTTTATACACGGAAGAATCGAAATAAATTGTTTTATACAAAACACATCAAATGGCCTCTGACTCTGATCCCTTTTTTAAACAATACAAATAAAAGTGACAAGTAGAATATATAATCATGTGACTTAAGTTTTTTTTAGGACTAACAATTGAAGTACCGCACATCGGAAGTCACAGCTCGCTCAAGAAACATGAGTGCTACTTTGCATAGGAGTCTGAAGATCATTTATATACTTTTAGCTTCTAATCTACATAGAGTATTCTCTTTTCTACTCCTACGTTCATATTGTATACGGACCGGCATAATAGCTTCAACATTTTGTGCGATTAGGCTCTTAGAATTTCTTAATTCTATACGCAATATTGATTTATTATTTATTGTTTATTCAAAGTAGAAGGAACGATTCTGTCAAAACGGTACATTTGTCACAATGGTAGCTTTATGTCAATGTCTGGAAAAAAATTCGTATTATTAAAAATCTCAATAATCTTGTGCTGTATGTTATGGCTATTGTATGCCAATCTGTATACAATAGATATCATTTAGCAGCAGCATTCAGCTTCATCGATTTACATCGTCATAAGAAATGTTTATTATTAATTACAATCTGTTATACGTAGCGTTTGTAGGTTAATCATACAGTCTTACATACAAAAGCTAAGTAGTAGTGTAATAGTAGTAGTGGTAGCAATAGTAGTAATAGTAGTGGTAGTGGTGATAGTGGTGGTGGTAATAGTAGTAGCAGTGGTGGTGGTGATGGTGGTGGTAATAGTAATAGTAGTGACGATAATAGCAATAGTAGTAATAATAGTAATAGTGGTAGTAGTAGTAGTAATAGTAGTAGTAGTAAAGACAAGGATGTGAAGTGGTATAGAGAGAGAGAGAGATTTCGGAGGTCACAGGACTGACGATCTCCTTTTTCTGATCATACAAAACTGGTTTATTCATCGCGGAATCTCGCCGGTTACTATACTTGTGGTACAAACCGTTATTCAGTTACGTTCGAGTCTGAAAAAATATCTCGTCTACTTACGGAGTGAATGATTAGCTTACGACGATTAGAAACGCGTTATCAGTAAACTTGGAACTTCGCGCGCGGGGCCCTTTAAGGAAATTCACGTGTCCGTGTGTGTGTGTGTGTGTATGTGTGTATTCGTGTATACATACGCATAGGATATATACGCGTATTATCCTCGGTACTCAGTTCGGAAAAGTGAAAACTCCCCTCTTTTTCATACGTACCGATGATATTAAATACATGTTTATCGTGATCTGTGACTCGTGATAATATCGGACCGAGAGCTCGTGGAACTATCAATCAGGCCCGCACTCGTTACTCTTAATTATTGCTCTCTGTTTACGCCATGGAAGAGAAAAACCAGCGTATTACGAAAGTAAAAAAGAAAAAAGAGAAAATCCGGCACACACATGAGAAAGACGCGTGTCTTTTATATTACGTACGAAAGAGAACACGCGATAAAGAGAGATAGAGTTTAGAATATGTGTGAATATGAGAGAGATATATATATATATATACATATATACATGTATATATGTATATATATAAAGTTTATAGTATATACGTATATACAACAGTTTCGGGTGCGTGATTGATACAATTATGTATATATAAGTATGTATATATATATTTTTATATATATATAACGATATATCCACGAAACTCATATTATATAAAAAGAACACTTTCGAGCTTCGCAGCAGACGCGCGTGAACTTGCACGGAGAAGCGGAGGCGTGGATCCGAAAGCGCGTATTTCCCAAAAGAAGCGCTCATTACACAAGGCTCGTTCGGTCGCTTTTAATGTACATTTTTTCTCTCTGTTCTTCTCTCCTTTGCGCTTCTTTACAGATCCCATCATCGTGCGTGCGTTCGCTCGTGGCAGAAATATCTTAAGTCGTCGCGTAAACTCTCCCTTTTTCTGTTTTGCACATTCTCACACGGCTTCGAAAAGTTCTGTAAAAGCGCACTGCGCGTCGCAGGATGTCGTACTATCTTCACTCTAACACGTTCGAGAGAAACAAGTTGGGACAAACGACGCGAATAAATTGGATCGGTGCACATCGCAATGTACTGACCGTTGACGCGAGGACTTGTCATCGGTTATTCGATTTATTCGCGTCTCTCTATTGAGAAAAGGGAAAAATTATTCGACGCTAAATTAGGGGGAAAACTCTGTGTGTGTGTGTGTGTGTGTGTGTGTGTGTGTGTGTGTGTGTGTGTGTGTGTGTGCGCGCGTGTGTATACACATATATATATATACACACAATTCCGCGATAGCTAAATTGACGATCGAAAGAAACGACTCGCGATTGTTGATTCAACGACATCGTTTTCATTCGTGGATTGTACGAATTAGACACTATACACGAAGGACGAGTAACATATTATCTTTTTTCTTTTTTTCTCTTTTCGTTTTTGCTTCATTTCGGCATGAAGAGCAACACAAGCGAGGCGGAGAAGAATGGCGAAACAAAACGATACGATTGCTAAAATTGGTATGCAAATTCAGTTTCTTTCTCCTTTTCTCGAAGCAACTTTTCTCCAAGTGCTGGACAATTGTGGCACACATTTAAAACTTGTCGACTCGACGTAGTCGCGACGATATATCGCGTCACACGAATGATAATCTGCGACTTTCCTCAGCAGAGTATTACACATGCTCTGAAGATATCGATGACGTATGTGTGTATAAAAAAGCGCAAACCGCACGTCGGCTCGGTTAGACACGTGAAACGCGTTCCGCGAAATACACGAATATGATGCAGCCGCTGTTACAATCCATTGTGTTAGTGTCATCGCAATACACAATATAACTATAAGATATAATAATAATAATAATAATAAAATATAATAATACATTTAGTCTCTAGTTGTGGTATCTTAAACATCAGGGCGGTCTCTCTTGGTTTAATCTATGCACGTTTATGATGTAACGAATGGTGTCTGTCATTCTTTCTTATTCAAGAGGCAAAAACAGTGATGATTCTGTGAGTGAAATTAGCGATGGACTTAGAATACTTTCGAAGCGTCCCTTTTTCCTTTGCAACCTCTCATATTGCTCACTCTGACCACACATCGCTCTTACACCCTGCGCTTTCTTGCATTCACTGTTTTCTTTCTCTATATATTCCCTCTCTCAACTTGCTCGGGGTTTTTCTTTTTTTGTTTTAATTTGTTTATTACCAAAATAAAGTGCTACTACGGTAAAAAGAAAAGAAAACAAAGAGACGTAGAATGCATATATAATAATTATAATAATATTAATAATATTAATAAAAAATAATAATAGATATGCTAATAATAATAATAATAATAGTAATAATCACTACCACGATAAAGATAATTGTGTACCGTAGATGTAGATAATTGTTATAACAATCATATTTGTTTTTGTTTGAATCGAGCGACGCTATGGCGTCGCGACGCAAAGTACATAAAATAAAATGACAGGTTCTTGACAGTCGTTTAAACTCGAAGCACAATTCATTACTGTTAAAAAATACACGATCAAGATGGTCATTACAATATACATTACAGGCTTTCGTATATAATAAGGTATACTTGTATTGAATTTACTTTAGCGCTTCTCAAAGTCCCTTCTTTATCGTCGACGACTGCTTACATTTGTGTGTTGTGTATGTGCGTATGTATGTATAATGTGTGTTGTGTGTGTGTTGTGTGTAACACGGTTGCACCTTCTCTTTTTTTTCCTTTTTGTTGTTGCAAACTTGTTTTATTATGTAAAATAATGAAAGATAAGATGTATGTTTGTATATATGTTTGTTGTGTACGTGTTGTTATCATGGTTTCCACAAGGGGTCTCCGGCATTACGACTAGCTTCGCTGCAGCTAGTTCCGCAATTCCATAAATTTTGCCCGTGTTATCGGGCTCACTTGGCATTACATCTTAAAGAAGCCTACATCTGCCCTTCTTCTTCTTCTTTACCTAGGATTTCACGATACACACACGTTAGTACAAGTGATCAATGTATCTAATTCATTTGAAGAATCGTTGAATTGTTAATCATACTGAATGCATCGAAACATAATCCGTTTCCCTTCGTATTGCTAGTAAATTACTTCAACGCGATCGTCGAAAAATAAAGAAATAAATAAAAATTACTATCTTTGGAATGTCTCAAAGTGAGTTAATATGGAAAAACAAGATGCAAATATATATCCAAAGTTGTGAAAGAATTCTCTTTTAAATTCTAAATTACTTTTGAGCTTTGCAATTAACGAGACGTTTATCCTTTTGACACCTGAACATCCCGTAACTTAGTGGAACCACCGTTACGATTAATTACTTGGAAATAACGTACTTGTAATGCAGCCCGGGTTGCCGTTTCGAAAACTTCCCTCACACCTTCCTTGCTCTTGGCAGAACACTCAAGGTAGGCAAAAGCGTTGATTTTTTCGGCCATGGCCCTACCCTCCTCGGGCTTGACCGGCTCCTGCTTCATCTTGCTGAGTTCCTTAATGGTATTGGGATCATTGCGCAAGTCCTTTTTGTTTCCCACAAGGATAATGGGCACGTTCGGGCAGAAGTGCTTCACCTCTGGTGTCCACTTCTCGGGAATGTTCTCCAAGGAATCGGGACTATCGATGGAGAAGCACATTAGGATGACGTCCGTGTCCGGATACGACAACGGACGCAGCCTGTCGTAGTCTTCTTGTCCAGCTGTGTCCCAAAGAGCCAGTTCCACCTGTTTCGAGATAGACGACGAATCCGCCGTTCGTTAATGCGATCGAGCGAAATGAAGAAGATCAAATGAGACTCGAACGAGAACACGTACTTGTTTGCCGTCCACCTCGATGTCCGCGACATAATTCTCGAATACTGTCGGTACGTATACTTCAGGGAACTGGTCTTTGCTGAACACTATGAGTAGACATGTTTTACCGCAAGCACCGTCACCCACAATAACCAACTTCTTCCTAATGGCTGCCATGAATCCTAGAATTCAAAGGAACTCACGTTAATGACAATCAGGATCGGACACCTTCGACGAGGTGATTGCATAGACCGGCCACTGTCTGCTCGCTTGAAACAATTATTCGCTCTCGAGATGTACGGCTGAATACGGAAATTATTATTAGACACGCAAAGCGGCACGTGTATATTTGTTACAAGCTAACGACAAACTTCAACAACCGCAAAGTCGAAAAATGAAAACACATCCGTGCTGAAAAAATCGTCGATCTCACACACAGAATAATACATATTTACAAATTTTCTCTCGTGCGTGCGGAGGATTTTTCACGGAAGTAGACACACACGTTTTAGACAGACGAAACACACTCGGTGTCCTCGACTTATGAACGTGATAGGTGTTTCATTTGCGCGAGGTAGAAAGATAACGCCGGCACAAAGTGAGATCTCAGCCGGCACTTTATGTCGTCACGGATACCGTGTCTCAGCAAAGGAAAACAAGTCAGAAATAAGAAGGGAGAAAAATAGACACTCTCTTTTCATCGGGGGGAGGGGGGGGAGTAACTTACCTATTATACGACACACACAGATCTCGATGTATTCTCTCTTTCCATCCTTTTTTTTTTTTCTTTAAATAATTTCGCAATATCGCGTCGCGCCGCACCGCGGCATTTGATGCGATAACGTCCGATAATAACCGGGCTTTTATCGCGCGTTTCTCACTAATCATGACTCACTTGCACAAAGTACACCATACTATATATGCCGTATGTATACGACTTCTCAAACGGCTTTTCTGTTTTTTTCTATTCTATATAAATAATGCATATATCTGATTTCGCTAACGTTATCTACAACGAGGCCTAGAGATACCACACAAGTGGAGCGAAAGAAAAAAACAAAAGACAAAAAGGAGAGCAATTTCTACTCTGCAAATTCGACTAGCTCGCTGCGAGACGTGAGACTCTGAGTGTCCAGTGATTATTATTACCCTACGACTTAAGGAGGAAGTGACGCCAATTGCGGTAACGACCAGGAATTCTCGGTCGGCTAACAATCACAACATCGCACGGGAGAATGCACCACGAAAATAAGGGGGGGAGAGAGAGAGAGAGAGAGAGAAAGAGAGAGAGAGAGAGAGAGAGAAAGAGAGAGAAAAATACAAAAAGAAACAGAATTACTTCGAACTAAAGGCATGCGGTGTGATGAGACCGATGCGACGTTTATATGGGTCGTGATATGTGGAACGTAACGAGTAACACATCGGGGAAGGTAAAGGTGATGGTGCCTGAAAAGAAGTGGCGTTAACATGTAACGACTTAAGTAGTAAAAAAACCTGCTTCCCTTGGCGGCGTCGTTAGTGAATCGTAATAATCGAGTGAGTAGAGCGGCCGAGCGAGTGTATATAAATACGGTGAGAGATACGGAAAGCGTGTGATGAGAGTGAGTATTGAGTGTAATGAGACAGAGAGATGTGTGGCACTTAGAGAAGCGTTCTTCAGGATAGAGTTAGGAAGAAGTAGCCAGGGTAAATCTTCCTTATCACCTTTCCCGGTTTTCCCTTTCGCTTTTCAAGAGACCGTGCGTGTGGCAATTCGCGTTATATACATGTACATCTGTACTCCCTCTCGGAGCGCAATAGACAGTGTCTCGTGTTCAAACCTCGTAGGGTACACTTCTTTTCTTTTTCTTCTTCTTCTTCTTCTCCTTCTCGTCTCATTCTCCCGGGAGAAAATGAAAGAAAAAAAAAAAAAAAAGAAGAAAAAAAGGAAATCCTACTATCTCTGGTCGCAGTCCGCTTTTCCGTTTAGTTTAAATTCTACAAGCCAATCTCTCAGCGTCCCCTCCAAGGTGAAGCGGCGCAACTTCACGGCTAACTCGTGTAACCTCGATTTTTCTCTACCTCATCTACGACACGACGACCAAATGTTACTTGAACAAAAATACGTACTCGTGAAAAGTGTCAACTCGCGTTACGCATCGCCACGACAGTGGTACAAGAGACAAGATTCGTTAAGATTTCTTAAATCCCGATGAGCTACGTATTCATACAGTATCGTTATGAGTAAGCGGGACCTACGAGGGCTGAAGTCTTAAAGGATTATTTGACTGGGTCGTACCTGATCCAGGGTACCCCGTATCGTCTGGACCGAGGCATCGGCCCGCATTGCATCCCATGTTTTTAGTCTTTCTTTCAGCGTCTCTGTTTTAAGTGGACATTTTATATGTTAGAACGGGTAGAGGAAGCTGCGAGATGAATGCATATACCACACAAAAAATGTATATATATATATATCAGTAAATACGTATATAAACATGGTAAATATGTATATGTATAAATATATATATATAAAAAGGCATCCTACACACATGGTTCGACAAAAAAAAAAAGAAAAAGGTTACAGAATTACAATTGATCGATCAATTTTCACGTAATCCGCGTGACTCTCTCATCGTGGATACTCGATTTTCTTAACTCTTTCCTTCCGATATGTCCGAGAGAAGTTATATATATATATCAGATCCAGCAGGATCGTCAATGACCAAATAGATGACCTTATGTACACAATTAAATCAAATCAAATGTACCGGAGTTGTGGCTACGTAAGGCAGAGTTTTCAGTGCTTTGTCATTCGCATGCTTGCGGGAACAATTATTTGAGACTGCACTCGCATATCGATCGACTTCCACGTCTAGTGTGCGAGTTTGTTAACGTAAAGTACTCCCAAACTTTACCTTACGTGTTAAGGATCAAATAAATAACCTGTCGAGATTACATGCAAAGAAAACGAAATAAATTAAAAACAAAAAGATAGATAGAGAGAGAGAGAGAGAGAGAGAGAGAAATAGATCGGCATATTATTTGATATTAGGCATGCAATATTAAACATAGTATGTACCCATCAGAGAAACTATCCGTTAAAAGCAAAAATCAAATGTAGCACGTAGTACATTCACACTGTGTCTAGACGTAACAATTTACTGTACAGAGTCGCAAAATTCTGAACGATCGTCCTTATTTCCTTCTTAACGATACCTCCTCACGTGCCTTGATATATCAATAATCGTGGGGGTGAAGAAGATTGCGAAGCACAAGAGCGAGAAAAGCTTCTACGATGCGAATGCTAATTTGTGCGAAGGAACCTCGAGAAGTTGATTCGGACGTGTCCGATCCTCAATTGTAACGCAGTTACAACGCTCACATCGCAATTACGCAGAGAAACTCTCAAGCGATCATGTCCAAGGTCCGTAAATAGAAGAACGGGACAAGGTAAGGTCCTCTCATCCACTTCACACGGTTTGGCTTGGAAATGGCGGCGACCGTGGCTCAGCTGATTAACCACATACCGTCCTGTTAAAAATTATTTTCGTTTTTTGCAACTTTTTATACTACAGCCGGTATTGTAATTGTTTTTCTTCTGAAAATTCTCACTGGTATTTTCGAATGTGTTAAACTATGTTTCGATTACTTCTGATTTCATCTTAAACTATGTTTTGATTACTTCTGATTACATCTTAAACTATGTTTTGATTACTATGTTTTGCCACTCAGGCAGCTAAACTATAATATTACATGTACGTGATACCACGTACACCAACACAGATTCTCTGGCTCGAAAATGGCGGCCGTGAGAGGACCTTACCTTGTCCCGTTCCTCTATTTACGGACCTTGGTCATGTCGCTCGACATCGAATGTGTGGCTGCGCGCGAGAATACTCTACAATCGCTTTCTCTCTTTCTTTCTTTCTTTCTTTCTTCATCGGCGAACACCGCCACTGCTGCTTGCATCATCCCCCTCGAAACGTGCTCCATCCTGATATAACCGGGCGAACGCGACCGGCGAAATATTCGCGCGACAGACGACCGCGTCCACACGTCGATATCGCGAACCCGCGACTCGCAGGAACGAGTCCTTTGTTCGATCTCGACACGACGTCGTCGTCCACGACCGACCTAGCAGGGAAGAAAAAAGCGAGCGGCTATCGAGATCGCTAACGTTGCACTTCGAACTGGACTAATGCAACCGTGTATTCCTGCTCGAAGAGAAGAATCCCTGAGGACAATTATGTGAATTTCAAAGCACGACGTTAGTATTCCTAGGATATTAACGATCACATCTCGGGTGATCCTCCGACACTGGCTTCTCGTGGACGCTGTCACGAGATTTGTTTCCCTTCAGCCGCACTTCACCATGCTTTCCGTACTTCTTTCTCCTTCCTCTCGTTTTTTGTAATTTCCTATTTTATCCGCATAGACTGTTCCTCCTCTCCCTCTCTCTCTCTCTCTTTCAGAAATTGCCGCAACCACTTCGCATCGTCATGTCTTAAATCGTCGTGATTCTCCTGATGTCTGATTATCTTCTTGTAGAATAACTTCCGTGCGTAACTACCTCCTTCTGCATTTAAAACAAAGCTCAGTTTTGACAGAAGAGAGAGAGAGAGAGAGAGAGAGAGAGAGAGAGAGAAAGAGAGAGGGAGGGGAGAGAATATTACGAAAGCATAGAGTAGTATAGTTAGGAAGAATCGACAGACAGAATTTTGATGGGTCTATCCGTCTCTTTTTGACACTCACCGCATTAAAATTATACGTTTCGCAGCACATGGAAGCGCGCGAGATGCAAAGAAGTGCAGCTGAAGCGGAGACACTTAATAAATCCGTCTCTCGTCTAAACTAACCTATACTCTCCTCTGCGACGAAGATAGTGCGCGCACCGGCCAAGGTCGAAGAGCACAGAGAGGAGAGACAGAGAGAAGGAGAAAGTGAGAGAGTGCGTGGCGGATGTTCAGGACGCCATCGATGACGCGTTCTTAGGACACGCTGTCGATGACGCGATTCTGTCGGGAGACGCAATCGACGCTGCGAGTGCGTTTCGCCTGCACTTTCTCGCGCTTTTCGCGTTGAAATTAAGACACACGCATCCTCGACGCCTCGAAACGAAGAAGCGATGAACAAAGTGCAGAAAGTGCGTTCAGTGCGAAGCAGACGGACCTCGAGACACCATCGTCGAGGGGACTGTCTTCACTTTCTGCTGCACTTTCTGCACCTTCTCATGATGTCTTTCCTCTTCCGCCCTCCACCAACCGATCACGACGATCTATTTCAACGAATTTCGTCGAACTGACTGCGATCCCGAGCTCTTCCGCAGGATCTCGAACGCACTCACCTGGCGGAAAAATACGACGCGATGCGAAGCCGAGCGACTCTTGAAGTGGCCGATGCTCCCGGCATTGACGACTACGCGTTGTTACGCGACCGCGTCACGTCAAAAACGTACACGTATTCGCGAGAATCTACGCCGATTGCCGGAGCAATAAAGTCCAATCGTCCCGGTCGAGCGAGCGATCATTCGGCATCGTTCGCTCGCGATATGACAGTTGGCTGGCGAGGGGACAGGGCGGATTTTCTCCAAAATGTCACGCACACGCCCGAAATGCAGAGACGAAAGAAGACGAAGGGAAACGACTCGCTCGCTTCGGCTGCGTTTCCCTTCTGACTGTCTTCCGACTCGCTCAGTTTCCCACCAACACCCGGTTGTGTCGTTAACGTCTGTCATTTCGAGTGCAGAAGGTGTAACGCGCAGCCGAGAAAGAAACAGAGCCCTCGGGAGATCGGGGGAGAGGTTGAATGGAGAGGCAGAACGAACGAAAGAATACGAGATGCCAGGACAGGAGCACGAGAATGTCGAGGACGCGCGGAGACGTGATCTCGAGGAACAGTGCGACGAGAGAGGCGGCCCGGATGAGAGATGTCGGTTTACTTACTGGACTAAACGGCCACGTAGTGTCAGGTAGAGCCCGAGAGCATTCCAAGAAATCCGTCGTGCGGATCGTTCAGCTTCGCGACAGTGACCGTGACGACGACGACGACGGCGGTGACGACGACAGTGAGGAGGTCGAAGACGAGGACGAAGTCGATGACTGCGGCGACGGCGACGGCGGCGGCGACGACGACGACGACGACGACGACGACGACGTGGACGTGGACGTAAACGTAGACACGAAACGTATTCGTGCGAATCGCGCGCACGAGCGACACGACGAGCGCGACGAGACAACCGAGCTTACAGCACACCTCAGCGCGCGGTGATGCCGAGCTCTCGACGAGATTCGCGACGCATGGCACTCCCTCGGGGTCTCCTCGCGCGACCCTTTCTCTCTCTCTCTTTCTCTCTCCCTCTCTCTCTCTCTCTCTTTTTCTCTCGCCGTCTATCTCTCCTCCTCAATCTACCTATCTGCCTCGTTTCTCTCTCTCTCTCTCTCTCTCTCTCTCTCTCTCTTCCTCACTCTCACTCGGCTGACGGAGAGGAGGAGGCTCCTTTTTCCCTCTTTTAGCACCAGACACCCGGCCCGACGTCCCGACAGGATCTCTAACGCGCCCGATCACGCTCGCGACGCCTGCACGCACGGCGCACCACGCACCCTCGTACCACTCCAACCGGCGGTAACTTAAAAAATAATTGCGTATTTACCTGAAATCTTAAGCGACAGAAAGTCAAGAAAATGGCTGCCCTCAATGGCCACACCTCGATCTGTTGAGTGTGCGGCGATCGGCTGGGGTGGTGGGGCGGCCGGCGCGGCGGCAGCTCGGCTGTCTCAGGGACGTGTCGAGCGCGCACGAGCACCCCCGAGCATCGTCGAGTGCACCCGAGCGCGGTCACTCGCGCGCGCCTGCTCTATGTCAGGATGCCCCCTCCGCAAAGGTCGAGACTCCGCCAGCTGGTCGCGCGAGAATCGACCTTACGCCGGCCGTCGGAGGAACTGCGAAGTTCGTTTCGTCGACGTCAACAAAAAGATTGATGTCTAATCGATGTTTGGATCCTCTCGCAGTTGCTCACCAAAGAAGCTCAAACACACGAGAGCGTTCTCGCATGTGTGTGTCCGTGTTCGCCGACCCGACGAAGATTCATTTTCACACCGGGCGGCTGCAGCGATGACAATCTGCGAGCTTTGTGGGGTCGCGATCTCGTCATCAGCCGGCTTGCGAAACGGCGCTCATAAATTTATCAGTTCGATAAACATCAGATGTTGACTTGACGATATATATCATTGTCGATACGCTGATACAACAACACGGAATCGTCTCAACGTAGCGATAGTTCACAATTAATCAAGCGGTCGTCCAATTACTATCTTCCGCGCTTGACCGATCCAACGTCTCCTCGCGAATACGATCAACAGGATCAACCGCGTTCAACTAGCTGAATGGCTCCAGAATGGCTCCGTACGGATATATTGCATTCGTTTTTGCGTAACTTGTACCAACGTCACACTCTCCGCACTCAAGACAGAGCGAGCGAGCGCTCCGACGTCGGAGTGAACGGGAGAAAAGTCGCGGGAGAGTACAGAAAGTGCAGCCGCTCAGACAGTCACGGCCAATATCATGTCCGCGGAAAAAAAGGAAAAAAACGACATGGTTCCGCGGGAGCGTGTTAATCGTACGGCTGCGGGAATGATCTCGTAAATGTCTGTCGGGCGAGGCGGCAAAGCCGTGACCGCAGCATCGATCGCGAGAGGCGCGGCTGCACGAGTCCGCGAATCCGGCCGTAATCGGATCGATCGGAAATTCGTCGCGGAGCGCGAGGCGCCCGCGCCCGCGCTCGCGGCCCTGCGATATGTTCCGAAAGCGACGAATCACGCGCCGGCGACGCGCACGTCACCGGATGGACCTGTGGAAGAGAGCTCTTTGCGCACGCATCGGCCGGGCAGCTGCCGCCGTCAGCGTCGCCCGTTGCCGTTATCGCCGCTGTTGCTCGTGGGTGGATGACGAAAAGGGTTGGAAAATATGTAAATAACGCAGCGGCGTTGATCTCGAGGTACATTGCGACCGTCTGTCCGCCGCGTCGTGCCGATGAAATCTTCCCGTAATTTCAGCAGGTTCGACTGCGCGTTACTCGGAAATATTATGCCCGAGCCTGTATTCTCGCATATGATATTTCGTGAGAATTCGTCAAATATCGCGATTCTCAGTCAATTAAACTGTCCCATTGATGAGATATCGTGCACGATATTTTTCACAAATTTTTCAGAATACGGGCCCTGTGTGGTGCGATTCTTTAATTCGTTATTGCAGCTGACGACAGGTTTCGTTATCGTTGCGCAGTTTTTCTACGGTATACAAAAGCCGCGCGTCGATAACGAAAGTGTCGTTAACTCCTGCAATAACGAGTTACAAAATCGCACCACTGAGCCCGTATTCTCGAAAATTGTCGCATACGATATTTCATGAGTGCGTCACTAAATATCACGATTCTCACGGTCAATTAAACTGTCCCATTGATGGGATATCGTATACGATATTTTTTACGAATTTTTGAGAATACGAGCCCTGGTCGTTCGGAAATAGAGATTCTTTGCAATACCGTCTCTCAGATACGGTAAACGTTGATCGTGACTTCGTTACTTGCTTCGAAATAACGTTGAAATGTACGCGACCAATAGCATGCACGATTAACGCTTACCGTATCCTGAGAGACGGTATTGCAAAAGCTCCCTGATACCTGTTATATCCCGCTTCTTCGCTCGTCGTTCGCTCGAGTTAACGTTAGCTTGAAAATATTCAGCTGGGAATAGCGAGCTAACGTTAATTTCAGCTTAGATTATTAGGGGGGCGTATTAATAGTCCTTGGGACTCGGAACTTGCCTCGCACCCAGGCAGGACGGAGGATCAAACTGACCGTAAAGAAGCCCCTTGTTCTCATCGTATTCGATCGTCTTCCCGTTATCTCGATACATCGTATCGACGTAATCGTGATTTTCTGATTTTATCTGAGCGTCAGGCGCTCAGACTTGAACTTGAAGTTAAAATCTGATTTCTCCAGTTGATTCCAGCGATTATACAAGTCACGACGGCACGTGTACTGTGTACGCGATGCGATGGAAAAACTCGAATCTAACTGTAAATTCGGATCCACGTGTTTCACGTGAGACAAGTTTCGAGTCAACGATCGACGATACGACGAATATAGATGCATCAGATGGAAACCTGAATGCGCAAAGGGCTCCGATCACGAAGAATCCCCAGTCAGAACCATAATGTCGATTCGACGTCGATGAGAATTGAATTAACGTTGATGCACAACGTTAATAGAGAGCTTTTGGCAATACCGTGTCTCTCAGACACGGTGAATGTTGATCGCGAACGTTATTCGCTCAGAGATAATGCACGCGACCAATTGCATTCACGATCAACGTTTACCGTATCTAAGAGACGGCATTGCAAAAACTCCCTAATCCATCGACCGTTTCAACGTCAAATCAACCATCGAATCGACCATTATGCTTCTGATCGGAATGATATCGTTCGACATCTCGGTGCGTCTCGATACGATCGGAATTATGTAACGGCCACGCGACGATCGCGCGCGCGCGCGCGAGAGAGAGAGAGAGAGAGAGAGAGAGAGAAAGAGAAAGAGAGAGAGAGTTGTTACAATGTAAACGGCGCTCCAAACGTCCTATTTATATTTGCGCATGCAACGCACGCAGGCTATCTTTCTCCTGCCATCTCTCTCTCGGGCCAATTTCACACCTTGCTGCGAGGCATGCACGCGTGGCCGCGTGTGCGCACGCGGAATGTCATTAACCGGCTTATCGGCCGGATAAAATAAGCATCGACGTCAGAAATCTCTCCGATTGCGCGCGAAATAGCGCGGGGCTGGAGTTACACGCGCTTCTTCTTTGCTTTTTTTTTTACGACATACAGGGGAGTTCAAGGCCGCGAGACGTCCCGATGACGACATCCCGCCCGCATTCTCCCGTTGCACTCACTCGTCGGCGCTAAACGTGGCACACCGCCGCCGCCGTCGTCGCTGCTCCCTTCGGGAGCATATCGAATACATAGACAGCCCGCTTTATCGGAAAAAGCGGAGTAAGACGCGGTGGCCGCGTGCACTCGGGCTAAGTCGACGGTAAGAATAGAAACCGTACTGTAACGGCTCGGGATAACGTCGAGCGGCGCGTGTGCGCGACTTGCGAGTCACGCGATTAGCAAAAAATGTCCAGAGCGTCAAGTTTGACAGATTGACGAGACTCAATAGATCGGACCTCGTGAAGCGATGAATTTTCCCATTTGTCCCGTACAGCGCAAAAGTTGCAGCAATATTGCAGCAACGTTGCGCCACAATGTTTCTACAATGTTGCTGCAACATTGCAGCAATGTTTTCTACAGTGTTGCCGCAGCATTGCAGCAACGTTGCGGCAATGTTTCTGCAACTTTTATGCTGTATGGGCTTCGATCCTCGCGAGTACATATTTTTTCTTTCCTTTTATTTCCCGCTGATTGCATCGCGCTCTCTTCAGCGGACCCCGGAGACAAGCTGATCCGACCCGATGAAACGGACGATCGGCTTTCAATAGCAGATAACACGTTCGAGTGGACACAATCTCGCGGATACAATCGGCGGTATGTTGTCCACATTGCGACGCGGCGCGAGGTCAACCTTACGCGCTTGTGCGAGTGCGAGTGCGTGTGTCGAGCGTGACACGTAAGAGCTCCGTGTCTATGAATGCGTGTCTGTGTGTGTGTGTATGTGTGTGTATGCGGCATGTAGGTACGTGCCAAATAAGAATGATGTCACTGTATGACGCACGTGGAATTGGCTGAGTCTCTGCTCGGCGGATGGCCGGACGATCCCGAGGAGAGAATACGGGGAATGCGGCCGCTAATGGAATTCACGTAGAGCCGCATCCTGTTCGCGGAGAGAAACTGTATCCGTTGATTATCAACGCGTAGCGAACGCGTTCGTTCAACGCGTTACGCGGCTGACGCCGATGATAAGACGTGCGCGCGCGATGAATTAAGATTGTGGGGACTTTCTAGCGTAGTAGTAGGTAGAAAGTGTACCGGCGCCTCGCTGCTGCGGGTTTGCGCAGTTTTATCCTGAACACCCGCCTTCAAAATGACCAGCGAAGAAGGAGCTCGACGTCACATCAGTCGTTGCGAGAAATATTTCGACGGGAGACTTCCCCGCCTCGCCCGGGGTTTGTCCATCAGAGATCTCCCGCCCGTTTTTTCCCTTCTTATCTGCCCATACAGCACAGGACTTGCGGCATTGTTGCTGCAACACTGCTATATTGTTGCAACATTGCAGCAATGTTGCTGCTGTACGGGTGTCAATCTTTCAAAGTGGGTGTTTCTTCAATTTTCTTCTCTCTCTCTCTCTCTCTCTCTCTTTCTCTCTCTGACTCCTCTACTTGTGGTAAAAGTGATATAGAAGTGCACTGTTGAAAAAATATAGAACACGATGATAGAACGCAATAATAAAAAAAATGAAGAAGACCTGAGTGCTCTCGATGCCATTTATTCTCTGAGACTTAGCATATCGCTCTCCTCTCGAGCGCCGAGGAACTAAGCATACTATATGCGAAAGTTCCCGCGCGGTACTTCAATGAACATTTGCGATTCGATCACGCGTTTATAAAAGGTAATTCCTGACAGAATCGTCCTCTACAATGTACACGATCTCTAAAATATCTGATGCCGACCAAGTGTTCGGTACATGCCCAACCACTCTCGTTTTCGCGAATCTTCAACCTCTCGCGTACTCGACTATCAATTATATTCATATAATAAACGGGGTATAATAAACGATAAAGTGTCATTTGTGGTCCAATATACTCTCGATATATGTATATATAGATGTCGATGTAAAACGTTGTTACGTTATTGACGGGACGAAAGTAACGATTAATTGCATTACATGCGTCTCGCATAAGCGACGCAGCGTTCGAACGTTTAAGCTAAGAAAACAATGCCCTAAGGATAACGTTGCGTTAAACTGCATGTCGCATTGCGCTAAAACCTCAAATTGTCACGGTATTTAGAAAAAAAGAAAAAAAAACGCGTGTATCCGTTATCAATTCGCTTGCACGCAGTCGCATGAAGGTCCAGAAGACACGATCTCTCGCGTGTGTAATTGCTGATCAATTTACGATCTAACGAACTCTTTAGTAATGCGCATTACGTCGCTCAAAACATGATGTCGGGAGAAAGGATTACTGAAGCCGTGAGTCTCGCCTCGTTTGCGGCGTTTTTTTAGTTTTTTAGAATACGACAATGCGACACACCGTCCCGTGATTACACGAGCGAGAAGGAGAGTCAGCCGTAGTTAATAAGTTCATAACGTTAATGTCCACCTCTATCACACACAATCAGTCGTATGCCTTTTCTTTTCTGCTTTTTAATTCTGCTGCGACGGGTCCGGATCGCTCGGATTGCCGCCCATTTGCCGTCTCAGCGACTCGATCAGCTCAGGATTCGCGTTCTGCATCTGCTGCGCCAATTGTTGACCTCTGAAATATTCGCCAGCGTATGAACGGCGTGTCGTACAAACTTCGCGAGGATATCGCACAGTAGATAAGTGCGATATCTTTATGATATATGCGAAGGCCAAATCATACTTCCATTCTTATCGGGAAAGACACATTAAACTTACGCTTCGATGAGCGCTTCCATGCGACCACCTTCCTCCACATTGCCTGTCATAAGATTGCACATCATATTCTGCATTGCTGGGTCAGACAACATCTGACGAGCCATGTTCATCAGAGCTGGATTGCTCAGAAGGGCACTCAGATCCATGCCAGGTAGACCGCCCACCAGAGCCTGATTAACACCTAAATGCGCCAATTTCTCCTCCGTCAATTGCAAATTATTCCGGTAGCTCTCATTATCCGGTTCCATCGCAAGTGCCTTTTCATAACTTTCCTTGGCTTCTTTATGCTTGTCCAAACTAGAGTATGCTAAACCTAATCGTCCATAAGCCTTGCTGTATGAGGGATCGATGGAGAGCGCTATGTGACAGTCTTTGATGGCTAAGGTGTGATTACCAAGTTTACTGTGAACAGCAGCTCTGTTGCAGTAATATACTGCATTGCGGCCATCCAACTCTATTGCTCTGGAAGATTGGCATTAATTGAAGATTAAACCATTGACAATTTCTTCTAGATTTTACACATGAAAGTTATATAATTCAATATACTTTGTATAGTTGGCAAGTGCTTCTTGGTGTTTCTCTGTCTTCATCAATGTGTTGCCTTCATTCTTCAATCTCTCTGCCTCAGCCTTAGCTTCTGCTGTAGCTTCTGGACCTAAAGTAGCATTTTCCACTGCATTCTTATAAACATTATAGAGACTGAAGCTAGTTGGAGCATCAGAAGCTTGCACACTGTAAGCACTTTCCAGGCATTGGATTGCTACTTCCAAACTTTCACGAGAATCTGCTGTCATATCTCCATCCTGCAACTGATCGGTCAGAAACTGAACGATCGCTGCGACTAGTCCCTTGACAGCCATCAGTGCTCAGTAAATATACTTTATTGCTGCAAAAATGATATAACATTATGTAGCATTACCGAATAAGGAGAATATTGTATATAATATTAATGTTATGTTATACAATTTGGGTACATCTCGCGAATCATTGTAACAATGCAGAAAACAAAATCGAGAATATTAAAATGTACACTTCATCAAAAGTTCCAAGAGTAAGAAACCTAAATGTAACGGGCAATTGATCGGTTTACGCTAATTCATTGTCGGCCGACATAACCAAAAAGTTACGCCGAACATTTCTGAAGAGCTAAACTAATCTCTGTTAGGCGGAACGATTTCGTTCACAGAGCTTAACGAGCCACGTGGATCACGACGCTATTGTTAGAAGGATCTTACGTGTCTCATGCAGTTTATCAAACGAATTTTCGGGTGGTCGACGTCGTGTTCGTGACAGCTGACGCGTGAATGAGTCGCGAACGGTGACGCGAATACATTATAACACGTGCAATTAGACGTCGCAAGGAGTGACTTCGTGTCGAGAACGCACCTTTTTCACGATGTCGACGATCAAGTCACGGTAGAAGAAACTGAGCACCAGCAAAGAGAGAAACAGAACCTCCGGCTCTCTTGCGCATGCAAGTAGCACTTCGAAGTAGCACCTTGGAACTTGGAAGTCACAACTTCAGTGTAGTTCGTGCACCACTAGCGGCGAACGGCGAACTTCAATGGCTTCCGCTGTGCGAAGGCAATTTCAAGCGTATGGAGACCGCAGATAAGATAACAAAATTCACAAGAAACATGCATGCGTATGCGCGAATATACGTCTACGATGATGTATAGAAGAATATTCGAAATTCAAACGGTCAATAATAGTGAGACGTAATTAACGAGCATGTTTCGTTCGTGGCAATACGGACGAGCGAACAAACGATTTCCTATTTGAATTTTCCGACGGTGAAACTTGATCGCGACGGAGAAAATATTGGCGAGTCTGGAAAATATGCAAACATACATATTGCGTCATTGGGTGCGTTTAGCGGAAAAAACCGCTTAGTGAGCGGTAATTAGTAACTATTGGTCCTGTTAGATCCTTACATTCAGACCAATAACGTTGACGAATTATTCAATAGTTGCTCAACCGTTGAATGTCGTGAACGCACCCATTATTCGCCTAATTTTTCATGATTCCCCATGCGTTCTCCGATGCGTCCAGCGATGTTGCTTTCAGATTATTTTATAGTTATTACGCGCGCGGGAAGACTTCAATCTCTTGTTTCAGTCTGTCGATAACTTGTATAATAAAGACATTTTTATGTAAAAGTTTATGTAATTACAATATGTGGTGTCTTCAAATTGACAATTTTTTCACGTTTCTGCTAAAAATTAAATTTTTCACAGTGTACAATTTTTTTGCAATTTTACTAATATTATTTATGCAGCGTGATAAATAACCTTATGTATCGCAATAAATGTACCAATAAGAAAATAAGGATACACAGTATCCAAGTAGTATAGGAAGAAAACAGAAATCAATTATATCGCAATCGATAAATCGCTATATTCTACAATCTTGACCGGCAAGCAATTGAACGACGCGGTAAATTTTTATATCTCCTCACAAGCAAAATATCAAAATATTCTTGAATAAAATATATACAAACAGACATTAACACAACTTCTTTTATTAATGTGGACCTTGTTGCACAATTTGGAAAATTGTGCTGTTACTGCGTGTACCGACGAAGATGTATTGACGATTCATGTAGTAGAATGGCATCATCGTTCGTAAGCCGTTCACGACATGTTGCAATCTCATTTGGAATTTCTAAAACCAATTATAAAAATTATCTGACGTTCATGGTCAGCACCACCATGACTTATGATTATTTTATCAACTTCACGAATCATAATCTTACCCCGGCAAACATGTATTCGTATATGTAGAATCGTCCACTCTCTGTTGTGACAATCACAAATACGTCGCTGTCATCAAGATCTGGAAAAACAACAGGAAAATAAATTTTTCGATCAAATGATAGAAAAAAGCCATCAATAAAATTGCAATCCCAACTGTTATCAATAAATTATAAATTGAGTTACGATTGAGCTACGATTATATAGAAATATAATAAAGTTACGTGATATTAATTTAATTGATTTTCTCTGAAAACTAATAATACCATCGATGTAAAACGATTCGATGCCGTTAATTTCGCTATCATGAAATATACTCTGACAGATGTGAAAATTATGAGCTACAGAGTTATATTTATAAATGTCCACAGCGTTCGTATCAGGATTGTCCAGCAGGATAAAACGATCCGTTCCCTGTGACAGACTCTTTATATAACGACTTCTGCTCGCGAACGTTCTAATCTGTTTGAACTGTGTGGCAGAGAAAAAATTAATTTAATACTTAATTTTACACAAAAAAATATAAAAAGGGTTTTTAACAGATATTAGACAATCAATGTTATACCTGTTGTGTGACCGTGTCGAATTCGTATAATAAGGACTCCGAGAACTCGCCGAAACAACCGACGAGAAGAAATACTTCATTTTGATCAGTCTCGAAGACTTCGATGGACCAAGCGCCATTCGTAGGGATCTTTTGAATCAACGTCACTTTTTCCCTTGTTACATCCACTTTGCAGAACAACGAGTTCGTCTGATGCGTTTCTTGTGTTTTATTGTAATACACTGCCACGATTACGTATATATCGCCTATGGATCAATCATGACATTCATTTTCTTAAACTGATAATCTCAAATTTAGCAAATAATCTTTATGACATCATATTTCAACACATACCATCATATTTAAAAATCTTGGCGTCTCTCCAGTATCCTGCCATCTCATCGGACATATCGAAGGAAAGCAAAATCTCCCTGGAGTTATCATTCTTCAAGGAAACTGTAATGAACATTTCTTCTTCGACTCTCGTCGAGCTGCATCGTTTGCTGCTCGAGACTGTATCCGTCACCACATTAACGAAGATGCCATCTGGATCGTAAAAATTCTTTACAATCTCACCGAATTTCCTTTGTCGTATTGGTTTAGTCTCGTTCGACAGCTCGACCACCAACTGATTAACACATGGACAATCGTTTGGTAATCCACATCGGCTTCCGGGCTGTTCGACTTCTATGTTCAGCTTGGTCGTTTCCTCGAGGTACAGCACGTCGACGTTAGTTACATTGAATGCTGACACCATTGGATTCTCTTCCATCTCCAGGTAAAAGAAAACATTGCTCAACGTCTCCAAAACTTGGGAACTATAGGTGATGTCTCGCATGATGTCTTCCTCGTTTTCTTTTAGGCTCCGAAGTGTTTCATTAGTCTTCTTTTTACGATCACCGATGATAGTAGAATGTATGTTCACGTCGTTCACCAGTCCGGATACATTCATTTCCCAAATTTGAACATCTGCTTTGAACATCTAGTAAGAAAAAATAATTGAAAAGAGCTGCTATGGGAAGGGGGGCGGTGCATATTATCGCGACTATGTTCTCGAATCTTAAATCTTTGAGTTGTGTGGATCTACAGCGATATAACAAAAACTCGAAGATCTAACACTTACGAGTTTTCCATAAATATCGACATCTTCATCGTTCAACACACCCTGTTCATATTCCGCCCTTATATTTTTATCGTTGATTCGTGTCGCAGTAACACTACCTTGAACTATCAAGTTTTGTTCGAAGGTTTTTGTGCCTGATATAATTTGTACCTCGTCGACGTCGTTTAGAACAAAATCAGACGGATCAATTCCGTTAACTTTTTTTACGTTCGCCTCACCTGAAATACCGCGAATAGGAAGATAAATCTTTCCATGTACTCACTTACATTTTTACATTTGGAATGCAAAGTTTCTTCAATCACGGTTTTGAAGTCGATTAAACGAGTTTCAGACCAGTAAAATTCATATTCTTCAGATCGCGAACTGAAGCGACGACAAAGTACATGCGATTGAATTAATCACGCGGCCATTAATTTCAAATTAATTAAAATTAATCTTAAATTAATCTTGAACTCATAATAATGATCAGAACAATTAACTGTTATTCATTCGTGCCAACTACGTTATTATGAAAATGAATTTGCAGCATTTGTTACCCCTTACCTGTTACCTTAACCGGTTTATTGAATTTCAAGTTGCACCAGACATCATGATTACCGCTGAGTGTAATGCGATTTCTCACGAACGTGTTGAAGTTTATCCCGTCTAGATTCGTCAGATACACGTCGCCCAAAACCATGAGATCCTCGAAGTAGACATTGCTTGGCAAAACGTCAGCGAAATGCACCGCTGCACTGACCGACGCATTGAGATCAGGCTTGTTCACACGCAGCTTTTCGATTCTGATGTCTTTGCTAAAGATTAACGGGCTGACGATTGTGTCCTCGCGATACTTCCTAACGATCGAATTGTTGAATTCGCTGATGTTCATTTGGTTGACCTCGCAAATGCCTAGATCACTGTTCACTTTCAGACTGTCTGTGATGAAATCGTCCTCGAAGATCTTGCTTCCGCTGATTTCGACAGACTCGCCGTCGTCGTAGTCGATCACGGCGTCCATTATTATATCTCGGATTTGTTCAGTGACACTGAATGGGCCAGTAACTGCCCATGCGTTAACATTCTTTTCAAAGGTTACGTTGCCCGTGATAATTTGGTCCTCATCCTTGGTCACGGCTTTTTCTAACAGATGGGATATGGAAATAGGACTGTACGATGGCGTATCCCAGAAGACACTTCCGTTCACCTTGAGCAAGTCGATATCTTGCGCGGGGATTAATAATAGACTATCGTATAACTGTAACATTAAACAAAGAGTTACTGTAAGATAGAAAAAAGTATTGCATCTCTAGAAAGCTTTAGAATCAATAAATAAATCGAGATACAATATAAAATTCTTCATTCTCACCTCGCTCACTCGTTGCCCATTCAAGTAAGACGTAATAACGTCACTTTCGACGAACAAGTCGGTGAACGTCACATTCCCTGCGATTGTCAGAGGCTCATCTATCCACATCAGCTGCGAAATGTTATATTTGTTGAAAAAGTTTGTAGTGATGTTGTTGGAAGTGACAACATGAGCCGAAAAGTATCCCGGTACCACTTGAACCGTCGACTTCGTAAGGACGCTATCGACGAAATTGTCGAAATCTTGACCATAAAGAGATTTTAGTGTTACGTTTCGAGCGAGCAGACTCTCGATTTTCTTTTCTGTATTTATCACGATATCATTCTGCGCTAATTTCTCCAAGAAACTATCAGTCGATTCCTCGCCTACTCGATCAACCGTCAGATTCGCCACTGTCAAATCGCCTACAATAACGATTCTGCTCGAATTAGAGTCCATTAGATCCTTCAAGCGTGTCACCTCAACGGTGTTTAGTCTTTCAACCTCTAAGTTCCATACATGCAACTCACGTGCCTTCAAGTTAGACAGATCATGATCGTCGTCGACGCGAAGTCCCTCTTCCAGTCGTATCTCGTGATCGTTAAGAAAACGAAGAGTGAGGTTGTCGACAAGTACTCGGCGTGCTTGAATAGCGGGAAATTCCTGGGTTCCAATGAAGTTCGGAACGCTACCGTTCATGATACTTTCTACGCTCATCCCGTTGAAAGCGAGAGTAATGATATCTTCCGCGCGGAAACTCCGCAGGTGTAATTTTTCATTAATCACTAATTTATTTGAACTGGCGTGAAAGAAAGTGCTGTTATTGTTATCCCGGAGGAAAGAATCGTTCACATGAAAGTTCTCAAAGTGCAGATTAGTAAACTCGTTCGGTATTTCCTTCATTGTCGTGTACAGGAAATCATCCTCCATGAAACCGTTGAGATATTTCGTGTTGAGTTTGTCGATCGTCAATCCATTCATGAAGGTGACCTTACCAGCGATCGTCTGATCGCTGGATTTCGTCCAGAAGCTGTTGAATATGTCACTCACGTTCACCGGATTGTCTGCCACAAAGAGCGTCGCTGATGGACCGACCTTGATGTTCTGAAGATGCAAATCGCCCAATATCGTGACATTTTGATAGATCTGAATTGGACGCTCCTTGGGTGTTATTATCAGAGACTTGTTCACGTCGACTGTAAAATTCTCCGTGATGTAGAGTCGAGCCATATTCACTTTACCTTGAAAGAAACATGAAACATTATTTTATGAGACATTTGAGAGATTATTCATGCTAAACGTAATAATAATTAATATTTAATGTTAATCAAACAGAAAACAAAGAAACTAAAACGATAACAACCGACTGATATTAAACATTCTAATCATCCTGATTTAATGGTAAAATACATTGCTTTAACGAAATAGAAAATTGCAATATTCATAATTGTAGTATTTCATATTCCATCAGTCATTATAATAATAATGTTAACGAATCAACAAACAATTCTTTTTCTCTCTCTCTCTCTCTCTCTCTCTCTTTCCCTTCTCCCTCTCTTACTCTCGGTAGATTACCTCTAATAACGTTTTCGCGGGATTTGCGCGCAGCTTGCTCGACGGGCACTCCGTTGATTGTTTCCACGTACAGATTACCAATATCCAAATATTTCACTGAAAAGTTGTCGAAACTCTGATTTGTCGCGATTGTCATGAGTTTATCGGCGGGAACACCATTTAACATCTGCGTCGTGAGATTCTGAATTCTCAAATTCCTATATGTGATTTGACCTGCGACAAAATGCTGTAATATTAACAAAGTACTTTTTTTCTCCTGACATCTGCACAATCAAGATAGTTTATGTCATATTCAACCTTTAATTTCCTGACGATCATTGATAATGAACAGGTCGTCAAGCAACTGTTCAATGTTCGTTCCGTTCAAGCTATTAGTTTTTAATTTATCTATTGTCAAATCGGAATGCACTATAACAGAGTCATTCGAGTATTCAATTGGACCATTTGAGGTAAGTGACATGTTCGTGTTGTTGCGTAACGTCCAATCTGCAACATGTACGAAATTATGCGGAAAAGTACATCGATACTGTAGTATAATAGTTTAATCCGTTATCTATCTATTTGTTAAAAGCCCAAGCTACATAAAAGCTACTCGACTTCTATTCAACTTACATTGGGACGGTATTCCGCAAAGAGAATCAACTTCAAGCACGTGAGTAAAAACGCTTTCCGCTCGCAGTGGATTTATGAATTCTTGTTCACCCTCCGGTAGAATCGTCTCCTTCAATTTCACGTCGTTCACAAGGTCTACGTTCATTCGATCGATCTTGAACTCTTCCAAGAAGCCATCGTTAATCACGGTGTTGCCGCTCAACACCTGTTGCATATGTTCATCCACCATTTTCTGCCACTTTGACAGAACGCTGTCGACGTCGAAGTTGAGTTGGTTCAAAGCTTGCTCAATTTGATGAGGTGGCAAAATGTCTTCTTCTTCGGTGACAACTTCGATGCTGTCCACTGTACCAGCCTGTAAGATCATATTGTCGAAGCGCATCGGCTTTGATATCATCAAGTCTTCGTCGAACGGCAAGAGTAGTTCCCAAGAAGCCTTGGCCTTCTTTACTTCCGGCATCTTTGTTTGGAGCACTTCGATCAGTTCCTTCAAGCATTCCATCGTCGAGTCGACATCTTCTTTGACACTGCCTGCAATTTGTCGTCGTTACAGTGATAGTTATTACAGCAAGTCGAGAAGAAGTACATCAATCAAAGTGACGTACTCATTGGTACAGGAGTTATTTCAGCCTCCCATTGTTCCAACCAGTACGCATCGACCTCTTTAATCACCAGCATCATAGTCACGGTGTACGCGTTTAATAACACTGCTATGTCGACTATCTTTTGGTCAGCCTTGAAGCGTTTTGTGTCTTCATTCTTCAAATTGGATGTATTATGAAACTTATATAGCTGAACGATATTCTGCAAAATGACAGTATTGTTGAGTTAGTAAAATCAATTTAGAAATTAATACGTTGAAGAAATTAAGCTTTATTTCATAGCTAATTTATTAGGAAAATTGATTGAAAAATAAAGGATGTATCTTGAAGTTACGTTTTTTTAATATCGAGCAGATTAATTGCCTTACGTCGTGCGCTACAACTATGAAGGTATTGCCGTCCATATGAAAGATACTTGTTAGACTATGAGACTCGATTTCTGGGAAGTTGAACCAATCGAGCAGTTCTCGTCCTAGAAACACAGCACGTGTGTATCGGCAACGCGTTTTACTTAAAGAAACTCAAACAAATAAACAATAGAGCTTTTTTTGAATCCTGTCACATTATCTGTTGATGATTAAACTATCTCTGAAACAGAAGATACCAACCATCCCAACATAGCAAGCTGCTCGGTTCCAACTGGTTTATCATGAAAATAAAGTTGAAGTCACCATGGACAAAGTGATGCACCGAGGTCGGTCGCGCGGTGAACACAAATTGTATCTTCGCGATATCCTTGCCCTTAAACTCGTATACTTCGGAACCGACCCGCGGATCCTCGGCGTCGTACTGAGCGAAGACAATAATCGTCGACTGCCGGTACTCGAACGCGGTGACCGATTTTGCACCAACTGCCATTACCTCTCCGACGACATCCATGTACGTACCGCTCCATCGATAGATCCTGACACGATGCGATTTCACACGATTCGTATGATTTATTAGGTATAGTTCAAGGAGAAGATATAATATAAAGTGAAGCAGAAAATTGTTATGTTACATCTATGTCTTCGTGATGTAAATTTTACAAGCTATTTTTGTCAAGATCAAAATGTATAATACTCACGCAGATGGTATGGGAAATTTGTCGCCGTTATTCGCAATGATCAGGTAGAGTCGATGGCGTTGCGTGAAAAATTTCGCGTCCACGGGAATCCCCCGGTGCCTGATTGTATGGCGGAATCGCAATATATTATCTTGCGTTATCGTGTGCAGACCGCATAGGTAAAGCTCGTAGCACACCAACATATAGATGGTATTTTTCCACAAGATACTCTGCAACATTATGACCGATCTTAATTCGTTCATTATTTTAATTCGGATACAATAAATCGATATAACATGAACAAGTTGTTCTGTAATATGTAGATTAATATATTTGGGCAATATCGAGAGAATAATATGTAGAATATATATAAATGAGTAAAAATAATGAAAATAAAGAAAACTATAATTATCAAACGCGTCATTCGCAAGGAAATTTATCACGAATAAAATGTTACAGCAACGACGTACCCTAACAAATTTCACGCTGCGATATGATCGAATTTGACCGATTTCACGTAACGTCAAGGTCTCGTTCGAAAAGGTATCGTTAACGGAGGGTGCCATCATCCGATTATCGTCAAGGATACATATCCTGTCGAATAGATTTATCGTAAAGGGCTGATGCTCGCTCGTTAAGGACACTCGCCATGATCTATCCCAGTGTACCCTGTACGATTTTTCCTGCACTGCAAAGCAAATGCTCGCCATTTTGTCGTTCGTCAGACGACGAGAGGAACAAGTTACTCTCATCTGATTGATTGTATTTTCAGAGATAGAAATATTACTGCGTATTAATATCCGAAGAGTACTTTCTCGAACAATGTGCTGAGAATATTGTAATTACAGAATTTTCAGTATGAGAGACTAGTTCGAGGAAAAACTTGCTTGAAAAGCAAAGATCGACTATTAAAACAGGATTGATATGTGGATACTTACCTGGCGATTGTTTTTGAATGTGAATCTTAATAAATTCTATCTTGGACTGCTTTAACTTCTCGTCCAGGTATCCATTTAGATTCGCTGCGTGAACGAGAAGCAATAGCGCGAAGGCACAAGTTGCCAGCTGTGATATTAAAAACACTGAATTCGACACTGAATGCAAACGTTCTTGCAATATTTCTTAATAGATCTTAAATCCACTTGTATCCGTATCGGGAAAATAGCGATACTTACTAATAGGAAGATTAGATTCATGATTCTGCGATCTCGATCACGGTGTGTCGGTTGAATCCATTCTGAGGCTGAGGCCGTGCGGGCATTAAGAGGGCATTTTGAGGAGGGATATTCGGATGATCCTTGCAATGTACACGATGCGAGGAGTAAATAAACATCACAATTGTAAATCCTTCGACGAGGCGAATTCCGAGAACACTCGTCCATACGCGCGCATGACTTGCCGTCACGTGACAGCGATACGAACGTCGACGCACTTCCATTTTGAGCAATCTGAATTAGAGACAAAAGTGGAATGAAATATCTTATAATATTCTGCTGCGCACACATATCGAACAGTGAAAACAAAAGTGGACCAATTAATATCGCGCGAGGCGGATAATTTTGCTTGTGAACTTTTTGCGCGACTTTGTTCTTGCAGCGCCGAAGAATTCGCAAAGTGAATCACCGTGTGTAGAAATTAGCGAGGAAAATAAACGCCGATCGGACGTAACGACACAAAGCGACTGGCATAAAACAGGCGATATATTTTGATCGCCGCTGTGACAAAGTAAGAACGCAGATAACGCGTCGGCGCTCAACAAATCTCATTAAAGAAGAATAGAAATTACAGACGTGGTACAGGTTCGGTAGATTTGACTTTTGATACTTATTTTTCCATCGCAACGTATCTCGCAACGATCTCTCGCAACGATCTCTCGCAACTGGTCGATCATCTCGTTATTTCTCGCTTCTGCCTCGCGATATCTTCGGCGAAAAGCGCGACGCAACAAACGTCGGCGACGAGACAATGGAAAGTTTTTGCAACACCGTCTCTCAGATACGGTAAGCGTAAATCGTGAACGTTATTCGCTCAGAAATAACGTCACAATGTACCAGCGACCAATAGGGAGTTTTCGCAATACCATTTCTCAGGTACGGTAAACGTGAATGCTATTGGTCGCGTACATAGCGACGTTATTTCTGAGCGAATAACGTTCACGATTTACGTTCACCGTCTGAGACGGTATATTGTAAAAGCTCCCTAATAACATTCACGACTTACGTTTACCGTATCTGAAAAACGGTATTGCAAAAACTTCCCAATATATACGTATGCGTGCGCGTTATTCGTGTCGTATCTTCGTGAAACTTAACCCTAGTTTAAGCCTCCGTCTAAACAGACTCTAAATTCAGGTTAAGGTGCAATCGACGATGATAGAAACCTGGCGAAAGAGCGATTACTTACACGTTGGTATCACGCCGCTGCGAGTCAGTGGTTGCGTTCAGAAAACAAAGCGCTCACTGAGCGTTTAGTAACTATTGGTCCTTACTGTTAGATCCTTACATTCAGACCAATAACGTTGACGAATTACTCAACCGTTGTGTAACCGTTGTGTTTTCTGAACGCAGCCATTGGTTGCGTTCAGAAAACAAAGCGCTCACTGAGCGCTTAGTAACTATTGGTCCCTACTGTTAGATCCTTACATTCAGGCCAATAATGTTGACGAATTACTCAACCGTTGTGTAACCGTTGTTTTCTGAACGCAACCATTCAGTAGGTGCGTTCAGCGGAGAAGCCGCTCAGTGAGCGATTAGTGACTATTGGTCCTTACCGTTAGATCCTTACATTTAGACCAATAACATTGACGAATTATTCAACAGTTGCTCAACCGTTGACTGTCGCGAACGCGCATCCATTTTCGAATGGCCATAATTCGAAAAATCGCTCTCTGCTCGCTGCTCACCTCGCACTCAACCGCGGCAAAGAAGACAGGAAGAGAGAGAGAGAGAGAGAGAGAGAGATCGGCGATCGCTTTTCGAATACCGATTTCACTCGCGCGCGCGGCGCTCGCATTGGCCTGCGTCGCGCGTTCCGATTGGCCCGCCGGACGGGCCCAACGGCGCCCGGCGAATCGTAGGGCGCGGTCCGCCAGGCATCGGCCATCGGCCCGAAGGAAGCGGAACTCACTCACTCGCTCGCTCGCTCGCGCGATTATCTCGCCCGACGACGTTCGAGCTGTGCTGCGCGAGGGGGAGCGCGTGCGAGCGAGCGAACGCGCGCACCGATACTCGTTACACCGTGGTGGAGGGTGTCCGAGCTGTCGAGCCTCGGCTGTGCGCGATTCTTCGTTCTTTCCCATTTCCTGAGTCACGTCTACTCGCCGCACCTTCACTGCAACTCCCGTTCGCTTTGTTTTCCTCGTCCGCGACGCGGATACTCGCGCAAACGCCGGCGCCAGCGCCGGGAACGCGGCCGCGCAGCTGCGTGCGCGATTGCGGCGGAGAGAGAGAGAGAGAGAGAGAGAGAGAGAGCGAGTGAGAGTGACAGAGAAAAAGAGAGACAGAGAGCACGCAATACATACGCGAGTGTCGTGTGTATGTGTGCGCGCTGTGTGCCGTGTGAGACGAGGCGAGTGGTGCTCGGGCGGTCTCGTCGCGCGTCTGTGTATGCGAGTGCGACCGCGTGCGGGCGGTTCCCACACGACGTCGTGTCCGTGCAACAAGTGTCAGGAGAGACGGTTGCGGCGACGGCGGTGGCGGCGGCGACTCGGTTCCCGAGTTCGGCGGTGTGCTCTGGTGTGCATGGTGCTGCCGAGTCGGTGGGCGCGCGACGGATCGGCCGACGGGCTACCACGGCGACGAGGGTGACGAGGACGAAGGACCATCACACCATCGCCGCACGCGCCACCACGACGTGCTGAGAGGACGACGACCGTCACCGGCGAGGGCGCGGGATGGGCTGCGCCGTGAGCAGCACCGGCGAGAAGGAGGCCGCGGAGCGGTCCAAGAAGATCGACAAGGACCTCCGAGCTGATGGCGAACGTGCCGCCAGCGAGGTCAAGCTACTGCTGCTCGGTGAGTGTGTCTTCTCCGCGCTTACCTGTGCCTGCACCTCTGGCCGATGGTACTTGGATTATCCGCTGCTCCGGTCGCGGATCTTCGACGACTGACCGCGACCGACCTCGAGAGAACGGATGTCCTGGACACGCGTTTATCACCGCGAGCGCTCTCCGATCCGGTCCGCTTCCTCTGCTCTCGGTTCCGGTTCTCTCGGGATATTTGCATCCCCTGCTCGCTGACGCGCCTGTACCGACGGTCTCTTTCTCTCTCTTTCTCTCTCTCTCTCTCTCTCTCTCTCTCTCGCACGCGCGCGCGCGCACGGTCTCCGTCTCGCGCTCTTTCTCCTTCTTCCTTTTTCTCCGCTCTCGCGTCGTGCATCGCGAGTATCGGCCAACACGCGCCCGAAGGCGCCGCGTAATCCACGAGTAGGATCGAGACCCGAACAGCGCGGTGGCGTCGAGCGCGTGCAATTCGGCGAAGTCGCCGGATGGTCGTGTCTGCTCCCGGCTCGCCGGGGCAGGTTTTCGTAGCCAGGCGGGAGAGAAAATCATGATGACATCGAAGTGGTGAGGAAAGTTCATTTTTTTCATCACGATTCTCCGTCATTCTCTCGTCATTTTCACGTCATTTCGATGTCAACATGATTTTTTCTTCCACCTCGACATTTCCCTCCAGGTCTCTCCGTTCGTCCCTTCGCCGGGGGAATCGAACCCCCGTGTTTTCGATCTCGTCGGAGCACGGGAAATGAGTAACGCGCAGTGTGATGCGTCAACTCTCTCGGAAAACAGCCATTAGGTCTTATCTTATCGGCCAGTCTACCTGCATTTTATAAATGAGATCGGTGCGTTAAACAACGCGAAGAACGCGGCGAACCTTGACATGACTTCGCAGCCGAGAGAAGCCAGTGACAAGAGTCGGAGAGTCGACGCTTCTCTTCATCATCATCGTCGCCCGTAGATATCTGTTACTGCTGCTCTTTTTCCGCTTGCAGAGTTCCGAACGCTTTTAAACGCGGAGAACGCGTGCGGAGAGTCTCGACGAGAGAGAGACAGAGAGAGAGAAAGAGCACCACCAAGTTCGGATCTCCTTCGAGATCGCACCCGCTTCTTCCTGGATCCTGCGCGGTCCCAGCGAGTCCTCGCGCAACGAGGAAAAGAAAGAGTTAATCGTGCGGTTAACGAGACGTCGCGCTGGCGAGCGTAAAAATTCATGGCGAGCCAGAAGCGGAGAGACAGGGAGCGGGAGGGAGAGAGAGAGCGAGCGAGAGAGAGAGCGAGAGCGCGTCAGAGCGTTGCCCAACCGCTAACTCGCCGTCTCTCCCGCGACGGGTGTCGGTTTCGGAGATACGCTCTCGATCGCGCGAATTCGCGTCGTCCCTCCTTCTTTCTCGCGTCGCGCTCTTCTCGCGCTGCTCTGTGTCGCGTTCCAGGTTCCTTCTATGGTAGAACGAACGAACGAACGTACGCTCTCGCGCTCGCTCGCAACAGACACGAAATTGCGACCCGCCGTTTTAATCGCGGCGGTGCGCTCTCCCGACGCTCCGCGACCGTCGGAAGAGCGCGACCCGCTTCTTCTCGAGCTAGCGCGAGTCTCCTCGAGGCCCAGGCAGAACAGAAAATCATAATGACATCAAAATGACGTCAAAGTGATGAGGAAAACTAATTTTCTCGTCGTAATTCGGTCATTATGCCGGTCATTTTGTTGTCATCACGATTTTTGTTCTGCCTGGGAGAGACCGCGCGCACGTTTTATTACACGAAATGCGTGCGGAGATCGAACGGAACGACCCGGCTCGTACGATCTTGAAGATGTTGAAATTCATTATCGCCGTAGTGCTTAACGAGTGCGAGAGGTGAGGTTGATTCGAAATTCACTCTCACGCTCGTTGGAATTTGAAATTTCAGATCGATCGTCTGTCATTCTTACAGCTCGATAAGAATGTTGTGTCGCTGTGTTTTTGCCCGAAAATCGCGCAATCGCGGATGTAACGCGCTCGCGCGTCGAGCGCGTTACGGGAAACTTGAATCATCGGCCGCGTGTGAATCACGAGATTACGTCCCCGAGATCGGTGCGTGCATTATCTCCACTGGCGAACGGGGAAAAAGCGTTATTCCTCGTCGGCGGAAGCCGGCTACTGCTCTCCGCGATGATTAGCGGAGTCGAATCGATCGGACGGCGAAACAACCGTTGATGATTAATCGGCTAATTGGACTCGTTCTCGACGTCGTTCTCGTCGTCGGGTGTTTCGCATGCTCGACTTCGCGTTTGATTCGACAAGCGAACACGCGCGAGTCAAATGATGTAGCATTATAATGATGCGCTACGTGACGACGGTTTTAATTATCGTGTCAAGGGAGACACCCGCGAACTCGCGTCGCCTCGCATCGCGTTCTCGCTGAAGCAACGATTGATCTCACATCGGTTCGTGCCTTATATCTGTCGTCATCGGTCGAAACCTGTCTTCTTAGGCAATCCATAACTCGTGACAGAATGCGGAATAGAATTTCATCGCGATTTACATATCGTGGAAACGTTTGAACGTTTTTGCAAACATGCCGTGTATACTCAGCACTATTTAATTTTCACTCTTCCACCATTTTCTATTCTTTTTTGTTTTTTTCTTTGTAGATTACAGATTGCTATTTATTTGCCCACAGATTATATTAGAGGTACCGGAAAGTCTCTGCTTATTTTTTTAAGCCTTCAATTTTCATGATTATAGCACGAGTTCTTAATTTTAATCCAGAATTAATTTCAATCAGTTAACAACGTTTTTTTATTGTACTAGTCAACTTTCATTAAGATCGGACTTACTTTATTATTTTCGTGCAAAATTTTACAATAAAAACAAAAAGACTTTTCGGTACCCCTAATAATTATATATATACTAATAATACTAATAATAATATTCATACATCTAATGCTCGCATTAAATGCGTTACATATTGACAAGTACTACTTGTGTACAGATATAAATTGCGTCGTAATTGCATGAAAATGTACAATGTTTCATTGACGTTTAAGGTGCTGGGGAGTCTGGCAAGTCCACGATAGTGAAACAAATGAAAATCATTCATGAGACTGGCTACAGTAAGGAAGAATGCGAGCAATATAAGCCCGTGGTATACAGCAACACGATACAGAGTCTAATGGCGATAATCAGAGCCATGGGGGAGCTTAGAATCGACTTCGCCGATCCCAATAAAGCGGTAAGCCCCTCGTGTCTCTTCCTATTCGACGGTCCACAGTTTATTTGTGTTTGTCAGATAAAATTGCAAACGAGATCGCACGTCGGGTCTCGCAAACAAGTCCCCTCTGTTTTCTTTCTTCAAATTTATCCTGATTTGAGGGAACTTCACGATGGTATCTATCTTATGTAGAATCCAATTATATAGATAATGATTTGTATCGCTCATCTAATCTGGTATGGTTTGCAGCCAATTACCGCGGCTTATCGATTCTTTGTTTCCACGAGCTTGGCTGTGAGAAGAAGAACGAAGCACTCAATGCTTATTTGTGACTCTACTCGACAATAATCGACGTTATCAACTTCAAGACGTCTGAGAGAGCGATTTTCCGCCTCTCTTGAAACATCTACATTTGTAAACTCATTTGAAACAGAATTCTAGAGAAAGATTACTTCAATATCACGCGTTATCAATTGCATTCAACCATTTTTCCTCATGAGTCAGTGGCTATTAGATAATCAGCCTCGTGTTTATGTTGTAGGACATGGCGCGGCAATTTTTCACCCTAGCCTCGGCGGCGGCGGAGGAAGGCCAGCTAACCGGAGAACTGGTGCTGTTAATGAAGCGATTATGGCAGGACGCGGGAGTGCAGCTCTGTTTCACGCGTAGCAGGGAATACCACATCAACGACTCGGCAGCGTACTACCTTAACGCACTTGACCGCATAGCACAGCACAACTACATCCCGACGCAACAGGATGTTCTGCGAACGCGCGTCAAAACCACCGGTATCGTGGAGACGCATTTCTCGTTCAAGGGCCTGCACTTCAAGTACGTGCTCGTTGTACTCATCTCATGTACTATTATTATATAGCCGGGATATTTCAATCATACGTTAATTCAATGTGACAAAATACCAAATGAAATTGGCTTTGTATACATATCTGACGAAACGAGATATCGCAAATATTTTATCCATGTTTGATTGAATATGTTTAATTTAATTTACTAAGTTGAGAGAGAATCAAGGATTAAATGTATGTACTCTGGATGTCACATTGGTCTCCTTTTGTGTAGAATGTTCGACGTCGGCGGTCAACGATCCGAGAGAAAGAAGTGGATACACTGCTTCGAGGGCGTCACCGCGATCATCTTCTGCGTCGCCCTGAGCGGCTACGATCTGGTGCTGGCGGAGGATGAGGAGATGAATCGTATGGTAGAATCGATGAAGCTGTTCGACTCGATCTGCAACAGCAAGTGGTTCGTCGAGACGTCGATCATACTGTTCCTGAACAAGAAGGACCTGTTCGAGGAGAAGATCACCAGGAGCCCGCTCACCATCTGCTTTCCGGAGTACAAGGGCGCCAACACGTACGAGGAGTGCGCTTCTTACATCCAGATGAAGTTTGAGAATCTAAACAAGCGGAAGGATCAGAAACAAATCTATACGCACTTTACTTGCGCCACCGACACGTCTAACATACAGTTCGTGTTCGACGCCGTGACCGACGTGATAATCAAGAACAACTTGAGTAATTGCGGATTGCTAAGTTAAACATTCCAATACTCAGCCGGCGACCTAAACTGTCGAGAGGTGGGGAAAGGGAGGAGAAATGTATTTCACGAACGTCGTAACGTAGGTTGCAGATCATAGCGGAACGGCAAGAACAAACAAGAGACTGATCGGAAGTTTCAGAAGATCGTATTCGTGTTCCGTATAGCACGAGTACGGGTTATGCGAGGATTTTACATACACATACACACACACACATACAAACAAACACACATGAAATCTTGGCTCTTGGAATATTTTATTATCATGGCGTCGCGTAACTTTTCACTCAGTTCTATTTAACTTTCGAGATGACTTTTATTTTGTACATTTATGCGTAAATGCGCACACATAATATCGGAGATATGATATAAATAATATTACTATTTAATTATCGACTTTACGTCGGACAATTGAAGTCTCGAATTCCGAGAAAAATGTTCTTAAGAATACTCGGGAGTCGGACATGGAGATGCATCGTTTCGCGTTATCGCCAGAGATTCTTTTTTTACGCACTATCCAAAACGTCAAGTAATCATTTCCTGAGAATTGTACAATCGTACTTTAGGAGTGTTAACGAAATGTTAATGCACGACAGTCATGTATATTTGTCAAAACGTGAAGTATTATTTTCCTAGAAAGAAAAACAAAACAAATGATTCAAGTTCGTTCCGGCTATTGCATGAAAAATAAGAAAAAGAAATAAGCGCGATAACGCGCAAAACAGAGCATATTCTCAAATCCGCTCCAATTGTGATGAAACGTACAAGTGAAAAGTTACTTCATTTTTGCTAAATGTATTTAATTCTACTAACCAGGAGCTAGATAGCTATTAATTTTAGTGTAATATCTTTGTATATAATTTATTCACTAAAGGCGACTCTATATGTGCTAAAAGAGTGGAAACATCTTTCCACTTCTCTTGCTCATGACTCATTCGCGTTGCAAAAAGGAAAATCGTATCTTCGTCTTTTTCAACGACGGACACAGCTCTCTGTGCATTTCTAATATGACAGTACATGTATTTATATGGATTCGATTGGTAAAGCCAATTTTTTTGTACAAGCTTAATCTTCTTTTTTTTTTGTTTTTATAATATAGACGTACACGTGTATTACTAGGAGATATAAACGAGAGATTCCTTGTTCTCATTTTTTTCACGATCTGCCAAACTGATGAAGTGACGAGGTTAGCCTTAGTACAAGACGTTGAAAAATCAAACACTTTATACAGCTTAGAACAATAAACGAAATTTTCTTTTTTAAGGGCCGACGCTGTTTCTCTCCGTTCCTATCCGATCTCTTTATTAGATCACTCAGTACACATATGTATATATATACACACACACACGTTCTCATTTTTTTTTACATCTTGGCGGACTTGATCACATTAACTAGCAAGATGCAGATACTAACGCGCCGGATCAGACGCGAAGTAATGCGTGTCGCCGAGGTGCAGAACAAAGCTGTTGTAATTGTATTTCGGAGATAATGCTCTCTTCTTTGCCTTTTTCTCTTTCTTACATTACTAAAACATTGTTATATTATACTAATGTACACTTATGTATCGTGCGCGTCCATTTTCCCGCAAATTAGTGCCACCTTTACGCAGTAAGTGAGCTGGGAGCGATGATGACTGAAAGTGGGATAAATAGAAGTATGTACAATCTGTAGCAATTGGCACTTCGACCGCCACGCCATGATTTTCCTGTTTCCTCGGGAGTTACGATATGGTACTTATATGAACGACAATTGTACTTCCCGTTTGATTGCTTATCTTTCACACGCGGATGGTGTATCTTAAGCGAGAAGCAAGATCCTTGCGTGATCGTCACGCATCTTTAAGGAAATGCAGCGATGACCTGCATGCGATTACGCTGACAATCGAAGTACCAGTGTGTCTGTCTGTTAATGATAATACGTTGGAAGGATTACAGTCCTGTGTGAATCCCCCAGAGAACAAAAGGACAAGACTGATAAAGGAGGAATTCAGGCGGGAACATTGGACCACTGGGACGGACGCTTCGCGACTTCTGATGGAATGCACAATGCAGCAAACTCTGCAACACGCTGGAAAGAGGATCAACGTAGACTTGGCTTGACGACTTCGAGTCGAGGAGGAGAACAGCTAATTCCCGTTTCTACCGATGTCGATTAAACTCTGACCTGGGTTTAAACTCTATTTAAACAAAGACAAACTCGGATCAATCGACGTTGATAGAAGCGAGCGTGTTAGTGGTGATGTTCTCTGACGTGTTTCCTGCGTCGAAGATATCAGCCCACGAGGCTGGAAGTACACTGAAAGTTGTATATTCGCATTGTGACACCGTGTAGAATAAATGTCACATTTTACATTTTAATCTATACATACATACTGGTAGAACATCAGGACAGATTGTGCAGGGCCTTAGGCAGAGAACGCAACATCACCTCTCGGAGATGTTTTCTGACTCTGCGACTTGGCCGTTCCCATTCCGGTATGCCGCAGAGTTCAATGGCAAGATGTAGATAGGAACATCAAAACTAGGAAAGTGATGAGCGAAAATAATCACGTAGAATGATATTAATTAAATTAGCAGCCTTTAGGACGATCGGTGACGAGCGTGTGTCGCTGAAGAAATCAACTCGAAGAGGGGAGCCGTCGAGCGTCCCTTCTTTTCATGTTACGACCACGAGGATACCTTATACTCGTAAGAATACTGCTGTCTGAGCCTACCCTCTCCTCACCTACCGCCTTCGCTCTCGCACAATACGAGGCGCAATACAATTACACGTAAAATTAAGTCTGAAAGTTAAGTGTGTTTGCTCTCCTCGTGCTTCGAGCTAATATAGTTACATTTTCTTTTTCTTTTTTTTCTTTTTGTACACTTATACTACCAAATGCTCATGAGGACTCCTAAATCGTGAAAGCGTTTCTAAGACATCGACAGTTGCACCTTAACTTGATATACAATACAAGCGGAGAGGTACACAGTGACAGTAACTGTATAACATCGTTGCGCCGAGGATCGCTTGTCGTCTTTGAACTCTCCGCCGATCATCGACTCGCTCACAATGCATCAACACCCAATTTTACAACATGCTTTCAACGGATTTCGAATATACATTGTAAATCTCTCTATATATCGCGTCAACAGGCATAAATCGATCGGGTTCGTTGAAACGATAACACTATTCTCCGGGCTTTTAAATATTTCTGGTGAAAATACACAACGATAGTTCCTCGTATTATCTCTGAATTGATCAACAGGCTCAACAAGTCTGTTACCGCGAACGTGATAAAGCGCGCGGTACAGATTCAGGAATCATATAAATACAAATCTACAGTCAATCGTTCCTGCAATCGCGACGAGATCGAAAATAATCTCGAAATTTCCTGATTTTCGACCATGCTCAACATCGTCCTAGGAGCAGTCGATCACAGAACAACTCGGGGAGGGTGGGAAGTAAGGAAGAAAGGAGAAAGTATCCGGAATGTATCCGGAATTCAGCGTGGAAGCAAATACTTGTCGACTACAGTCTCGTCGTTTGTAGATTCTATAAATAATCACACGCGCCAATGTAACGCTCGAACATACCGAACCTGTGGTCATGGACGCGTTTCGTCGCATCCCCCTTTCGCCTCACCAAGACGAGATCCTCGGCCTTAGTGAGGATTTCTAGCCGGAATAGGCGGCCCGCCGCCTGTTCTAGCTGGAACAGGAGGCGGAACGCTCGACGGCGGCAAACTGGGTGGCAGATGTTGCGGCGGTGGCGGCGGAGGAGCCTGCCTGTGCGGCAACAAGGGTGGTATCGAGCTGGGAGGTGGTCTGCTAGGTGGCAGTCGACTCAACGGTTCCTGAGGGCCATCCATGCGCGGTAACGGGGGTGGCGGTCGATTCGGTACGGGGTAACTGGACGAGCCGTCCGGGATCTCCTCGTAGATGGCAGAATCCGGCGACAGTCTGCCGCTTTCGTTCTGCTGACGATCTTCCGCGGCTTGATCGGCGACCGCTGGTGCCGATGCTGTCGACGTCGGCGGTGCGAATTGATTGTGGAATACACTGAAGACCCCAGCTCGAGGACCCTGCTTCCGTTCTTGAGCGGGACTCCTCGGTGGTTGCGTGGGTCGACCAGGTGGCGCCGGTCTCGGCGGTGGGAGCACGTCGCTCGGGCTGCTTCTATTGGGCGACGCGCGTTCGGCGATCTCCAACTTCTCCAACCGCTGCATGGGACTCCTGAGCGGCGAGCTCGCCGTGAACTGCGCGACTGTGGTGTTACTGCAGATCTCGATCTCCTTCTCGATCAGCTGCACCCAGTCGGGCGATTTCAGTGACAGCCTCAGCGTCTGGCCGCATACCTGCGTCATGCCCTTCTTCGCAGCGGCCAAGGCGCACTGGCCGTCCCTGAACGTCACCCAGATAGTCTCGCCGACGTAGCGCACTAGGATCGCCTCACCGATGTGAGACAAGTCCTGAATCAACGCGAACATGAGGTTGTTGTCGAACACGCTATCCATGTCTTCGAACTCTTCCACCGCCTTGACGATTATCGTGCCGTCCGGCGGCCCGAGGTCCTGTATCACCTCCTTGAACACGCGCTCGCGTTTCTCAGGATCGACGCAGTGCACGTCGATGTCGATGGTAGCGATGACCGGCCGATGATCGCTTTGCTTCAATTCCGCTCTGCCATAGTAAACGAGTCTGCCCGGATTCCAGTCTGTAGGAGAGTCTGAGAAATAGTGATCGTTGAATACAATGATATCTGATCACGTATCAAAGACGCGCAGTACAAGTGCAAGAATTGAACCAACCGATGTCAGGTACTTGTTTCCTACGTTTCCATAGAACTCGGTCCGTCCACGCGGGTTGCCGGCATTTCTCGCTGGTGTCGTAATCGTCCGAGAACAGATCATACTTGTACGTAGGCGCAAAGGTGATGGGTCCCTCCAGGAAGTTCTTGAAGACATTGCCTTGATCTTGTTGAACCTTGAAATACGAGAAATTTGCTCGAGCAACATTATAAACTACTTCAACGAATATCTGTCCGAATACCGGCTTTTCTTCTACACGGGTCTTGCACCAATTAAGCAAAGGTAGAAACATGATATATTATTATGTCGATGTTGCAACATGGTTGTTCTAGATTTCGTATGAATGTCAGATGTTATACAATACCCTCAATTGATCGTATGCCAATATTTGATCGAGTTCGTTCCGTTTGATCAGCTCCTTCATCTCGTCCTTGTCCATGTCGACTCTGTAGTTGAAGTCGCCGCACCAGAACACATAGTCGTGGGTGTTGAGCGTTCTGCCCATGGGAAACGTAATCTTCCTCGTGATCTCGGCGTAATCGGCGTTACGCTCATTCACCTGGGACTGACCGGCGGCGAAGTGCGCGCAGACGAAGCAGAAGGAGGTGGAGTACAGCACACATCTAATTGCTGCGGCACCTTTGTTACCGGTGGCACCTCCTAATCCCGTCTTCACGCAATCCACCGCCACGTCCCTCAAATAAGGTGCGTGTTCAGGACGTATGAACAAATAGAGGCAGACGCCGACCAGTTGCTGATACGTCACTAGGACGTACTCCGTGTTATCCTTAGACAACACCTTTTGCAGTTCCTCAGCCCAAGCCTTGGCATTGTCCGAACTGGCAGCCATGATGTTGCTGGCGTTCAGATCGACAATTTCTTCGAAACCGATCGCAAATATATCCACAGGTACGTCGTCACGTTGCTCCAAAGTCACTAAAGCTGAAAAGAGAAAGTTTATATGCATCGAAAAAAGAATTATTTAGAAATGTAATTTCCTTTTACCTATCATATTTATAATTATATCATATTAATGTTATTCTAAATGTATATTATACAAGCCCGTATATATATTTCTCAATTTACAATACACCCACACACACAACACATAAGAAAAGTTTATAGTGACCAAATGCATCCAACGAGAAGATACTCACAGGGAGACTTGCGCGGCCCATCGAGTAACCAATCGGACAACGACACATCCTTATAAACTACGCTCCTGAAATGCTTCCCTCCGTTGACGTTGTAGGTACCGACGCTCACCCGGAGATTCATTGTTGTCACGTACTCGTTGTAGCGCTTACACATCTCCCTCAGGACATTCGGTGCGGCGTGCAGCATGTTGGAAGGCAACAGTAGACGTGCTCTGTCGGCCAATTCTGTATTCAATGTCGATCCCAACAGCAAGACATCGATCGCCTCCTGCTTGCTGGAGTCTAACAAGTTGTTCTGTATCGTTCTAGCTGCCGATCGTGCACCGTCCATCAGCTTGGAGCTACCTTGGATGGCGCCAGTGCCCGCGTAGATCTTGCTGACCTCGTTGCCGTTGTTGATCCACATCTGGCGGAATACTTCCTCGAACCGCGACACCATCTGCTGCTTTTCCATCAGCTTCAGCAGACCCATCTGCTTGGCCAACAGCTCGAGCGCGAAGAACGTTTGCACGCAGTTTGTTCTGTCCAAGCAATCCAGACAGTTTGTCCGGATGGTGCCGGTCTGTTCGAGGATCACAGTGTTGCCGACCGCGTAAAACAACGAAAACGATTCTAGGTATTTCTCGACTTTCGCCTTCAGTTTCGACAAGTTCTTCATATTACCACCGCGGCACTCTTGATGATAATCGAATAAGATGTGTGGCACGTCCTTATGTTCCGACATGTTGTGGTGGGTCTGAAACAACTGGCTCAACATCGCCTCGCCCTCCTTGCTGCCGATTAGACTCGAGCCGAGGAGATTGACGATCACTTGTTGACCGTATCTCTTCTTGATCATCTCCAAGTGTCTGTCGAAGGCAGGCGCAGAGGTCTCGAAGCCGCGCGAGATCTTCACTTTGTGGGAGCCGACTTGTATGCCAGGCTGTTCCCAGAACAACGGCACCGAGCCTCTCGTCTGGACGTAGGAAGTCACTTCGTTGTCTATGTAGATCACCTGTTCGGTCTCCACAAAATTCGCCACGTGCCCATCGTCATTGGTTCCTCGAACATTGAATCTGCACATGAGAGACCATGTTCAGAATTTCAGCAAGATGATAAGCCCAATGATAATAGTCAGTAAACGCCAATACTCTCGGTTATCACCAAGCCATGTGCGTTCCAGTGAACTTCGCTTATCAGTTGAAACGCACACGCGATTGCATATTGGTTATATGTTTGGAGAGAATTAAAAGATGTAAGTCGCGTGCTTTCTTATCAAATATAGCTAATTCGTGACGTTAAGAAACAAGATAAGCTTGTTTTCAAGCGCATCGCTTGCGTATCTCTTCCTGGTACCGGGGAAAACATTCGTCTTACCTAGTGCCAGCGCGTTCGCAACTTAATCTAGACATAAGCACCGCGCGGGCTTGTCTATGCCCGACGTAGACGGTTCTTATTTCTACGCTGCCACACATTGCCTTTAACAGCCACTGACTCGTATCCACGCCATATCTCAGCAGATGAATATGCAGCATACGGTTCCTGCGATTGCAGAAACAGTTTAAAGACTACATTTCTTCCTTCCATTCCAACTTTATACAATACTTTATACCAACTTTATAAAATAAGGCCTGTGACTGGATTTTGTATATTGTGCAAAATTGTTTTATATTTCCAAAAATAAGAGCTCAGCAGGATTATTACTTACCAGAAGAACCTGTTGTCCGTAGTCATGGATTTGCATCTTCTCTGAGCACTCAAAGTAATGTCAAGTGACTCCTGTCCAGCAGACCAGGAGAAGTAAAACGTGCCGGAATTGAGAACCTTCCTGACTTCAGATACACGATCTTCAGTCCCTTGATTGTAAAACAAAGGCACGAAGCTAGACTGTGTGATTCTGAAGACCTCTGATTCACCAATTTTTCCCACGGAGAAGCACCCAGTAACCAGAACCAGATACAGCAGAGTATTTTCTCCTGCATTCAGTTGCAGAACACCCAGACATCCATAAGCATCCAAGAGCTTATTGTATTTTGGTTTTAGGAACTCGTGCTCTTCGCTGGCTATAAAATATATACTAGTGAGAATCTGAGATTGTTCTCAATGCTGAAATATGCACTGTAATAAATTTCATCATTCTCTTCTCTATAATTCTTTAAAATAGTATCATAATGTAAAATCATATTAAATATTTATAAAGAATATTAAATACTTATGAAAAAATAATATTAAATGTTTATAAATTCTCTATTGCTTATAATAATTGTTATAACTCATAAAAATAAAAGCAGAAATCAATATTTTTCTAGATAAGATTTAAGTTTATAGATATAGATAAGAGATAAAGAATATATGACCACAGAGTTTTACAATATATATTGCACTTAATGAAGCGCAAAATTGATTATTATCTCAAAAGGCAATAACAAGATCTTTGAGAAGAGTAAGAAAGTATCGCTTAGCTAATATTGCTCAGCTAATAATGCTCAGCTAATAATGCTCTGTTATCTTTAATAAGCATATCCTCTTCTCCATTTTTATAGAAACTACTCAATTATCTGAGAGAAACTAATTTTAGAGACAGCGCTTGCTTTAACTTCGTTAAGATCATTTCTCTGCTTTGTTTAAGTAATCGCAAACTTTCACCGGAGAAACCGCTGGGACGAATATGAGAAGACGGTGGAGTGTGAGAGACTCAGATCTGCGTCTTGATAAAACAATGCGAAGCTGTCAAATCGGTTTCTTTCATACGTCACTTTCCATTCACCGTCTTTTTTCATCATCGTGGTCCGTATACACGCGACTATCTCGCTTTAAATGAGGAGGGTGCACGTGAGTGCAAGTAAAGTGAGCATATCCACGAGAACGCGGCGTCGCCGGTGATACTTTATTAAGTTCGACCGAGATTCAATCCATTATACTCACAAAGAACAGCGACTGCCTGCGACTCAAAGAGCAGCGTCTCCTTGCGATTTCGTTGCTCGAGGATGAGCGAGTGTGGCTTGGGCGAGTCTAATTTCTCGTAGATGCGAAAACCCTTGCCCATCGCCATTGTTGCGGTGGCTATTGTGTCTTTCTCTTTCTATCTTGCTCTCTCGCTTTCCCCACCTGCGAGCGCGGCAACAACTCGGACGCTCTATGGAGAGACGTAACGACGAGTCTGCCTGTCATACGACGCGACGCGGCACGGCGGTGACAGACCGTGACAGATCGGTGTTCGGTGACGTGCTCACCGTGACTTTACTAACCACACTCCGACATAGCCGATCCGCTAGCCAGTTGATATGCGATTACAAACGGCCTCTTTCGCGTCATCTAGTGGTCACATGCAAAAATAACTGATCGGTTAACGACCCACCTATCGCCATCTAACGATGTCATTGGCAAACCTATCATTTCTGATAGATTCGAATCTCGGATGAATAAAAAAAAAAATCAACGCATCTTTGCAGGCTTTTGCAGTGACCAATAAATTGGCTAACCTTATATGTGTCATGTGTTACGATTGAATGGTAGGTTAGACGAAAACTTAGTTCTAAGCAGATTTTCCTTTCTTCTTCCAAGACAATATTACATAATTGTGCATTTTCCATCTACCCAAGGATATATATTCTTTTTTAAATTATTTACATTGACACTGCAATTACAATTATCTACCACACACAAATCAAAATATGTAAAACAAATATATAAAATTAGAATATTCTTACTCAGAAGCAAATGCTTTTTCTAAATACTATTATTTGTTAAGAGCATTCGGCTTCTTTTAATATTACCAGTCTTACAATTGTTAACACTGCTGGCGAATCTCAATGAATTCAATGTCTCATTGTAACATTCATCTAACGGAGATATATTTAGCAACATCAGAGTCTTCGAATTGCCTCCCAGAGAAGGCATGAGTAGATGAGTCAATTTAGAATTTCTGTAGGGAATATGTTCCTGTTTTTTTAAAAGTGCTAAAATGACATTACCGAGATTCGCTAGCGATTTGTTAATATTTTTTGTTTCTGTGGTCCTAGCTGCTTCGTCGCTTTTTAAACGTTCGGATCCAGCTAAGTCAACAAGATTCAAATTTCCCACCGATACTTCTTGTTTTGTAACATGCGTACCGATTAATCGTATTCGCGCCACTGAGTGTGATCTGGATGATCTATAAAGCAAGTCATAAATAAATAAATGCGACTTGGTCTTGCAGCCTTAAAATATATAAAATATATAAGTAAATAAATCTGTACTACTTAACCATTCTATCAAATTTTTATATACGAAAATAACTTACACTTACCGTTCATTTGATTGAGTAGCTGCAACAGCTCGATTGCATTGCGCAGTTCGAAGACATTTATGCAACTCATCTGGGCTGTGTATCTCTTCTACTCGAAGATTGCTGACATATAAATCTTGTCCTTTACTATCGACCATTCGTATCTCATGTGTCTTCGGCTGAGAATCGAGAAGATCAACAATGTGTTCATTGTAAATTTCCAGGAAACTTGCTTCTATCCGATAATGCCAGCCAAGGAGCTCAAACTGCTTCATTTCTTTAAATATATGTCGTACCTAAAATTATACTTGTACAACTACTACCTTCCAAGAATTAGAGGAATATAAAAAGATATAACATACACAAATGTTTCGCGTTATTCAAATCAAAATGACTTTATCAATTTTTAATAATGTGATCATGATTATGAAATAACATACTGTTCTAGGTATCATTCCTTCAGTCTCCAGAGTGTATTCTCCTTCCATAGTGTATGTTTTGCCAGAGCCAGTTTGGCCATAAGCAAACACACAAACGTTATATCCTTCAAGTGCAGATTGTACCAAAAGAGACAACTCCTCGAATATATCCTCTTGCGATGCATTAGGTGCAAACACTTTATCAAATGAGAATTCTTGCTTCATGCCCCGTTGCTTTCCATTATAAGTTATCACATCTGATCCATCCAACTTGCCTATTTCAATAGTGCAGTCATCTAGGAAGTTTATGCTACATGTTCTATGAATAAAACAGACAATAGCTTTGTTCAAATTTGTAGAAATTATAATTCAAGTTGCACAAAAATTATAATTCGTTTATGTAATATGAGAGAGGAATACTCTGGAAAAAGTACTTACATCTTCATAAGTTCCATTTCCTTTGGAGTTCTAGGGCGAACTCTACAAAAGACTCTGATATTACCTTTCAATTCTTGTATAGTGTTGTGCAGTAATCTACGTTCTTTGTCCATCTTATGAGTCAAAGTCTGCAACTCATCTCTCACAGTATTCAAATCCTCGTTTACTTTCTTCTGTAACTCCAAGTCAGTTCTCAGAGTTGTTAACTGTCCATTCTGTTCAGAAAGCAATATTTTTTGTTCACCATGTCTTTCTTGAAGTTCCTTCAACATGTGAGAAACATTTGTGCATGATTCTTCAGATTCTTTTAGACGTTTTGTTAAATCTGCTTGCTGCTGTCGCATCACAGACATTTCTGCCATTAAAGTTTCAAGTTCATTGCTTAATGTATTATTAGAAATCTCAAGTTGTTCAGCTTTGGCTCTGCATACAGCTTCGCTAGCTTTGAGAGTATCAGTTAACTCTTTGAGCTCATTGTACTTTGTCTCTATGTCCTTATTCTTCTGTTGTGCAAGTGATAGTTTATCACTTGCCTGTGCTAATCGACCTCTCAAATCCCATTTTTGTATCTTGCCCGCATCATTCTGATTTCCTTTGTTTGTTGCATTATTGTTGACTGCATTAGGCCTATTCACTAATGCTTTGGGTTTAACAAATGGTCTCTTTGCTTCACTTACAGTAGTAACTGTGGTAGCTGTTCTTTTAATAGGCTTTATATTATTTGTCCGTGTAAATGTAGTTAATGTTTTTGAACGAACTAGAAGCGGCTTAGGTAATGGTTTGGTCTCATTTGTAGTTTTGGTACTTGTTGGTTTCACAGCATTCTCTCCACTTTTAACTGCTTGTTGCTTATTATTAGTATTGATATCCATTGTATTGATTGTCTTCTTTACTATAATTTTTGGCTTTGGTAAGCGAGATTCCATCTATCAAGAACAGAATTTTTATGTTTTAGAGAATTCATTCTTTCATTCTTTAATATATATATCGACTATAATGTAGCATTATATGCATTACACAACTTATGCTGTACATTTATGAAGCAACTGCTAGTTAAAACCTTATACTTTATTCTAAATAATTCTTCATTAACATTATCAAGAAAGAAATTATACTGCACACTTTAAATAACACATGCATTCAAATATAATATTGACTCATGCAAAAGCAAAATACATTAAAAAATTAAATAATATCCTCACTGTATCTCCAATTACTATATATCCAAAGTCTTGAACTAAACGTTCAATTTGCATAACGAAAAATTATGTATATCTGATAAACGAGAAAATGTACAAAAATAAATGTTGATAATATACGTCAAACTATTTCAAAAACAAACCTCGTAGCTCACAATATTATACTCAGTCCTTCAGTCGCAGCACACAGTCGCAACACAAGTACAATCCTTTACGAGTAAACTATCGTAAAATTACCTAATGCTCGCGCGTCAGTGACATGTCTGTTCGCCTTACGAACCAATAAGTTTTCTCGCGAGAAATTAATCGGTGATTCTCGTGATCTTGAACGGTGTGCAGGGATTCGGGTAAAACCAGCGCAACGACCGGCGACGACTTTCTTTCTTCTCAAGCTCGACTGGATAGCGGTTACAAGAAACCGCTGCCTCTATTCAAACTTGAATTCAATCACATTGTACATCGGCCTATGAAAGAGATGAGAAACTTTCATTCCAACGAATACTACGTGAGATACGATAGACGGGCCAATCACTTGTGTCACTGCAGAGGGCATTGTCAAACTCGATTGTTTCTTCATGATTTACCTTACAATTATGAAAAAAATCGCAATATTGCTAAATGCTATGGAATTTTTATTTCTTTCTCTTATTTCTACTCTATATCTTTTATTATGATATATTATCATCGTATCTATTATGTTTTATCAGTTACACCTTCTGTATTTTCTCGCGATCTTCTCTTTCTTCGATGCACTACAGAAAGTGCAATACTTTTCAGAGAAAGAAACAAATATCAAATAATTCTTCCTTTCCTTCATTTGATAAATATTTAAGCATATCCAAATAATGTTATTTGGCAATAATATGGCGAATACAAATCTAATCGTTTTATTAAACGAGTTTTCTATATCGCGTTCAACCTGGCTACAAGCATGATCGTCTCTTTTCAAGTGCAGAAAGTGCAGAAGAATGTAGTTTGATGAACGAACTATATTTTACAACTATACTCGGTTTCTGCTCGCTTTACGTGATTTGACGTTTTCACGTCGATTCGAGTGATTGTCGATTGAGTTTAGTCAAGTTTAGTTATCGGCAAATATGGCGCGTGGTAGCAGTGCTGGTTTTGATAGACATATCACAATCTTTTCGCCGGAGGGCCGGCTTTACCAAGTGGGTAAGGATCACGACGATATCCGACGCGACTTTGCAAGCAACGTTTATGTTATTCGCGTGATTGCTCGCGCGAATCATTCGTTTTCTCGTTCGTTTATTCACGCCGATGACTCTGCGTGTTCTTCACCTTCGAGCTTGTAAACATTACCGATTCCCCGAAATTTGTTTACAGAATATGCTTTTAAAGCAATCAACCAGGGTGGCCTCACGTCCGTGGCTGTTAAGGGAGTCGACACCGCTGTATTCGCGACACAGAAGAAAGTACCTGTAAGATAACCTCCAAAAGTGATACTCATTTCATGTCCGGTTGGAATTCCTATGTGATTGATGTCCTTTTAGTGTTCTCTATCGATTCTGAATTATATTATCTATATTTATATGAATTTACAAGTAAGCAAGCAAACACTATAAACATGACTCATCCTTTTAGGACAAGTTGCTTGATGCATCCAGTGTCACTCATGTATTCCACTTGACCGAATATATCGGTTGCGTTATGACGGGTATGATAGGTAAGTTTGGATACTTCATAATCATTTTGAACCTGTACATTTAAGTATTTTACCTTTTGACTTGTGTTTTAAATGTTAACTTTTGATTTCTGCTCTATAGCTGACAGTAGGTCTCAGGTTCAACGTGCTCGTTATGAAGCTGCTCACTTCAAGTACAAGTATGGCTATGAAATACCTGTGGATGCTTTGTGTCAGCGTGTTGCTGATATCAGTCAGGTGTACACACAGAATGCTGAGATGCGACCACTTGGTTGTTCCATGATGCTCATTGCATATGACAAAGAAAAGGGTCCTTGTATCTACAAGGCTGATCCAGCTGGATACTTTTGTGGCTACAGAGCTATCTCTGTAGGTGCAAAACAGACAGAGGCGAACTCATATCTTGAGAAGAAACTAAAGAAGAAGCAGAATTATGATTATGATGAGACCATACAATTGGCAATCACATGTCTATCTACTGTTTTATCTGTAGATTTTAAGCCAACGGAGATTGAAGTTGGAGTTGTATCCAAGGATAATCCAAAATTTCGGTAATTTATACATAATTTTAATCTCATCTTCTACACTTATTAATATATACAAACATACACACATATATATATATATATATCATCGTTCTCATTGGGAATTTTTTATTGCAGTGTCCTGACCGAGCAAGAAATTGATAAACATCTAACAGCAATTGCTGAAAAGGATTAATGATATTGTATACAATTCATAATAAATCATATAATATCTTGTGTAATACATTTTTCTATTTGTTATTTAAGGTGTTACGCATATTGATATAAAAAGTACACATGAAGAAATATGCAATGTGTTAATAAATACGCTTCTGCAATACTTTATTATATATATATTATATATATATTATATATATATATAAAAGCTTTATTCAAAGCGCAGCATTTATTACCAGTGCACCTTAGATTATAACAGTTAAGAATTATCCTTAATGTATTTGATGAGAATTGATGAGAATTGATGATTTGATAGAAGAGTCTTTATTACTTTCCTGCCGCAGTGGCTAATGGATTCCTTAAAACTAAGATTACAGAATCTCCACGTAGAAACATCTTGGGGATAAATCTATCTTTGTTTACTGGTTTTGCCTGTAAAAAATGTCAATATTAATATTACACAATATTTAGAAATGTTAATATCTCAGCTCAACAATGACTTGATAATAATTTTCTGGATTATTAAATTGAAAATAATCTTCAAATATTGTGAACATAGCTGAAGAAATATAAATGATAATTTTAAACAATAATTATCAAATAATTATATTAAAAATCTTGGAATAAAATTTTTAGACTGCTCATAAACAAAATCATATTTGAGAGGTTTTAAATTCTTTGGAAATATATATGTAAATAGTAACTGTACCTTTTTTTTCCCTTTTCCAGTACGTGGAAGTTCTGTCCACATCTCTTTTACATTTTCCAAAACCATATTACAATGTCTGTCAAATGCTTTAACTCTTCCCAGAAGCTTCTTGTTGTTCCTACAATTTATTAGTACCTGTGTGTTGTTTTTGACAGATTGAGTAAGAACTGAGAGAGGTCCGGTGTTGAATTCTTCTTCCTCTCTCTTTGCTAACTCCTCCGGCGTCATCTCGGACTTTGGCTTAGTTAGAGAAGACCTAAAACAAGAACGATTAAGTCGTTAATAAAACAAACATTTCTTAAAATACGTGCAGTTGGTTATATTATTAGAAATATTTATTATTAGAAATTATCTAGATGTTTAAATTATTATTATTATGTAGCTAAACAAAATCAACAAAATTAAGGTTAGATGCGCATCAGAGTTCTATTCGAGACATGATAAATCTTAATGAATTAGCGTCAAAAATGAGTCAAAATTTAATACAACAAATGCGAAATAAATACTTACATTCTGTAAGATGTCTATTATACAAATGTATTGATTATTTCTAAGAATATCAATTATTGATTTAAAAACCACGAGCAAAACTCCTCTTTCGGCGCCTCTTTGTCAAGTATTATGAACCGCATTGTATGAAACAAAATCTCCTAGCGGCAGAATTTCCAAGCTGCGTCACGCTCCATCGAAAGAACTAGAAGAAATCAAGGCTGCGTTCCGATATTCACTACCAACACTGAAATTCTATAATATACGTGACATAAACTACGTATTTTCAGTATTGGCAGTGAATTTCGGAACGCAGCCCAAATATCTCCAAATAAAAGCGCGAAATTTAAACGTAAAATTAGAGAAATGTTTTCATTCTCGCACATTGTTCCTAAAATATTTCATATTTAATTGTTCTCATTATTAGATTCCTATTGTAATTTATATACGTTGTTTTATTCACACAGCGTCTTGAGATTTACCAGCTTAATCTTAATAATAAAATAAGATTTTCTTTTCGTTTATAATGAGATATCAATTATTTTTGTAGAAGAAAAAATATTAATTATCTAATTTTCTAATTTTTGACATTATACGCTTTTATAATTAAAATTTAAGTTAAAAATTTCTTAAAATTTCATTGAAGTATCAATCACGAAGAATATGTCTTGTTACTTATTTGTCTCCCTCAGAAATTTTGAACGTTTAAAATGCTTCTCCTCTCCCATTTTCCATAATCCTGAAAATTAAGAGGGCTACAATATTTAAAAAAAAATTTTAACTTTTTGCGTAATATATCATTAAAGTCGATAGTCGTACAAAATGTGGTTCTTTTATAGATATCGCGGTATCTTGCTCTTTCGTAACTCTTAAATTTTGTTTACTCCATCGACGTAAGGTTATATACGTTCATTATCTGTACAAAAATGTGGCATACGTAAACTGAAAAGACCTTGTACACTCTCCTTCTCTTCATTGACCGTCAATCGTCGCATAACTGTTATTCTGACTCGTTATCGCAGCAATTGTTCACTGATAACACGCGCAAATGTCGAATAAAGGTAAGCGCAATTAATAGATTTTATTAAACCTATTAACATTTAATGTCATTGTTGTTATGTAGTCTAATTCGAGTATTAATAGCTATAATATAAATAACACAATAATAAATAATAAAATACAACATTCTTCATAATTTTCTTTATTTTTAGAAGAATAAATATATTTTCTATATATTCACTGATAAGGTATAACCAGTATATATATATATATATATATATATAATAACTAATATATATTATGGAAAATAACTAATATATATATATATATATATATATTAGTTATTATATATTGTATATACTAACTAATAACTGATGAATATTTTGATTTGTAGAATTTGGTATGTAAAAGAAAATTAGTATTATAATATTTTGTCATATGTCTTACATAGTTTAAATGTTATGTATTATTTCCTACCGTTAGAGCAAAAAATTATATAATGCAACTTACACATAATATTGATGGTCAGGTTTTAATTTGTTATATAATCATCTGAAATTTGTAATAGACGATGGATTACAAGGTCAGTCCAAACGTGAAACAAGCGATGAGAAAAATGACTCCTTATTCGTATTTGATCCAATTGGTTAGATATTAAAACATATTTCAATATTCACTTATTTCTAATTTACTCACTTGGCATATCATTAAAATATTCATTCACGTTATATATTTTGTAGAACATCAACACATAAGATATAATCCTCTAAGAGGAGAATGGGTGCTGGTATCCCCTCATCGTATGACACGACCTTGGGGAGGTCAGATTGAACCCAATACTGATGAGGAGTTGCCCGATTATGATCCCAATAATCCACTCTGCCCAGGAAACATCAGGGCGAATGGAGAAGTCAGTTCCTTAACATTTTATTTGAGCATGATATGCAAATGAAGTTCTGTTGTTTAATCACTTTTGTACTATTGCACTATTTGTGATCATTATCTTATATCGCAGGTGACTCCAATATATCAAAACACATACTCGTTCATCAATGATTTTCCCGCTTTATTAGAGTCGGTGCCAGATCCACCGAAAGCGGACGATGAGTTGTTTCAGATGGGCTCCGCCAAAGGCACTTGCAAGGTGATGTGCTTTCATCCGAAGTCGAACGTAACAATAGCACTGATGAAAGTTGGCGAGATCAAAAAGGTGGTGAAACGGTTAGTGGCACTCGTATCGAGTGCTCACATTTTCGAGGAATTGAATACATTGGAGAATGCAACAGGTGGATCTTTGAGATGCTGGAACTAGGCGAGAAATGGTTCTGGGTACAGATATTCGAGAATAGAGGCGCTCTGATGGGCTGCAGCAACGCTCATCCTCACTGTCAGATATGGGCTAGCTCGTTTTTACCAAATGAAGCTAGAATAAAAGACCGGTATTTTAGCGATTATTACAAACGTAACAAGAAGCCTCTTCTCGTGGACTACATGCAGAAGGAAATCTTAAAGAAAGTCAGTGTTATAACTGTATATAAATGTATCTCCTTATAGGGTAAAGAAGTTCAGAGGCAACGTTTGACTTCTCTACATTCAGCATACAATCTTCGGCATTCATATGATTTGAGCAATTTACAGGATCGTATCGTGATCGAAAATCGCGATTGGATAGTCGTGGTGCCGTTCTGGGCAATTTGGCCGTATGAAACTATGTTGCTGCCGAAAAAGCAAGTAACCAGAATGCAGGACTTATCAGACAGTCAACAGGAGTCTCTATCGGTCATCATAAAGAGATTGTGCACCAAATACGACAATCTCTTCCAATGCTCTTTTCCGTATTCGATGGGATGGCACGGTAAACTATAACGATATTTAGTCACTTAACACTTGTACATCATATATTATTTTGTTATCGTAATTATTACAAATTGGTGAATTTACAATTATAGGCGCACCGACAGGTCCGCATCTCAACGATGATTATCCATATTGGACTTTCCATGGGATATATTTACCGCCTTTATTGCGATCTGCTACCATAAAAAAGCATATGGTCGGCTATGAGCTTCTGGCCCAGGCGCAGAGAGATCTGACGCCGGAACAAGCAGCAGCGAAATTAAGAAGCTTACCAGATTCTCACTACAAATATCCAGAAACTAGTCTGACTGTGGAAGAGATAGAAAAATATTCGTCTTCAACTTACAATTATAAATAGTAGTAACATTTGTAAATAAAATATGTAGATTTCTAGAAACTATAGAAAATAAGAAGGGGAGAACTTACGGATTAATATATATATATATATCTCTTTAAACTGCATACATGTATATATAATTCAAAAATTTGTTTCATAAAAAAATTAGATTTTTATGATCTAAATAACATTATCAGTAAAATATAAAATGACATAATTATATATATGTGTATATATATACATCTTATACTTAATATTTTGGAAAATTTGGATCAATTTCATTGCTCCAAGCGTGAATACCTCCAATTATATCCCTTATATTTAAAGTATTTTCAGTAAATGTTTTTTTCAGACATTGCACGGCTTTTTGCGAATCATTGCCGCGTCTGCATAGAAGATATACTGGAAAAAGAATAAAAATGTAATATACGCCTCTAATTTTATTACTATATGTCAATCAGACCAAAATATTTTACGAAAAACTATAATATCATAAGTATGATTCTTACAATTTACTATAGGTTGTTTTTCCTGCACCTTCTTTACGCTATCTCTTATTTGTTGCAAATTATGTTCCTTGTTGATTTCTGTGAATGGAATGTTGATCGAATCCTGTAAACGGCAAATCTGATATTCTTCGGGTGAACGTACGTCAATCAACACATGAAGTTGCAAATGGTCTTTTGCGATTCGATTATATTCTTCGACCGTTATCCTTTCTTCTTTTTTGAGCAATTTCAAATTAGGTTCTTTGTCATTTGCTTTTGCACCACAGAACTCTTCGTAATCTATCAATTCGCGTATAACAGGATGTTCTCCGCAAACGACGCAGTTTGTGTTCTTCGAACGTAGACGTACGTTCATAAACTTGGTTTCCATTGCGTCAAATAATAACATTCGTTCGGAAGTTACATCAGGTAGCTCAAGCATGATTTTTAACGCTTCTAGTGCTTGCAATACACCAATTATTCCTACAGCTATATATTCCATATTAAATAATATATCAAATGAAGAATTTATGTTCACTGCAAGACATAGAAATTGTTATTACCTGCACCGAGAATGCCTCCATCTCCACAGTTTGTTACAGTTTCTGGCGGAGGAGGTTCGGGAAATATGCATCTGTAGCAAGGGCCGTTGTAATTAAATACCGTTAAGTGCCCTTCGAACCTCAGTGCTGATCCGGAAACTAGTGGCTTTCCGCTTAAGACACATGCATCATTCAGTAAGTAACGTGTGGCTACATTATCTGTGGCATCCAATACAATATCATAATTCTTTATGATATCCAAGGCATTCTTACTATCCAGCTGGATTTTATATGGAGTGACCTTGACATTACTATTTAGCCTGTGATTATATATATATATATATATATAAAATAAATAGAATATAAGTTTTTGCAACAAAAGCATGCAAGCAAATTGTTACACTTGTACATGGTTATATATTTGTTTATTATGTATCATATTATTATACCGATTAATAGTTTCTGCTGCTGCTGTCACTTTGGCAGTACCAATGCTTGCTTCCATAAATAATATTTGTCTATGAAGATTGTTTAACTCAATATTATCATAGTCTACTATGCCTATGTGACCAACCCCACTGCATGCCAAGTATAAAGCAGCAGGACAACCAAGACCACCTACTCCTACTATAAGTACAGAACTGTCCTTTATCTTTTTCTGACCTAAAAAGGAACAAAACGATTATCAAAAACAATCAATTGTTCCCTATATTCTTATATTATTAAGATAAAATTATAGTATTAAAGTAACAAACCCTGCACATTGATTTCTCGTAGGAAGAGCTGTCGACTATATCTGAGAATTTCGTCATTGCTCAAGCCATATTCCTGTACAATTTGCTTCTTGCGTTGCAAATCAGCCAATTCAGCCTCCTTCTCATTCAATGTTGCCCGTAACTCCGCGATAATTTTTTTCAAGTCATCCTCATTTTTTCCTATCGACATGTTGTGTACCTGTGAGAATATAACAATATAAATATTAATATTGATATAGCCTTTTTCCTCTCAAGCGCTTTAGAAAAATTTCCATACATGTTTCTCTGTCTTATCTTGCACTTAACTTAACCTAACTTGATCCAATCTAATCTGAATTATTAGATAACAAATAAAGTTCTTCTTAAAACAATATCATAAGTAAAGTTATCATGAGACGAATATATCAATATAAAATATGGTTATATATTACAATATAAAATATGCTTTTCAATTAATAAGACAAGTGTCTTTCTACTATCCGTTTTGTGTCATCGTGTTGACGACAAAACAACTCTTTTTGCAGAAAGACGGGCCAGGTGTTTTCCATTTGTATAACTTGGATCGACACGTGTGTGTCGCCGATCATAAATGGGAAATGTTCAATGAATAATATTGTAATCATATTATCATAACCTCTCAGGATTGGCTATGTAATATATAAACAATAAAAACTTCTGCAGACATGTGCATAATTCCAAACTAATTATTCCAACAGATTTCAGCGTGTGGGACATCCGCACACAATAATATTCTTTTTATCATGAATTATTCATACCACTTGATTCGACAATCTAAAATACCAAACGATCAAAATAGTTCAACCATTGACGTATGTCTCCCACGTGTCGTTGCATACATAGGTAGAGAGAGAAAGATAGAGAAAGCACACGCGCCTAAATCGAGGCAACTCTTTCGCCGTGCGACGCGCATGGTCTCGTGGTTGCATAGAGCGCAGGGATTGCTCCTGCGCGTGGGCGTACAAGGGTGAGAAAGCACGTAACGAGGGTGAGACGTCCTCGTTGAATGCCGCCGCGCTTGTGCGTCGTACGCGTGTACGCCACGAAGAGGGTGGCACGGAGCGGTGCAGAAGGTGACGCGACGGCGTGCACACACGTCGTTGTCGTCGGCGGTCGGTGGTGGTAGGAATTATGGTGGTGCAATCTGCGAGGAGCCTCGTATACGATGTACCGTTCATGCTGATGGCCACTCTGACGTTGACGCTGTTGCTGCTGGTCGATCAAGTAAGAACGGCGACGAGGGAATGCGTCCTCGTAGCTGGCCGGGAGTAGCCGCGTCGCGGAGAGACACCCTTTGTCCTCCTGTGTGTGTCGCCTCCCTAGTTTCCCCTACACGAGGAGACGCGTCCCGCATGAGAGGGAGAGACACGGAACGTTTCGCCGCGACCCTCGTCCGTACCTGCCTGCTTATAGTCTGTTCAGCTCCTCGCGCTCTCGATCAATACGCGCCCGCCGACGCCGTGCTTGTCGTTCATGCGTAAGTCTGTTGCCCGTGCTCCTCTTAACTCTTTCGTCGATGACCAGTGTCCCGCTTCTGGAATAGGGATTCTCATTGAGAAAATGGTTCTGATAATAAGTGATTCTCTTGCGAACTTCACGACGTCCGATGCCGAGCGCATTCAAGTCCTCCGGAAAGATTACGTTCCCGAAATGGGACGTGATTTTGCGGACACAAGAACGGTAAAGTTTTCATTACTCTAGACTTCTTTCGAGACCCTTATAGAATAGAAAGATAATTATAGCTCACCTCTGACATTCTTCGTATTGTAATTATGACCTTTGATGGACCAACGCTGAGCGTTCAGCGTTTTATGATTCGCGGGAAACACGGAAGCCGCCGCGAAAACCGTGTCTGTTGAGTGAATACCACGTTGTGTCGTGCCTGAGAAAGATAATGAGCTTATTCTCGCAGCTGAGCGACTCCCTGCGATAAAAGAAAAGAATTATTAGTAAAAAAAAAGATTTCAAGGGGAATCTCTCCTTTATTTCCTTTCTTTCGATAATTCTTTTAATTTTATGATTTTAATGAGTTGGTATCTTTATATTCTGAAGAGCATCATCTTGGGTCAGAACACATATATATTAGAGATGTGCGAATCAAGAATTTTTATGTCGAATCGAATCGAATCGAATCTCATTTTTTTAATTCGAATTCAAACCGAATCGAATCTATGAAATTTCATTCGAATTCGAATTGAATCGAATGAAATCGAATCGAATCATTAAAAAATTTAACATGACTATTAAACATGCAAATAACGATGGAAGATTTTAATATGAAAAGGAATACTGATATTGTAATATCATCTTAAAGTAAAATATATATTTAAATATTTAAAGTAATTGATTAATTAAGTTATTAATTATAAGTTAAGTTAATTACAAGTTACGGGTTCAAACATACAGGCCCAGATGTCCCATTTTGTAGCTGATGCACGCAAACGATAATGTATTTGATTCTTATTCGAATTATTCGGATTCGAATCATAGGGATTTGAATTCGAATCGGATCGAATTACATTAGATTCGATTCGATTCCAATTCGAATAGTTCGCACATCTCAAATATATATATATATATATACACATACATATACGTTTATATAGAGTAAAAGTAATTTATTTAATCGATAATATCCCATTCAAGCGGATTATATTTTTGAAATCAAAGTATAATGAATTTACTTTTTATTATGAAAAATAATAATACATAATTACGATTTCATTTTTTAAGGTGTCCTCTAGGCTGTGCGATGGAGGACACGTGTAAGTGCCTCGTTTTACATGCATGCATTATAATTGAGAATACACAAGACCGCGTTAAGTGCAGAACGAAGGAGCAAAATTGTAAACCAAAGAAATGCATATTTGTCACTTTTTTCAGCTGTTCTCCTCCGAAAGAGTGCTGTTCTTACGGCTGTTGTTACAGTGTTTTTACACCGGTACATCCCCATGTCTCAGAGATGTTCAATTTCTTGATTTGGACTTATTGGTATTTGTGGTTAGTACATATCTTTGCTGATATCGTTGTATGACAGAGTTAGAAAAGAAAATTTTATCGACTGAAATATTAATTGAAAAATAAAGAATTAGAGGAGACAAAAGCAAAACTTGTCCGTTATGCGAATTTTTTTCCTTGTAAACTGTACATCTCCGTTAACTCTGCTGAATTAACTTCCCTTGAGAAAATTATTAAAATATTTGGTAGTTCTACATTTTTTTGGTCGCTGATTACGAATCTAAAGTTAGATTTGCAAAATTCAAAGTGGCGGACTTAATATGGCGATCATGATGTACAAAATTAATGAAAATTCCAATTATTATTAAATAATGACCAGGTCGTAATAAGAACATATGATTCTAGACGATGGAACTCGACGAGCTGGAAAACATTTATGTGGGAAAATGTTCAATATTGCATATTTATGCTTACTACAGATTAAACATTCATTTCTGAGTAAAATTATATTGGTATGGATAAGATGGAGATACAGAATGAAAAAACTAGGAAAACGGAGCTAAAAAGTGCAAAAAAATCAAATTTCGGCCATTTTTGCAGAAATATTTGTTTACAAAAAAAAGTCTAACCTGCAAAAAAATACTGAAAAAAATATATGTTTTTGTACAATATCAGAAAAATATTTGGTGAAAATTTCAGTCCTCTACATTCAATACTCTCCGAGGAATCGATTTTTCCCTAAGAAAAAAAGCATCTTTTTCAACTTTGATTTGTTATAAATAATCACAAATGAATAATCGGGTATAAAACCCTATTGGAGTATTTTGAACAACTATTCAGTTATCTGGAGAACTCAAATCCCCGATTAGTTCTTCAAAATTATGTGATTTACAATGCAAAATTGAATCAAGAAAAGGTGGGAAGTATACTTCCCACTAACAGTGAAAGGGTTAATTCAGTTCATACAGCGACGAAGTGTTCCACTTTCAGGGCAGCGGTGCTCACAGCCTTGGCCATAGCCGCAGCGTGCGGCTTTTGGCTGTGGAAACGTCGACGTTCAACGCTGTCGGAAGACTGCGTTTCCTCGGAGAGGACTTCCTCGGGTCCGTGGTATCCGCCTCCTCATTACAGCCGATGTAGTTCCTTCGTTCAGGCCTTACCACCACCCTACAACGAGGTATCGATCGGAGCGAGAAAATCGGAGCGACATCGACGAAGGGATGATATTAAAAATCACTGTCTTCACAACATCTCTTTCTTCCACCCAGGTCACCGCAAAACCAGACCTTTATCCGCTAGTGATCGGTTACGACGAGAGTACGGGCAAAGGGACTTCCGGCTTCGTAATGCGCTACTTCAGATCGCTGTCTCACGCCAGCACGTTGGACTCGCTGAGCTCCAGCTTCATGTGCAACATGGTGAACGAGGCGAACACTATAATTCCACCGCCGTACTCTTGCAACAACAGCGTGGACGAGCTGTCGGCGGCGGGGTGCGTACGCAGAGAGACCGGCGACGTCGGCTCGGTCGTTTCCTTGACGAATCATAGAACAACTTCTGACATATCAAGCCTGGCCGCTCAATCGCCTTGTTCCCCGCCGAGAGCTACCAGCCCGACGATAGAAGTACATGTCGCTTTCTTACTAGAAATTAACATTTTAACCCTGTCGATATCCCGTTCCGATTGAAAATAATGAAAATTACGAATATTCTCCTTACACCTTAACGATAGTTAAGGGATAATATTTGAGTGAACGCCTGAAAACACAGAGTAAGTTTGGGAATTTTTTGTTGTTAAATAACAACATAGAGATAGAAAATTGGTTTGAAGACCTTTAACGTGCACACCTTAAACTACACAAAACAATTTTTTTGTCCCAAGATGGCGGCGGTGAAGTTCTCCAAGTAAAACCGCATTTTTCTCATGAGTCCCCGCGGCTTGCAGCAGAAATGCCGTACACTTTCAAAAAGGACAAAGTTTCAGTTTTATCCCAGAAATTCAGAGAAAAAATATTTATAATAACAAAAGTTTCAAACCGATCGTAAAAATCATGTGTACTTCTCTGGAGAATTTAGTTTAGCAACTACTGCAAAAATTTCGAGTGGATCGGATGAAGTTTGTTAAAGTTCTGCTGCAAGCCAATTTGAAAAACGTGGTTTTACTTGGAGAACTTCAGCGCCGCCATCTTGAGGCAAAATAATAACAAAAAATTGTTTTGTGTAGTTTAAGGTATGCAAGGGTTAGAGGCCTTCAAACCAATTTTCCATCTATGTTGTTATTTAACTACAAAATATTCTTAAACTTACTTTGTGTTTTCAGGCGTTCACTCAGATGTTACCCCTTAATCTTACACCTTCAATTTTCATACACCAATACAATCTGTCTTTCCGTAGGAAGAGGATTTTGCTACTCTGAAGAGAGTTAAGGATCTTGATGAAACTTAATTAATATCTGCATATGAAAATTATAATTATCAGTTATTTGACACAGATCTTTAAACCTCTCTTCCTTTTTCAGCTGCGAGAATTGTTGGACAAGATACAGCAGCTTCCGCACCTGTCTAACGGACACTCCATCACCAACAATAGCATCACCTCCTCCACCGTCTTGCCTTGTCAGCAGCATCAACAGCAACAGCAACAGCAACAGCAACAGAACCAGACTCCGGTCTTGTACGTGACGAGCAGCGACGGTTGCACGCAACAACGGCCTCTGAGTCCCGGTGACATCGGCTCGTACAGGGTGCGGAGGACCCGGGGCAAGCTGTACATGCCGTTAGGCCTACCGAGCTCGCGCAACAAGACGAAGCGGTGGTTGTCGCGCTCGGCACCAACGACACCTTCGGGAACGATGCCGATGTCGTTCCTGCCTGGACAGAGCAGAAGGCCGTCGGAGGCGGACAACAACAACCAGCAGGCGGTGCCGTTGCTCGCTGAGCAGGATGAAAACGAGAACAATAACGCGGATCAGCCGCAGCCAGGCGCGCCGTTACTTGCCGAGCAAGAAGAGGACCGACCGACGACATGACGCATGGTTTAACACTTAAAATGGCGTAGATTTTGGAGCAGAGCTGTCTGACGGTTCCTTCGTGTCTCTTCTTCATGTGCGCAGACGCTCGACGAATCTCCGGATCTCGAAACCGTGGCCGAATTTCAAGCTCATCTAATCCTCTTGGAACGATCAGGATCTTGAAGTTTGACTCACACGGCCCATAAACAATTGGAATATTTCAAATTTGTCGCGAAGAATTCTCGGGATCCCGAGTCGTTATCCTGTCTTTCGGCTCAATTCGAGGCTCAGCCACCAAAAATTTCGAGTATCCTCGTGTTACTACCCGAGCCGGTTACTCTGGACACATTGCGAATGTTAAATATACCTTTCTGATTCTCAAGTTGAAAAATATGTTATACAGGGTGGCCCATTTAACTTGATAATACGAAATATCTCAAAAGCGAAGAAAAAATATTTTGAGTTGGAGAAAGAAATCTTTTGAATAAAAAATGTACGGTTTAAAGGAAGATATACAATGGGTGCCCTTGGTTTGATCTTGAAATTCAAGTGTATTCAAGGTCAGATGAAGGTCAACTTAATTTTTCCAAACGGAACTCCAATTTTGTATTATATTTCTTTTTTCTCAAACCAATTAACTTCAACAACTTTTGTCTGAAACATTTTTTTGTTTGCCCAAATATCTTTTTATATATTTAAGAAAAACTTGGTAACGTTTTCAATATTTGCCTTTGGATATCTCGCTAACTATTTGTCGGAAGAAAAAATAGTACCAGACTTTTTTACTCTACTTGACCTCAAGAATATATTGTTACAATAGTGCCCTAACTTTTGTTAATTTGTCGATTTTTGGAAATTTCTAAATCATCAAATGTGATGATGTGCTTGAATGAAAAAACGAAATTTTTGTAATTAGAAAGGCATACTTACAGGCATGCGTCCAGAATAAGGCCTCTAATATGTCGAGCAGCGTGCATAATTGCATAATTACCTCCCATTTCTTTCCTTTCCTCCTTCCTCATAAGAGGAGAAGCACGTCAGGCAGCTCTGCTCGGAACCGTTCTCGCGCACGAGACCATCGACGTGAACACGATCCGCATCCATCGATCTATAAATATTTTGTAATACGGCTCTGGTAAGCAGACGCGCGAGCCTAAGGCTTCTAAACTACAGCTAGTACATACAGATAATTGCCGTTTCCGCGATACGGAAATACGAGATACCGTCGATCGATTCTTTACCGTAAGATGCAGCCTACTTTTTTAAAAACGAAATTCCGCGCAATCGGAAGGGCCATTGGGGCTGCTTCTGACGAAGCGATTCGAGGCCTTGTTCCCCTGCGTATATTTCCTCTTCCTAGCGTTCGAATCTGTCGTTGTACTTGAGGTAGAGTCACCTATGGCACCCTAGACACGGAGCAAATGAAGAGCCGCTACGAATAGAAACCTTCTTTGCTTTCCTAAGGAACATAGAGTGTAATATTGTGAGGATAATAATGTAAAATCTCATGGTCCCTTCCGATTCTGCGGTAATAATAAACCGAAGTCGCTGATATGGTTATACAACTTCTCGCCGCCTTACAGCTAAAGTAAGCTTCACTTCCTCTCTCAATATAGATATCTTGGATTCACGACGACGACGACGACGACGACTACGGGCAACGTCGCGTTTTTTATGCGACGCGAAATAACGATTAGAGTCTAATCACGTGGTGGTAAAACGTGACATGTTTTAAAACAGACCTTTCGCGCTCTCCCTTATTTACGAAACTACACGCGTCGGAGGGATAATATTTTTAATCTTGATCCGTAAGATAAAAAGCAGATTATAACGCGCACGCGGCGCATTCGATACATCGAAATTCATCGCGGTATAAGAGCGAGGGAGATTAAGCACGAAAGTTTCGGCAGCCGTCTGCGTAAAACAGTTAAGCGGGACGAACTTTTTATTATATATCGCGTATAAGTTTTATCGATATACAAACGATGCGTCGTCCATTCGAATGAGCCGATCGCCGGAGAGAAGGAGTTAGGACAATATATACACGCGGCCACATAAATCGGATAATACAACATGCAGAAACGTGAATGTGTGCAACGTTGCGACACACAAACACATACACACATAATTGAATACACGAGCCAACGTACAATGCGGATTCCGTCAAGAAGTAGCGAGCTCTCGTTATAGACTATATAAAGAGTAATAGACAAGCACAAGAGTTTGTAGCGCATAGAACGGTTCACGTTTCACAATTCCGTTTAATCCTCGTGTGCGAACGCAAACAAGAATCCCAGGATAGTGAATGCAAAGTTATGCGAATTTAGCGGCAGTAAGAGACACATCAGATTAAGTATAGCCTGTGCATCCTTTACCGAATTTCATGTATTCCTTATTCATTTTTTTTTTATTTATTTCATTTACTTTTATTTATTTTTTTCGCTTTTCCCTTGCAATTTGCTCCTCATTTGATATTGCGCCTATACAAATATATATATATATATATATATATTATTTCTTACATTTAAATTATAATTAGAAAATTTGGAAACACTTCCTCATTTATAGTTTCCAAGAAGCAGTATTTGATATATAGGTTGGCTTAAATATTCGTTCTTATTTATTTACTTGTGATTTTCTAAGTACTCTTCAAATCGATGGCTTTTATTAAAATATTGTACTGATATGATTCCACACGTAGAACTTTTCGGAGGAGCGCTGCATAAACTATATTTTTACATCGAAATTTGCATCGCGTTTACGAGCGAGATACTCGCAATCGTGTAGAAATTGTTGAAGATCATTCGACGATGTAATTACAAATTTTAATGCTAAGAAAGCAGTCACACATCTATATACACACATACACACACACACACACACAATATACATACGCACTTTAATCGTATTACATTGTTCACGTACACATCATGTACTGACATGTATTTTTTTATAAAGTCAGATACGAATAAATTCAAGCTTTTATGACATGCTTTTACTTTTAACTGTGTTATCATATACATATTTCTCATATTTATATGCATTGCAACGATGGATCTTTATTAATATTTCGTCAGCAATTTCCGCCTAAACTATCGAAAGCGCCCTCGAAACTTCGATTCGATATAATCGATTCTATAATCGCGAGAAAATCGATTCAGGTATCGATTTATCAAATATTCAAGCATGCGACATAACCTGAATGTTCAAAATGCGTTGCATTTTCTTGGATTGGTAGAGATTAACTTTCTGTTTTTGTGATTAAAATTTTCTTGTACGCCTACACAAATATGTCTGTAAGTTCGAAACTATATATTTTCTTACGCTCGTAACTGACTTAAGATTCGTTCAATGATTTTAACCTTACTCTCTTCTTTTTATAGGCACCAAAACAGGTAATGTATGAGAATACAACACAACGGACTCATCATAGATCTAAGCTGATTGTATTTGTAGCAACAGAACGTGGAGCACAAGGAGAAGAAAAGGAAAGAAAGTATATTAGATCTTTCCAAGTATCTTGAGAAAAATATAAGGGTAAAATTTGCTGGTGGCAGAGAAGCTGCAGGAATACTTAAAGGTTATGATCCATTGCTGAATTTGGTACTCGATAATACAACAGAATACCTGAGAGGTAATTGTGATACTAAAATATTTAAGAAATATGACAGTTAGGATATATATATATATATTGTTATGTATATAAAAAATCTCTATGTGTGCTTCAACTCTAATCTTTAGGAAATTTTAATACATTTTTTTCTATCACATAGATCCTGATGATCCATACAAATTGATACAGGATACTCGTATGTTGGGTCTGGTGGTATGTAGAGGAACTTCCGTAGTGCTTATTTGTCCTGTAGATGGTATGGAATCTATCCAAAATCCATTTATACAACAGGAAGGATAAGCACAAAGGCTTGAGCCTTCGTGTCACTATTATATTCTACTTTTGAAACAATATTTACTTTAATTTTAAGAGCAACTTTCATTTTTCTAATATAGAACGAATATAATTTATTTTGCATTATAAACGGAAGAAAAATGAATTATACATAGGAAATTTTCTTATGAAAGTACATGTGTCATATTTATGTTTGCAATAAATAATTCTCTAAATAATAATATGTGTATGTGTGTGTAAACTTACAGAGAGCTTCCTACGTATTTGCCACCTTCACTCCACTCCAAATTCATTTCTTAACCATGGATACTGTTTTGGACATTCAAAACACGTATGCAAATACCTATAAGATTTGAGCACTCTACTCGGTAATTTACAGCTATTTGGTAAATCGCAAGCAACTTCAAACGGCTCGAAATGCCGTTTCTCGCATTGCCAAGATGCAAACTTTTCGACTTCACTGAGAGACGTTGGCCTGCGCATCCACTCCACAACCTGATGACTTGTGACAAAGAACACATCATCTAGTCGTAACAGATCGTCGACGAATTTCTAACACACATACAATAGTATTACTGATTATAATTAAAGTAGGGACATCAAAACTTTTGAAACTAGTAGTAAAATTACACCAAACCGTAATGTTTCGTTGATAATGGTTATAGAATAAGTTAGATATATGAAGAACAATACAATGTCTCTTTAAAAGTAGAGAAAACAATAAGATCACGTATAATTATATGAATATTTTCAGTTCTACTTACATTAAATGCGTAGAAGTACATTGGATTTTGAAACCACGATGCGTGAAAGTGTAAACCCAAAGGTGCGCGATTGGTGAGATAATGCCTCTTGAAATTCAGCATCAACATCTTGTACACCTCTTCGCCGGATAAATCAGAAGGACACGAGTCCACGGTGGTGCAAGTATAATCCTACGTGAAAATTTCAAAAATTAATATCTCGAGAAGAAATAATTATATATAAAATTACATATAACCACACATGATTACATATAATTATGTATAATCGTATGATTATATATAATCGTATAAAAACAACTTTCACAACCAATCATTTCGTCCCGGGATACTCGCATACCTGCTGCTAATATGCATAACAATTAAGGCGGTTTCGCTTTTTGCCAAACACAGAGTCACCCGTGAATTTAAGATCCGCTGGTTAATCGAGAACACGTCTCATCTGTCGGACGGTAATCACTTACACCTGCCAAGAGTTGATTTAGCGGTAACTCCCAGATACCCGGGTACGAGCGGGTCGGGCAGAGTTGTCCCACGCGAACACACGGATGCGGCGGCCTATAGTCGAGCGTGTACGGCCATAAAGGCGGATCAGAAAACGGTGCGACGATCGAGGAGTCGTAAACGAAGCCAAATTCGGACATCATCAGGTACTGGCGGTTCCATCCTACCTGCAGGAATGGCGCTCTCACCCCTACAACATATATAATATTGCATTAAATCGCAGTAATAAATATTCGAAGATTTTTTTGCATCAGATCGGGTTAAAAAGTCGCACGTACACATACGACATTCGATCCAGCGACAATTAACATTTGTCTCGCGAAAGCAATGACAGCTATATGTTTATATTTATATTTTTTTCGATCGCTACATCTCAGGTCCTTTCTCTCCGAGCCGATCTGGTTGTTGAAAATCATGTAGAATTTCGAATATCGTTACCTTTGATATCGCCGACATGAACCGCCGCGTATTTCTTAATAATGTTCGCTACCCCAACCATCTCGTCGAACCAGTCTTCGATCGTTGCATTCTTGGACCACCATTCTTCCGGTCCGCGATGCCTGAATGATAATCCTCGTTTTACGATGTCCGATCAAACGGTTCTTTCAAGGGGGAATCTTGCTTACTCTATTGATTTCCTTCAAGATTATAACTTGTGCGAGATTTACTCGTTACTTACGTAACGGAATGCGCGGCTATCTCGTGACCGACGTTCCACAGGTACTGCACGTCCCTGTAATTCGTGTACTGATGACTGATGTAGAAGGTACCTCTTATGGGACAGCCGTTAGGATTCTTCCTGTCGTCCGTGAAGATCTCTGCGACGACATCACCCAAACAAATTATAAGATTGTAAGATCATTAGTACTGATACAAGAATGTGTATTGTTCTTCAAATTCCGTTCAACTTAGAATGGCAATATTTCCATTGGTGTTTTGAATAAAAATACTTTCCATTTCGTTATTTGTTTTGAGTAAAATAGAAATTTAGAAAATGCGTCAAAGTAATCCAATCTAATTTAATTATTTATTTGAACTTACACATATAAGATTTGTTCTTGAAATTGAAGAAAGGAAGGAAAACGGAAAAAGTGTGCATAATTTCACATTCAACACTGAGTCGGAAGTGAAATCAAGTCTCCCGGACTTACTGGAATAGAGCTCGAAATTTTCAGCATTCACGGCGTCGTCGAAGGTGATTGTTATCATCTGCGGCACCGCGAGAGCGGTAAGATTCTCTGGGATTCGAGTTCCGTCCTCGGAGCACCAACAATCCGGCGGCCGGCATTTTTGCGGCTCGCAAACCGGCGCGGCGTTCGTATCGTGCAGCGCGTCTGTAACAGATTGATATCACTTTTCATGCCGTCGTCGTAATTATCATGTAGAACGACGACTGTAGCTTTTCCCAGTTACAAAGACGTCAGCGAAATAATGCAAGCGGTGAAAGCGAATAAAAAAAGCATTGCACAAAAGGAATTAACGTTCGCGAATCTTGTCTTTTTTCAGGCGATTTTTCAGCAAAAGGGAAAATAGGATGTTTCATCGGGAAGAAGAAATTGTTCTCCTTTGCGGTACTTGAAGGAAAGTAACATTTGTGAGGCAACATTTCTCTCTCTCTCTCTCTCTCTCTCTCTCTCTCTCTCTCTAGTTCACATGAGTCATCTCAAGAAAGGTAAGGAGGTACTTTTTAATAGCCCATGCCGCCACTTATCTTTGAATTATTCATGTTTCTTACCGCACCATCCCTCGTCAGAGCCGTCAGGACAATCCACGCTCCCGTCGCAGAAGTAGAGAGTCGGAAGGCATGTGCCATCGCCGCAAGCGAGATTCTTCTCCTCGCATTGGCCGTTCTCCAGCAACGGCTTCGCCGGTTGAACATCTACGAGAAGCTTTTAAGATTTCAAATCACCATTCGGTATACTATGACGGTACTTCCTACGGAATCAAGGAGGCGCTCTACCGTGAAACCCGCGCGTATATCCCGCTCTCATTTACGACAGCCATGTAAGATCCGCTATTTATTTAACCAAGTCGCGGTACCGTAAAGTTCAACAAGTCTGGCACACGTAGGGAACTCGTAAAACACGATTCGACGAAATCCTCGGCGCGAGTTTGTTGATTCTGATTACGGTAAATTGACGAGGTAAACATCGTAAACCGCAGACGCGGCGCATGATGATGGTACACGGATCATTGGGCACAATTAATATTCGAGAAAAGTTACGCATGACGCTCGAGGATTCGGCGAAATTTTCCAACGAGTTCCGTCTTTTCCGCTGAAATTTTGTATTTTTAACTCAGTGTACACTCCTAATTCTTGAAGACAAAAACACGGCCCATAACATGAAAATCACTACATGGATTTTGCACAATTTTTGCTGTCGAAAAATGATTTTATATAAAACATGAGATATAATACTGGAGAATATTCGCTGCTTAACACTAGAGCTACTAATGATCAACGACCTATTTTCTATATCAAAGTACTTAAAATAACAAGTATTTAAAAAAATAAATATTTAAAAAAATAAGCAACGCAAGGGGAAAATGTTTATTTTTGTAGTTTCGTTCGAGATCAATTAAAAATGTAAAATGCACCGTTATAACAGTTACAGTAATACTTACAAGACATTACAAAGAAATTATTTTTATCCTTCTGATAATTTCATGATATTAATCGCCACTATATTTAATTCCACGAATGAAAGAGATTATCGATAAAAAACCGTCATTCGTGCGGATATATGAAAGGATAAAAATTGTCTGTTTAAATTAATCGAGCTGAAAAATATCATCGATGTTGGACGCGTTTCTAGTAAAAGATTCAATGGTCAAACGCGGGAATGACATTAACTCGTCGCTGCGGTGTGGATTTTCCGGGAGAAAGTAACGGATTGCGTGTGTAACACTCGATCGCCTTCTTACAGGTAGAAATCGGACGTCGAGTTAAACTCTCCGGCGTTTACGCTCGTTTACACTAACAGCTCTTACCGTCACGGTCCGCGCTGTTCACGCTCAAGTAAATTCAGCATATATCTGTGTACCTGAAGTTACGTCGCAGTTGTCGACGTTCGCCTTGAAGTCGCAGATCTGCCGCGAGACGTCGAAGAGGAGCCCCTGCGAGCACTTGAACTCGAACACCTCGTTGTCTGAAGACACAATCATGAGGTGTGAAACTTTTGGAATTCATTCAATATCTAGTCACGCGCGTACGACAGTTCCGCGGGGATGAAGAAACAGCGCGAATAATTATAACTTACAATGTATCTTTTGACCGCGGAAACGATTGCAAGAGTACTCGCTCGTGAGCTAGCTCGAATCTGACGGTGAGATTTATGGTATTTCTAAATTAATTTTCTCACAATTCCCGCAGTTACCTAGGCAGAGGAAATATTTGGCGCACTCGGCGGCCGACCAGACGCTGTGCGACGGTGCCTTGGGATTTCGATAGAACTTATTGTCGTCTATGCACGGAACCTCCTCCTCGGATTTTCCTTTCTCCGCCGCGGTGTTCGCTGCAAAACGAGTCATCCAAGTCGAGACTTTCGTCGCTTCCAAGCGTACAGTAACGTATTTAGCAAATTAACGCGAATTAATTAATGCTCAGACAACACGATCCTCTCGTAGATGTCTCGAAGATGTTTAGAGAAATGGGCAATCTTTATAAGATATTTTTAGATGTTTGGGGTGTCTAGACATTCTCTTATGTAACATTTGATGACAAAAAGCATTCTGCCACTTTCATCAAGGAGGACAAGTTTCAAATTTTCAAACTGAAAATGTAGAAGCTTCTAACGCAAGTAAAGTAAAAAACGCATCATTTACACTTCGTAGAAGCAAAACGCGTATTACTGGGATGGGCGAAGAAGAAAGGAGAGTCTCTCATTAAGTGAACGTGCTCAGAGATCGAAACGATTTCGATATCTCACGGCTGCGAGATTATTTTACAGGCGCGCGACGATACTTTCACGATTCGCCCGGTCGTTCGGAAACGGATATCTGTAGCCTGCCGGTACGTATACCCGTTGGAAAGAGAAACCTCACACGATTAGCGCCATCGTTTTCACCCGCACGTAAAAACGGAAGTGAAACTTCCGGCGCGCATCATCGCTTAAGATTGATTTCCAAATTTACGTGATTCTTATTTCGCTTTTATTTGTGAACTTTGATTCCTCGCAAAAACCGGATGAACAAGCAGAATCGGATTGATATAATATCGTCGGGATCAAGTGCCGATGCTGTAACAAATCTCTTTCGTAATTAACGAAAAACACGGGGTTTTCAATCAGACTTGTATGATATAAAAAGGATAATATTCTTCCTTGCAGCATCGAAACCTGAACTGAACCGAACCGAACCGAACCGAAATCATATCGGTTTGCCGACGACACAACGAAGGAATCCAACTTTGAAGTTTAATATCTTACAAGAGCGCAAACGTACCGCAGCCAACCGCTATAAAAAGTCATCTGTCACTGAGAAGACTCCGTCGACGTGGAATTTGACGAACTTATCGGTCACCAGAGAGAGAAATATATCAATCGAAAAATATATACTATACAATCCAGTGATATATAATCTAACATATTCGACATAGAACGTCACTACGAGTCGACAACATCGCCGTTTAGCGACACCGAATCGATCCAAAGTCTAGAGAAACGATGCGCTCTTCAAGATTCGACTTAAGCTAAGGGAAACAAAGATAAATTCGCGCGATTCGCAGCGAGGGAAGAAGGACGCGCGCAGAGACGCCGAAAAGAGACGAGCACTTTTTTCCAGCCGCGGACTCACCGGAAACGGCGAGTAGCGCGATCAGTGCGAGACGCAGTCGCGACTTCATGTTCGGTATACCTCGCGCGGACGCGCGCGTCTACGCGGCTCTCCTCCACGCGCGACAGCTTGTACTTTCGAACTGACGGCATACCTGCGAAAACATGCCTTATATGACGAGCAGTGGCCGCGCCGATCTCCGTGTCGGGCCGGCTATTCTCACTCGTTTCCGATCGGGAAGACGTTACCGCGCCTGTTCGATTCGATACCGCTCGATCGCGGAGCTGATTGCTCGGCTCCGAGCAAGGAGAGCCGCGTCATTACAGACGTCGACTGGCCCGATCTGACAAGCCGAGTGAAGCAATAAATGTCAATGTACGTCGATAAATCGGCAATTCACTATCGGCAAATTTTTATCCTACGAAGAATGCCGTAGCGAGAAGAAAAAATGAACGCGCGGAGATCTCGAGCGAGATCGAATAATTGGAACGCGTCGTCGCCAGCGGGAGCTAATTGTCGTGTATTTATAATTTACCGGGCAAACTTTCGAGCTGACGGATCGCGCGAGTATTTGGGAGGCTTTCAATAGCGAAGCGTTTCGAGCAACAAACGTGAAACTCGAGTATCGAGTTTAACGGATTCCTCATAACGAAGGCTGCGAGAGATAATTACCCATTGCAAGTTAGAGGAGGGATATTAAATGAGGGCTTGGTATAACGGCGCGTTAACGACGTCGATTGACTCTCTTCCCTTTGTTTTATCGATCATGCATCTCCTTAATTTCAGATTGATACCTGGCAGCCGCAGCAAGGCCGAGGAGAGCGGCGCATCAAAGGCACTCGATCGCTTAATCCGGGACGTGCATCGCCAGCGGAATCATTGAACATTATTTTTGGACACTCAGTCCCAGCATGAGAGCGACGTCGTGCCGCGACGTGTAAACAACAATGGTCCGGTGATTTGACTGATGGACAGCGACCAAGAGCGTGATTTTTCCTGCGGGAACAAGAGCCTCGCTCGTCGCAATTTGAATTTCGCCGAGATCGGAGAACCGATCTCGATCGTGTTACGGCGAGAAAGAGAGAGAGAATAAATGTGTGATTTACACTCTCATTTAAAACCGTATTAATAGCCGTTACGTGTAACTCGCCCTAGGTGAGATACTCACGTTGGAATTTAGAAGTTTCTGGCTGATTGTCTCCCTGAAAAAGTAAACTGGAATGTTCGAACAAATCCAAGACGGACGCGGCGTACACAAACTCAGAGATCAAATCAGAATTTTCTATACCGCGGAAGCCTAAAACGTCATTCCAATTTAAAATTAGATACAAGTTTTTCGGCTGAATTACGCTTACAAATGTAACATCGCACATGACTGAAAAAACTGAAACCTACCTCTAAATTCTGATCTGAGTATTTCATACAAGGCGAGCATCAAATAACGACTGTTAATATGAGTCTTAGGCTGCTAATTTAACTTTTTTCAATTCAATTAATCGGCGTCATTGAGCGATGCATAAATTTACAAGTTACACGAAGAAGAATCAAGTGAAATCGTGACGACAAGCGACGATATGCTCACACAAATTAATTGCAATTCCGTCACACGCGCGCTTACACAATTAAACGCGGAATCTTCACGCAATCCCACCATAATTACAGCGGATTGGGCCGGCCGCTAAATAACTGTAAGCTCACGCCACAGAAGATCTATCACGATTTCGACTGACGTTTGACTTCGGCTCGCTCCAATTTTCCGTGCAAGTTAATCTCGATATATTGTTGCGTGTCGCAACTTTAAGACGACGCACACTTGCCTGATGAATCTCGATATCGTGAGCGTGCGTCCGCTCTTAACGAGACACGTCTCTTCGTGGAGACGCGGACTCCTCTTCGACTGCAGAGACGATTTCGCTTTGGCAGAAGTTGCTCATTGGGTTCTACTACAAGATCGCGTTAGCAATCTAATACTCTGAAAATTACTCTCTCAAGTGCAATCAGAATATTTTTCTTCACCGATACACTATACCTATAGCTCTTGATTCAGTTGTAAGTGCAGCATTACAATCAGTAAATCCGCCGTTCCGTAATCGTTTACTATATTGCTCAGCAGACTCGCTTTCACACAGAAAGTTTCATGACACAGTACCTGTGTATCGATAGCTGTGTCTTTCAGACCTCTGATGTCTCGATGACTGTTAAAAAATGACCGTCTGCGCGTCCGTCCGCCGGGGAATCTACATTTCCACGGTCTGTCACTGACAGCATGTCAGTTCTTCGATTCGTCGAGGACACTCGCAAGTGAACTCTTTGGCTCCGCGACGCGAACGCATTTCCGCGACAACGAAAAAAATGCTCGGGAGAAAAAAAGAAAGGAAGAAAAAGAGCGAGTGTGATCACACGTGTCCCGGTGACAACGATTCACGTTCGTGTCCACCCTGAGGGCAGACCCTGTGACGAAAATACATTTACGCGCATAGTGAGAAGATAAATCGAGGTGGCCGCCATGAGCGGCGAGAGCCGTTGCTGCTTCGCGAACGTGACCTCCGTTCAAATTAGAATAATTCGCGAAAGAGAACAACGGTGAAGAAGAGCGACGACGGTGCCGCTCGTGCGAGCACATCTTTCTCTCTCTCTCTCTCTCTCTCTCTCTCTCTCTCTCTCTCTCTCTCTCTCTCTCTCTCTCTCTCTCTCTCTCTCTCTCTCTCTCTCTCTCTCTCTCTCTCTCTCTCTCTCTCGCTCGCTCGAGGCTATCTCGCGGAAATAATTGCCGGGCGTCGAAAAAGCAAAACCACCTCCCTCGGCCGGTGCGCCGCGCACACGTGTCATCGGCGGCGACGGACGAGACGCATGCACCGGACAAAGAAAGTTCTCGGTCGAGAGTCTGACAACGCGGGGCTTCAGTTAAATTCGGACCTGCCTGCTCCGATTCGCGCGCTCTTTCGCTCTCTCCTCCTCTTTCTCTCTCTCTCTCTCTCTCTCTCTCTCTCTCTCTCTCTCTCTCGCACACCAGCTCAATTAGAATTTAGGTCCGCAACCGTCAACGGGAATTAGAAAGGCGAAAATAGAGCTATTCTAAATATTTCGCTGCGTGCTGAGACACGCGATCCGCAGCCGCGCACACGTTGGACGAACGCTGATGGATCGATGTTTGTTCTCTCGCGTTATGTCATTGGAATACTTCCAGAAAGGTCACTGTTAAGCGGCGAACTTCCGCTCAGCTTCCGCACACCCGCCGGATTCCTCTTGAGTCGAGAATTCGAATACCACGAATGCATTCGAGTCGTCGTCGTCGTCGCCGTCGTCGTCGTCGGCGGGTCTTTCTGCAAATGCGAGCATACTCTCAGCGCTAAAACCACCAAAGAGAGTCATTATGGCTCCTTTGCAGTTTCTTATAAAAATTGTAAAAATTTATAAAAATTATAAAAATAATCTTATAGAAATTATTTAAACTTATAATGATGTATCTTAAATTTTTGATCGGCGTTTAATGAAATTAATATTTTCATTGATTTTTTATAAGACTAAGAAAATTAATATTTTTCCCTTGCGTATTTTATTACGTATTTTTTTAAATATACCCGCAATTTTGACTGCTCTGGTAATAACCAGGTCATCAGTCAATAGTTTCGATGTTAACGCATTGTTCGTGCATTTAAGGCTGTATCTATGTGTATGATCATCAGTACGACGACATAAACGAAATGTCGGAATCCCGCGGAAACGTTGATTGCTGCCGGATGCTAGATGAGATATAAATATCGATCTCGTATAATTAGCAGGATCCTGTGCAGGTCTTAATGAGGCTTTGAAGATGTTTCGCAGTTTCCTTCCTCTGCGCGCGTCCGACGACTAATGAGACAGATATCTCGTGCACATCCTGCGCGGTCGTGGAACGGTCCTGCCTGCCACCTGTGTGATGTCGACAAGTCTTTGAAAATACGTCCGCCGAATGTTTGTTTTTACTTTTGCTCAATCGGTCCTTATATTTTCTGAGTCAACATATTTCATAGTCTAGATAGAAAAGCAAATTCATGTCAAATCCTTATTTGTGTGTTTAATTTCATGCGGAGAAAAAAAGAAACCAGTCGAATTAATGTGACAACAAACGGACCAAATGCATTTTGATCGAAAGGAACAGATTTTTCCTAAAAGCAAATTGCATTAATATGAACAAGGAATTCTGTTCCCACCAACCAAGGCGCGTTTAATTCGCTCATTGTGACGTTAATTCAATAACATTTTCACACAAGAAATCGTTCTTTTTCCGGTCATATGTGTTCTTCCTTCGTACGTCTCTCCCTAATGATCATTCTCTAATTAATGATGTCCTATGGGCATCGCGACCATCGACCCGTTTCTCACGCTTGCCGCGTTTAAAACGTGACAGATGCACAGATCCGGAAAGGAGGAGGACGAAGAGTAAGAGGTGGAAGAAGAGGAGACAAGAGACAGAGCGTAGACGACGCGGTCGAAATGAACGATCTAAAATTTCATGGGACGAGACCGGTGGATGCGGGTGACACCTTCGTCATCGTCATCTTCGTCGACCTTACCACCACCTGAGCCTCCTCCCCATCTTCGTGTCCTTCGCTCAGAGGGGATAGCCTAAGTTTAGACCCGGCGACGAGACTCCGGCTGAGTTCAGTGCGGGACCATCATCCTCTCGAAGCACTTTCTCCGCGTCGGACGAGCTCATCTCGTGTCCGGAGTCTCGCCGCGTCGCTTCAAGAGTCGAGAACGGCTCACCGTGCGCGGAGTAAAGAAACACGTGCGGGAGTTCAGCCCTTAGTCCACGGCAGAAGAGAGGAGAGACACAGAGAGTGTCCTACGTGCGAAGATCACGATGACGACGTACACCTGGGATAACCGCGTCAATTTCATAGTGAAGCTCCTGTATGGTCAGTAGACCCAGAAGATACCGTAAGGGGGTACTACTCGGGGTACCGCGTCGATTAGAGGGGCGACGATCGGAGGAACGTTGATCGCGTAGGCACAAAGAGCACACATAAATCGAAATCGCACATTCGGGCGAGCAGTGATCCCTCGGCAGTAAGAATCAGTCGGAAAAACTGTAACAGAAATCGTTAAAATTTTTATAGAGTATAAACAGAGTAGAATTTGCACGACACTCGCGATGAGAATTTCTCGTGTATACATTATCAGTAATATTATTCTATGGAAAATTCTGATCGTTAATAAAACGATACTTCGAAATCCATGTGTTGGCTGGCTGAGTTACTAATTGGCGATCTAATGAAAATTTGGAAAATTTTTCAACAGAATTTTTTACCTCACTCAAAGTGTATTATCTTGTGCAAGTGCATCCTCCTTGTATCATTCCTCGTATTTTCCTACAATACGCTCACTCTTCGATCCATGCGGCGCTTATGTCAATTATGTGTGCATCGCGACTCCTCCGATTGTATATCTCTCGCCGGTGCGGCAAAACACATGCAGCCAAAACGTGCTGCTTGAAATGCAATGCGAAAGTATATTAGAACATCTTCACTAAGAAAAAATTCGAATGAAAATTGATCGAGGAATATTCTACGAGAAAGTAACGCAGTGTGGAAGTTACTTTCTATAAAATATTCAACGTAACAAGTTCTCCGTTCTCCTTTAATATACTTACTTCAATCTAGATGGAAAATGAATTTATGCAAAATGAACTACATCTATATCTACAATTTTCATCTTCCTCTCGTCCGTCCTTGAAACATAAGTTATATCTAATTACATCTCACGATACATCCTCTCACATACACATTCATCTTGGAACCTGATTTTAATCCATCTTCATTTGAGCCGAAAAACCTTGGCTGGCTCAATTTCTGCATCATGTTTCTGCCGCAACATCTGTCATTAGCGGTAAGGCTGCGTTGGAACGACTCAACGTGTTGACTTATTTATCGCTTACAGCACAGCCCACTTGTTGATGCGAGATCGTTAACAAGTCGCTAAATTTTGAATTAATTTCATGATTATAAATGCTTATTTCTCTTTTTTCTCACAAGAATAAAAAGACTCGTAACAATTATTTCAAAATAATTACAATTAATTTGAAAGTTCTCCTGGCCTCGAAAAGACAAGAGATGTAAATGATAGAATAAACTCTTGTTGTATAAAATTATTGAAACTCAAAGAACAATCTCAATCGATAGATAATATTCTTTCCAACGAAACATTACAAATATCTACATCTCATGTATCTTATATATTCAATTATTTAGCAATACCGAAAATGTGATTATTTTTCCTACTGTCGCCCTTGGAATATTAAAGCATCGTGAAATGAGAAAAGAAATAATTAAAATCGAACGTGCAAATACAGATATAGACAACAATGGGCAGCTGGACAAGCACGACTTCGAATGCATGGCGTTGCGAATGACGTTGATGGAAGGCAAGGGCGATTTCAATTCCAATCGATTCCAGGAAAACCAGCACATTATGCTCTCCTTATGGGAGGAAATAGCCGACCTGGCGGATTTCGATAAGGTACATTGCAACACACAGTATTTCCGTGACCGACAGATGTGTCTCTCGCTTGGCACGATTTGAATCTTTCTAGCACCGGTCTGTAATTCTCTGAATTCTGCGGGACTCTCGACCGAACCGTAACTCGATATCATTCATGGCCATTGTTGCGATCTCTGTAATATTTCAAAACGACTTGTTCGCTGCGGCGATTCACATCGCGATCGCTATCTCCCCTCCGCGATGCGAAATTTCGCGTCGCGTTTATTTCTTTGGTGAACGTGTCGCTCCGGCGAATTTTCGCTTCGTTGTGTCCATCCAACGACTGTTTGTCGCGTTTAACAATTAAATAAGAATATATAGATTCGAGGAGAAAATTCCTCGCAGGAGAAGCATCGAGATGATTTATGTTATGCTACTGTCTTTTGCTAGAACGGCGTTGTAACGAACGAGGAATTCAAGAAAGCCGTGCAAAAAAGTTGCGTCGGTCGCGCCTACAAAGATTTCCCTCAGGCCATGAAGATGTTCATCGATACTCACTTCAAGATACTCGATATAAACGGTATCGTATCGCATCGTACAACATTCGCGAAAGCACACACATTGCAATATTACAAATTTACAATTTGTACAATGTCACATTTGAAGCCAATTTGAAGAGTATCGGAATTCGATATTACAGAACTAATTCTAAATTTCGAAATCACAAATCGATCGAATCATAAATTTCTTTATCGTATTTTGTGACGTCGATTCCAGAGGATGGAGTGATTGGTGCCGAGGAGTTTCGATACGACTGCGTCTCAAGGATTGCCGTGGATAACGTAGAGATCTTGGATAAAGCTTATCAGAGTCTTCTGAACGTAAGCGAGGAGACTGATGTTATAATTTACAAAATCTGACTCTAAGAACATCTAGAATAATTGCAAATTAATTGGCCAATAACAACCGCGCAAGAGCATTGGTAGAACGAATAAAAATTATAATTAAAATTACTATTAATTTAAATTATGATTTAAATTATGATTCGTTCGACCAGTACTCCTGCTCGGTTCTTATTAGTCAAACACTAGTCTGTAATAATCGAGTATTTGAAAGTATGAAAATATAAATGAATAGTTTCGTTTAACTTGTAATACATCATTTACAGGATGACGACAGGAAACGCGGAGGCTTGAATTTGTCGCGTTATCAGGAATTATACGCGCAGTTTCTCGGCAATCCCGCCGACAACTGCTCGGCGATCTATCTCTTCGGACCAGTGATGCAAGAATCGTAATCCAAGAACCCGTTGTTCACAAAACGATATAAATCCTCACATCTTGTACAAAAGACATATACGTGTATCTATATATATAATGTATTTAATTTAACGTCTGTATTAAATCTCGTAGAGAAAACTATTGTAATAAATCGGATATTTTATCATAAGCTCAACAAGACTCCGCTGCGGACACAGTAAACGCTACTAAATGTCCCATTCTTGGCGCGTGACAACGACTGCGAGCTGCTATCGCGATGATCTTGTCATCTTGCACAATCAGTTTTACATAATTGAACGCGATATTAACGCGTTCGCTGTGTCCGAAGTATTCATTCTCTATTCTCTCATTTACTCAGAGACATTTTCGACCAACGCGTATGTGGAAACGCTAACTCTCTGCGTATCAACGCGACAGTTTGCGATCGCGCGACACACACGCGCACGTCCATCACCTGTCTCGGTAATTGTCAACTTTCTGAAATACGTATAAACGGAACAGGGTGACACACACGGTTACGGTCGTACAAACGGGAAAACTTTTATTCATATTCACGTGACAACTCAGACAGAACTCTGCGCGTTATTCTTCGGGTTCCTTCTTTTCTTTCCTTTTTTTTGGCTTTTCCCTTTCGTATATCTATCATTACGTTGAATCATTTTAACGCCTACGACATCTGCCCACCGCACGATATTTTATATTACTTTATACCGAAGCTTCTATTGATATGCAGTTCGCCATAATAGTGTACATACACGGTGCATATAAATCGAGAAACGTCAATTATATACTCTTCAAACGGGCCAGTATTAACGCAGAATGAACCGTTCAAAACACACGTCATCGCGAGCTCTTTTATGCTTGAGAATTAAGAGCACTTTCAAACGTGCCCTCTTTTTCTCCTCCAAACAAATATATAAAGATCGTTAACTTTCTTTTAATAGAACAGTATATGTACATATACTTTTTTCTTTGAAGTATATTCTTCCCTATATCTTTAAATATAAAAGTCGAGTGACTTGCTCTTTGAACGTTCCACCCTGTGTATATTAGATTTAGTGAAATTTAGGTACCATTCGTATCATATCGAACACACACATTTCTGCCAACCGACAAACTAAACCTGCAACAGTTTTACGACGTTCTCGCTTATACGGATTTATAAAATTACCTAACGCTTAAATAATCCACTGTCATTTCTCTTTCTTTTTCTCTTTCTCTCCTACGCATTCATCTGCACGCACTGCAGCAAGTTGGAGTAACAATATCGATTTGGAAGAAAAAATATTTATAAATTTTAAATCTGCAGTTTCTTTTTTTTTACCATATAAATTTTCACTTATAGTTTGTCTTGTTTTTTTCTCTTTGTCCTTTACTATTCTTCAAATTAGCTGCCTGGCTGTTGCCACATACTCTGATGACTATTGTGCGTTAATTTATAACAATGATTCTTCATAATGTTTGTTATAACTGTACATAGTAGTACAACTCTATAATAATAAATCGCATATACTGTCTACGTATTGTTCGACGATTGTATAAAGAAGTTTATGTTTCATATAAAATTGCTATGTTCGAAATCGTGACTGAGAGGAGTCTCGAATCGAGAAGCGAGTATCAAAGCGTACGTGTTGAGGAATGCGTAACCGTCATCAATATTGAATCAGCCAGTATATCAACATACTGACTCACCCATATCGCAACGAATGAGAAGAGAAATATCGAGTTACTGTGACATTCATATCATTATACTAAGGCTCCCAAACAATGATGTCATACATTAGGATTTCTCACAGGAACACGTGCTGATGTACGTGACTCAGCGGTGCACGGTACATGTTATCATCGCGCTCACACTACAACTGGATATCTGATTACCCGGATATTCGAAATCAGTTTTGATCCGAAAATTCAAAACCGCATTATACGGATAACAGATTCGTCATATATGTTGAACGAAAGCGTCGCACCTCTCGCAGAGAAAACTCACACCGACGAAGTACGTATGAAAAAATAAAAAATAGACAATTCTACTACGACCAGAGAAAACTAGTAATCAAGCTATCGCTGTTCTGTTTGACAGAAATCTTATTATCTAAATGTTTTTTTTTCGGGCCAGATCGTAAAACTCGGGCGTGAGTTTAAATCGATAAATAAGCTTCTTGCTGTTATGCGGGACGTATTTTCGCTCTCTGATTTTGCATGGTGATTCATCAAATTTTCGTTTCAAGAAAGAGATACACTCACCGAAACCTGTGTCTCGTGATTTGAGTATAACAACCAAAATGTAGCTTCAATTATTCAAGCATAATGTAGCAAACATGCGCCACGATCAATCAATTGGACAAAAATCGACAGAATGAAAAAAGATTCGCATTTAGTTCGGTAGGCATGTATGTCCCGGAAAATCAGAACTACAAAATTCAAAAATGAATTAATTTCCGAGATGTTACAATATCCGAACATAAAATTCAAATACTACATACAGAATAATATACACATATAACCAAAGATATATTTTATAATATTTCAGCAATGAGATTGTCTCAATACTCCCGGATATCGATACTATAATTTTTCAAAAAATTGTCCCACTTTTTAGATTTCGATTTTCTTACTCGGAACAATGCATGTCTACCTTTAGTTCCTCTGATATTTTCACTTATCGTAAATGAAATTTTTATTGTAATTACTTAACTCTATACATTTCAGTCGAATTAAATAATTATAACAGAATTTCACGAAAATTTCTCAGCAATTAGTGGATCAGTCACATATCATTGCCTGGCCGCGACTTAATACTTGACATATCGCAAATTTGGTACTTGTTTAATGCGGCAGAATATATTAGCTTAAAGACACAACGTATGTTGATACCTAATCGACAATACTGATACCTCCTATACATTCCGCGATGAAAATTTAACGTGAGACTTGAAAGCCTGGATCCTGATATAGATATCATTCCCATTAGCAAATATACAGATAGATCACCGTGTTTATTTCATTGGCCACGATCAACAATTCTTACGTGTCCGTTCATCGCTTAATTTTTTTTCTTTTCCTTTCAGTATATTTTACCTATGGACGGCATAAGTGCGAACGATTAAATTTGGTTGCATAAACTTCAAGTATGCGTCACGCACAACATACTACAGGTGATTAAAAAAGGCATCATCCGATATAAGAACTTTTTTATAGAGTTCCGAAGGATGAATATCTGTATTGATATTGTATTTTCCTTCTAGCTATCGATACCTCGATGTTCACAAAATATTCAAAATTATGAACAATAACCGGATATCAATATCAGAAAAAAGGATTCGCCTCATAGTGAAAAAATGCACTCACGTTGAAAAGAGGAAAATGCATTTTATATCTGTCACACGAGTTTTGTTACATACATCGTGATCTACGGAACATCGTAATCACAAACAGCTGTAAGAAAAACGAATTCATCCTAATTAAATTATTATACCATCTAAAGTCGATCGTATGATCGATCATACACGATCACGACAGACAATTCACTTGACAATATGCAGTCTAATATAATTAACGCCATATTAAAAAACAAGTTTACCCAAAATAAATACGTTATCGACAACGAATATCTATACAACTATACGAAAGAATTTTGTCACTAAAAAGAATATGCCAGGTATGAACTAAGATGGACATATTTCACCAGTAATCTCTTTTAGAATTCGGTAGATATATAATTCATGGGAAACTTTCTCTATATAGTATCTTGGTGAATATCCGAGAGCTCGTTGTAGCTCTCCCGTGACTTCATAAGTCACGATGTCAAACAGTTAAAAAACACGCTATTGACGCTTATATGATAGATGATCCGCTTCTTCTTGTTCTTCTTCTTCTTCTTCTTCTTCAGTCTCTCTAAGTACAAAAAATCGCGTCCGACGTGAAAGTCCGACGATTGAATTTATTGGCTTTAAAACAATACAGCGCGGTGATCAGTCACATCGATGGAGTTCACACTGGCGTAGGAAGTGGTCGGGCGTTGACGGTTGTCGTTTTGGAGTAGAGGAGAATCCGGCTCGTCACATTGGTGACGCCTAGTTTCACTTCTGGACCCGCTCGTGAGCTCGCGGGCTTGTCTACGCCCTCGGCGCGACATCACGCCTGAAAACAGACGTAAAGAATCAGTTATTTGAGTACATTTTCGAATTCAGCCACTCTCTCGCAATGTAGTTGCCGGTACAACATGCTTACTTATTTGGATCTACATCGATAGGAACGAATAATTGTCTTTCACACATGACTAATTGTTTGTACGAGATATACAAACAAATTACAAGCCAACAGCACCGAACGCAATACTTCACACGTGGCGAAACACTGCGTTGGTATTCGCAAAATCGAACATCAAATATTTCTTCAAACTACAAATTATATATACGAAATATATATATCATACACTTAAACATTATAATTAAATCATTCAATCATTAAATTATAATGATTAAATGATTGAATCATTACAGCTTATGCTTTAGAACGCATTACGGCAAATGTATGTATATTATTGTAATAACAATGTGAGTGAATGTATATTATGTATATTTTGTTATAGACAGAAATCAGAATGCAAGCGAAATATCGAAAACATAGTGTTATGTGGTTATTTGAAAACTGTCAGTGAACTGTGGAGTTCAATATGAAATTTGGAAACATGCTGTGAAACAGAGAAAATATAATTGCGATATGAAATGATCCTACTTGGTCTACGAATTTCTCACCACCAGTGATATTTTTTAATATTTCCATATCCCTCTGATATCACCGACACTTTTACAGCAGCATACAAGATCTATGTTTTTCCGAAACTCGTCGGAATATTCAACAGAAAATTTAGAATTGATTACCAAAAAGTTCGTAATTCCGGAGACGTTTCGCAATGTATACACGTGTAATGATTACAACTACAGAAATGTGACCATTCTGAGCCCTTTTCTCGAGAAATAAAATAAGCTTTATTCGAAATCTTATGTCACAAAAGACCAACATGACTAGTATTTTAAATTTGCAGCTACGCAAGGGAAGAGCAAGGAATATTAGAATTGGCGAAGTATAGAACGCTTTTCGCCCCCATCGCTCGAATCACTTTCTACGTGCGTAAGATTACAATCACATCATCCAGCAAGCTTATTGGCAAATAAATGTGGAATAGACAAGAAAATGAATGAAATGTGTAACATTTAAATATAATGTTGAATAGGTACTAATAAACATACACAAAATGCACAAGCACACTAGCATTATTAGGCAGTTGGTAGAACTCAAAATAAACCTTTACCAGAATCTAAATTTAGGGTAACATCAAAAGTTTTTAAAGATAAAGCAAGGATCAATTTTCCTAACAAATGATTCCAAAGCTAATAGAATTTTTCTTTCCCCTGCATATCCTGAAAAATTCTTTAAACTATTTTTAATCGGGACTATATAACAAATAATTTTTATTATATTTGAAGCAGTGAAAAGGACTCAAAAATCGCCAAAAATGATTATCCTGTTTTACGCGTATATACAGCCACTAGAAAATATATTGAATAACACAGAGAGTATCTTATCTGCTTAACCAAATAATAATGAAAACATACAAAAGCACACAGAAAGTGGTAGAAAATACTAACTAAATCATAGAATATACGATCATAATTACATATATACATACAAAAGCAAATCGTTACCAAGCAAATCGTTTCCTACCCAATTAGGTTCATTGAGATTATCAGAAAGATCTCAAGTACGAATTTTAGATAAATCGATATCGCTAAAGAAATCTTAACGACCAATTAACTGCTATTAAGCCAATATGAAAGCTAATAAGCACTTCACGCAGTACATTTGCTAGAGTGGATCTTAACTATAAGGTCCAAGCACTATATCTAAGTAATATTTTTCTTTTAATAAATATGCTCACTTATATATATATATATAATATATATATATATATGTGTGTTAGAAAGAGATATAATATAAAAAACTTAAATTATGAATTGAAAATTTAACATCACGTTATTATTCTAATCTGTGATATGTAAACGAGGATAAAAGATATATTATTTTCTACTAAAGGAAATTGCACTTCTTGGATGCATCAGCCAGTAAGTGTCACAACCATGACAATAACGTAAAGTACGACACTGCAAACAGTTTGGTCTATATATTGTGTGTAATACAAATAACACGTGGAAAGTATGACACATTTTTGAGATATGAAAAAAATGCCAGATGACTTTACCACACACAACACGTTACAACGTGAATGTTTCTCTTTCGTTTTTGCTTTGAAATTCAACCACTCTGCATACCTATCTATCTGTCACATTCGAGCACTTTGAACGTAGGTGTGGTTGTGGTAGGTGTGGGGAGAGAATTGTGTTTGCTTACACGTTGATTCAAAGCCGTCTCTTGCACATTGTCCAGGTTGCCCCGCAATGCTCTCTTATGATTGGCCAACTTCTCTCTGTTCATGGGCGAGCCTAGAATCACCAGCAGCCATGACGCGAGTCCGCATATTATAATCACAATCGCGTCTTATATAACTGATCCCTTTTTTCAGCAAAAGTAATTAAGCGCAGGCGTATTAGCGAATAGTTTTTGGCGTAACAACATCTGAGTGTAAATTATTACGAATATCACAAAATTATATGACTTCTGCCAAATTCGCAAAAGCTGCTCACATCGTGAGAAAGATGCTCTAGGATACCTTTCTGCATATTTGTGCGCTTACAGGGATATGAAAATAAGATCTCAATTAACATAACACTGGTGTTTTTCGAGAAAGATATCGTGCGTTTCTTTGTTTTCGAATTGAAATTTTCAAAAATCTGAAACGCAATCATCGTACAAGCATGATAGTTTCAAGCATGCCCCTATTTATTCAACATTGATAAAACCTAAATTTGTGCGAGAAACGTTTCATGCGATATAAAGCATTAATATTTCATTGAAAATCCTTAAACTCAGATATGAGACGATCCGTAATCTGAGAACTTGTACATAAAGTTCTACTCCTACATTATCATACTTTCCTTGCCGTAATGTGTTTGTGTATTGAAATGAGTTTTAAGCTTTAAAAAATTAAAGCCAACATGATGGGTGTGAATTCGAAAAAGATTTGTGTCACTAAGGAATATAACACAAACTTTACACTTACATTCATAATTAACACGTTGAATGCCACGCTAGTTTTACAGGGATTGCCCGTGGCGCCACGATGAATTTTTTATTATGCGATACAATTATGTGTGAAATATTATCGACAACATGTATAAATAAAACTATTTTTATGTTTTATACTGCATTAATTTCTTCAAACCATTGTAGTAACGATGGTAATAATGAAGAATTTTTAAATATTGACATTTGTTCTAATTATGTATTTCTACTAATCTTGGCGCGCCGGTCACCGGTGGTCCCCACGGTGCTACCGCCAAGTTGAGTGCCGGTCACCGGTGACCCCCGTGGCATTCAACGTGTTAATGTGTCAAAAGAAAAAAGAAGTTCATACAAAACATTCCTCACCTATGTAACTTAGCAATACTGGTAAAAAGATGAGACCATGCGCTGCTCCGAACAGTACAATGCCTAGATACATCCTGAAGTAAAATACCTGCAAAAATACTCATTTGACTAGTGCTGTTTTACAGAATTGAATATGCATGTGTGCAATATATGCAAAACGTTATCTATTTCCTTGCCTATGCAGAATGTCGACCCTCCGACATGTTCATAAAAAGAAAAATTTATTGTACTACTCTTTAATAATAAGTTAAATATATTAATAAATACAATATGTAATAAAATCATAAATATATAAATACAATTATAATAAAAATATAAATATAATTAATATAAGTACTAATAAATTTAATAATAAATTAGTAAATTTAACAATTCCAATCAAAATTCAAAACACAAAGAAAAGGAACAAATAACTTACCAATTAATAGTTTTTAGATGCAGTAGAACTAAATTTGAATTTTTTGATCGCGATAATTTAAGAAATTAGGATCAAGATACTGGTAGTTTACTCTGTTACTAATTAGTATATACCACCGTATATATATATTATTTTATTGTATTGCTATAGAAAAAAAAACCAACCTGGAAAATCTGGCTCTTGGCGAAGCCGAGCACTATAATGCCGCCAAACTTTGTTAGAGTGATACCACTGAATACAGAGCTTCCCATGTTCGTCAAGGCATCCGCAACTCTATCCACTCTAGTCGCTTGAACAGACACCGAGAAGGAGTGCACTAGATGACTGCAAAACTCGACAGCTATGCCGACCGCCTGTAACAAGAAAATCAATTTGTAGGAAGAATTTTTTAATGGCATTATTCTTCGCAGCTCTTAACACTGACTTTCTTCTTTTCATAATACTATGTAATATGTACACGCTTCGTACTTAAGGAAGAAAATGCAGTCAGGAACGATCGTGAAGATATTACTGGTTAGAAATGCACTGTTTGTAAAAATCAACTTACCATAACGAGATTCACCAGAGATACCGCGTTCAAAGTTATATGCCACCAGTACATCAGGCCACCGATATTTACGACGATCATCGTGATCGTGATTAGAACAACTAACGACGAGAAGATGTCCAGACCCATCAACAAGAAGGTAACCAGGAATATAGCGAACAATGAGATCCCGATACTTTGTAGCGTGTCGGGCCACATGGTCAGATACTGTTCATAGAATACATAGAAAACACTATAGGGGAACACCTCTACCGTGGTGTTTTGGCCAAGACTTTTTATGTTGCAGTTGATCATGTCGGTGATGTTCGCCGCCACGTCTCGGGCAGCTCTCATGGACTCGTAATAATCCGCCGATGTCTTCAGGATAGTATGATATGCCATGAAATACGAAGCGCCCACCGTCGACATTCCAGTTTGAGGATCCGTAACGTAATTCACAGCATGCCCGTAAGCTGCATGGCCAGCTTTTGCGCATCTGTCGTCGGGATTGTCTTGTAGGAAGAACGACACATACCTGTTGAAGTCGGTAGGCACCGGTCTATTGTACTTGTTTAGCGTGATGTTACAAGAGGGACAGTTGAAATCTGTCGAAAAGGAAACATGGTCGAATTAAGACGATGAGTCTAATGACATAAAAGATATTGTAAAATGACGAAAAAAAAAAACTTCCAGTTCATTATTCACCGATGCTATTATTCGTGACAAATATACGTACCAGAGTGTGGACAGAAGGAATTGTTCCCGGAGAAATATTTGCAGCAATTGGACAAACCCGACCAATCGATATAATCGTCCATCCATGACGAAGCAGGCTTGGCTATATAGGTTCTGAAAACAAAGGAAAAATTAAATGCTCTCTATAAGGGCTGAATACCAGAGTGGTTTAAATTATTCGCAAAGCTGTTCTCGACTTTCTTCGTTGTATAATGTACCTGTTTGGCTGTTTGGACGCGATGAAGACCTGCGTCGAAACTGAATCGTTGTTGCAGTATTGTCCACCGCAGATTAAATTTTGAGTTTTCATGTCTGAATAATTTAGGCCATCCTTAATGACAAAATACATCGGCGGCCCGATCGACAAGTAACTGTTTAAGAACTGGAAACAAAAACGCGGGTGATTTTGATGTTTTACGATTTACACTCAATCTGGCGCAAACAATAACAAACCCGATATTACTGACGTACCTGGAAATACTTGAGTACATAACTATCCTCGGGCATAGAGAGTTCTTGATCTAGGCCAATTTCGATGTGCGGTACCACGGCGATACTGCTGCACAGCCAGCCAAAGAATATGATCATCACGACCACGCGAACCCACTTCTTCAACAATAACGGGACGTACGCGACTTTGAAGATTTTGTATAACATCCCGTCTACCACTTCTTCCCCGTTATCTTTCTTGGAACCACGGATGAAGCAGCAGACGTCTAATCTGTTATTCTGAAATTACACGTATCAAAAACGCACGCGTTAGACACTTATATCAAATAAAATTTGCAAAGAGTTTTTAATAATTGAAGATTTCAGCTTCCAATGTGTAAGTATACTTTCATTTCGTATAACGTACCGCTTGTCGAATCGTATCAAGCGCCAAGAGACTGACGAAGCACGTAATTTGCAATATGAAGTCTACTAACAATGCCATTCCAGCATAGAGAGCAAACGCTCTCACGGCAGGCATATCGGACAGACTACCTGCGAAACAACGCAAAAACTTCAATCAGAAAAGCAGTGCATTCAAAGATACAGCGGTAACTTCGTTCGTTTCAATTTAAACATATATTTTTAATTCGTTATATCATGTCAATACATACCGAGGAAGAAGCAGCAGCTTTCCGATACACTAGTGAGTAACATGCTGGGTCCAACCTGACCCAACGTACGACCGATGTGTTCCGGTATCGACTCGTTCGGACGTCTGCTTTCCCTCTGATGAGTTTGAACGAGGATAAAGATGTTGTCCACTCCAACCGCCAAGACCAAAAAGGGGATAACTTCAATGATGATAAGCGTAGCCGGTACACCGATGAAACCAAACAACCCAACCGAGCAAATTACAGACGCCAACACAATGAGCACACCTCCGAGGCCCAGAGTGATTTTGGAGTCATGCTAAAATATAGATCACATCGTAATATGTAAACACGCACATGATACACGCGAATGAATGCAACGAATATTGCGTTTAATGTAGACACTTACCAAAAGGCGACCGCAGGTTCGAATCTGGCCGAGTGAAATCGCGATGTATGCGAACATGATAACGTAAGACACCAAAATCGTTAGAATATCAGACTGGGACTCGCGATTCAGCTCGTCCTCGATCGAGCGCTCAGACGTAAACGCAATATCCATGAATGCTGGCTTCTTCGTTGCTGTCCAGTTCTTCATGAATTGGATGAAGCTGGTGCCAGACGGAACACGAGATGAACGATACGATCTCACGCGATTCGAATTCGTTGACTAATAAAAAAACAAGCTCACCTCTCTTCCCACTCCATGGCGGGCAGCAATTTGCCTTTATTATGATAATTGTTGACGAGAAAGGTGATAATGATGGCGGTGGCCTTTTCATACGGTGGATTATAAAGATCTTGACCCGGAGCCAAGAATCCGCCCACAGCGATCGCTGGTTCCACTGGGCCGCCGTAAAGAGCGAGACAAGCAGGATTATAAGCATTCCTGAAGAAACATGCGGAGATAAGTACAAATATATCGAACGATGGAATGTTATACATCTTTATTTGCGACTACTATACTTACTGTGAGCAAGCTCGGAAGTGGTCCAGATAGTTGACCGTAAAGTTGCCCTCCTCGTGTTCTTCTTCGAACGTCGATAAACTATCTTGCCAATAACCCCAAATACTCTGGATAGTGCACTGCGATATCGTCGTTGGACCGGTAAATGGCCCACTTAGAGGCGCAAAGCATATGTCGGCTAATGTGTAGTTATTAGGTGTAACTATATTTTTAATTCCTTCTTGCAATTCATATATCGTTTTCAGGAAAGTGTCATTGAACACTGGACCAAAGACAATAGGACCATTGGTCGTGTTATGTACAATCTGTAATCAATTTCGAGTTTAATGTAATAAAAACTATTAACAAAAATAAAGCACCTGTGATACCGTTGCCGCGAGGATCATCGTCATGTAACTATTCATTACATTAAAAAAATATAATGTAACAACGATGACGACTTTGACGGATTACTTACATCTGGCAAACCAACAGAAGTTATGATAATTTGTTCATTTCGATAGAAAGGCTCAAAGTGTTGGTCGAAATATTCTCTTTCGACACGTGACCGAGAATGCGGTGACGCCCACAATTCCACAGGATCTGTAGTCACTTTAATGTATTTAATGCCGTGTCCCAGGCCGACAATCAATAGGAAGCCAAGGAAAAGTATCGCCCAAGGACGAGAAGCGCAGACTGCAAGAAGACATTAGTCGTATGTTAGAGAAAGAAGCGCAATCATCGAGAAACAATCTAAGAAATTTATATCACATAAAGGTCAATTCTGTAATGTATAAGATACAAAGTGACATTTTCACTTACCTGTTCCCCATTTGCAGAAGAATTCTTGCAATAGTTTGTCCGTTCCTGCGCCAAGTTTTTCGATGAAAGTGGATCGTTCTTCGTCAAATCCACTCGGTATATCATCCGTAGATATAACACCTGAAACATTGATAACATAAAGTACAACAAATTTCTATTCAACTCGTATCAAATATCGATCAAAATTAAACATGATTATGCGACACAATTTTGAATACAATGCTGCAAATAACTAATAGCTTGTAATCTATGGTTTATGTAACAATGTTACATAAATTACAGATTTACTACAGCGGACTTAAGATTTATTACAAAAAAGCACACTGATTTCTAAAATAAATGATATTTATGAAATTGACGTAACAATTAAGAATAAGTTGTCCTGATAACTCTTAATTATTAGAGATATTAATATAATTAAAGTACGAAATAACGCTTAATATATAAACTTATAGTAGCTATAACTATCAAAATTCGAAAAAGTCTTTCCAACAACATTAGGAATTCCATCCTATTAATGATACAAAATATATAAATTTATATTTACATTTTTTATCGGAATATCTTGCACGTATTGCATGGTTGACATTTTTCTTACTGGACATGAATTTACTATCGTGTTATTTATTTACTTCTGAAACCTTTCCCAATGCTGTCACGAAGATTTCTACGTCATTAAGCTTCATTAGAACAGTACATGTCACTTATCTTCTAATTAGATACTTAAAGCAGTGTCTAGCAGTATCACATAACACATTGTAATCAAAACATGCAAAACATGAAGTAGTATGAAAAACTTTAACACAGTAGAATGAAACATAGACTTACATGACACAATTTTTGTGAGTAAGGGAACGTACACATAATGTTCCTAATTGAGAACATCAAAATCGTATGTATTTTTTCGTTCGAAATTTGGGACTATAATTTTTTATTATTAATTATTTTATTATTATTAAATGGCATCTGTTTGAGAGGAAGAGCGTCACTTCATGCATAAAAGAGATTGTTACGCAGCGTAATGTATTGGATATGATCTCACCGAGCTTCTCACATGCTTCTTGTCAATATTTTTGCGTATCGATTGTATAAAAATATGTCAAATGTCGCTCTTAAGCTGTTTGTATCTTATCGAGTGGCATCAAGCAGTTAATTATAATTTACAATGACTTATGCTATCGTATAAGTCATAAGATTATATCTCGTCATTGAACGCCAAATTAAGACGTACGTCATAATAAATTCAAGAGCAGATAGAAAAAAACTAGTCTGATATGTGGAAGATGACACCTGAAGGGGATGAATCGACGAAGCTAAATTAAAGCAAGAGACACAAGAAAAAAAGATGAAGCAACGGAAAAATACAATCGGAGCAACAACGATTACAGTAACAGACATCGACTATATGTTTAGAATCGGGAGAACCTACTAGAACGCTTAGACTGAAGTGGGCTGTCTTCCTGGTCAGCGGCGAGGGCAATACGAGCACCATCTCCTGGGTGGTGTAATCCGGCAGCTAGCCGTCTACCCACCTGTCTTCCTACTTCCTCCCCTCGTGCAACTATACATAAGCGCACGCATACATACCAACTTATTATAGTCGTTATTATACTTGTTGCATTCTCGCTATACGTATCATTTAGTAATTAAATATATATTAAGTAGTCAACATAATAACGACAAATACTCCATACAGAGACAAAGTTATTAAATTACACTCATTAGGATCAAAACTATGTAGAGTTACGCATGTCTTTGTTTGTGAAATAACAAGGGTAACCAAGGAGTTAGTACAAAAATGTTAATATAATTATATTAATAACATATTAAAGAAAGAAAGCTGATTTCTTTGTGCTACATATTATACATCGAATGTTTAATAAGCTGAAGTGAATGATATGTCCATCATGAGAATGCAAAAAATTGATCAACATAGAACCAATTTTCGAACAATCTTGGAATTGTTAATGATAAACAATATTATATATGCTGTAATTTCTACATAGTTTTGAATATAAACATTATTCCCTGGTTCGATTTGCAAGTGCAATTGTACGATTATACATGTTAAATAATTATTATACTTTCAAAATATTTCCCCATTACTTTCCACAAAAATGTTTCTCCAATACCTTAGAATATTGTAAGTAGTTCTTGGCGCTTTGGATAAAGTAAAATAAGTGCAGGATAAAGTCTCACCGCAACCGAAAGATAAATAGCAACAAGAAATTATGCATAATAAAGAGCGAAAATTAATGGCATGGCGGTCGATCGATCAACATATTTTCATTGTCTCCTCACTTATTTTACACATTAAGGAAGATTAATAATAGAGTTACACAAATGAATAAAATTAGTCACTAGTGTATCCAATAAATCATCAATAAACTGTGCAAAATGTAACAAACAATAAAGACAGCTTCAATCGAAAGGTACACACTGCATTTTCCATTTTCGTAATTTGTGCCGCAAAAATATTTAGCAGTTCTCTTTCGCTGTTTTATATATATATATAATTTTTAAGAGTATACCTTTTATGTAGCACAAACGGAGAATTTCTTACCTATACGCTTCCTCTGACTGAAACACATCACTAACAAGAGGAAAAGACAGGTCCCACATACGAAGATAATAGTCATCGTAACTTCGTAGCCATCGTATCCGAATATCGAGAACGGTTGTGGCAATGGAGGCGCCGGTGGTGGTACCGGGCAACTCTGTTCGCAATCGACGCAGCTGCATGCTGGAGTATTTTTCTGTAAAATGTAAAAAAGCAAATCCATTAGTCTTTCAGTCGAAGACAGGTCGTTACATCGTTTTTTACAATTCTGTAATCTCAAAGGAAAAAAAATAGAACGCGACTTTCCGCAAATGGAAAACTACACAAATGTGTCTTAATCGACACGTGTTAAATAATTAACATTTTATTACATCATCGCGTTTATTCATCGCTCTTTGCGAAGCATGATATAAAATATCACGGTGATAAAGTATTATCAATACGTACAAATTGCATGATATATTTAAGCATAAAGTCCAACGAATCGTATCTTCTTTTACGATCCCTTCATTTACGACAAGTGAATGACCATGAAGCATTGCTTACACGATCTTCCTGTCATTTCCTTATCGCTGTTTGTATTGTTATTGCATAAATCGCATATGAAATATTGTGGGGAATTACTATCACACGGAGTAATTTGAAACACGATTTTACAATACCATGAACTCACTAATGATATCCATAAAGAGTCAAAACCTGTTCTGCAGAGCAGGGACTCTTACACGTGTTAATGACATCGAAGAAGAGTCAGTTACGTTTATTAACGACTTCATACCGTGAATAACTCTAATTATCTTAAAAGAGCACCCACGTACGATATACATGTACGACATTGTAGAGCACACGTATACTTCTACATATCGTTCTTTCAAAGAATAATTAACTTACGTTTAGTGCTTTGTTACATGGTGTGACCTGTGGGTCCAGCGGTTCGAACGAATTAACGGGTCCGTCTGTGTTCACATACGTAATTTGGAACGGCACATAGGCGTTGTTCGCCGCATCGCCCATAAAATGGAACCACTTGAGCGCAGTGCATCTACTCGCTCCCCAATCACCGCACATCAAATCCAACGCTAGTAATCCGGTGCTCGGTAAAGATACCTTGTTGCACGAGTTAAACGTTCCCTCGAGATACTTGTTCGTTATGTACACGTCCACCCCGTTAATGTATTCTACATCTGCAAGGAGAAACGTAAAATTGTCATCGAAATGCCAACTGTGGAAAAACATCGGAACTCGTGCAGATTTTGTTCGAGTCGCGAAAGATAAAATACAAGTGAGGAATTACCGTTCGCTCGGGCTTTCTCCGTAATATTCATAAATTTGCTTTGGTTAACAGCGCATGTGAAATCACAAATATGCTTCACTAAATTATCTAAGCAGCTAGGGCATCTCTTGAGAAAGTTCGACGCGATATTGATGTTCGAGTCTAACGTCACAAGCTGCTTCACGTCGCAGCAGGTGTTAATTCCTTTGCCGTTGTCCACCAGCAAGTGCGGACAATGCTTGGCCAGCAATTTCTGTCCTTCGGGCTCCAGCAACTTCGCCGGTCCATCGTACGGACAGTTCTTCTTGTGAAAGTCCATGTAACACTCCCCGTACCACACACAATGATCGCCATCGTCAGCAGAAACCTGTATTTTTTTTTCAAATGACATGTTAGAAACTGATGAAACTAACATACTGATAAAAATAACGTCCATATTTTCGCGTATAAAACAAATTCAGCGTTGTTGCGCAAACCACCAGTGCAGTGATATTGAGTAATATATAATAGCGTATATATTTAGAGATATTTCTTAGACACAATATAAATTTAACACTAGAACCACTGACGATTAATACGACCCACTTTCACCGGAAGGGTCAAAGCGACAGGTTTTTGGCAGGATACATTATGCAAAGGGAAAAATGTTGATTTCTTTCAAGATGAATCAACATGTTATCAACATGATGAAACGCATATATATACGTTTATATGTAAATTTGGATTTTCATAAAAGATGACCGGTTATTTTTGACCGCTTGGCAATTGTATTGTTAATTTTATCACCGGACACTGGTATCGCATATAAAGCAGTCTAAATAAGATCGTTTGTCGCGCGACAAGTTTCATCAGCCACGTTCGAGGCGCATACAAAGAAGAATTATTGCATAAGGCGTCTCCTAATTGAGTTCTTCGTGACCCCCGTATTAAAGTCTGATATAAGATTTATTTGGCGCAATGAGCTGAATTAATGATTTAATATGGCTACTTTGAAGTGCCGTGCTGAACGAGGAACTCCCACGGCGAGGTCTGATAGAAGTTAAAAATAAATAAATTGCTCGTAAATGAGACATAAGTGGGAGAAAAAGAAAGTTTATCTCGCGATACCAGATATAGAATTCTCCGCGTTATGACATTTACGTCTGAGGTATTGATATTTATATCAGTCGATTTTTAACGATATCTATAACGCGGTATTCGTTTAATTTGTTGCACTATGTCTATTTTTTTCCATTGATATATTTTCGTATTTATGGTGTATCTCGTATTTGTCGTGGGACAAATGTTTGACCGAGAACACAAAAAATTCGCAAACTGTTCTCCTAAAATTCTCCCGGTAAAAATGAAACAACAAGCAACGTGACAGTGCTGTCGTGCAGAAAACTACACACTTATTCGTACTATAAAAAAGAAGAAACTTTCCACACATCGGCTTTATGCAAGTCACTGTTCCGCAAAAGAAATCGTAAAACATACGATTATACGAATAAGTGTTACATTTCCGAACGTGTCTGGCACAAACTTACCTAGAACAAAAAAAAATATTTTCATCCATTCCGGCGAGCGATTTCGAATTACAAATAAAAAGTGCATTTTTTTTCGCAAAAGCGAAATACGAATATACATTTATCGCAAAAGATTTATAGTTCTCGTTTTTTGTCCTCTCAATGTTGTACTGAGAAGTAGAAGTAATTCTCGAATAAATTCGTAAATTTTAATGGACGTAGAAAAGCGAGTTTCATTATTCCGTTTTTACCGTATACGATGCTTTTGCAACATTCGACCAATAACTGATACGTGCACAGGTGAGTCGAAGAATTCTCATTAGCGGAAATGTACGCTGATGAACATCAGATATGCATGTCGATTAATTTTAGTTGCATTTATAAGGCCCAGTTCCACAACTTGCTTTAAACGGAGTTTAAGCAAATTGTGGAACTGGGCCTTATAAATGCAACTAAAGAGATACACCATAAATACGAAAATATATCAATGGAAAAAAATAGACATAGTGCAACAAATTAAACGAATACCGCGTTATAGATATCGTTAAAAATCGACTGATATAAATATCAATACCTCAGACGTAAATGTCATAACGCGGAGAATTCTATATCTGGTATCGCGAGATAAACTTTCTTTTTCTCCCACTTGCGTCTCATTTACGAGCAATTTATTTATTTTTAACTTCTATCAAACCTCGCCGTGGGAGTTCCTCGTTCAGCACGGCACTTCAAAGAAAGGCCTAAATATTAGGTTTCAAATTTCGTCGAACGATAATAATCGTCAATAATTAACACGCAGCCGCGTACTTTCACGCATTTAATTCATTTTTGACGAAACAGATTAAGAGATTCGAAGATATATGGAAAGAAAAGACGGTGAATGTTTGACGATACTTTACCAAGCGGTCTTTTTTGTAATAATCGACAAAAGCTATAAGATACACATATAAATTTTTAGACAGGAATTTAAGGTTACTTGTAGGGGAAAAAAACTCGAAAAAATTTGCTTTGCATTATTTAAATTATGGAAATTATGGAAATTTCTTATCATTCGTTTGAAACGTACATTTTCTAACCTAACCTAACCAAACCTTTTCGTTGACAGTTTCGTTGAATTTGATTTGAATAGGTTAGATCTGATTAGAGTTAGGAGCTTCAGTTTGCTTGGAAATTTACAGATTTGTATATACGTGAAATAACGTAACAATAAATTTCACTTTGTATGAAAAACATCGATCGATGTACAGCAAATATTTTCGAAGTATTTCCTACAAAAACTAAGTCCTTGAAAAACTTGTATATGTGTACCTTTTTATAGCTCGTTTTGTTAATTATTATAAGTTCACGGATCTTTCCCGATGCAGTAATATTTCCAAACATTTACCAAAAAGATTCTCCGAAATTGCGTAAAGTATTCGATCATGGTATTTAAATATCACGCTCGTGTCGTGTTCGAGATAAAAGAGCACGCGACGGAAAATAAGTTGCATTTTCTCCTTTTTCCTCAGTCCGCAAATACCAACGTATCCTCGTTTCACTCTGGGTGCCGAAAGTTTTTATAAGTATAGGAAGTACAGAAAGAATGGGAAGTTATTGAATGATGGACAGAGGGGCTTAGTCTGTAAGACCTCGACGGTGCATTTTCTTTGTTCAACACCGAATAGCCTGCTTGGCGGCGCATCGCTAACGTCGTTTAGCGCTGAATCAATCGTGGTTAATTCAATTCTTCCCCCCCGTATTCATGTCAGGTTACCCGAGACAATCCCTGGCGCGGTTATTGACGGTTGCGAAGGATTCGTAAACGGCGCGAATTAAGCCGACTTACACACGCTGATAATCAGACTAAGGTGTATCAAAAGATTACCCACGTCTCGACATGAAGTCGTACACATCAATGGAATTCGGACACGAGGACGCCAATGTGTCACCAAACAGAAAAAAAATGCGTTCAAGTCCGTGATACATTTCCCGTCGACCTCGACTTAACCGTCAACGAAGCGTCATCGAGTGTCGTCCTAGAAGCGACGACGAATTTGCTTTTCGAGCGAGGCATCGGATTCGCGAAGTTCGTGAGTTGAGTAAGAGAGAGAAAGAGAGAAAGAGAGAGAGAAAGAGAAAATATATAATTAAATTTTATCCATCGAGGGCGCGCAAGGGAGGATGATGGAGGACGACGATAGGCCTTCGCGGCGATCGGCTGAGATGACGTCACGCGACGCGAGACGTGCGCGCGCGGGCACCACTTTCCTTCCTTCTACTCCTTGCTTGGGGTGTGGACGCGGTACAAATAGACGTAAATCGCACACAAGCTGAGGAAATTCAAGGAAAACGGCTAGTCAGAGAAAAGGAAACTGATGCGCGAATACATACGTACACACACACACACACATACGCATGAGCGTAGCAGAAGGACGCGTACATAATACCTCATCGTCGTTGTCATCACCGTCACCGTATATACGTCACTCACCGGATTTGTAAGACTGAACAAGGTCAACAGTAGCCAGAGAACACCGTGCGTCACCATCGCGCCCGTCAATGTCCTCCGACGGCACGCTATCGTTGTTACACTAGTCCTATTGTGCATCGCAAACAACGTTCTTTGTGTTGCTCCGTGATGTTACTTGCGCGCGCGTTATGCCCGGAGTTGCCCGATTTTTCTCGCTCGATGCGCACTTAACCTCGTTTTTCGACGATTCACGATACGTTCGGATATGTGATGCGTATCAGGGAACGATCATCATCGCGTTACAAGCGACTTGCAGAGTCTGAGACACAGATGACGACGATAAGAATAACACCGACCGTCGTTCTGCGTCTCACGAGCGACCTCCGATCGACCGCGACGTTTAACTATCGTCTATCGTCGTTCGCTGCTGCGTCACTGACTGACCCCCACCGCTCCGACTCGAGCGTCGCTTGGCGCCTCTCGGTCGCGCTCGGTACTGATCGGCACCGCTCGGCTATCGTCGGCACTGATCAGCGCGACGCGGCAACTAACATCAATTTGAATCGGAAATTGGACGCGTAGCATGCGACATACGATTGCGCGTTTCTGTTCTTCACTCTCTCTCTCTCTCTCTTTCTTTCTTACTTCCTCCGCGATGTGTTGCGCGAATAGTTTTCGACGTGATTAAACTGTATGATAGTGGAATGAGTAATCTGCTCGATCGAACGCGATGTTTACGAAAGATATTTACACGATGGAGCGATGAAATGTAAATCGGTATTTGTTGACTTCCTTGAGTCGTCTCTCTCTTTCTTTCTGTTTCTCTTCGTTGCGCTGCCAAGCGAGATTTGGCAAAGTTGACACGTATAGGCGTTGATAAGCTGAAGTATTATGACACTGTGTGATTGATTGATAATTAATAAAAGAAACGTGAAGAATCCGGAAAAACGTAATTATATGATTCGCAACCGGTCGTGAAACTAGAATTTCTAGAATTTTTTAAATGAGATTAATCCTTGCATTTCTAAAATATTTCGTGTAAATTTATGTTTTGTTCAAGCTTATCGGAAACTCGATTTACGTCATTTTTTAAATAAAGCGAAGATAGTTTGAATTCAGGAAGAATGACTTGCTTCTAAGGAGCTAGATATTGGTCTTAATAAACTCCGAAGGCTTATCTCTTTTTTACGCTTATCTCTCGATTGTTACCGTTTATGACGGTTGGGAAATGAGTCATCGTGATCTTTCCTAAGTAACAAGATACGTTAAAGTACTGGTTCTGCCGTTAAAATCGGTCAGTACTTTCACATGAAAACGTAAAATGGAACAACCGGATTCGGCCTTTGAGATCGTGGAGAAAAATTTCCTCTCCGCCCTTCGATTCATGTAATTCTATCAAGATGCTATATTTCCGTATATTTCATAGAATTGAGTCATTAGACAGAAATGCGCATGATGATGCGCATCAGAAATGGTTGACCACGACGTATACCTATCTTTAATGCTCTTTGATCGAGGAATCGGAACAAAGCATACGCACTTATTTATTATACTATCTACAGGGACATTTATAGATATCTATAGGGCAATGCTATATTGTTTAATCAAAGTGTCGCTTTAGAAGAGATCGCATTGTATCGGCGATCAACATTATGTAGATGAAAGCAATAATCATATATGCATAATTCATTGTCGTCTAAACCACACGTGTGTCGTTTAAATCACGCCTGTCTGTGACGAAACCGTTTAAAATAAAGTCGCATGTCCGAATAAAATGTGCGTTCTCCAATCCATTATTAGCTCATTGTTTATATACGCCGAGCGACAATTACAAATGTTGCGATAAGCAAACTCGATCGTTATCTCGGAGAGTTCGTTTCATCTTCACTTTACACGATGAAGAAGACGATAAATACGTAAATCTGATCATTATGGAATGAATCATTTTGACATTTTTTCGAATAAATAGAATCCGTCTGCACGTCACGATAATGTAGTTTCAAGTTGACATGAGCGTATGCTTGTTAAAATCTCGATGCGACTATACAAAGTCGATCGATAAGATGGGTCAACTGTTACGTGAGCTGTCGAGAGTGTCGAAGTCGAAACGTCACGAGCGTGATTATAAAGTGTAACGTAGAAATGCTAATGTTCAAGTATCGGGTTCTTGGGGTCATATACGATCCGATCCATTGAAAGTGGGAGAAACGATGCTCTTTCATGAATTGTATCTCTCTCGTCTCCCGACGATAAATAATTCAAATAACCGTGAAAGTCAGGAATCTGGACGAGTCCGTACATCTTGTCGTCGACTCAACGCTGAATTTGAAGTCCCACAGCAATGTTACTTCGTGTGTGTATATATAATAATCTATGTATATATACGATACATATATACGATACATATGTATGTACGTATATACGCCGTATACGTGTATATATATATAACACGTGTATCTTACTGTCTGAAGCAATAACAAATTTGTTGTCGCGTGAACATTTTGCTCACGAGAAGAATAAAGAGACCACAGATTCTTTATCTCAGTCCGCGACAATGTCATTGGACTTCAAGTTTCTGCGTTGAATCGTCTTTCTTCAAATATATGTTGTCTTTTTGCAAATCTTCGAGCCGGAAATATCTTGCTACAGATGCAAAAGAACATCTATACGGCGGCTTGTGTATGTTTGTTATTGCTATTCGTTTTTTCGCAAGAAGCTAAATAACAGAACTAAAAATGAATAGATGTATAATAGAAATTAAAAATGAATATAAGGTGTGATGTTAAATTCGCAGACGCGCTCTATTTTTTTCTTCTTTCTTTTTATCATTACGAACGTTAGAAAAACATGAGCGTGCATGTGTGCGTTGCGAATAAAACATATTAATATTGATAACGTTCCGGTCACCTGATAATCCGCATGAATATTAACTTAAACAAGCGTTTATGTTCAATGTGGTCATTAAATCGTTACGAAAACCATGAGTGTGATTTACGTAACGTCAATTATATATTTGTCCTTCCAAAAACATCGGAAATATCAATCGGTCTGTGCATACACCTACCGTGTGTTTACGCCAAATTAATTGTCCAATTCACTTGTTTGCAGGACGATCACTTTTAATTGCGAATGAACAGGACTTATCCTTTGATACGTGGCCGGCCGTTACGCTGAAGCGCTTCTCTTGACGTAATTATCATCTCTGTTGATTGCGATTTCTGCCTCGGTCTGTGAAAGTGAAATTTGTAATTATGACATTTTCGTGAATGCAAATTATCTCGAATCATTGCTGCTACTTGCATGTATTATATTAAATCAAACATCTCACGAGAAAATTAAGTTAATTCTTTTAATTAACTTAATTCCTTTTTTATGTTTTAGTTATTAGTTTGTTCGTTATTGGTATTTGATATTAGGTATATACATAGTTGTGCACTCTTTTAAGAGAAAATGCACCTGAACAGTGAATGGAATGTGTAAACGCGTACTTATCTATCCGTCTATTTTCGCTAATGATACTTTCTACATTCCTCGGCGCTTTTATCTTTTCCTGGACGAAGAGAATAACGTCCGCCTCGCTGTAACGGCGAAAAGCAGAAGAGAGCGTAGCCGAAATGAACGGACCTAAATATCAAACTATTAATCAACTGTCAATTGACTGACAAATTGTGTCTAAATAAAAATGTGTCAACGAGGATATACAGAAAGTGCTTGAAATATTCGCGCGTTTTCGCAGATGACAATCGATAGATGAAAAGAGATTCATAGTACGAAAAGAGACGCGCGATCTGTCATGCAGGTCTCATTGCGATTCAGCAAAGTTCCTCAGAATAACAACAAAAAAAAAGAAATATGGAAAAGAGAAAAGAAAACAATTCCGCGATTCCAGAATTTGAATGTCAGGCGTCAGACAGCCGTCTCGTGCTGATTTTAAATCGTCCTAGCGAAGATTTATTCGATCACGAGAATCGCGCGTGGATCACTCTTCCTTATGACGATACGAAACAGGATATCAGGTTGACACTTACAATATTGCGTTGCAACTGACTTGCAAATTATAGATGGCCGATGCGCCGAATCGGCAGAAACAACATGTCATGTACGTTTGCGGTTTGATCTTGCGGAAGTTCTTTAGAAATAAGCATTAATTCGCTCAATGGATGGTTGGCTGCAACATGCGAGGATCATGCACGATCATGTCTTCCTGTTTTTCTTCGTCTTGTCTGCAAACGGAAAGAATAATAGAATTTTCTCTCTTTTTGTCCCACTCTCCCTTCTCTCTTTCTACTCAGCGTCTGACGGCGTCGTTAACAATAATGATGTGTCGCCGGTCGTTATGCAATAACAGAAGCGATTTCGCGGATTTAGCAGATCTCGCTTTCGTTCAAACGGTCGATATTTTATAATTGAAATTTCACTCTCTTCGCAACAGAAGGAAAGCATAATCTCTCGAGCTGTTAATTAGCATCGCGTCTTCGCGAATTTTCACTGCAACGCTGCATTTTCGAGGACGCGCTTTATTCCTGCGCGTCGCTTATCGAGAGCACGAGGAGATGAAAAATCCTGAAAGCACGAAAGTAGCTTAGGTCGTAATTTTGCTTAACAATTGAAAAATTAGGAAGTGCGCATATACCCAATAACGTGAGATCGCCTCTGATGATTATTTTTAGTATATTCACATTTCACGCGAATGTCATAGAACAAAAATAACGTGATACCGTGTAAATATTGAACATTGGTCGTAGATACGTGTACGTACGTTAGTAGGCGAAAATCTATAAATAGACAGAATTCGGTGCTCTGCTTAGGAACATATACGGATCTGTGGATCGTGCGTATACAAAGGTTATAGGCATACACTTTTCGAAATGGCGCTCACGAAAGAGCCATTTTCGATGCATGTGCTGCCACCTGTCGCCGAATCCTCGTAATCCCTTGGCGAAAGTTCGCATAATAATGTAGTTTCCGTCTGTCGATTAGTTACAACAATTTAACAATAAAAAGTTTGTTCTGTTAAATATTTTTTGCTGTAAAAACATTTATATTTACGTCAGTTTCAACTTGCAGACCGAAGAGAATATAAATAATCGTTGTGGAGTACTTTTTCCTCGATTGCGCTGCGTGACACTCTTGTCATCGAGAAACGAGATGGACGTTTGAAATTTTGCGGAAGAAGAAGAAGAGAGAGAGAGAGAGAGAGAGAGAGAGAGAAAGAGAGAGAGAGAGAGAGAGAGAGAGAGATAAGAAATTCGGTCGAGAAAGTGCAGCAAGCACAGCCGAGAGGAACTTACGTCTGTGTTCCGATCACGACGATTCCACAATATATCGTGATCGATGATTTCGATGACGATTATTTTTCAACAATTATCTCCGTGTAGTTCACGCTTACGACGTAAAAGAAGCGCTTCGTATGCACCACGCGAGCGATGACATACGGTCGATCGGATGAAATTGACGGTACAACAGCTGCGTGATAAGAGGCTCACCTAGAATCATGTAAATAGTGTCAGGTGATCTCGGGACGACTCGTGCCATTTTGGCTGCGCATTATCGCAATCGGGATTTATGTTTACATCCTTTTTCTTCCTTCGTTTGCTGTCTTATCGCAGCGCAGTGCTCTCCGTAGGCAGGCTCATTTTCGCGTAACTCGCATCGTACGGGTAAGTAATTTGATTGTTACAGTCTCTCATAACAAGTAACTTGTGTGTATGTGACAGTCATAAATTACTCGGCCGATTGGCTGCTTTACTTATTGCAAACAATTTGGTGAGATTCGCAAACAGTACAGCTGAAAATAATGACAGTTGACGCACAGGCACGGTTCTCGTCGTTTCCTTCTGGTCTTATGCGTATTCTGAGTCAATGCACAATCTGTTTTACTCAAGACGAAGAGGATGTAACGTGTATATAAAATAATTGCGCCATGCATTTTCTCAAAGAAATTCAAAATTTATGATTTGACAAGCTGTCTAGTACAAATGATGAGATTACTTCCTAACTCGGAATAATACTAGTATGTGCTTGAAATGTTTAATATTAATTTTGTTTATTTTTAAACAAAAACAACTCAGTATTATCCTGAGACAATAACATATAGAAGGATATGCTGAATCTAATAGTTATGACAAATATACAGGTATAAATTCATGATGTCTGAGAAACTTCCGAGTAACCAACCACAGCCTATTGTTAAGATAGGCCATTATACATTAGGCCAGACTCTAGGGGTCGGTACGTTTGGCAAAGTAAAAAGTATGTATATACATTATGTGCATGATAGAGAAAATCTTCGTAACACTTTCTTTCATGTAATATTACATTTACAGTTGGGGAACATGTTCTGACAAAACACAAAGTAGCTGTGAAGATTTTGAATCGTCAGAAAATCAAAAGTCTAGATGTTGTAGGCAAGATTCGTAGAGAGATACAGAACCTTAAGCTTTTCAGACATCCGCATATCATCAAGTTGTAAGTATCGTACAGCTTCAGATTGTCCATATTGTAACTTAGTATATAATGTATCTATGTTATAAGATCTTTATACGTGCATATACGTGATGAGTCAACTAGAAAACAAAATATATTTTGTATTTAATGTATATTAATCTTAATGTTTGTTTTATATATGTAGATACCAGGTCATAAGTACTCCCACAGATATATTCATGATAATGGAATATGTCTCTGGCGGAGAATTATTTGATTATATTGTTAAACATGGAAAGCTTAAGGAATACGAGGCACGGCGATTCTTTCAGCAGATCATATCAGGTGTTGATTATTGTCATCGACACATGATAGTTCATCGAGACCTAAAACCAGAGAATCTTCTGTTGGATCATAATCTCCACGTGAAAATTGCGGATTTTGGTATTTGAATATAATTGTTGTATCAAGCACTGTGTATTTTATACTACGAATAGATCATAAAAATATTTTTTCACAAAATATACAGGTCTGTCGAATATGATGATGGACGGCGAGTTTTTGCGCACTTCGTGCGGCTCTCCGAATTACGCCGCGCCAGAAGTAATATCCGGCAAGTTGTACGCTGGCCCTGAAGTAGACATTTGGTCGTGCGGTGTTATTCTGTATGCGCTACTCTGCGGTACCTTGCCATTTGACGATGAGCATGTTCCTACCCTTTTCCGTAAGATAAAATGTAAGTCAATCTGAAATTAAATTTAAGAAAATTTCTCGAGGATTCCGTATGTAACATCTTCGACTGTTTCAGCTGGTATCTTTCCTATCCCAGAATATCTGAACAAGAGTGTCATCAGTCTCTTGTGCCATATGTTACAAGTCGACCCGATGAGGAGAGCAACTATCGAGGATATTAAGTAAATAATACACACAGTATACACGAATGTTCGATTGAGAAACATTTCCTGTTACCGTTATTAATGCACATCTAACGGACATAAATGATTTCAGAAAGCACGAGTGGTTCCAGAAGGATTTACCATCGTACTTGTTCCCATCGCCCGTCGAACAAGATTCGTCCGTTATCGACATAGACGCCGTGAACGAGGTGTGCGAGAAGTTCAACGTCAAAGAACCGGAAGTACATTCCGCGTTATTGGGCGGTGATCCGCACGATCAGTTGGCGATCGCGTATCACTTGATTATAGATAATAAGAGAATTGCTGACGAGGCTGCGAAAGCAGAGCTGAAGGACTTCTACGTGGCGTCCAGTCCCCCACCGGTGGCATTCAGTCCGAACGATGCCAACAGCAGTCCGTTGCGACCTCATCCTGAAAGAATCGCACGTATGTGAAAAGTACTATTTCAATCCGTAGAGTTTATTACTACGGTAAAAAGCTCGACCGCTTTAAGATCGGTCTCATCGACCGTTGACGTTACAGCATACCGTGAACGCCAAGGTTCGCAGGGCAGCACGACGCAAGCACCGACACAGGGTAATCGCGGCACGCCTGTGAAGAGAGCAAAGTGGCATTTAGGAATCAGATCGCAGTCGAAGCCAAACGACATCATGAACGAAGTGTATCGCGCTATGAAGGCGCTTAACTTTGTAAGATCCATCATGCCGGAATATTTCGTATCCGTGTATCGCTAACGTCCAACGATTATTCACCTCTAATTCCTCTTCACATCACGGCCTGTCTTTTTCAGGAATGGAAGATCATAAACTCGTACAGCGTCAGAGTACGGCACAAAAACATATTGACCGACCGTTATAGTAAAATGTCGCTGCAACTTTATCAGGTCGACTATAAGAGCTATCTACTGGACTTTAAGTCGTTATCGAGCGAAGAGACAGAGGACATTGGGCGTGGTAAGCAAAGCTAGCTCAACCGATGCGACCAAATTGCCGATAATCGTGAGAGTAAATCCTGTGTAAAAAGCGTACATGCATTCTTGCAGACCCGACGTTACCGCCTCCGCAAGCGACGGGCCATCACACGATGGAATTCTTCGAGATGTGTGCGGCATTAATCACGCAATTAGCACGATAGCGCGTCTACCTCCATGTCGTTGAAATCTGGTACATCCTGTTCTTTTGTTGAAGTTGTATAGTACGAAATAAACGCAGAGCAGTCGTAGAACACGTCGTGAGCCTTACAAGCCTCTACAAGCTCTAAGCTTGAATAAAAGCTATCTATTTTTCGAGCTGAATTTATTTTTTTAAACGAAATTTTCCGCTATTGTGAGAAATACGAAAGGAACAAATACCTCTGACGGTGTGTTGCATAAAGATCGAGAGAAGCGATACATCTACATACATAATAATCGTTTATTATCGAGTGCTATAATTGAATGTTACATTACCACGTTCTATTATAAATTACAACACAAATACATATTTATCTAAAAGACTATCAATTCTCTGTCGTTTCACCTATGAAATCGATTTTCGCGCTGCGTGAGAAACCAAGTGTGTGCGTACGCTTATAGAAAAATATATGTTATATCTTGCCGTATTCGAATTTGTCCGCGTGAATATATGTTGTGTGTACGTACAAAACGAAGTCACTTTGTCGGCCGACGCACGTCGCGGAAATGATCGAAGCAATTTATGATGTAGCCATGATTTTTTGTGATATCATGATCGCCGCTACGATGACTGATTAAAAATTCACGGATGGAGAGAATTTCTCTGGATCAATATGTGTAACAATAATATATATATATTATATATATTATATATATACCTAGCTATTATGTGGAGAAATATATAAATGTGTAAATTGCTTAAATTAATATTTAGACATTTGTATGCTGATATCACTATACATGTAGTGTCTTACGATGAAAATTTATTCAAGCACCATGTCATTGGAATATTGGTAATTAAAGATAAAATATACATAATGGCACATTTTTCCAGACCTCGTCCCATTTTATACAAACTACACGGCTCGATTATGCTCGTAATGCTGCCGAAGAACTGCCTGCTTTTCGGTCTCGATCCAGCTTGCCCCCTCGCGACCACTTAAACAAGCGTGAAAAGGAAACACACATGTTGGACCATTTTGTATTTTATCCTTGATTTATGTAGTTATACCAAGCGCGGAGGAGAATCTCGCCTTTAGTAACGTAAAATTTTATTCATATGGAATATCCAGTTTCGCCTATCGTAATACTGCGAGTAGTGTTCTTTTAGGAAGATTGCGGAGAACTTATGTGATTGAGATGACGATGACATGATGGAAATGTCAAATGCACGTGATTTTTTATAATGCGATGAAACCGAGAAACTGAACCGCTAAAAAAAGTACTGTTTTATCGTTTTTGACGATGGAAATACGCATCGCGAAAACATGATGAAAAATACGGTAAATATGATTCAAGGTGACACAAGCTTGCTTCCTGTTTCGTTTTTAGGGTATTTTAGTATACACTACAATACATTGTACGAGAATTTATTGTATACAGCCCCGATATACAGGCTGATATCGTCGACCTGAGAGATACTTTGACAGCGAACACACCTCTTATCTCTTTGAAAATGGAAGTTAATTATATCTGTGAAAATTAATTATATTTATGTTCGACGAGATCCGCCGTGTCGAAGTGCTCCCGATGACGACAACCATCCTGTAAGTGTACGATCGACTTTTTGATACAATTAACCTTTCCATCATTCTATATAAATACAAATTCCTACCACAATCAGTTGCTCCAGTGTGGCACAACCTATGGCTAACAGCTATTATATGTACCATGAGACAGAGACGCTCTCGCGTAGCTCGCGGGGACTGGTGCTCTATGTCGCATCGTCTTTTTCCTGTTGTACATACCAACATCGCGGATATTCGGAAGCGTCAGTAACACAGCAGCGAAGACAATGATAAGTATACACAGTAGCTTTCTATCATAGTCACTGTATGACTAGAAGACATTACCGTATATTCGGCGCGCGGAATATACCCGTCCCAACTTCAGGATTAATATTAGCCGTAGTACATTACACTAACAAGACGTCTCACAAGAAGCATACCTCCTTTCGATTGCGATATTATTCATAAATAAGAGTATGCGTGATAACTTATATATGTTTATAAATTGATAATATAATTCTCCATAAAATCAACAAGTCCGTGTGGATGGGTTGCTCTTGTCGAGCGTGAATAGAAAACTCGGTGCGTTCAACCGTTAGCTCGGAACGTTCAACAAATCCCTCGATAAAACCTACGCGTATGTGAGTGTTAAACTAGTGCGCTATACTATTACATGTATATATCTAGGAGAAGAAAGGCGAGAGGATACACGCAGCTTGATCTGTTGAAACTGTAAATTAAAAAACTCTGCTAGAATATACATCCTACAAATACTGCGTTAAAGAAAGAAAGAAAGTCGTTGCGCCTATTGCTTCTTTGTCCTCTGAGACGTGATTTCTTTTACCGTTTCCAAAATAAAATTCTAAGATCGTACTAATACATATATAACTTTATACTTTACATATCATCTATATCTAATATAACGTCATAAAAATTATGCTTGTGCTTTGGGAGATTAGCGATGTGTAACGTAAGATATTGTGGGCTGACGCGTGACTAAATCATTAACACACTGCGGAGATACCAATCGTGTGAACCTCCAAGCATCTCCTATGTTCCGACGTATTGCACAAGAATCTGGGGTTCGTTTAGCGTTGTAACATGCGGCGACGGTAGCGTATCGAACGTAACATGATTGTTCGGACCTCCGGATAAAACAAGCACATCTGTGCGCGATGGTACATATAATAGATGTTATTATAGTAACCTAAATTGATAATATAGGAAGAGTCTCTCTATCTCTCTCTTTCTTTCTCTCTCTCTCTCTCTCTCCCTCCCTCCCTCACCCCCTCTCCCCTTTGTCACACGCACGGTGCATCGCACTTAGAGAACTTCTGTTAAATCTCCTGATTGTCCTCGCCGGTCTCATTGTCTACGAATTCTACGTGCGTGAACGGAAAATGCCCGACCTTGCCGTGCAGCTCGCCCTCCCATTGACCGTTAATATTAGTCTTTGTCACTTTTATTATATCACCTACTTCCAGCTTCAGCGCGGTCTTGTCGTACGCATTCGGTACCCTAGCCTGTTTCACTTTCGCGAATGCTGGTAGCGTTCTCTGAATGTTCGATCTTCGCGTGACGGTCGTGGTCGTTGCTTGACCCGCCGTCGTTTCATGCGGCACCTGAGTAGCCGAGCCCGAATTCGAATTGGAGCCTGAACTGCCGCCGCTCTCCGGTCGCGAATTGTTCTCTATTATCATGTGGTTGTCCTCGTCGTACTTCTGAACGTACGGCACCGGCACTGAACCAATTTGGCCAAGACTATTTCTAGCTGTCCACCATTGCTCCTCATCCTTCGATACCACAGTGAGTATTTCACCTGTATCATAACCATCTCATTAAGCTGACTCAGAATAGCTGAGAAAAATTAGGACAAGATTCGGAAAAGTTCATTATACCTTTCCTAAAGGGTAAGTCATCTGGATCATTGCCCTCAAAGTCATACTTTGCAATTATCCTTTGTGTCTTTTTCAGAGCAGGCCTGATTAATGGTGTGGTGTCCAAGTAATGTAATTTATAAAAGGCCAGTAGACTGGGAATGTCTGGAAACATCTGATCGCCTATCCGATACCGAACTTGATCCCCTTGTTGGATCTTATTGATGATATAGTGGCTAACTTTGCTGTCTTCTCTTACACATAGCACAAAGTCACCATGTATGGAAGTGCTATCCCGTACCAAAAATACACCACCTTCCTTTTCACCCATTAATAAGTCAGAAGCATCTTGTCTCGACATGGCACCAAAGTACCAGCTAAAAGAAAATCAGATATAGTTATAGTATCACAGATGTTCATATAACTTAATAATACAATAAATCAAATCTATTGAGGAGAGATATGTATATGCAAATAAAACTGTCCAAAAAAATAAGTTTCTTCTTCAATAAATCATAGAAGAGAAGCATAAAGAGCAAAGCTTGGTGTTATAGTTACATACAACTGATTAAAGTTTATTAAGCTTTAAATAATTTATCCGCTAAAGTAAAGCATACAAGAGGCCAAAATTTGTATAAATTTAAATTAATTTTAATCAACAGTTATATCAAACAGCTTATATCAAAATATCTTCAATAACATATAAGACATACAAAAAACGTTGGAAAAAAAAAAACTACAAAATTTCCTACACTATAATCTTCTATTTCTGCGCTTCATATTTGGAAATACCAGTCTGAAATAAATTACGGCTCATATTGCATGGACCAAAACTGATTTATCCATGCTTTGAAGAATACAAACAAAAAATGTTAACTATTTCGCAAAATTCTGAAAAAAACAGTTGTCAAGCGTTCGCGATACGCCTCGAGAGTCACCTTGCAAGCCGCGACTTTTAAAACCGACATTATCCTGCTGTGTGGAGCACACGACATGTCGAATGCCGCGTTGGATTACGCGGATGAATGAAAACACGAGAATTCTCGTGCGACACGCACCTCGACTTGTCGTACTGATCGAAGGTCGCAGCCATTGTCGCGCCTGTTGTCCGAGAGGATTGCACAGTCCGAGAGTAGTGAAACGATAACTTCTTCCCTCGTCAATTATCAATTAATATACTGTTACGGGGCCGCGCCGATAGTGAGAGCACGTCGGCGAAACGCCCGCATAGTAAGAATTGTGGTAGCGATGCGCGAGACTCCACTTGGATTACGAGCTAAGGAGCACAGATGTTGTATCTGTCGCGCAATTTCACCACGTTCGCCGGCTGTACAATACTGCGTAAAACCCCAGGAATTTCCGCTCGAACGTTCCTCCTCCTCCTCCTCCTCTTCTCAGGCACGATCAAGTATCACTCGTTATACGTTGAACGTGCTTTGCACGGTATGATCTTGTGGCGGCGGACCGTCGTCAACATGTTGGCAGACCGACGGTGTCACGCGTTCATTCGCGACGTTTCTCCCTTCGCTCGATGTAGTCACGATCGACGAACGCGAATGCTCTCTCTTTCTCTCTCCCCTCGTTATTTGCGCGAGATCGCCACGAGCTAAATCAACACTTGTTCGTCGCGGAAAGCGTCTCGTAAAGCGAGTTAGGAACTGCCAGGATCTCACAAAAATGGTCGCCGGACTGCTGGCACGACTCGTCGCGCCTTGCGATCCCTTCGCAACGCGCGCATTTATCGATAGGTCGATTCGTATCTACCGAGTGTACTGTTACTTGCGGATCACACCTAACGAGTGACCCCACCACGCCGTGCGTGGTTAACCTCCTCGTCATTATAGCGAGAGGTCGATATTTTACTAAAAATAAACATGTACACGGGAGACAGATGTTTGGCTTTATTGTATTCTCCGAACCTTAAAATGTTGCTCGTAAACGTGTATGCGTAATGTACATCATTAAGATGTTCATATGTGCGTCATGTAACAAAAGTACATATTTGATACCATCGAAATTACTGAGACTAATCACTTTTGCTACGCAGTTTAATCAATTGTGCGCGTTTAATTAGCTATGATGTTTCATTAACTATATGATAGTCTTACATTACAATTCACCTTGAGCAAAAGATTTTATTGCATGTTCTACTTGCGCTATCGTTGCAGCTTTATACATAATAGCTCCTAGTTGATGTGTAAAAAAAGATTCTTCTAATATTACAGGCAGTTTCTTCTTCATCTCATGATCACTTCAGCATTCTTCATTCGGTATTCATCTTCTTATGTCTCGTTTTCGGTCGGCTGAGCACTGGCTGGTCGAGCTAAAAAGTACACATATTTTTATCTTCTACCCACTTACATTTCTTTTGATTTCGACTCGGTTGCTCTTACTTCTACATCCCATCGGCTGAAACTTTATGTCGTCAACGGCAAAGCCACCGTTACTCGCACTTCCCTCGAGGATCAATCGGTACGGGGTACGGGCCTCGATCATCACCTGCGCCGCCATCCACACTGGTCGTGGATTGTTCAACCCTTTTGCCGTCAGTGACCACAACTGCAAGGAAATTCAAAGGAAACACAACAAAGTTCGAAGCACCACGTAATTCATTTTCTCAAGAACCTATCGAATTTTTATATTTAACATTCTCATACCGCCTGTTCCTGCTCGCCTTCGCTTTCCTCGTTACCATCTTCCTCAGCAGGCGCTTTGATCACCCGTAGAGTAGTGGACTCCTCTACGCCGAAAGCAGCGAACCAGAAGGTTAAACAGACGAACTCCTCGTCGGGTGAAGCGCTGATTACAGGCGACCGCAGCTGCACCGTCGTCGACTGCTTGTTGTTCGTGAAGATGTCGAAGAACACAAAATCACCGGTCGCGCCGAATGTCTTGTCTAACAACTGAGCTGGTCGATGGGTCTGGAAAGCACGCTGCCACATCACGGCCCGGTCATTGTCGGAGGCAGTCGTGTTTTCCCATCCGCACAGACCTTTCTCGAAGCTGCAGTCTTCCGCACGGACGGCCGCGCTCAGTGGTTTAACTGAGATTATTAAATACAAAGCATCAATCAGTTTTAACATCTTAACGTCATCGTCATATCATGTCTAGTCCAAGCTGACTAATGTTAAATGTTGAAACTAATAAGAAATAAGAATTAGACGTGAAGGCTTGGAGGTTTAAAGGCAAACGGGGACTATTAATACTTACTGCTGCAGTTTCCAGTATAAAATGCGATATCGTCGATTCCAATGCTACCGCTCGCTCTGTTCGGACCCCATGTGCCCTCGAACACGATGTTGAAGTTTGTGTTCTCGTTGATGTTAGCCTGAGCGTAGCTCCACGTGGGTCCTTGGTTGTTGTACAATTGCCATATCGGTTTGGCTTCCGCCGAGGTGTCGCCTGCCGCTTGCACGTACAGCCGCAAGACGCCTGTGAACGTATCAGGATACCAATGTTCTTGTTCCAAAATTTGGGAAAAAAAACGTAATTTTACAAAATATTGTTACACACAGCCGTCTCGCGCGTACCGGGTTCGCGAAATGAACTTGGACAAGACTTTTAAGAAAAGAAAGAACTCTTTTCTTTACTTCAAATATGTACAAACTCTCACTTATTAACGAATTCTCTCGTTTAATTATCTAACGATAATTAAGAATAGCGTTTGAGTCACGTCAGCTCGCGGCGACGGCTCGTGACTCTCTCTCTCTCAGCTGTTGTTGTTTTCTTCTTATCGATTTTCCGTCGTCCAGACAATTATCCTTCAGTTGTGAAAATCAGTACCAAATGCCTAAGGCTCGCGGACAACGGACGCTGCCACAAACCTTGTGGCTCGAACACAACAATATATTTCTTATAAATGCTCACCTAAGCTGGGTCCTGTGGAGTCGATGAACGGCTCGAACATGAAATACCAGAACGTGATACATAGCGGTTCCTCGGAACCTTTCATCTCTCGACTGACCAGCTGAGCAGTGCCGCCTCCGGACGATCGCGGGCCACCTCGCAGACGCGCGAGTCCTAGGAAATACTCGTTGCGTCGGTTAACCGTGTGCCCGTTGCTGTATGGCTTCCTCTGGTTCCTCGGACCCAACACCTGCGTGGACATTCGCTCCCACTCGACGCGGTCCGGGTCGCGCGAATTGATCCACTCGCACTCGTCGACTTCGAAGGTGCAGTCTCGAGGTATCGGACCGGCCACTTGTGGTGAAACTGTCCAGTCGATGTGAATAAATAATTAGAGAACCAAGCGAAAAGCGTCAGGTAATTCGAGTGCTATGATTCAAGCAACGGGAACTCACCGGGGCAGGCACCCTGTCCGTACGAAACATCGTCAATGGCGATATCACCCATGCCGGTGTTGCCCACCGACGCCTCGAACGCCAGCTGGAAGTCGTCGAGCGAGCTGATCGTCACTTGAGACATGAACCAAGCGTTGCCAGCGTTCCCGGACAGCCCCCAGATCTCCTGCAGCTGATTGTCCGAGCTGCGAAAGTGACGTAGGTAGAGCTTGAGGTAACCGACACCAGAGCCGAACATGTGGAACCAGAAGTGCATGCACATCGGCGCGTCCGCGCTGGTCGCCGGGAAGCTCGAGCTTACCAGCTTCGCTATGTCGCCAGGTCGTCGTGGGAAGTTGGAGTCTATGTACGCGTAACCGCCGGCAGTGGCGCGGTCGCTGGAGCTGTCCATCGCCGGGCCGGTTGTGGGATTATCGCTGCCACGACTCTGAAACAGTGAATATTTTCTAAGCATCTACTCATGTCCATGTGATCCAGAATTAACTCCATTAACAGCCTGTGAACGGCTCATTTGAGTGCACTCACTATGGTCCAATCGAAATCGTCCTCCGCGTCGTTGTTCCAGTCACAAAAACCGCCGGCGAAGTTGCAGAATCCGACGCACGACGTGCCAGGCTGCAGGTCTATGTCATCGACGGCGATGTACCCGCGATACAGACGCGACGGGTCCGTGGAGTCCACCGGCACACCTTCGATGATCACCTGATCGCCAAGATTTCTGTCTGATTATTCCAAATGTCCAACAGTTGAAGATTCATAAGTCTCTTCCCACGGAATATACATCTCAATTGATGTATCTCTACTTGAAGAACGCTTCGTTCGTCTATCAACACTCGTTGAGCGTTTACGGGGAAAAAAACTTTTGAATTAATATGATACTTTTAATAATTAGTTATCATTTAGGTAATATATATATATATAATGTATGAGAAGCGCTTTACCAAAGGGAATTGACATACCGAGTGCAACGCAGGATACGTGTAGAGTATTTGCGCCTGTTGCCATACTCCGAGCGTGTAATACTGCGCGTGCCATAACACGCGCTCCTCTGCAACCTCCACCGGTTCGCAAGGCGCCGGAGCAGTGACATTCTCCACAGGCAGCTCCTCGGACTGCTCTTTCTTGAACGAGAACTCGTCCACGCCAACGTGCAGCAGCACTCGCAGCCCTGCGATGCTGAGGCCGTCCATGGTGTACTTAAACATGAAGCAAGTACCGGAGACTCCAGTGCTGCCCAATTGTGGGCTGTGCAGGAGACCGCCAGAGCTCTTGAACTTGAGATCCTTCGATGGTACATGCGACGTCTCCACGAAGGCATACCTAGGCACGTCGATTCATTTCGCGAAGATTAAGATCTTTAGTCGTTGAAATATTAAATGACACGTGTATGAAGTTATAAATGGGAGCGCTCAAACTAACCCTCCTTCCATGGTACCGCTCGTAGCATCAGCTGCAGGTCCACCCAACCAGTTGGTACCCATTCCGGTACCGGGCATCCAATCTAAGGCGGCGTTACCATTCTGCCACTCGCAGAGCGGCATCGAAGGACTCGGTCCAAAGTCGCAGAAAACTTCATCCACTGTAACCGTCGGCGGTGGTACCGTGATCGTAGGGAACCTCGCATACGACGATACAAAATAATATGTAATCGTGTTACACGTACAACTATATGTTTAACTAATTAATAGAGACTGAGTTTTGGAAGATGAAAGTATGTGCCACTTTCGAGGTACCTTTGCGAGGAAGGGTTCCTCTGCGCGAGCGTGGTGGGATACGGAGGCCCGGGTAACAAAGAGGTTTCCGTGGTGAAAGGCGCGGTGCTACGAGTCGGCAGGATGTCCGGTCTACCTGGCCACTGCCTGGGCTCGATGCGCTCCACTTCGTCTAACGGCTCGCGATCGCGATCGCGATCGATGGAATTAACGGGAGGCTGCCGCGAATCGACGGAATCCGCAGATTCCCCATTGCTCGTCGCATCATTGACTCCGTTGTTCGCGAGACTTTTCCTCCAGTCGGGTAAGTAGCTCGCATTTTGCACAGCACCCACGAGATCAACCTGTTCGCCGAACATCGCGTTCAAGGTTGTCGACGGATACCAGGTCATACTCCGCGACGAAGAGGACGACCAGCAGCTCAGCAATAGAATCCACCACCACATATCCCTAGTTGCGGTCCTTCTTTTCGTTTGCCTATTTCTCACAAGGTTTGCACTTGCTCGCGTACGTGCGTCATGTGTTGTTGTTCGTTGCTACTCGCTCATCGGGATCCTTGAGGCCCGCCGATGATAATCTTGACATGTGGTTTGTCTGGTGGAATCTTTCCTTCTTAAAATACAAGATTGTTTCACATGAAGCACTACATCGTGTTATCAATTGGCAATTAAATAGAGAATATTAACGATTTAAATGGAGAAACACTGAACACAAGAATAAAATAAGTTTAATTTACAATGTCCACTTTGAGATTGTGCCCGAAGAAAGTGCTGAACAAAATGTAATGTTAAGCCATTAAGCTTCGTTAAAAATTTTATACATTTGTACACGTTTGTAAATATATCTACAACTATTCTAGAACAGCTAAAATACAGTTCTCGAAATTATTCTCCCGTTATTTGCGAATGTCATTTTGCTCAACACTAATCCGAAGTGGACTAATCTTACAGACGATGGACTTACATTCTTGCAGCCCAGACTTGAACTCTCCGATTTCCTTACACCTTACGAAATCACGAGGAAGCGTTCAGACGACAAGGCCGGCGGCGTGATATCTGTACCAACGAGATGCGAACTGTACGGTTCTCCTGGGCTACGGCCATCAGGTACGGAATGAAACGGTGTATCCGCGCAATTCCGCACAGTTCCGGCCTTTTCAGTTTCCGGTCGTTACACTTTCCGTGTGCGTCCGCACACGTCGAACAATTGAATTCCAACGATGCAGAATGCCGCAATAACGAGATTAAAATCTGGTCGTTTTCATTGGCGCTAAAACGTGCGTTCTGCGTGTTGCGTTTCCGAAATCACGGGATTTTTAATTGCGAACGCAGCAGTATACGTGCGATCATTAATTTAATTTAATTTTCTGCCGATTATTACACACTGCTATTAATACACTGCTTAAGATAACGCTCGTACACGTTATAAACTATAAAATATCTCTTCGATTCGATTCCATCACACGTATAAAATCAATAAAATTGTCGAATGTGATAAAAAGAAGGAAACACTGACTGAGGTTTTTGATTCAACATTCTACTGAAATCATTTAACGCGCGATTTACGCAATAGAAACCCGATTCTGATTCGTTCATTTTTTAAGATCCTTCACTGCTAGTTTTGTTCTGGTGAAAATTTGGCGGCTTGAGAAATTTCAAAAAAATGTGTGGGCCGAAATTCGCGGGTTCTCGATTGGCGAGATTAATAATTCGCCCGACATTCAAATATACTCGAACGATATAGGGGACCAGAAAGGGACAGAGCACAAGTTGATCGGTGTGAGGTCGATTCGGGCTTTGCTTCCTCAGCATTTTCGATATCAGGTTCACGATAGACGCCGGTGTTCCTCGAGGTAGAGGCTGCGGTGGATAATCGAACACTAATTTTGTAATTTCGATCAGACTCTGTAATAATAATTATAAATGTATTTATCTTTCTTGACTAAGAAGACACGCGCGAATGTGACTGAAATATCCAATATTGCAAATGCCTTTTCAACATTCTTTACTCTGTCTTCAAAGAAACATCATGCTTGCGACAAATGCAAGATAAATTAAAAATTCGTATCTCGCAATCAATTAATTTGATTTACCGTGGCAGGGAATGGAAGCCTCTTGGTGATCATCTCGTACAATACAACGCCCATGCTCCATACATCACACTTGAAATCGTACGGCTGTGCAGTTAACATCTCTGGGGCCATGTAATAGTAAGATCCCGCGCGACAAGTTATGCATTTTCTACAAAAAAGGAAGAAAAAGAATAAGAGCGAAGAGAGAGAATGAGTCTAAGAATCGTCTAAATTCATAACATGTAGAAATTGGTTTATCGATATTTACTTCTGAAGACTCTTCGAGACGCCGAAGTCGCCGATTTTAACAATATCCCCGCGGCTACCGGTCAGCATAATGTTCTCTGGTTTTAAGTCTCGGTGAAGGATCTTTTTTGAGTGAATGTGATGTACTCCCAGAGTGACTTGCGAAAAGAGATACAGAGCGTCCTGTGAAAAGATATTCCCGGTATATCTCATTGCTCTAAAATGTGTCCTCTGTATAGTTATCGGAAAGTATAGTTACTTTCTCCTTGAGAGGCAACTTTCGTTTCTCTAGCAAATCTTTCAGCGTGCATCTAGTTGCGTATTCCATAAGAATGTAACTGTGATTGTGCGCTATCCACGCTCCGTGATAAGAGACTATATTCGGATGTCGCATCTTGCGCAGGCATTGCACCTCCTCGAGCACTATCTGAATCACAAGATGTATACAGAAAATGTACAAGGATGGTCAATGCATTGTGTGATTCCTTTGTACCTTGGATGACGAATAGTTCACTGTGTTTAAATCTTGTTCTTTTATGACGAATGGTTTCGAGTCCTTCTTTCTTCTTACCAGGTATACGGTTCTAAAAATATATATATTTATAAAGCAATTCTCATCATTTGTATATATAGTTATGCGTTCGTTTCAAATAATGATAATATATACCCGAACGTTCCGTTGCCGAGAGTGCTCTCAAATCTGTAGTCGTCGGTACACATGTACATTTTTACCTTTGTAAGAAACAGAGAGCGGCAGCGAAAGAAAACAAGATTTAATTTCGTCTAAAACAGATGCGAAAATGTCATGGTTCGACGGTGACACTCGATCTTGTTTATCAAAGACACTCTTCACTTTGTTGTGGTAAACCATCTACGTACTTCGACACTTCGAGAAACACCGATGTTGACCTTCTCCACAACGCAAATTCGTGTCATTTAAATAGGATACAGCAAAATTAGTGTCGCTCTTGTTAACTTATCTTTTCTGTAAAAAAACTCGGCGGTAAAAAATAATGTACAAAATCGGCGGTGGATGTTTCTAAACATGTTGACCATAATTAAAGTTACAGTTAGATAATTTTTTATTTACTCCTTTTTATACAAATAATGCAACGCAGATATTTTCTAAAGCATTTTCACCTATACTATATCGAGAAAAAAACATCACGGTTATCAAACATATATATATGCATCATATATACATACATAATGTATGTGTATATGTATGTACGTATCTATGTGTATATATATATATATAATTCTTCCTTGTCTAATCGCATTGCATGCCATATGGTAATAATGTTGAACCCCAAAATAGGCGAGTTAATATAGATTGTGACAGCAGATATCACGTAATTATGAAGATTTTTTTAACAATAACAATTTTGGAATGATACAATTATTTTGACCATTCTCCAAATGACAAATACAAAGATACAACAAAAGAGAACACAGCTACTTTATGAGTGTTAACGAAGCGCTTAACGACTATATGACGTACGTAGGACGTTTTGAAAATTCCATATGTACGTTATCAATCGACATATCGTTGGAAAAGACAGACAGGTGGAGAAGAAAGGCAGAAGAAATCATTTATTCGGTTGTCGGTTTGAAAGAGAAAAAAGCGAAGTGGAAAGAACGTGTTGAATGTGTGAAATGGATAGAAATGGATGAGGAAGAAATAAAAAATTATTGCAATATTTACTCGCGGATGAGAAAGCAAACCACCTCATGCCCTGGCACAACGCGGGGATAGATGATACTGCAATATATATATATATATATATATATGTATATATATATATAAATGTATATATCTTTACTCTGATATCTTTTGAACTTTGTCATTGCCGACCGCATTTCAAGAATTGTTACTAGAACTGTTATTAGACTCTATCGTGTTAGGGCTATCGCTTCCAGCGGACGCAGTCACACGTGATTGCTTCAAGCTGTCCAAATACTCCTGTTGCGACGTCGCTAGCACTTGCGAGAGTATATCGCTATCTTCCCAATCGGTCAGACCTGGAAAATTAGAAAGTCATTAGAGAGATCACCGTGAAAGTTATTAGAAATCCGTATAAAAATCTAATAGCTACTTCTTCAATAAATATCTCTAGAACATCACGTCAGGTAAATGCGTGCACATAAGTAAAGGCGATTCACTACGTTTAGAAATTACATTTCACATGAACTGACTTTTAGAATAAATTCCTTTCGGGTTTGTTATTCCACAAATCAAGAGTTTAGCTCTTCGGGTTCTCACCGAACACTTCAGGAGGAAGGCGATTGAACAACGGGATGTCGGGTGATGCATGTGCCTCCTTGCTGCTTCCTGGTACAGGTTCCTGCGGCGTCACTTTTATCTCAAAGTCCGACGGCAGGTGGGATCCTTGAGTCGTTGACTGGTGCTGTGGCGATCTTTTGTTATATCGTACTGCGTCGCTGATCTGATGATCACAACAGACAGCACTGCTTTATACACGCGTCACTTTGAAACACCGCGCATAGTTATTATCACATCGGTGTACAAGACGAACCTTTGGAGAATTACGTAAATTATCTTGGCTAGTTTGAGTTGTAGTCGGTGACGAGGTATGGCTACGTTGCTGTCCACGACCTCCATGCGAATGAAAGTGCGAATGATTATGTTGCGCGCTCGTAACTGTGCTCGTACTGCTACTACTGGCTGATCGCTTGATTCAAAAGTCACGAAAGACTGAGTCTTTGTTTCTTTTCAATAAAGGTACATAATGGTCGTTACGATCAAGTGTCTCTACTTACTGCTTTGCGCATCTCGTTGTCGCGCAGCCATTGCAAGTAACTCTCCCTCGCTACTTGTTCCTCAATAGCTTCGTTGGTCGCTTCCCAATCGGTGGCTTTGATTTTATCCTCCAGCATTGTCTGTTGAACGAAATCGCATAGTCAAATCGACGTGTCAAGTCGACTCGTTTACGGATTTACCTGTTCGATGTGTAATTCTTCACTCTGACGGACCGCGTCGGATATCAAAGCATGATCGGCAGCACCGGGGTTATATGCTGGCAAACCGAGACCGACACCTACGGTAGCTTTGTACGGATCAACTATGCTGTTGTAGTGACTATCGCGTTGGTATGACAGCCTAATAGGCTCATTGTCACTTTTCACAGTAGTATGGAAGATATCGATAGGTTCTGTAAAAAATTTGATCGATAATCAAGTAATATTGAAAACTTGCAGGATGAGCGAGAAAAATGATGCCTACCAGTACTATAACAGTACAATTGGATGCTACGGTTGTACATTTCCGACATGGCATGCATTTCTATATGGTTCCCATGAACGTATTCCAGCCTTTTTCTATTCACATAGTTGCTGAAATCTTCCGCCGCCACGAAATTTCGGAAGAACTCCTTATTGGAAGCCTGAAAATACGTCCGATCATACATTGAGCCATAATGGAGAGTAATAGCCAGCAAGCAACTTAAATTTGAAATTATCACAAGCATATCATATCAAGTTGTATCGTAACTTACAATATAATCCATACAATGCTTCCGTACAACCCCATGCATCTCTTGATCGCCATAAACTTGATCCGCTACAGCTCTAAACAGGCAAGCTCCATCTTCATCCATTTTCTTCACAATAAAACCCTTTTTCCGCATGTGCTTTTCAAACCATCGATCTCTCTGGAAAGTTAAAAATATAAATGTGATAACATGTGAACGCAGAATAATGCTTTATACCTATTGTGGAACACTTAAGCTTAACAACACTAACTTCTTGCCATTCAGCTAACGTGAGATTATTTCCCGCACGTCCTGTATATTCATCTCCACTGTTGTAACCATTTGCCAATTCGTGCTCCAGATTTGAGGCATTTCCAACGATGCTCACTCTTCCACTGACACTGGTGTCTGTTCCTAAAGAAATTAAATAAACTCTGTTGTGTAAACAAGTTTTTCCAGTTTTATTAACTTTTAATGATATTACACAAGAAATACCTTGCATACCACTGCAAGAAGCAGCAGGTGGAGTTGCTTGCCTCTCACGTTCCCGTTCCCTCTCCCTCTCCCTGCCTCTGTCCCTCTCTCGCTCGCGTTTGGCGCGTGAGGATCTACCAATATAGCTACTAAAAGATTAGTAGATTCCTTATTATATATATAAAGTAGATATACATTTTACAAGAACAATTACTCTCATCATATAATGTGTCATAGATGTTACAGATGTCATAAATATCGTAACATGTTACGATATATCGTCACACAAGAATTATTGTGACATAAAAATATTCAATTTGTGTTAAACTGACTAATCTGACTAAGATTTAACTTATTTTTTGCATAGTCTGACACAATTCATTTTGAGTCTCACTGTTCTGTGATCTTTTTATGATTTTTATTACCTGTGGGGACTGACTCTTTGTCGGTGACGTTTACCATGGCTCGGGCCGCTTTCTTCAAAGTGCTTCTCTTCACGACGGTCACTTGCCTGTAACACAAAAGCATCATACATTAAACCTAGATTTAACTTTGCAAAAGCTTTTTGGTTGAACACTTGCAATTAGTGATCGTGCATGGTAATCAGCATTGTGCATTATAGCTCATTGCACTTTGATCAGTGCGAGTGTACAGTCATTCCCATGTCATTAAGTAAACATTGGCCTATAATTAGTCACAACCCAAATATCTTATCCAACGATTACAGTTTACATCACTCTCGATGGGCGAAAATGAGAAAAGAGAACAAAAACCTATAACAGCGACGAGACCAAGGGGAACGGTCTCTCTCTCTCTTTCTCTCTCTCTCTCTCTCAAAGCTTATACCTCGTACGAGCCGGCGGCCAGCACTACGGAACCGGATCCGTGATCAGCTTGAACTCCGTGCAAGTCGACGGTGAATCCACCGCTTCCGCGCACCTAGTCGCGTGTTTTCGGTAAAATCTGTCTTAGAGCTTTGTCTCGGTGCGTGACGCATGAGATTGCGATAAAACACATGACAGAAAGAGAGAAAAAAGGGGAAAGAGAAAGAGAGAGAGAGAAATAGACAAATAACGGATGGAGCATTCTCCACGTTGTCTCTTACCTGATAAGGACTGTTCGGCAGCGCGATGCTGCCGGAATTATGTTCATTCTGCACCACGCTATGATGAACGTCGACCTCCGTGCCTGCGCCTGGCTCGCGAGTACGATCCTTCGATGCGTTTGTCTTCTTCTTTGATAGGATCGTCATGATTGGCAACGATCAATCTTCGACTTTCGGTCCAGTCTGCCTTGTTTGACGCAAGTCTATGTATCTGTTCGCGATACCCTCCGCGGGGTCGTTACGTTACAGTCCGCGACGAATCACCTCGGTTATGTCGGTACAGGCTGCTGCTGCTGCTGTTCGTACACGTCGCAACAAGACCGACACAGACTCACTGACTTCTCTCGATCCACTTCTCAAGTCACGTCTCGCGACTCCACTAACATGGGCTATCGGCAAACGCGAGGATCGCCATACGCCTCTATTTGTTATTTTACACGAATCAGCGGATCCTGATTAATCGGGTTTGCACTCACAGCCGATACGTACACCTTCCCCCTGAAAGAAGAGAGTTCTCCAGTGCCCTCGGCGCCGACTGTCGATCGTTGCGTCACTCTCGGCGAAGAAACTTTTGGTCAGGATGACGTCGTTCCGCGGTTACCGTGCGACATGGCAGCCGAGCGACAGGGATAATCAGATCGGTCGTTAAACGATGCCACACGGAATGTTTTGTCGGGTCGCCATGTTCGCTCGTCGTTTCGTAGAATTCAAGAACGTGCAGGATGCGGGAGCATAAAATTTACGAGATATATAGCACGCGCGCGCGTGTGTGCCATCATGCGTAATGGCGTCTCCACATCGACACACTCGATTCGAATGTTCGGAGCAGCATCTTTGAGCAAACGCGTGAGACACTTGGCGAGAGTCGTGGGCGAGGTAAGTTACCAGCAAAATAATCCCGCTTGCTTCGTTTTCAGCTTTGTTCACAGATGTCATCTATTTGCCATCATTTCTGCGCGTCCGCACTTTCTAATCTGTCTCGTGATTATTCTGTTTTTACTCTTTCCACATTGAATGTCAAATCATAGAGCTTGTCTTTTGATGCTATTCGCTTTTTAGAGTTAACAATACCTTCGTCTCCGGAAAAAAAAGTGCAATGGACGTCGAAGGATATGTAAGTACTCCATTACGCAAGTCAATTCTAGACATTTCCACGTGAATGGAGGGAGGCGCTGTCGTCTGTCGCTCGAAAAACGGCCATTTTCACGACGAGCAGTAAAAGGCAGAAAGGCAGCGAAGGTGTATTGAGAATTATTCGTTCGCTATTGATCGTTCGGAGCAATTTTTCGAATCCTGAGCGCTAGCTCGAGTTACTCCTCTCCACTTTGATAGTACGCAGATTTGACGAGGAAGATGAATGTCTGGTCCGGGTGAGTTTCGTTACGTTCTCTATCGAGTACTTATATTTCGCGTGGTTGATTTCTAGACACTTCTTTGCGACATATCAACTATCAACGCCGTCAAGATTTTATCTTTTGTCATGTGGTATATCGAAAAGAGTTCATTCGCTCGTACAACAGATTCGTTGTGAAAAAATTTGCGGACTACACTGTCTTTCTATAAAAATTGCGCAAGGTGTGCAAATGACGCACTTTCAATAAAATCAATATTAATAGACTTAGAATTGTCGACATTAATTCTGATGTCATTAGAAGCGTATCTTATTTGACGTTCTGTTTTGTACGAGAGATTATCCAAAAAACTCAAACGATCGCTCTACACTATAAAAAGAGAAATTAATTATTAAAATTATTTACGCTATTTATGTATATAGATATATGATGGGCTTTCTAACCTCAAAGAAAGTTTAATATCTATCTTAAGATAAAAATTATTATTGTATTAATTATAAAATTATATATGCATAATTAAAGAGATGCGAATTTGTAATTTTATGTTGCATATGATCATCCACAGTTGGCCTGGCAGCGTATTTGATGAGATTGATCAGATGATGCCTCAGTTTGGCTTCCCATTTGGTCGCGGAATGCTAGAACCTTTGCATCCAATGATACAGCCACGGATGGGAACAATGCAGCCATTCTTCTTTAGAGATATGATGAACTTTGTGAGTAAAATTTTTCAGATAAAATCTGTTAGCTATGGATCAATGATAGAAGTATATCAATAGTAATTACAAATTTTAGTTATTTCATTATGTGGTTATTTCACTACATGATTATATATAATTTGCAGGATTTTCCTCCTGTTTCAACATTGGGCAGTAATTCTCACTCATTTATGCGCCAATCCGTAGTATCTATGTCCAGTGGTCCTGATGGACGTCCAGAAATTTATGAAGAAACTATGTCAACGACAACAGCACCTGGCGGCGTAAGAGAAACTAAAAAGACTGTAAGGGACTCTCGTACAGGAACTAAAAAGATGGCTATTGGTCATCATATTGGTGACAGAGCACATATTCTTGAAAGGGAGCACAACATGAGAAGCGGAGAATCAGAAGAACGACAGGAGTTTATTAATCTTGATGAAGGTAACTTTTTTATAATCTTAAGAATAAAAACAATTTAATTATCGGTAAATACAAGACATAATCATTACAATTATATGGTGCATGTATGTATTGTAGATGATGCTGATAATTTCAATCGCGAATGGCAAACACGTACACGAGGTTCTGCTGTCAATGTTGCTGCAATCGGTAATGGTTCTAACCTAAATAGAAATCGAGCAGATGTAAGACAATTGGCTCTACCGTCTACCTCAGAACCGTCAACAAGGTTTGTCCATTTAATTTAGTAGTTCAGAAATGCTCAAATGTATACTTGCCATCTAACAAGTAACAACTTGTTAAAGGTAAGGATACTTAGTGCAGATCCATTTTTCATGGCATCAGCAGATTATAAATTTGCTTTGTACATGTATTTGTTAAATCTTACTTTTTTTTCGTTATTAAATTATTCTAATAGTAATATATACAGTCGCAAATATATATGTTTATGGTAGATAAACACAACATCAGACATGTTAGAAAATAATTGCAAATATAGAATTTCATTGCGCCTTCTTTCTGATGTATTTCCATTTACACTTTCTGCATGTGACTTTGAAATGTATGTATGCATGCTTTTAAGCACTGTACTACAATAGCATACGTATCGCAACATTCGTCTTCTCCATTCTTTTCTTTCTCTTTAATGTATACTTTTCTATTGTTTTATAAAATAAAATATTTCTAAACTGCATGGGAAATGGATGAAAGAAATAGTAAGAAGTAGAATAGTAAGGAATAGTTGGGAAGATTAGGAAAAATATTTAACTAAACATGGTTTCATCTATTCACTATTGTACAATTCCAAACTCTAGCCATTAAATGATAATTGTAATAAATTAATAAGTACTTCAGATCTCTCAATGGCTGCAAGTAATGGCTGCAAAATATATAATTATGAATCTTTTTTATCATTTATTACATAAATCTCTTTTGTTATTTTGTCTGTTTTACTATCTGTTAGAAAATTTAATGATAAAAAAAATTGTTTTGCATCCATATTATGGAGAACTGATTGTCATATACTTTTGTAGTCGACATAAACCATTACGTGCTAAACTAAATCCTATAAAGGCTGGGAAGAATGTAGCTGCCAAATTGTCTCCATGGTAAGTTTAGTTTCTATTAGTTTACTGTCATCGCTATTTTTCGCTACATCGGAGACTAAATCTTGGATTCTAAAAGAAGAAATATGGTGTTTTGGAGCGAGTGAAACGAGACGTATGTTCCATATACTCACATAGAACACACACAGGTTTTCTCTCTGTAATTTACTTGAGTCGTAGAACTATATTTCTATAAATGCATGTATTATCATTCATAAAAACAAAGGAAAATGTGGCGCAATGCTTGCATTACGTTATAAATGCAAACAGGTAATAGTGCTCTCTGCTTCTAGTAATAAGGGACATCATTGTATGCAATTATGTCTCATAAGTATAGTGTATATGTTTTGTTGATACCTATATATATATAGGTGTGTGTGTACATACATATATATATATATATGTATATATTCCTCCAATACTATTATTTCTCCGCTCGATTCTATATTAATATGTCATTGTTAGTATTAAGAATATCTAAACTAATCTATAGTTTCTAGCATAATTCTTAAGAATGTAATTTCCAACGATATACGCTTATATATATATATATATACCAATATATATATGTATGTATGTATATATATATATATATATATTGCAGCAATATATATATATATTGCTTCAATAATGCACAAAATTTTAATTATTTAACGCCGAGATAACACTTCGCTATTATTTTATTATCATTTCTCCAACGAGATGTGTATTATTACTTACGTATTATACTTTGGTTTCGCAAATCATATGCAAAGTTACGTTATGCCTTACGCGATACCGCGACATGCTAAGAGATTGGTATAGAATATACCATCTTGTGTATTGCAGGTACAGGCGCAAATATTAATAAGCTAAAAGCATAGTACACAGCAGTGACACTTGCGCGACGTAAGTACGTTGCGTCACTCCGTTATTCGTTATTTTGTTCTGTTCATTGCAATTTTACTTCCTGAACTTATCTGTAATTGCGAACGCTTCTATAGCTAATGATACTGTTTAAGGATCCCTCCTCTAAATGGTAGGCACATATCGGCTCATTGGGATAAGAGCGATTGATGCGATTCATTTTGAAACTAATGTAGATCTTTACTTTTTTCCTATCAAGTTACAAAACAGTATTAATCGCTCTCACTTCAATTAGACGGTGATATTGTTTAACATTGATCGATATTGATATACACATTAAGTATATAAGCTAGTTATGCATTATCGTTATATTAGGTTTTCATATAAAAATCAGCCACAATTCATATTTATGAAGATATGATTTTCGTCATTACTATTTTCTTAATTTTAATAAATGTTGTACTGCTTCTACTGTGACAGCTTATAGATTCTCTCTCTCTCTCTCTCTCTCTCTCTTTCTCTATCTTCTTTTTTTAATTTATCTGCCAATGGCGTAACAAAAATGAAAACAGCAATTTCACATAGTCGTTATAAGGCAAGTGCATGGTTCGCTTATTTTGTATATGCACCAGTGTGTCTGTTCTCTCTTTTCTTTTTCATTCTAAAAGTTCTACAAATCTACGGTAATATCATCAGTAATTTTATAATAGTTTAGCTTCCCACTTAGATCTAATATGTATGTTACATAAAAATATCGTTGTATATTTAATTAACTCGTTATGTATTTACAGGGAAACTACAAAAGCTGCAGAATCTCCGAAAAGAAAAGGGAAGGGAAAAGGTAAAAGTTCAAGTACGGAAGTACCTTCCACATCTGAATCTCGAAAGCGTGAAGCATCAGAGGAACCGTCAGTAGTCTATATTCCTAGTAAAAAAATCAAGTAGATAAGTCACGCGGTGTCCAATAGTGGTGATTAGAGTATCTCAAATTACTAATTGCAATCTTATCTCTCGCCTCTATTACAGATTTACCTAAGCTAATAAAATGTACTTTAAATTATTTTCTCATTTCTCATATACGGTTAATATGTCTTTGGAAGTGGTCATTAATATTTTCTCTAGAAAAGATTTAATATCTTTCTGTCCTCAATATTCTTTTCGCATTGATAAAAAGATGTCGCTATATCCACACACATCTTATCATTTAATGCATATAGTTAAACTGATACTTCAGAATTTTTTAAGTAACACAATAAGTTGTTTATTATATTTTATATAAATACTTATTTAAATATATATACATATAGGTTTGAACTTCGATTATATATACATATATCAACGTTTAAAATATAAAAATAAATTCCTAAAATAGCGAAATGCTAATTTCTACCATTAATCAAAAAGCACTGCATTAATTTATTCTATTTTGTTCAGATATATCTTCTATGTTATACAAGGTACAATAGTAATAAAGATGTATAATTCTCTATAAAACGATGTAATGTTACTGTGAACATCTGTAAGTGGACATTTTTCGTTGAATAGTTTTAGCAGTGGCTAGTAGCAAATTGTATCCATAAATTGATATAAAAAATGTATCCTGAAACTTTAAGAACTTATATAATCACAGACATGTACTATATCCATTTCTGTCGGTTCATGTTAATTTTTAATATCGTATAACAATATTCAAAAGTCCAATGTATATAAAGGCAATAAATGATTAATGGTTTTAAATGTATCCTGGATTGTGATAGTTTGACCTGTGCACGATTGACCTTTGAAACCTGGTATATATTTATTAGCAGATGAAGTGGCCGATCATTTGTAAAGCAAATACACGCAACACGCTCTCGTGAAGGTAGGATATTAAACGACACACAAACTTTCCCCGTCAAATAATTATTTTATTCAAATAATTGTTAATTTCGTTTTAACAACTGAACGCACACACATGTATAGATATAGATATATTTATTCTAAATAAGAAATGGTGGAATAAAATTATATATCCCTTGTACCAATACGATTTTAGTCGAAGTCTTTCCTACACAAATAGTGATCTATACATTTTAGTTTCGAGGTTATTCAATGAAAATATTATCATACCGATCTAGTTACATTGCCATAAAAGTGAACACAAATTGCATATACATTGTGAGACTAAAATTTTAAAAGCGGTATATAAATTTTTAAGTGTAGGCCATGTAAAATAGTTGACAATTGGTTGTCGCTGGTGTATGCTAGGTAAAAGCGAATATTTAAAAATAATGCTCAATCGTTGAACGACAGACACGATAGAGGCAAGTGGATAAAAAATACTATTTGTTGTAACCTTCCATGGAAATCAAAGCGACAGTTCAACGTGTTGAAGTTTACGTACATATGCTGAAGTACATAATGTAATACGCCGTTTCGATCGTATCTGTTAATGTTTTCATTGAATTGCGCGCATAAAATGCAATACTAAATAGCAGCAAACTTTTGAAAATGGTTCACGAGCCATTCGTGAACGCGTAACGAATAAATTATAAAACGTAACAAAGCATATCTACAGTAATTAATAAAAGAACATAAGAGGAAAGCCGGCAAAAGAAACCGTGAAACGTAATGTTATATCGACACCATGCTGAGTGGATTGACTTCTGTTAATTTGCCTCCGCTAAGGTGTTGATATGCTGGTTGATGGTTAACAGCTGGGTCACGAATGACGTGTCACTCATGATGCGGGCGAGAGCAGAAATTATACTCTCTAGTTCATCCGGCGGAATTTCGAGCTGTCGAGCACATTCCGCAACAATCTCCATTTCCTCGGCGTTGGGACGTATCTGAAGCGAATAAGGAATTTGTCATTTTATTTCGCTCGATACAAACGTACGTTGAAATTTCCAAATGCTCTTTCTTCTTCTCTCTTACCTCCGAAGTGCGTTGAAATTTATTGAATGCCATTTTAACTCGTTTCTTCCTGTTGGCGGTCTGATGGAAAATCGTGAAGGTCGCGTTATCGCGATCCAGTACAACAGGAAAATATATACCAGCGATTGTGTGGCCTTTAGTATCTCTGGCTATGAGGCTCTTGTGGTTATAAACCAAGTTTCTACGTTCGGTAACATCAATGGCAGTTAAATATGGCCTCGCCACGTAAATGAGAGCGACTTGCGCCGTCTCAAAGGCACCAGGTCGAGTAACCCTCTCATGCCATTCAATATAATCGGGATCCTCGGTACATGGATAGTAATTGTACAGTTTCGTGCAGTTCGGTTCCTCGATTTGCGTAAACCAGCCAGTGTGAGGGTACAATTTATCAGCCATCACAGTGACAACGCGAGCTATATGATAACCAGGATCAAGCAGCATAAAGCCGCAACGTTCACCAATCTTGATTCTCAGGCACACTAGTACATGCTCTTTCTCACCGCTGGCCGGCGCTGGTGGACCGCCGACGTAACTAGCGACATTACCAATTGTCTACAACAGAAAATGAGAGATTTATTTTTCTCCTTAAGTGTACATATTAACGATTCTGCCGAAGAAACGACTTGAAACAGTATGACAGACTCACCTCTTCACATGATGTTAAGTAGAGACTTTTTGCTAATCCTGGGTATCGTTCATCCAAATCAGTTAACCGACGTAACAACTCGAATCCAAGGCCGACGCAAGTGTAATGTTCGTCTGTTATTATCGGCTGGTATGTGCGGTAGAAATTATCAAGCACACTTTCTCCACTTATGGAGTAGTCCCGATAGAACCTGTTGGCAGATACTATGTTGTATACACGACAGTGTTCGAATCTCACAAAGTACATCAGGATCAACGGCAAATATAACAAATGTTGCATACCTGAGGAAATTGCCAACAGTGTTATAGCGATGCTCGCGCAATAAACGTTGCGTTTCAAGTTCAACGCTGCCCGCTAGTTCCTCATATTGTTCGACCGTGGGAACGGTCAGGACTGGTGACGCGTAATGGGCCCAAACCGGCAGGGGTAGCGGAAAACCCCTGATCCAGGGCCCGCGTGCCTGCCCCTGTGGCTGGCACCATGTTTTTGCCGTCTCGAGTCAACTTGGCCATTCACTGCCCCAGCGACCAACTGTTGGCACAAAGCCATGTTCATCCCTGCAGCTGCTAATCGGCTCTACAGGGCTCTCTCCGTGTTTTATACTCTTCTCTTGCTCTGAATGCAAACATTAAAAAGAACATTATTTTCTATTACAGGAAGAAACAGGATAAAAATTGAATATTTTACTGATCACGTTGTTGTAAATATGATGTGAATTATAATATATGTGTGATATTTTGTAGCCGATTGTTTCAGCGCTACTTCCACAATACTTATGTACTTACATAAAAAAATATTTGTAGACTTCAATATTGTATATAAGGAAAAACAAACAAAGAAACGACACAGCAAGTATGATTATGCAAGTATGAGTACGCGACGACTTTGATTTTTGAAAGCAAGAACTCTCAAAATATCTCTTCGATATCTAATCGTAAGATTAGATGTAAGAATAAATGATATTTTTACGTCAGGAGCACGATAATCTTTCGAAATCCCCAGACACGTAATTGACGTAACGATAGCGCAACACCATAACGACGCGGACGTAAATTCTCTTATCAGCGTGGTCCTGCGTAAGCGATAATGTCCACGATGATTAGCCACGATTACCGTGAGTCCACTGCTATTTGAGCACACGGATCAGCACGGTGCCATAAGACAAAATCTGCGAAATGAATGCGGAGAGGCGGATCGGACTTGTCGTCGGCTCGGTATCCAACATGGCGACGTGTACACACGATGCTCTGGGTGACACCGTAAGGCGCGTGGTAAATCGATACACGACAAAAAGATACGTAGCGCTCTTGCCACGTGTCTACTGCGACCTTCGTTGTCACGTTTATATATCTCTCTCTCTCTCTCTCTCCCCCTCCCTCTGTCCCCCCTCTCTTCCCCTCGTCCTTTTTTGCGACGTTTTCTCTCGCGTCAAATCGCACGTCACGACATCGAGGCTTTCCGAGAGGGAGAGAAAGAAAAAAAAAGAAAGCAGCATCCGTTATCCCGCGTGCCTTCGCACGTAATTTCCATCCTATGCCGTGCGAATGCTGTCGTCAACATTCGCAATTCTACGCGAAAACGACGGAGCAAGGCTGCGCTCCGGAAACGTCACTCGGACACTCTCCCTCTTTCTTTATCTCATTTTTATGTCTCTCTCATACCAACGCAGCAGATGTATCCGAGTGACGTTTCCCAACGCAACCCAAGCTATCTCTTCGAGAGACAATCACTCTCTTTCTCTCGTGACCGTTGCGTCATAGGATGGTAATAGAGACCGTGTCAGGGAATTGTCATGCGCTGGCTGTCAATTTTCCCGATGGGGTCAAACCATCCTCGGAGAAGGATCGTTGGCAAAGTGCGCAATTTCTCATTTACATTCGCCATAAACAACATGACATCGATCGACAAGCTGCGCGCGCTGTCATCTCAGCGTTATTGCCTCCCGTGCTGTATGTGGGTGGTGGCATTCGTCGATGAGTCATGGCGGTGAGATCAATGACTTCGTGGAAAAAATGCGTGTGTGGGAATTCCGTGGGAGACATATCGGCGAGAGGACGACAACAACGACGACAACGACGACGACGACGGAGGTGAGGGACTGCCCTGAGTGGAGCACGGACGCGTTCGACCTTACGATCGCAAATCTACGGTCCACCGTGACATTCGCCTAACTCGCTCGCGATCACTGAACGTTTCGCGTTTTCTCGCCACTTACCCATACAACGAGTCCCAAACAAACAAAAACTATTCCTCCGCGCGAGCTTGCCGTTAGTCACGTGTCCGAAGTTGAGGTACAACTGATAGATGGGACCCGAGCGGAAGGTTATATACGTTCCGCGCGATCCGCTCTAAACCTCCCTCCTAACCTCTCTTCCTGCCCCTCTTTCTCCGCTGCGCTTTGCTCGCCAGTCGCACGATTCTGTCTCTTGACGTGTCGCGGTCATCCGAAGTTCTCTAATGAATCATAATTACGAGGACGCGATCTCACATCGCGCTGACAAATCGTCGCGCGGGGACTTTTCGTTTGTCCCATCCTTGTCTTTTCCTTCCCTTTTCTCCTTTGTTTTGTCCCGTATGAATCAATATGGATATAACATGCTCGGCGTCATCTGTGCTTTCGCGCCTGAAGTTCGGCCCCTTTACGCGCAACGCTTGTCGATCGGTTATCGGTTATAATCGATATAGTGTTGTCATAATCGCGCTTACTTCGGAGCGAAAGACATGGAGATTCGAATATTAACCCTATTGCCTCGATCGACAGCTGTTGAAAGTTTAAACGTTATGTGTACAAAACACGTCTGAATCTTCAAACTTCCGTTTTACTGCCTTTCTCTTTGTTCGCAGTTTTAAACGCGCGTACGAAGAGACGATTGTCGCGTTATCGATTGCGACACTTCGAAGATCGCGGCGGATCGTAAACGTAAAGATGATCACCTGACGTGGGCATTTAAATTCACATCTGATAAAGATTAGAATCTGTAAGGATCATTTATCAACAAGATGTTGGTCGACAAACGATTCTATTATTCTTTAAATCTTGTTCCTATCGAGGACAAATCGATACCGAATGGAATAAAGATCCTTAATTGATCCTTAATTAACGTTATTTACAAGGTAAATTGCATATTTATCTTCTTGTGCTTCCTCCTCTTATCTCTTTGAAGAATAGAGTTTGTTGCAGCAGTTGCTTAAAGATAAAAATCCAGAAGGTCAAAGAAACGGTTGTGCCTTGTTACAATTGACTGAGAAAACCGTATCTACTGTGGAAATCATTTCATAGTACAATATGTAACTTGCTTGAGATATTTATAACAAGCAAATACATTGTATTGTGAAATGATTTAATGAATGTTTTCCATAGATCGGCTATAAAATGTCATGATCAACAACAGATATCGCTTCCATGAAAGAGTAGAACGAGAAAAAGCATGAAAACGATATAAAATGTTACTGTAAACAAGATTATATTTAAATATGAGGTAAAGAAAAAACGTTTGACTCTCAGTCTTAGAATCGTGTTGCATAACGAGAAATTCCTTTCTTAAAGGAGATTTAATTATGTAATTGTCAATTGTTGTTAGTTATCACCTCTTTGTGTTAATATTACCTTTACTGTGATAGTCATTTAATATTAATTTTCAATCTCCCAAGCAGGTAAAAAGAACTTATGAAAAGCTCGTAAATCTGAAGCTATTTATCTTCATATCTGGAAGAAAACAGATCAAACTGAATGAAACGTGTGATTAGAAATTTCGTAGAATTGCTCCGGTTTGTTTCAATGTATTAAAGATCATTTACAGTGGAAGTATATATAGAGCGTATAAACACGTGTTCGTTTATCATGCCTGCATCCACCTACGTACTTACGACACGTGCACGAGCGGCAGTTCTGTTTACACGAACGAAAAGTACGCAATTGCTTCTTCATGATGGCAATATTATCATTATTGCAGTCCCTTTTGGCAAAATTGGAGCTTACCGCAGTGATCGAATATCAAAAAGAACTCGAGATCAAGGGATAAGAGGTGACGCTTTGATACAATTGGTCGAGAAAATCATGTTTATTTCACCGGGAAAATGTGGCGTGCTTGAGACATTCATAATGAGTAGACATATTTTGTGGTAAAATCATAATATAATCGACCGTGACGTCACGATTAACGTTTCTAGGAAACACCGGAACGACAACAAGATAAGGGACGTTAAATATATTACCGTGAATAGGATCGGATCTTGGAATTCCATCATAAGAAAGAAATCTTTTAATTTTCAATTTTGGTTTGCGAGGAATTCCATTACAAATTAAATTTTAATATTAAGTTTTACTTATTAACTTTATTATTTATATTTATTAATTTATTTATTAACATTAAGTTTTATTTTGTAAATCTAATACTGATAAAATATTTTTATTTGTTACTCGAACGAGTCTAAATTATCATTGTTATTAAAACATAATACAAGAAACAAAGCTACAAAGTAATAAAGAATAAAATTCATAACACAATCAGAGATTCTTTGTGTTTTAGGACAAAAAGCCTTCGCTGAATACATCACCTAAGAAAGTCAGGACACAAAGCAAAAATATTACGTGTACAGAAGAGAACACGAAAATAATATTTCCGAGGAATATTTTATCCGAATACACAATTGAGAGACAGACTGAAAGGCGAGAAAGGATAGTCTCGACATTGTAAAGTTAATGCAGATGTTGTCGGTGACGGGAAAATCCGTTGGGTAATTCTGTTTTTTTATATATATATCTCGCCTTCTGCACGTTTCTTAGTGGCTATTTCGTGGCGAAAGACCTTGAATGGCGTGCCTTGACTGTTATGCGACTTTAATTGGCGCGACGCGATTGTTTCGCCATGTACACGATACAGATATATAATCCTGGTACTTCTCTTTGGCAGAAGCTGCCAAAATTATAAAGTTAACGCAAAGTACGTTCGTTGCACGCTACGTGACGTAACACGTTGCCCGAATAATCTACTCGTACGTGGATGGGTACCGCCGTCGCTGCGAAATTAAAACACCGACGTTTACATTGAGTAGCACTGCTGCAAACTTGCATACGACTGCAAATATCAATAAGATAGTTGACACGTGCAATTTCTGCTCGTCAGCCGGCACATAATTTGAAAACGCGCGTACGAAAAACATACTTTTTTTTCCTTTGTTCCTTGAATACTCGCGTACATGTCGCGCTGCATTATACTTTCTTTTGTGTGTTTTCTCATTATTATTTCACTTTTAACAAGTTCAACGTCGTCAATAAAATTACTCATCAAGCCGTTTGATTTTATTGTGACTATATGAGAACGTCTGGCTGCTGTCTTCAATCAATCGGTCGATTGATCTCTTTACGGCTGCCAACGTCGAACACTTTCTAATGTAATCGTTAATTGCAGATTGCGAAAGGAAGTCAGACAAGGAGACGTTTCCTGCGGGATTTTTCGCTGTTGGGCTCGAAGAGGCCGAATTTTCATTGCGCGCCAGTCGTCCCGCTGCATCGAACTCGACTCGGGCAAGCCCTCTTCAGACAATAACGCGGTTCACACACGCCGAATACATACACTGATTGTCGTTACCACGTGATTACTCTGTGACCCGATATGTTCTGCGATTAGAGCTGCGGCGCAATAACGATATTCGCACACGAGAATTGGATGTGAATCAATTCTCGCCTACTGCGCAGAATACATTTCCCCGTGTATGTACGTACATCTCTTGCATTGCGGCGTCAGCGCTTTCGAGCTAAACGGACGCATTTTTCCGTAAGATTGCGCAAGAACGCGAAAGTCCGCCTGACTCCCGGGCGAAATATTCGCGTCTCTACACGCTCTCACGCGCTCCCACGTCTCTTCCTCCTCAAACATGCATTTTGCGTTGCACTGTTACTCGTTGCATCGTCCTGCATATCGTCGCTCTCTGACTGATTTAAATTAAGCTCTCTCGTAAAATCAATGCACGCGGACGAATATGTATGTATAGCGGATGTACCGGTGAACGACGATAAGTTGCATTTTTCGTTTCTACCTTGAATTGTCGTCGACGTCGTAAGTGTATTCTTATGTAACGATACACTTACGGCAAATTACGGCCGTACGGCCGTATGCCGGTGAAATCAAACGGAAATCGTTTGGATGATGATCGATAATTATCAAAGATTTAAACATTGTAACGGACAATTGGTTCGCAATAAGCGAATTCGTGCGGTAACTGACTAAGATTAATTGCACAAATTTTACACAGCTTAATTGGTCATTGGCTATTAGCTATGTGCGAATGTGTTAATCAACAATATCAAATCGATCGACGATTGCGGAGAATGACTGCACCGCACCGCGTGTTCTACGCGAGCGAATGAGAGACCTCGTCCGTGGAGGCGATTGAAAAGGCGAAGTTCTTTGTACCGTGTTTCGGTATTATCGGCTCATTAAAATAATAGTCGTGACTCACGCGTTCAGCCATGGAGTGACGTAAATCGACGATGGCGTGTTTACCGTTCGCCTTAGATACATACGCATGTATCTGGGACACTAATAATTAGCAATACTCTACACGTCTCACACGGGACCGAGCTCGCGTAATGCTCTTCGTTCTTTCTCACCCGATAGTTTCGACTGAAAATACTCCTTGACGTGTGTGCGTTCGACGTAAGGCGTACGTAGGGCACGACGAACATTGTTCCGCGCCGACGTTTTGTCTGAGCTTTCAATGTCGCGCAATACATGCGATCGCGGTTTGCTCCCGACGTTGCGTTTTTCGTTTTTCTTTCTCTTTTTCAAAAACGCGAATTACTTTACTAGCAATAAACATCGGCTCAACCGGTAGAACCGGTAGACTAACAGTAATATTATGTTACTTATTGATATTATATCAATGTTATAATTTCCCATTCAACAATGGGAAGCATGATACAACGTTGTATACAACAGTTAAATTGAAATTATAACATTAACGCAAAGTTATTGTTAATCAGTTTATTGCATACATACGAGTTATTCACGAATTATTCTATTTTCAGGCTTTTTGTTTCGCATTCTCGGCAGTGGAGGGAAAGGATACGTTTACATCGGCGAACGAAAAGTCCAGCCATTCGAAGAAAGGGAATGCAAAATGCCCGCTGTAGTCGGCACCGATAACCCAAATAGGCAAACAGACAAGATACCTCTTAGATTTCTAAAAAATATCTTGCAATGTCTTGAGATATCTTACATTTTTCCGAAAAGATATCTCTTAGGGATCTAAAGGTTAAAGTTAGATTAGATGTCTGTAGATATCTTTTAGAAATTTCATAAAGATATCTTCAACTAAATCTATTGAAATATTTTTTAGGTATTCTTCTAGACATCTTTTAGAAATGTATCTTGAAGATATCTTTCATAAAATATATTTTAGATGTCTACAAGATATCGATGTTTACTGGGAATCGTTCACCGTAATTTATACGATGCTGATGCGATTGCAATTTGTACGTTGTTTATGTGTGACGCAAGTAAGAGCATACGTCGGTGTATGAGCACAGCGGCAGGAATGTGGGATAAAAAGAGTTCGCTATCGTTGAATATTATGTGGCTCAAGGAAAGAGCTGAAGAAATTAGCGGGCGTAACGGTGCGACTTGCCGTTGCATTGTAAAATCGCGGCGCAATTTTGTCGCGCCGCCGAGTGGAAAATGCACGCATGTAGCGGGCGCAACTTCATTCGGCGTGTTGTTACATACACCGCGCATTGCACATGTCGTTTATCTGCGAACGGACGTTTTTCGAGATTTTTATATTTACAACGTATGAACGTCATTGTTTTGCCACGCGTGTGTGAAACATTATTCGAAGGTCATTCGGTGACGAGAATGCGGTTATGATAAAACCGCACATTTCGCCTTTCGATACAATGCGAAATTCTTTTATCTATGCATTGAGAGAATGGCTGAAATTCAACAAATTGATAGATTAATAAAAAATTTAGTGCGAACACGCACATGGCAATACAGAAAACTTAATTTTAAAAATGCAAGTGGTGGAAGTCAAAGTGGATAATAATTTGTTTTGTTTTTTTTTAACTTTGATTACTCAACGACTTTTCGTTAGCCTGGAAAGATAATATAAGATAGCCTGAAAAATAATATAACGAATATTCATAAAAAATTCCATGATTTTTGATCTTCGTGTGCTGAAACAAGTGGAAAACTTTCAAGAGATACGAACGATCTCTTGATTGATCGGTTCATAGTCGAAGGTTGTGCAAAATTTATAATGCGCAATTTAATCGATCGTTTTACGCTATCACGAATCTTATCGCCGATAGATAACGGATAGCAGAATGCGTTCTTTCCTATCTTTCGTATCTTTCCTATCTTGTATCATTAGGACGATAAGTCGAACCGACGGCGATAGCGCGTATCGCAATGCCAGGAAGTTGATATTGTAAGCTCGTAAATTTAGAAAAGAGTCGTGCGAAAAATAATGTATATTTGCTGTGCTTTAAACGCAACTCCGTTTGAGTTCAAAGTCCGGTAAAGATATATCATATGGCGATACGCGATGGCAATATATGTTATTGCTATTACATTATATTCGTTTTAAGGCCGGTTGTTCCAACTCCTTGGTATTGATAGTTAAATCATATGTTTGTCTTCGTTTAAATTGAAGGAAAAACAAAGATAAACATATGATGGCCCGATTGTTCCAATCGGGCCTTAAGTAGGTAGATGCAATGATTGTCGATAAGCATCACACAACAATGACACGCCGACTGTTTTACAGACTATGGAACCATTTTGTCGATACACTATCTAACGAAAGCGAGGAATTAATTACAAATATGGTGCATGATTTATTCATATAGATATGTCGTTCAATTACGCAATGGTACTTGAGAGCATTTATCGAACTAATAGGAAGTTTTTGCAAAAATCGCAGCAGAACGAAATCACATGAGCGTGACAGCGGCTGGTAAACGAGACTCGCGAAATCATGTATACGTGACAGCAGCAGTAATGACAAGTCGTGGGAAAAAGTGGCGTATGCGCACTGAGCAAACGCTGTGGTAGCTTCACGGATATATATATGGAGCATTATTTTAGATTCTTCATAGACCCAGAAGTATTGACCAATTAGGAGCGAGATTCAATGGAAAATCTAGTAATGTTGTCCAACTGTTGAGTCTGCTGAATGCAGCCAATAAATAATAAAAAATAACTAAAAAATAACTAAAAAGTCCTACCAATAGTCTGTCCAGTTCAACATGTGCTAGCTGTATCGGAGTGGTTGACTTGCGGTATGTCGTTGTAACTAGAAATTAATGGTTGGTTACCAATGCTCGATAATAATTCGACAAATGATCTCAGGCACCATTGGATGTTATCCGGAGTAACTGAGCGACGTATGTGAACGAATAAGTCGTGCATCATGTCGGCAATCCAATGCTTGACTTCGTCGGTTAGTGTGTCGATAAGAAAGTCCCATAATCTGTCGGCAAACAGTTGTGCCATTGCGATGTGATGCCGATTGACGGTCACTACGTCTTATTTACTTATTTACTTATTTACTTATTTCAAGCGAGCGAATAATGAGGTCACTACACGTCTACCTATCTAACGCGTGCAAATAACAACGTCGCTACGTCTATCTATTTAGCGAGCTTACTATATTAATCTAAAGCGAACGAATCGCAAGTCGCTAAATCGGCCTGTTTAAAGCAAATGAAGCAGTTGGTCATAACGGAAGGCGGCTGACCCTGAGTGCTATTCAACCAAATGCTACTGCTGAAGCAAGCGGATAATGAAGTTGCTACGTCCACCTATCTAACGCGAGCATATAAGAATGCATCGAGATTCGTGATTCTCGAAACTGCATGTTATCGGCCGGACTCACATATGCGTGAGTTCATTGAGCCTGCGTCTATCGGCCGACTTCACGTATATGTGAGTTGATTTAGGTAACACTTTGCCGGCCGCTGTCACGTACGCGTGACTTTTGCTCGTCGATGGTTATCGGCCGCTGTCACGTACGCGTGACTTTTGCTCGCCGATGGTTATCGGCCGCTGTCATGTATGCGTGACTTCGGTTCAGCGCGGCAACAATATTTCCACTATGCTTCTGTTTTAACTATCCCGATTGTCTTTTCTTGACATTCTTTAATATCATCGTCGGCGAGCGGTAGAACCCGCGCCGGCGGCAGCGTAAAGGTGATGCGAGAAGTAAGCGGCCGGCAAAGTGTTAATGGTTATCAGCCGACTTCACATATATGTGAGTTGATTTTAATTAGCGGTTATTAGCTGACATTGATTGTTGTCTCAAAGTTTCAAGTTTATATATTTATAAACCATACTATTGGGGACTTGAATAAGTTCTCGCTGCTTTTTTGTGAAAATGAATGCTTTATTTAAGAAAATTAATAAAGAACAATGTCATTGAAAGTACATGTGTTATATAACAGTTATATTGTTGAGTAGGAAACTTACAACTAACCCAGAGAGAAATGGGAAATCGAATAGACGTCGATTCGACGTCTTTTAGATGTCATCGACGGCTAATCGATGTCGATTCGATGTCTATTCGACTCTTATTTCTTCCTGGGAACATGCATGTTACATGTAATATTGTGTTTGCTGGGTATTGTCCATCGCTAGCCACTACTTTCTCCCATCTTTCTGGCAGCATACGAATACCATGTCGAAAGAATTACTCATCTTGTGACGTCATCCACGAATCGGGCCATTCTTTGGCATCTTCATAAGAATGGAAGTGCTGCTCAGCCAGGCCATGAGTCATCGATCGGACAAGATCGAACAAGTTCGGAGAATACGGCGGGTGTGTTAGGACTTCCCATTTAAGCGTTTTCAAGTAGGTTTTGACCGGTTTTGCAACATGTGTGGCCGAGCGTTATCATGCTGCAAAATTACTTTGTCGTGTCTCTCCTCGTATTGCGGCCGTTTTTCCTCTCAATGCTCGACTCAAACGCATCAATTGTAGTCGATAGCGATCTCCCGTGATGGTTTCGTTGAGTTTGAGGAGCTCATAATACTACACTCAGCTAATCCTACCAAATACAAAGCATGAGTTTGGAACCATGGATATTCAGCTTCGCCATCGATGTTGATGTATGGCCGAGCTTACCCCACGATTTTCTACGCTTCGGGTTATCGTAGTGTATCCACTTTTCATCGCCAGTCACGATACGATACAAAAATCCTTTCCTTATCTGCCGTTGAAGCAGCTGTTCACACGTGAAAAAACGCCGTTCGACGTCTCTCGGCTTCAATTCGTACGGCACCCAATTTCCTTGCTTTTGAATCATTCCTAATGCTTTTAAACGTTTGGCAACTGTTGTGTGATCAACTCCTAATGATTCTGCAAGTTCATTTTGCGTCTGACATGGGTAATTCATCGAGTAATGCTTCCAATTCTTTGTCTTCAAACTTTTTCGGTGCGCCAGAGCGTTCTTTATCTTCAACATCAAAATCATTATTTTTAAACCAATCTCGGCATGTTGTTTCCGACAGAGCATGGTCGCCGTAAGTTGCTCCACAAGAATTCTATATGCTTCAGCTGCAGATCTTTTTTGAAAAAAGTAATACGGTAAAATTCTCCGCAAATACTCTTTTTTTGGCACGAAATTCATGTTTAACGCTATGAAAAAATATATTGTTTACGTTTCGGCGGAATAACATATACTGTCGTCACTTCGAGCCTAATGGTGGAGCTTCACGATGAAGTTAGCTGTAGTATTACCCGATACAAAATGGCTAAGATTCATCTGTCCATCTGTCGGGAAACAGCGAGAACTTATTCAAGTCCCCCCCAATATATACAGGGTATTTTAAAAGAATGGGACTCCCCTATTATTTCCAGAAGTATGCACTTTCATGGAAAATGACCCGAATAAAAGTTGTAGGGGTCGCGAAGTACTATCTTTTGATGATCTTAAAAATGATCTTGACCTTGAAAGTCATTTGAAGGTCAACTCGAAATTTTCAAATGGAAACCCCAATTTTTTATTACACCGTCTTTTTCTACCAATTAATTTTGAACAACTTTTATCTAAAACATTTTTTTTATTTGCTTAATATTTTTTGAGATATTTAAGGAAAACTTGATAACTTTCTCAATATTTAATTTACGTAATCTCGCTAACCATTTGGAAGAAAATGTGGTACTAGACCTTTTTGCTCTATTTGGTCTCAAGAATATATTGTTACAATAGCGCCCGGAAACAACGAATTTATAGGTTTTCTTCTTATCATTGTCTTTTCAGCAGAAATAATTTAAAAAATCTTGTATGAAAATAATGAATGTGAAGCTTAAAAATTGAAATTATACCATAGTAAAAACGTATAAAAAATTACTAATTCTGCGATCAAGGTCAATTTACGCTTTATACTTCGAAGGAATAAAAGCTGTTCACGTAAATATTTCACGTACAGCTTTCCTAAAAAGTTAAATAATTAAAAAATTAATTTTAAAAATTAATCTCTGACTTATTGAAAATAGCTAATAGTCTAATCAATATAGCTTGTTCAGTTCAAATCTGTTCAGTTCATGTGCTAGGTGCATTGGAACAATTAACTTGCATGTCGCTGTAACGAGAAATTAACGATGGATCACCAATGATAGATAATAATTCGATAAATGTTCTCAGGCACTATTGGATGTTATCCGGCGTAATTGAACGACGTATCCAAACGAATAAATCATGCATCATGTTTGTAATTAATTCCTCGCTTTCATTAGACAGTGTATCGACAAAATGGTTCCACAGCCCAGACAGGTCAGACACGGATGTCCATTTTTTTTACAAAAGACGTCTATAGGATGCACGTTTGTCACAACTTCGGACATAGGACGTCCGATGGACGTACATCGAACGTCCTACAGGTCCGATGTCCAATAAGGACATCCTTGTTACATCCAATTTATGTCCACGGACATAAATCGGACATACGGACATAAATTGGACGTGAAACGTACATCCGTTGGATGTCCGATGCTGTCTGGGAAAGTCTGTAAAACAGTCGGCGTGCCATTGTTGCGTGATGCCAATTGACAGTCACTGCGTCTACCTACTTAAAGCGACCATAGTGCAATAGCAATAACGTATATTGCGTATCGCCATTCGTTATATCTTATCAGATTAATGATAAGCTGCGAACTGGTGCGTCAGCGGCACTTGCAAGAACATGTAGCTGCTAACTTTATGATCAAGACCGATTCGCCGGCACGTGCCGTTTGAAGAAATACTTTGAAGAAATGAGGACTATATGCACGTTTGCGCTGCCCTCCTTCCTCAAAAGCTTAATTAAGAAATTAATTTTTCGAAATAAAAAATGACAGAAGTCAATTATTTACATCGGAAAGTTAATTTCTTAATTATTAGAATCGGCTTTTGCTAGCCCTATTGTGGAAAATTATAATCGTTGGGCCTGTCTCTGGCCGTTTCCTCGAAGTCAAAGCTTTTGACTTCGGGTACTCAAATATCCATTAATTATACATTAATTGTAAGTAGCAATCGTAAATCGTGAGCCATTCTTGCGAGCCATAATTGTGAACCATAATAGTGAATCATAATTGTAATATAATGATATATTACTGATATATGATCATATATGACTTCTATAATATAATAATAATGATAAAATGACTTCCTTGTCCTGGCTAGTAGTGCTAGTTGTTGAGCAGCAATTGTCTTGTAACCGTAAACGGTAAGCCAATATTTTGAGCCATTATTGAGCGATGTAATTGTGAGTAACAATGGTTTCCTTGATCTGACATGGTATTAGTCAGGTCAGTCAGAGCAGTAATCATATCTCGTAACCGTAAACCGTAAAACGATGAGCCAAATCTATGAGCCATTGAGAGCAATAATTAATGATGTTCTGGCACAGTGCTAGCTGCAGAAGAGCAATTGTCTTTTGACACGCCAATGAAACTAGGAGTTAACAGCGATTCACCGATGCTGAAGAGTAACTGGATGGATGTGTTCAAGTTCCATAGGATGATATCCGGCGTAATTGAACGACGTATTAAGACGAATAAGTGATGTACCCATTCTATGATTAGTTCGTGTATCTCATCGGACAGTACTTGAATAAGACTGCACCGTGCTCTTCGAAACAGTTCGCGCGCCATGATGACGAGTGACGAGTGTGGTGAAAATGATAAATGACAAAGAAAGTGACGCGCACAATTCCTTTTATACTCATCGTTTTTATATCATAATCTATATCGTGTAATTTTTATAACATTTATCACACATTGCAGCTTTATTTAATGACGCTGTCAAATTGATAAGATACGAAATTAGCGAATGAGCGGAATTTGTACATCCCGGGTGTGTCAAGTTTATCGACGCGCATGCGCGTTTAATATCGACTCGTCTGACATCCGTCTCCCTCGCACTCGCTTTGTTCCTTATGTGCCGATTACTTGTGATAAATCCATTTGTCAGGAAGACAGATTTCGTTCGCTTCCGTGGCGGTTAGATGTGGTTTCTGTAACTACATGCATATTTTTTTTATTGCGGGGACTGCGCACGCGTTGTCCCTGTTTTTCTTTTATTTTCATAATCGTTGACTGGCGTAGGGGATAGAGTGTAACAATTCTGCCCAGAGCCATTTATTGAATCAGAACCAGAAATCCATCTGTCGTAGACATTTAATTATCAACGTTCGTAGTATCGCAGAGTTACCCGCTCTTTAAAATATTGTTTACAAAGAAACAAATACATTTGATCCCGATCGATCAATATTTTTTCCCGCATTGTGCTGTGCGCTTTTAGGCAACTTTGATTAATCGTATGTCTAATTATAGTTTTTATATCGATATTGGCGAATACTTGTGCTAATTATAAGCCATAATAAATGATAAAAATTTGTCGTTCTTCTTTTTCGATAAAGTGCTTTCTAGCTTAGAATAAATTGTTTCGCATTTCTTTATTGTTTTGTATCTTTCTATGTAACATGCTCACATTGAGCATATGCTAACATTAAATTCATGACTTTATAAATTTAATAAATATAAAAAGATTATAGCATACGAGAAACTACAGAGAATACCTGCTTACAGATTTAGAAGCAACATACGAGTTTACATAAAAAAGCTGCTTTTATGATGCTGGTTATAATATAATGAGATAACGAAATTGTATAATGAGAAACATGGTATATATGATAAATTAAAAATATGAATTATGCTTAGATGCTTACACTAAATATTTATTTTTTATATGTTTTTTTTTTATTATAGAGTAATCAAGAAAGTATTTTGTCAACAACTTTATCATCACATACGGATCAATATACGAAGACGGACATTGAGCCAACAGATAATTTATATCTTGCGCTAATACAATGCCTCGCTATTATATTATGTGGGTAAGGATATTTTTGATACCTCAAGCATGTAAATAAGAAACTGTTAAAAGTTTTAATATATTTTAAATTTTACTGAAATACTTTATTATATGTTGATTGTTAGTAATATTTTTGATATATAGTTTAAATGTATAATTGAAAGCAGAACATTACATTCTGATATTAACTGAAGTATGTATTTTACAGTTATGTAGCTGGAAGATTTGAAATGATAACAAACTCAGAGACAAATGGTCTACACACCTTTGTTGGTACTTTTGCTTTGCCATCTTTAATTTTTATGTCTCTGGCGAAACTTGATTTTTCATTAGTTAATTGGAATTTTCTACTTGCTATATTGCTTGCCAAGAGCTGTGTGTTTATCGTTGTGCTCATAGTTTCATTAATAATTACGAAACCATCGAATCCTGGACGAGCTGCTCTTTTTGCAATATTTACCACTCAGAGTAATGATTTTGCTATTGGATATCCAATAAGTAAGAACAAAAATAATTATCTTTTCTGAGAGAAAAGGATCAATGTTCTCTTCATGTTTTCATAATAGAAATCTTAGAGTTAGCAAACAGTTTTGGATCAAATATACTATTTTAGCTATATTGATTATTTAATATTTCAAAAACTTTTTGACTTTTTGTATAAACTTTTTGTATAAAGTTTGAAGAATTTGTAAATTTAAACATGCTCACGTGTTCTAAGACTTCCATGACTGAAAACTAAAGAGATAAGTGTCTATATTAACCTTTTTCTCATAAGACACAATATTACCGCACAAAATATAATACAAATACTACAATGTTATTCTAGTTGATGCTCTATATGGACAAACGCACCCAGAGTACGTTGCTTATCTTTACCTGGTGGCTCCTATATCATTAGCTATTTTAAACCCGATCGGTTTTGTCCTGCTGGAAATAGGCAAACAACGTATGGAAGAGCATACGAGTTACAGAGACATGGCCTGTTCTGTGGTGAAGGGCGTCGTGCTGAATCCGATATTATTCATGACTGTCTTAGGCATCGTGGGAAATCTAATCTTCAAACATAATGTGCCGCATCTGCTCGCTACAGTCCTCGAGGTATTTGGCAACGCGTTCTCCGCCAGTGCACTCTTTTTCTTCGGTCTGATCATAGTGGGCAAGGTGCACAAGTTGAAAGGCACAGCCCTTGTCATACCAGGCATACTGGTCTCGGTGAAGCTGCTGGTCCTGCCTTTGGTCATCAGGAAGTCAATCATCTTCTTGAATGCCGGATACAACGATACAGAAACGAGGGATCTGAGCACATACGGCTTCCTTTACGGCACCATACCGACAGCGCCAGCTCTGTTTATATTCACTCTGCGATACAATCTCGAAACTGACCTGATCACTTCGGCATTGGTAGCCTGTACGTTTCTCTCGGCTCCGCTCATGTTCGTGTCGGCCAAGCTGATCAACGCGGCCTATGCCGGCATCACACCGGCCAGTTATGCACAGCAATTGAATGTCTTTTCCTTCGACATAAGCGTCGCGTCCGTGGCTGCTTGCATATGGCTAATGATATGCTTCCTTGGATTTGGACGGAAGAGATACAATCACGTCACTCATCGATGCACTCTGTGTCTTATAGTTGCGCAGGTATATATACGCGCGGTAAATCGCAAAAGTATTTATGTCGATATAAAATATTTATGTCGATGTGTGTCGATGGAAATTCATACGTGTGAAAATGTTCATGTTTTCGCAGTTTTTAACAGCGATAGGCGTGATCATTTGGTCAAAATTGGATCCAAATTGCAGTTACGTCACAATATTATGGTATATGAAATTTCTGCGCAATTGGTAATTCCTCTGAGATGCAATTATGTCATCCTGACCTTACCTGTTACCTATTCTACATAGGTACGTCCAGTTTATTCTAATAACAATCGGTGTGTACGCGAGCAGAATGTGGACAGCTGGAATCGCAGCGACGTTGCTGTATCTGAGCGTGTACTCACGGTCCCACGTTGAGAAATTGCAGAAGTTTTTTTATCCTATCGGATGGGGGTATGTGTATGAATACGAGTTTTCTTCTCACATTGATTGAAATATGAACATTTTCCGTTCGATGCATCTGTAATAATATTCATTTCCAGGGTGCCGCTTTTCATGGTGATAATGTTATGCTTCTCCGATTGTCCAAATTTGACCAATCTCAATATGAAAAATCCGAATTTCCAGTTTGACAGGATCCAAGCCGCTGTATCTTCATTCATATTAATATTCTGCTTCATAGGTACGTAATGAGAGATGTTTGAAGAGTCGTTTTTGTAAGTTGCTGATATTACGTACCATATCACTGTGTGAAATACACACGTCTATACAAGATTGTCAATCATTATATGAGAATCATTATATGAGAATCGTTTGATTCTGTACAGTGACGGTAGGTTGTTTGGTCTTGCAACAGAGGTATCAGAGAAGACACCCCGAGGTAACGTATGAGAATCTTGGGAACGATGCACAGAATACACCGATCTTGAACGAGGAAAGATCCGTAGTGGATGTCGAGGATATAGTCTCACCGTTGATGGACTCACCTGGGTAAGTAGATTTTCACAATGAGATTTCTGTGCCTATCTATTTTATGTATATTACACTATTGTCTGCAACATAGATAGATAACAGATAACACGATGAACGCTTTCAGAATTCACTGTGATTTCCAAAACGGTTGTGCTACTGGAGAAGCATGCGAAACATACTTAGATAACTACAATTGCGTCGAGGAAAATGACCCGAATGCGGGGAATGACCCGCAAGCCCTGCGACATCTCGTTTTACTCATCCTGCTGTTGTGCTCCATGTTCATTGTACGTTGAGTCCTGAACTTTTCACTCTCATAAACTTTATTCGCGAGATTGTGAGACCTAACGTCGACGTATGTTGCAGGGTATATCGATATCTGTAGGGACGTTGATTATGGAACAATTCTCTGGTATTTATGCCGAGCTTGTATTCTTAGACGTGGCCTTGAACTTTGGACAATCGTTAATAGCGTTCGCGATCTTTGGACTGGACCCAAGTCTGGGTAAATTTGGATGTTGGCTGCGAAAAATTTATAGGAAATGGCATGCAGGTAACACCACCAAGATCCGCTCATCAACATTCATTGCCACACGTTTTATATTACATATAAAAACAGACACATAACACATACACACAATACAAAACGAGGGAATGTGGTGACTGTGATTACACGTAGGTTTGTTACACTCACAATATGTCATTGGATAAATTTAATATGTATTACATTACGTTAAAATTTGCGATTAGTGCGCACTTGATAATACTTGTAAAAATATTGATAGGAAAAGAATTAGAACTGCCTTGCGAGGAGGCTCTGAGCTCTGAAGTGAAGGAGATCCGGGAGGAGTTTTATCGATATCACCTAAAGGCTTGTCAAGCACATATATCCATGTGTCGCAGGCGAATGTTGAGAGTATACAGAAAAGTATTTACCGGCAAGGATCTAGTCAACTGGTTACTGGAAGTTGGACTCGCGAACAGTCGAGAGAACGCCGTTCTATATGGCCGTTGCCTGTTGGAGAGCAGAGTTCTGCAACACGTGGACGGTACACATCACTTCTACGACCAGCAGCTACTATATATATTCAATGAATAGTTAAATTTTTCTTAGGTTTTTCGGTTTTTCGGGAGCACAAAAACATAATTTGTAATTATCTTTTTTAATTAACGATACGCTCCAACGCGCGAGTGCGTGTACAACGTATAATTAAGTTTTTCAGTTTAGATTATCTCAAGAGAGACAAGAAATTCTATATATTTATATTTCTATTTATATTTCAAACAACAGTCGCGACTGAGAAGAGAATGGGAATGCGATTGAATTGTCAACACAAGAATGATATATTTATGTTTATTTATAGCTACAGTAGTTCCTCATTTATCGTCTTACGAGTACGAGCATAGCGAAGTAATTGAGTGATTACTTTGCAAAGTGCTTTTAGATAGAATTTTAATTTTTTTAGCGAAATTTTTTGACAAAGTGAACAGATTTACAGTGAGAATATTTGCCAATAACAGATGTACCTTCTTTTGAATAAATAGCGTGTTTCTGTTACTAAACGAGAAACAGTACCAGTATTAATGGTGACAGTACAATACAACAGTAGTGCGGTTCAGCCATTTTACTATAACTTTAGCAAAGGCTGTGTTCAATACATTGTATGCCGCACACTTATAATTTAATGTAAGAAATACACCAATGCAGGGATGCTATTTTCACACGCGGAGATTTTGATTTTCTATTGTGATATATTTTGCGGAAGGATAAGATACACGCGAGGGATGTTCGAAAGAATGCCAAGAATAGTAGCGCAGGGAGTGACCTATTTTCATGCCAATGTTACTTCAACAATTTGGATAAGTACACTTTAATTTCTTATCAATATTCGAGTACAAGTGTACTCAAATATTGACAAGAAACGTATACCTGCGAAAACAAGTGTATAGTTTACTCATTACAAAGAGAAGTTTGCATTGTGTTACGGAATACCATAATACCACAATACAAGTATTATTTTATAGCTGTATTGTCTTGAAACTCTTGTCAAATCACTCTCTCCTTTCCTTTGTGAAAAAAAATTTTTATTTGTTGTCTTTGTCTTTTTCAATATGGAAACTAATGTATATAACATATAACATATGAATCTCTATGAATGTGTATACATAATGTATGGCAATAAGTAATAAATACACGACAATTATATCAGAAATACAATGGTTTATTAGTAAACAAAGTTGTTTCCTTCTTCAGTGCATGTATAAAATTTGTACAGAGTATTCAGTTTACTCCAGGATCTGGAAGAATTTAGTTTGCAGACAATGTGCAGTGATGAGTTTCGTTTTATGTAATACATATAAAATACATATTAAGAAAAATCTTAAAAAATTAAATAGTCTTTGTACAAGTATTCTGTCTTAATCAATTCAAATACATAAATCATCATCTGGATCATCTTCATCTATGTCATCTATATCATCTGGTTGATAATGTATCTTGGATGTGTTTGCTGCACTTATTGTGTAAGGTAAAGGCGTCCTGTTTCTTTGCTCCATCTCTCGAGCATTTATTTCTATCCTAAAGGACGATTCGATCTTCACAGGTTGATTAATATTTACTTGATCCCTGTGATCATTTGGTGCAGTAATGCTTGCAGTAATGATTTGATAGGTCATATTGTCCTGAGTTATTACTTCTGTTTGATATAACACAGAACCACCTGGTTTTCTATGGATAAATGTCGTGCTGTAAACTAAACTGTTTATTGTGTTGATTCCAACATATTTTTCTAACTTCACGTAAGTGGTGCCCAATGTCTCAATAGCAGGAATTTCATCCTGTATAAAATCCCTTCTATAAATGCAAATCAATTGCGACACTTGCTTACTCAGCTTCTCTACAAACCACAGAGTTTTTGCTAAACCAGCATATAAAACCAAGGAGCTTAGGCAATCAATAACAACTATATTACGTGAATTAATAGTCTCAAGAATAGGTTTGAAATTATCTATATCTTCATTTTCTACTTTATCAATGTTGATGCTGTAATAATCATGCAATCGAACATTCCTGGAGATAAATGATTCTGGTTCATTATCATACCAAAATTTTGGATCGCAAAATGACAGTATATCGACATTATAATTATGATCTTTCTCTAACCATATATGCATCCAACCAGCTAATAACATTCTTGCGTATAGTGCTTCTAGTCCTGTATACATATAATGTAAATATTTATACATACAGATAATCAAATATAAAATAATTAATATTTTTCATTAGCACACATATAAAATACATAAATAAGTTGAATACTTTAAATACAACCAACCTTCATCTATAACAATTACTTTTGCTCCTTCCAGCAGAGGCAAAGTTTTCATGCAATCCTTTTTACGTTGCATAGCTAGATAAAGATATAAAATATACGTAAAACATTAATAATAAAACATTAAAATAAAACTACTTGGAATATATCTGTTTTCGATTAAAATGAAAATTAACTTAGTATTTTAAATGTAAAATATAAAAATATGAAGATATAAAAATTGTTAATAATTTTTTGTAAATAAAATAATTAAAATTATCGTTTTAATTATTACATAAATATTAATTACATAAATTATTACATAAAATTGTTTTTGGAAGATTTCTTAACCTTGCAAGATTTACCTCAATCTTATTAAACGTTCCAAAAGCGTATGTATATAAGGATACATAAATATATAAAGTTTTAAAGTAAATAATTTTAATGTATTATTTAAAAATTACGAATCTTGTCTTTGTTCAGTCATGCTATAATTTGGATTATTGAAAAGTAAAATTTATCCGATCTGTTATTGAACCGTACTACTTGAGAATAGTGTGTCTATTTATTATTGACTTATACTACGCTCAACAAGAAATGTTGCGACTCATAGCGGAAACTTCAGAACTAATTTTCAAATTTTTATCCAAGATTCAAACTATCAGGCGCATGGCTTTTTTAATAATACCGCTAGATGACGCTAAATACTCCATTGACCCGCAAAAATATGAGTTTAAAGACCTATTATTGTTTGACTGAGATTATTAGGCCCGTTCGAAACTCATATATAAGTTGAAAATTAATTACAGCTAAACGGCAAATAGGAGAAGCTTTCCTTTCTCAGGAAATTCACTTGACAATGGCCGCGTTCAGCAGAAAAAGCTGCTTACTAAGCGCTTAATGATTATCGTTTCTGATTGGTTCATTCCCCTGGATTTATTAAAGATCTAAAAGATACTCCAGTCATAGATAATAATTAAATCATAGCTGAGATGAATGATTGGTTGTCGCAAGTTACGCATACGCATTTTACGCTCCATGTGAAAGAGGCCGCATTCTTTTTGCTCATGTACTATACATGTGCATTCGACTAAATCCGCTACATAATCACGTGTTCCTGTATTGTTGGTAAGTCACAACGGTTTGGTTATAATATCGGCACCGGAGTGAGTCGAATTGTTGGTGGAGATATTTTATCGTAGTCTAATATATATTTATTAATCGACAGCACTTACTGCGATCATGATTTGATGGTCATCATCTTATGAGCGATTATTCTTATGATATGATGAGTATACCGCTGTGAAAATGTTCTAATGGTCAGTAGAATTTTATGCGTGGTTTGTATGAACATTTTTGCTATTAATTGAGGTTACATCCCAAAATTGATATAGAATATAACCGAAGAATTTTATGTGATTATATTGTCTATCGTACGTATCAAGTACATACGCTTGATTGTGCAACAGCGCACTTCATATTTTGAGGAAATCCTCGGAAATTTTTTGTAAATTATAAAATAACGTTCGTCCGTTCTTACGCAACATTTGAAATAAATGGAGTAGCCTTTTTTGTAAATTTATCACTATTGATATTATTTTCAATAGCAATAACAATACTATGAATATTTTAGCAATTTTGGGCACCAGAGCAACCCGAATAATTATATTATAGATTTATTCTACGGGTCATCGATGACTAAAGACAAAAAGGTTGCGCACTATTATGTTTAATATCATATATTGCTTGTTACATGTACCTGTTTGATTTAAGAAAACTAGTTTTATTTATAAATGTATATTAACTAGAAAATAATTAAAGAATAAATTTGTGTAAGAATATAAAGTTAAAATTATTGTTTCAAGAAAAATATATTTTATAAGAATTACAACCCTGACAGATGTCCAGAAGATGTCCAGAGTATATCTTAAGGATGTCCTGGGGATGTTTCTCCATCCTTAGAACGTCCATAGGACGTCCCTAGGAGAACACGTGTTGTCTGGGAATATATTAAAAAAAAAAATTGATTTATCTGTGGAAATCTTATGTTTCTACATAGAAGAAGATAAATAACTTTTATACTTGGAGGATAATGTTTTTATTTAGGATAAAGTTTTGACCACAAGATTATTTTATCAAAATAAAGCAAGACTTCAATTTAAAATATATTTCATAATATATATTTTACAGTAGTCACTAGTTTTCATGATATATATGCATTTATAGATGAAAAAAATATCCTGTATATGTATATGTTTGTATCTATGTATATACATAAATGAGCTTATGTAAGTTGAGTTATGTAAATATTATGTTGTAAATATGAGTTATGTAAAAATTATGTAATTTCTGCTTTTTATGATTTCAGTTGATCCTGCATGCTGTGCACTGTGTGTCGCTGTACTGTATACCCAAACTGCACCATACTTTTTATTCCTTTTGCCAAGTACAACACATTTAAAGTAGAAACATAAAGAAATATGGCTACCTATGTCAATCGCACAATATCCATGGTTGGAGCTGATAGTCAACATCGAACATCAGATGTTAGAATTGATAATTCTCCTCTACAGATCTTTGTTAAGGCAAAAAAGAAAATAAATGATATATTTGTAGAAATAGAGGATTATGTGGAAGACGCTGTGGGATTTATGTCATGTAAGCAAACAGAAAGAGAAGAGTAAAAGTAAATATATTTGATGCAGCATATAGATTTACTAATGATCAATGTTAACTTTACAGCATTAAAAAATAAACATGATATTGTATCTGCTGATGAAGTAGTGAAAGTCACAGGTTATGTCGAAAAAGTACATGCAATAAAAGATGTACTCAGAAGGGATCACATGAAAGTTGCTTTCTTTGGCAGGTAAAGTAGATTTTACATTGAAAGACTTGTATCTAATTCTAAGTTGAATTAATAATATTTCGCGTACTGAAGTTAAATTGAATTTTAATTTTTGTATATTACAGAACAAGTAATGGGAAAAGTACTGTAATTAATGCAATGTTACGTGACAAAATTTTACCTAGTGGCATAGGACATACTACAAACTGTTTTCTACAAGTCGAAGGTTCAGACAATGGAGAATCATATCTTATTACGGAAGGGTCCACTGAAAAACAGCCCGTGCAGTCTGTTGGGCAATTAGGTCATGCTCTCTGCAAAGAAAAATTATGCGAAAGTCATTTAGTAAGAATATTCTGGCCAAAGGAGAAGTGTTTGTTATTGCAGGACGATGTAGTATTCGTCGATAGTCCAGGAGTTGATGTAACTCCAAATCTCGACGAATGGATTGATAAGCACTGTTTAGACGCAGATGTTTTTGTTTTGGTAGCGAATGCAGAATCTACATTGATGGTCACAGTAAGTTTAATATGCAAGTTTATGCATATACTGGATATTTTCTTCCGAGAAAATCCGTGCATTTAACGGGAAAAATTGGCTGACTATATTTCTATTCCTTCTTTGCTTTCTTTTTCAGGAAAAGAACTTTTTCCATAAAGTTTCTACAAGATTATCGAAACCAAATATATTTATCCTAAATAATCGTTGGGACGCCTCTGCTTCTGAGCCAGAATTTTTTGATCAGGTATACATCTGTGAAATATTAATTATATTCTACATAGAAAATTAAGAAATTGGAATGATTGCGATATGTATATATACATACATACATATATATATGTATATGTATGCATATATATATATATATATATATATATAATACTGAAATTGCAAATTATGCATTTACATGTCACAAATTGAATTTCTTGTAGTGGCGTCGTAATGTAAGTGAATTTCAGTAATATCTCCTATTATTCTTTAGCTGGTCAAAGAACAAAAGGAGGTGAGTTTATCTATGTCATGGAGATTATTGTTTATTCTGAAACGATGCTTCTGGTTATCTTTATTTAGTTCTCATACAAAGTAGAATCGAATTGAAAGCCTTCAGAGGTTTAGAAGCCTGATATACATTAAAGTACGAGAATGGGAAATACACGAAACGCTTTCTTATATTTAGTCTCTCACATATGTTTACTTTCAACGACGGCAGAATTCATCACACACTCGATAAAAATGCTATGCACTAAGCTGTACAACATGAATCTACAATACTGAAGCAGAAAAATCAAAGTTTATTTTCTTGCACAGTGAACTATGGATTTTTCAAGTTATATTTAACGAGTGATATTTATGTATTATTATTTGTGTCAACAGTTTATAGTACCAACAAAGTTCTGTCGGCGTGCTTGTTGTCACAATCGACCGCATCGTGATTACTGAGTCTTACTCATATGCTTCTTGTGTGTAGGTGAGAGCACAACATCAAGAACGTGCGGTCGATTTTCTATCTAAGGAGCTCAAAGTATATACTCCAAAGGTTGCCGAAGAACGTGTGTTCTTTATTTCCGCGAAGGAGACTCTTCAAGCTCGTATACAAGAGCAACGCGGGCAACCTGCTCACAGTAATATTCCGATTTGCCGTTTGCATTTTCTGCTCTTAGTACTAGAGTTATTCGGCTAATTTTATGTTTCGCGTTTGTAGATGGTGCTCTAGCGGAAGGCTTTCAAAATCGGTACTTTGAGTTTCAAGATTTTGAAAGGAAGTTCGAAGAATGCATCTCGAAGTCCGCAGTGAAGACCAAGTTCGAGCAGCACTCGGAACGTGGTAAACATATCGCTGTGTAAGAAAACGCTATTTTATATTTTTTTCTTCTACGTATCTTCTACGCGGATCTACGTATCCGTGCAGTCGTATCTTTATGCGCACAAGTATACTGAAGTCAACTTGTCCCGTCGTGATCTGCCGCAGTGAGATACGTCAGGCGTTAGACGAAATAATGGCTCGGACGCAACAGATGCGGAACGAGCAACTGACCGTCAAGAAAGAGGTGCACGACAAATTGAACTTCACGGAGCAGCAGTTGCTGTTACTGACTCAGGAGATGAAAGATAAGATTAATCGTATGGTGGAAGACGTGGAGCAGAAAGTCTCAAAGGCCTTGAACGAGGAAATCCGACGATTAGCCGTTCTAGTGGACGAATTCAGCGTTCCGTTTCACCCAGAGCCGTTGGTCTTGAACGTCTACAAACGAGAACTTCACACACACGTGGAAAACGGCTTAGGTGATCTTTAGCCGCATACTTGCGTCGCGACTCGAACATGAGAACGTTCCGCGACATTGATATCGAATATTTTTCATTTTGCTTCAGGATCGAATTTGCGAGCCAGACTCAGTACCGCCCTAGCGCTAAATATGGAAACTTCGCAACGGGAAATGACCGACAGGATGTCGGGCTTGCTGCCCGAGAATAAGAAACAAATATCGCTTAACATCTTGCCGCGACGAGAGCCGTTCGAGATATTGTATCGGTTGAACTGCGACAATCTGTGCGCAGACTTTCACGAGGATCTGGAGTTCCGTTTCTCCTGGGGCTTCACGGCGATAATCAATAGATTCGTGGGAAAACAGAATCACAAATTAGCCATCACCAATTATCCTCAAGAGGTGAGACGCGTGCTTCAGCAATAAAACAAATATCAGTGAAACAGTATCGTCGCAATATCCTTGTGTTCCTTGCAGATCCCGCCGAGTATCGCGTCACCCGCGGACAGCATAGATTCGGTCAAATTGATCTCCAACGCAGCAAACTTCGCACCAAGACCCGACGATTGGTCCTTTGCTAGTCGGATAGCCGTCGCGTCTGTCACATCGCAGGGTACCGGCGGTCTTATTGTTGCTGGTTTTGTACGTATATATCATTATCCACGATTCACTTGTCTTAAAGAAATCGAGGATCTGTCTCTTTTTCTTTCTCTCTCTCCCTCTCTCTCTCTTTCTCTCTCTCTCTCTCTCTCCCCCCCCGTAATTAATTGTCTCGTCTTGTCTTCCAGCTGTTAAAAACGATAGGTTGGAGGTTGATAGCGATAACTTGTGCCATATATGGTACTTTATATCTTTATGAACGTCTAACATGGACTAACAAAGCGAAGGAGCGTGAATTCAAGCGACAATATGTTGATCACGCCACCAAGAAGTTACGACTGATCGTGGACCTTACTTCCTCCAACTGCAGTCATCAAGTACAACAGTAAGTTGCGATATCCGTGTACGATATAGATTCGAGTTTATCGTTAACTTTACATCTCGTTTCTTCTTTCTTCACATCTTTTTTATCTTCCTTTTCTAATGATAATATCTGGTGCAATTACTCAGAGAGCTGTCCAGCACATTCGCCCGACTGTGTCATCTGGTGGACGAGACAACGTCCGAGATGGACAGTGAACTCAAATCAATAGCGAGTACTCTACATATATTAGAACAAGCGGCGTCCAGAGCCAAGGTTCTTCGAAATAAGGCCAATTATCTCATAAACGAACTTGAATTGTTCGACGCAGCTTATTTGAAGTCTTTAAACTGAATTGAATTATGTTTTTCACACGAATCTTCGAATTCATAGAAACTATTAATAATGATAATTTCTTCAGAAGCAGGATAATTACGCGCACGATCGTGTCATGTGAATGTCGATTGTTATTCTTGTTTTTTGTATTATACTACTAATATGATAATTATGCAACGATTGAATGAGAGATAAGCACTCACGTGCAAATAAATATAAAACTGTGTATTCTCATCGTACGTTTAGAATTTGTCACGGTTATCCAATTTTCGTATTCATACAGGATATGACACATACATGTAGACCGGCACAATAGCTTTGAGTATTTCACAGGAATGAGAATTTTTCACTCACTCGCCATCGTGTTTACATTACGTTTGTTGATTGTTCAATGAAACGACAATATAAACTACCGTTAAAAAAGAAGTCATGATATTTATAAAGCATAACATCACATATCTATGGAAATAATTGATGTTTGATACATTTTTGTCGTTTTATCAAGTAACAAAGTCTTTGGCAGGGATGTATAGACTTGATTGATAGTGATTGTAAAATCCTGATGGCTGTCTAGAGTATGACAGAACTATCATGCCGGTCTATGTATGTACATTAGATTTAAAACAATAGCTGAAGTTATCTAGATGGGGTCATATTATGTATTTAAATGTGCGATGATAATACGAGATGAATGGTGTCTCCATATTTGAAATAATACTAAAGAGACGTTTTTACCTGATATGAAAACTCTAGTCTTAGTGCAAGAATAGGCCACATTTATAATACGTTATTGACTAACCGTTAGACTGAATGTACTCTTGGCGTAGGAACATACAATTTGGCATATAGTACTCTGTGCCATGATGCAATTAATAGCAAATTTAGTAGATATATATACCTTCGCAATATGTCTCCTTCCGGAAGCGCTTGATTGCGAATGGAAAACTTAGACCACTTAGAATTGAATGAATTTTATTCAATCTGTTTGACGAAACTCGATCAGATTATATTCCAGATTTTTTGCGAAAGTGTATCATTTGATTTAATCAGAGGCAGGAAGCATCAACGCGGCTTTGTCGTTTTATTAGATTATATTACTTAGGGGATGTATGTTACTATATTATGTAATTATAAATAAATAATTAACTGTTGAGTAAATTAAATTTTCACGGTGCGATTCTTCGATCGTATTCCGCGCGCGAATTCGTTCACGTTGTTCCACGGTGCGAATATTTTAGGTGCTATTGTTTTATAATGACGCGAATTCTGTAAATCTTAATAGGGTTTAACGACCTTAGCGTATGAAAGTAAATTGTGATTTTTCGGTGAGATTTCGCGTACGATGCGAGAAAACAAGAGCAAAGAAATATTTCGTATGAATTGTATACACGTTATTATTAATATTAATTTACAAACACTTCAATATTTTCGTTACATACAATAGCGATTGCTTCTCATTACGCATCGAGAAGGCATATAGGGGGGTAGGAGAGACTTTCGATCGCTCACCTTGAGAAGCCGATCAAGATCGTCGTTACCGCTTTAATTATCCATGCGCAAATTTATATTAAACAGCGTTTATTTTTCTTGTCAACATGTTCGTTATTACATTGATTTTACTGAGACCGATCTTGTTTTAACTCGGAATCATCGATAAATATCCATACGCCTGTTCATTCTTTCGTGTCGCGAGAAAAGAGACAGTTTCCTTCCCCGGTTTCAATCGCGAATTGTCCTTCCATCTTTATCTTCCTTTTTTTTTCTAATAGCTTACAAAACGTAAGTTTGTATTTTATGGCTAGGTATGTCTCGCGGATGTCTTTGATCGTTGCATATACCTCTTAAAATCTAATTTATAGAAAAACGTCGCGTTCTTTCCTGCTTATTTGTTTTGTTTCATTTTTCCTCTCTTTGCCTTAGCACATGCTTATCCGTTTAGTATGTACACGGCGGGGGGGGTACCATCCCTTGGCACCGGAGTACTTAATTAGGCTACCATTTCCTCTTCGAATGACCACTGCGCGTATGTGTGTGTACGTGTGTGTGTGTGTGTGTGTATATGTGTGTCTTAAATATTAACAATACTTCGAAGAAGGTTTGGGGAAAAAAAAGATAGCAGTGAAGAGACACGATCGAGTCAATTCATCGGTATGTTCTCGCGCGTGGACCACGAGGATCACACTTCTCATGCCTCATCATCTTTATTCTCTTATCGTCGTCGCGTCATCGCGTCTCTTACCGAACTATGCAGTCGGCGTTGGTAAATCGGTAGAACATATCGTGAACTATACTTCGACAAGACATAGATTCAAGGGGGGAAAAAGAAGCGTGTCACCGTGGCAACGCACTTTCGAAAATACTTTCTTAAACTAAGAACGGAATATCATACATGTTCTATACTGTCGAATTCTCGCATTCACTCGCAAATCAGTCGATATAATTAATACTTTTGTCATCTGGATATCACCCTTATATTGAGTAATATTCCCAAGAATTTAAGTAGACCTAAAATTCGATATATATCCTTTTCTTCACCTTTTCTCTCAAGTTTGATGCTCAACAGCTACGATTCGGAACACATTGCATCACTATGTTTTTATTTCCTCGATCGTTAATACTCAGATAAAATTATATACGAGAATAGGGCTCTTATAAAAGTACTCCTATCTCCACGTTCGAATCTGTTCGTCAAAGTTTCTCCCTCTTTCTCTCTCGGTAAGGACCGTACCTCTTATTATTCATATAGACATGACAACTACAGACAAAAGCCGATTATAATCGATGTAGTTACTGGCTTTCGCAACAATACTTCCGTACCGAAAAAGAAATTAATAATACCGTACATGATCCCCATCTTTTCCCATATTCTAATTTTCTTCTTTTTTTTTTCTTTTTTTTTTTGGTATTACTTAAACTCATTTTTGGGCTGAATTTCTTGCATCTCGCGAAACTCTCGAATACACGAGAGTCAATTTGTTTAATTATTAAGATCATTACGTTGGAACACATGAGACACATCCGTTCTTACAAAAAGAAAGAGACGTAGGATTTTATATATTTCGTGACTGCGAACGAAACATAGTCACACATGATTAAATCCGGGAGCGTGACGTCCGACATACACGTCTGAATTAAACTTCGAGGAAATCCTTTAGCAAAGTGACGCGGCGTTTTTCTGCGATATCCATCTGATTTTCTAAGTCACCTCGATCCGTCGTCTCCGCCCGCTCAATTTTCCACGAAAGGTTCTCGATCTCCGCTTCTAATTGTGCTTGCTGATACTCAAACTAGCATACAGATTTTCAATTTAATCTCCGTCACGTGTTGTCGTATTTCACTTAACATCAAAGGACGAAATCTCACCAATTCTTTGCGAGGTCCAGGCTCCATATAGTACGCGTACGGATACGTGTATTGCAAAGTGTAACGGCAACGCGCTAAAAGCGACGCGGCCTCGAACAGGTGTTGCCAGTCTATCCAAGTCCCGCTGGCATTCATCACTTTCTTATTGATCCTCATCTTAATACCCTCTAACGTTTGTTCCTCTAACTTTAACGATTTGCTGTGGTTTTCCCACTACGAAACAATGTAATAAACGCAATCAGCAGAAAGATATTCAGGATTTTTGAAGGACTCACATCTTTGTAGTTTTTCCTATCTCTTTCGAAAAGGTGGCAGAAATATTGGAAGAAAAAAAAATATTCTTGGGGGCGAAAGAACTTACTCTCTCGTAGTAGTGAAGATACTTCTTAAGAGCTTCTCTTGCTTGTGCATGCACACTTTCGTGAGCAATGTTAGGATTCTCTTTATATCGAGAACATTCGTAATATTCGCTGCCGTGTGCTTTCCAATCCCCAAGGCACATCCAACAGAAATCGTGCTTGCAATTGTAACATTGCATATGATTACAACCACCGTTTTTCTCTATGCAAATATGACATTTTGGACACTGTGAAACAATGAGGCAACAATCCATCATATGTTCTGCAAGTTTGAGAATCACGACAAGTACGTACATCTTTGGTATGAGCGCTGATGTAATTAGCAGTTTCAGAGTCATCCGCGCATTTTGTCAACCATTTTTTTATTGTACCGCAATCGGTAGGTGCGTGATAATCCATACCACATCGGAAGCTGAAACAACAATTGTACTTGTTTACTGTTGCAAATATGCAGATTAATACAATTACTGCGATTATTACGATTGGTACAATGATATATATCATATAAGATACAGTTGGTTTTACCAGAATACAGTTTTGCATGATGAACACATGACTCTTTTCGCTCGCTGTTCCTTCGAGCGCAAAACTATTTGGCAATTTGGGCCAGGGCAGAAACGAAGTTGAGGATGAGACTTGACATAATCACAAAACGCAAACTGCTGGTACCTTTCTCTCATGTTAGGCTTAGTGAGTATGGAAAGAACAAAATCCTCTGGAGCTAAGACATCGCAGTCATGCGCCATGCAACTTATACCTATATGGCAAGAGAGAGAAAGAGAAAGAAGAGAGGGCAATAGCGGCAAATCTGACGCAAATTACTAGAATACTAGAATTGACTGAAACAATAGTGAAATGGGATTATTACTCACCAGTGGATATACCTTGTGTTATTTGTACTTCGAAATGCATACACCAACAGTCTTTACAAAATGAATGTCCACATGTAAGTGTAGAAAACCTATCCGCAGGAAAGATCATAACACAAATCGAGCATACACCCCTCTGACATTTCGATACTGGCACTTGTTCTGGGGTAGGTAATGGTTTAATCTTTGAACTAATCAATAAACTGGAAGCATTGGTACGGTACTTTGTGACAATTTCTGATAACGCCCAATTGTGCGCATGTAATAACACTTTGGCTAGGGATGGTGTTATGTGAAGGCTAGTACTTAACACCTCTACATTTTCGTTCAAGAGCCGTTCCACTTCGTCGACCCGTAAACAGTCATATACCGCGTATTCCGGATCTCTTCTATTTTGCTCAGGATCCACGTCGTTATCTACATCACTGCCCCATGGTTGAACATTATAATAATCCTCATAACCTGGATCAGCGCAGTCTGAATCCGAATAGTCCATTTCGCTGCTCGACATCTGCACAGAAGCATTCTTATATTATTCACACTGCGCATAAACCGTGAACTTCCTCGATGCGATTAAATGTTAATATGCATTAAAGACACTATAATTGCCTTAACTGGAACACAAAATTTGCATCAGCATAATCAAACGGCCGCGAGATCTTCGTAGAGAATCATCGATTTAAACATAATATACAAAAGTGATACGATGAAAAATTAGCCACGAGACGTGTAAAAGCGTTCGCAAGGGAAGCTCGAGAGTGGAAAGTCCAGTGTATTTGATGTTAATCAAATCGCCAGCGACCGTTCCGAGCCTCACGCGCATCTTTCACACGCGACTTGTTTTCGCGAATATCCATTCTCGTGAATCGTCCAAGAAACTCGAGTGTCGTAGCTTTCGCTGTACGCGCGTGATCTCGATTTCATAAACAACTTCGCGTAGAGATGCGCGACGACGAACATATCAAGACAACGGCGACGACGGTGGTTAGTACACAATGATTCGCGGAAATCCTTTTTTAGCGACCCACCTTTGGCGTCTTGATTATCAAGAGATATACATTTATGTGCCCGTCCCGCGCGCGTGATTCTTTCGTGAGAGTGTGCGACCGTCAAGAGGACTTTAAAAATGATTACACAGCCGGTTAGATGCGACAGCGAGCGGACGTGTGAGCATGCGAGAGCGCATCACGTCTCTTCCTCTCGCTTCCTCCCTTCTCCTCCTAACTCTTGTTCTCTCTCTCTCTCTCTCTCTCTCTCCCTCCCTCTCTCTCTCTCTCTCTCTCTCCCTCTCTCCCCCTCCGTGCGACTTTCTTTGGTGTGCCTCTCTCTTCTATGCGCCCAACGTATTTAGAAGTGTATGTATGCGTGTGTTATGTGTATATATATATATATGTGTGAGTGTGTGATATATATATATAATACGTCGTGCAAACGTCATCATCTATGTATGTATATATCGCGTAACGGATAATCCCCGTTTAATCTAGAAGCAGATAAAAACGTCAAAGTCACCTGACACCTAACCAGCTGAACGCAGCAACGAGGCTAAACGATTGCCAAGTCTGCTCTTTTCCGTTGCATTTATTTTCTCTTTCTTTCTCTCTTTCCTCCTCTCTCTCTCTCACTCCCTCTTCTTCTTCTCTCTCTCTCTCTCTCTCTCTTACACGCGCGTGCGCTGTCTCTCTTTCTCTCTCAGTACTCACTTATACTTTTAGAAGCACTTTAGAATGTCTTTTCGTTCATATCTTGGACAAGGAAACAGCAAGTAGTTACGGAAGTGAGTAAACACACGGAAAAGCTGCTTCTTTAGCGATCCGCAATCGAGACTCTCTATTATATTCCGTATTTTATGGAATATATATTTTTTGTTACCAGCAGCACGTTTTCGATTCATCTCGGCTCGTTCATTTCTTATGGACGTTATCGATAAACCTCTCGAAGCAGAATTCGATTAATCGTTATCGACCTCTCGTCTCGATCGAGACGAGAGAGATCGATGGCCGACGGATGTTTTTAGAAAGGGCCGAAGGGAGTGATTCCAACCTCTGAACCGACAATTTGCTTCAAGTAAACTCTATTTCTAATTATATTCATCGAACAATGACGTTGGGGAATTCGCTCATTAAAATCCTGGAGCGAGTCGGGATTGAGTGAGAAAAAGAATCAGAGGGTGGGGGAGAGAGAGAGAGAGAGAGAGAGAGAGAGAGAGAGAGAGAGAGAGAGAGAGAGAGAGAGAGAGAGAGAGAGAGGACGACGATGCATCCGGCCAATTATCAGCTGATCGCCGACAAATGTCAAAAAATAGGCACGTCACAAGGTTGCCCCATCAATTCGCTTCGTCGAATCGGTCGACACACCCGTGTAAAAATACGCTTACGTAACTACAAACACTGTGCAATACCTAACCCGCCAATTAAACAAATTATCGTCAACGGACAGAACTGTTCGCCCGATTTGTCGCGCGTTTCACACCGTTATCGATTTCTCGCTCTCGGACGACAGTCCGCGCACCGAGCTGCACTTTCTACACCCCGTTCGTAGTTTTTGAAAAGTCAGTCACGTTTACTCGTCGTTTCAGATTCGTGGGAAATGCGAGTAAAAATGTTCAGCCGAGGCGGTCGCGGGTCTCAAGAGTTTCCGATTCTTTTTCAGAATTGACGGGAAAGAGCGTCTGTTTTTGTACGAAATCACAATGGAAAGGTTCCTACTCTTCTAAGCAATCGAAAAAGATTCCCAACGACAATCCTCTCAGTTGGCGCACAGGATGCGTCGGAATTAACGAGTTAATTCAAATTAATTCGCATGCACACACACTCCCCTTCCTCTGTCTTTCTCTCTTCCCTCTCTCTCTCTCTCTCTCTCTCTCTGTTTCCCTCCCTCCCTACGAGACGGGGTCGATACTCTCGTGCAGCCGCTATCTCTAGCCGCTCTTTTTTCCGCGTTTCCCGGCGAAACTTTTTCTCTCTCCCTCTCTCTCTCTCTCTCTCTTCACCCCTTTCCTCCTGCCATATATTGACTTAATCCCAAGTGCAGAGGGTGTAATGTAGTGCAAACGACGAGAGAGACGACAGACACCCCGGGAGAGACCCTAAGAAAGGTGTGAAATGGCGTAGCGCCGAGGGATCCCATCGACGCTGCGTGACACACGCAAACGGGACGCACACCCACACCCACACACATACAAACACCAATTACAAAACGTCGGTGACGCTATAAGGTAAGGGCTCGCCGAACTGGCGAATGGCGGGCGCGTGGTGTGCGCGCTTTTCCATTCGCGGAACGTGTGCTTCGTGCACACACATACACACACACACGCTCCGCGTCGCGCGAGTGTGTGCAGCTGGCGCGTCGGTAACGCGTATACATTGTGTATACGTGCGCGTGGCTATGTGTGTGCGTGCGTTTCTGTGTGTACGTCCGTCATGAGTCACGGAACCCATGGTCGCCTCGTTGCGTCTCGCGATTAATCCGTCTCGCGCCGACGACGGGAAAATGTCACTGTAGCTGAAGGGGAGCACGCGGGAAATCCGTTCGCCTCCCGGGGACGCTCCTGATCCTAGCTAGAAAGATGGCTCTGGCGGCCGGTGATCGCATCCTCTCGATCATCGTCGTCGTGCTCATCGTCGTCGTCGTCGTCGTCGTCGCCGCTGCCGCCGCCGCCGCCGCCGCCGACGCTGCTGCATGCACTTAGTGTCGTAGGTGCTTCTTCTTTGATTCACTTCATTTCTCGTCACATCACGCCCCGTTTCGTCCTGTCCACCAGTCCCTGTATATTCCTCGCCTGGAGTGGAGTCTGTCATACCTTCCCGTAGGATTCCTTCGGATACTCGACCTGCGTCGCCGCTTCGTCGCTGACGTGCTTCTTCGAGTGCCGTTCTTTCGCGTGTATCCCCGACAGTTCCGGAACGCGATGTTTCTTCGTCAAGTAATCCGGAGAATCACGATCCTGGTGGAACTCTGTGATGATGGTCAGAAGCGATCGTGCAGAAGGTGCTGAAAACGCAAGGGAATCAGGAATCGAAGATTTTGGAATCGCACGTAGGTGTCCCGTATTCATTCCTCTTTTCTTCCTGAGTACTCTGAAAGGTGTGTCCCATAAATAAAATTGTTTATCTCGTTCAGTTGTATTTTTGTATGAACCAGACGTGCTGGGATTGTTGTCCCAGTAGGCAAATAGTGTATGAAGCATTGATTTGAATCTCTTTGCTTTGACAGTGTTTTCTTCTATCGCTTTCTGCATTTAAAATAAGGTAGACGTATCAAGGCTTTGAAAATGAGAAAGAAGATACTCCGCAAAAGATTCAGTTAGAACAAATAGATCTATTTATAGGAACGTATGGGAATATTGTCTTAATTGCTGTGAATTAAATGTCTGTTTATTTCCAGCTGTCGTATTTATCGAATAAAGACTCAGTGACTGAAATCATGGATCAGTCGAGAAACAGGCCGAGCAGGCCACGACTGCGTTCGCACGGCAACTCTGCTAGAGTGCTTGTGTTTGAAAATGAGACGGAAGAGACTGCTTGCAATGTGGAAACTGAAACGCATAAACGTCCAATCTTACCCAAAGTGGAGAGCAAAGAAGCTCCAGTTCGACCTGGTTAATAAAATTAATAAAATTTTATCTTGCACATTAATCACTTATATCAATTAAATTTCTTATATTTCTGTAAAACAATTTGTTCCACTTGATTATATATATCAAATATCATATAGTAATTATGTATACTTTTAGTGAGTGGAGAATTATCCAATCTAGTTCGTATGAGAAATTCTGCCATTGGAAAGTCAGCACCTTCTTTATCGGTTCATATAGTTAGTACATCTTGATTAATTATACATAAAATGGGATAATTTACTCACGTGTTCATTAACGATATTTTGTCATTCTTTCCAGCGTGATTTCAACATTCCTCGTCGTACCGCTAAAGCGGTTCATCGCAAATCTTTCATCGCCACCACGTCGCCTACCTTACCACGTTGCCATTCACCTTTATCAGGTATGTAATTTTAATTCTGTCCGTACAATCATCTCTAGTTACTTTTAGAATTGTTATCTTCTAACGGAGTCTAAAAATAAAAAAAAATATTACAATATCTTGAACACATACACATGCAGTATACTTCTGTTTTGATACATGTTAGATTTAGAATTGCAATACACTTATGCCTTGATATAGCATCCATAAAGGATTAGACTAGTTAAAAGATTCTGCATCTTTTTCTCTTTCTCTTTTTCTCTCTTCCGATATAAATTTCGCTTATACTTAGTACAAAGTGTTTTTATATCGTTTACCTGATTATTTACCGATAAAGGCGGATTAATTTTTTCTATTGCTTATTTCCCGATATAGCGTTCGTCCCAATCGTAGGCAGTCCCCTAGAGAGTCCTAGGATGTCATCCAGTCCACACTTTGCTTTTGCTCCGATTAAAAGGTACCTACTTCACACCTACTTTTTCTCTTAGGAGATTTAAATTAGTCCGATTTGATTGCTCAAGTAGCTAAAGTGTCGTCATTGTTAATCGCTATATCTTGTGCGAGTTATAAATAGAAAAGAAAAATGGTGATACAAAAACTGTTCTATGCGAAGTCGACGAAGAAAAGTAAAAGTCCAATCAAGAAATACCTGTAAGTTTTCGCATGATAAAAACGTCGGGACTCTTAGCATTTCATGATTTGTTAATCCGCACGAAGATTCTCAAGAAGCTGCTATTAATGAAATATTTTACCACTACGTTGAAGGATCGGCGGGAATGCTACAGGAACCGGTGATGGCAGAAGATGGTCAGTCGCCAGTTTACCGTCCAGCGGTTATGGAACAACGCCTGGCTCCAGTAATGTTTCGGTAGGCAAATAAATAAATTGATGTGCCAAGTGCCTAAGCCGTTTCGTTATTGTTAATTTGCAATTTGTATTCAATCAGTCGCAATACTCGAGCCAAGAACGTTTGCATCAACTGCCAAATGTTCCTACCAAGGACGAGTTGCGTATGTTATCTTGCCACTTTTCTAAACCTGGGACACCATGCTCTTCACATCCGGGCTTTCCAGGCTCTAGCATATCTAGTATCCCAGGTAGCGTGTCGCTTAGTCTCGAAGAGGAGGGTCGTCGATCGCCGTTGCATCGTCCACGTTCGCACAGTTTGAGGTATATCACGCGGATGACATCGCATTGAAAGAAATACAATCGCCATTATCGCTGTACAAATGATACCAATTGCTTACGATTTTTATCGCAGCAGCCCGAGCCGATCACCTGTTCTTGACAGCGAGATCGTCATGATGAATACTTTATACAAGGAGAGATTTCCGAAGGTACGGTCGTTCTTTCATTGAATAATTCTTGATAAGAAAACAGATTGTATTGGAGATCGATCATATGTTTATAGGCAACGCAACAAATGGAAGAACGACTGACCAATTTTATCAATGAAAACAAGGAGATAGACGAATACGAAGTGGTGGCTCACATGACACAGGATTCATTGCCAATTTTACGCTTTGTCCATCATCAAGTAATCGAAATGGCCAGAGACTGCTTACAAAAATCTCAGGAAAAATTAATTACAACGAGATACTTTTACGAAATGAGCGAAAACTTGGAACATCTGTTGATGGAGGTGTGTGTGTGTGTGTGTGTGTGTGTGTGTGTGTGTGTGTGTGTGTGTGTGTGTGTGTGTGTGTGTGTGTGTGTGCGTGTGCGTGTGCGTGTGCGTGTGCGTGTGCGTGTGCGTGTGCGTGTGCGTGTGCGTGTGCGTGTGCGTGTGTGTGTGTGTGTATATATATATATGTGTGTATATTGTACAAAGGATTAATTAACGCTTTATATAACGTGTATACACGTGGATTATGTGAATTTTCTGAGATAACGTGCGAGAGATGATTGTCATGTTCTTTCTCGTTTTTACAGACGAAAGATAAATCTTTAGAAGCTGCAACGAGACTAACAGGGCTGATAAGGAAACTTTTATTGGTTATATCGCGTCCAGCTCGTCTATTAGAGTGCTTGGAATTTGATCCCGAGGAATTTTACCATTTACTCGAGCAAGCGGAGGGTCAAGCCAAGATTAATGCTGGAATAAAAACCGATATTCCCCAATATATTATCACGAAACTTTCTTTAAGCAGAGATCCCATATCTGGTACATATTTTCATACTAATTCTAAAGTACGCTCTTCGAGATTATGTTGGTAAAACGTACGTTGAAATTTGTTCAGAGTTGCAAGAGGACTTGAATAAATTAGAAGATTCGGCGAGTTCGAGCGACAGCAATTTGCAACTGACATCGAGTCCGAATAAAGATGATGACAAGAATCAACGGATTCCGTGTGAGAATGACTACGAAGTACTGAAGCTTATCAGTAATGGCGCGTATGGTGCGGTGTATTTAGTGAAAGAAAAGACCACTCGACAAAGATTTGCCATGAAGAAAATCAATAAGAATAACTTAATGTTGCGAAATCAAGTGGAGCAAGTGTTTGCTGAAAGGGATATAATGAGCTTTACAGATAATCCATTTGTAGTTTCTATGTATTGTAGTTTTGAAACCAAGGTGGGCACATGCCACGTTTTCTCTGTCTAATGAGACTCATAGTATTTAATGCGCCGAATGCGTATCAAGAACTGTATGTTTTCAGAAACACTTATGCCTAGTAATGGAGTACGTAGAAGGAGGTGATTGCGCAAATCTTTTGAAAAATATCGGTCCACTGCCACCAGACATGGCAAGATTTTATTTCGCTGAAACTGTCCTGGCTGTTGAATATTTACATAGTTACGGCATTGTACATCGGGATTTGAAACCTGACAAGTAAGATCATATATTGTACGAAAGGAAAGATATGCTTACACGGATAGCTTCTATATATTAAATTTAGTAAAAATGTGTATTAATTCTTTTTAGTTTACTTATCACTGCCCTGGGACACATCAAGCTTACCGACTTCGGCCTCAGTAAAATGGGTTTAATGTCTTGTAAGTTGTACGAAGAACATCTGAATCATATGAGCGAGGTCGAATTTGCGAGCTAATTTGCCATCACATGTGTGTTTAAGTGGCGACGAACCTTTACGAGGGATACATTGACCGAGATACGCGACAGTTCTCGGATAAGCAAGTATTTGGTACACCAGAATATATTGCTCCGGAGGTCATATTACGTCAGGGTTACGGTAAACCAGTCGACTGGTGGTCCATGGGTATCATATTGTACGAATTTCTGATCGGCTGTGTTCCGTTTTTCGGTGAGACGCCTGAGGAATTATTTGCTCACACAGTGAACGGTAATATATTTATTATTATAATTACCTTGTTTATATACAACGTGTCCTCGCAAGTAAATATTGTAACGAACAATGAGATGAAATTCCGTTTTTTAGACGACATCGAATGGCCGGACGAGGACGACTGGCCTGTTCAGCCTGAGGCTAAGGATATTATAACAGTTCTTCTACATCAGAGTCCTAGAGATCGTTTGGGGACTGGCGGATCGCACGAAGTTAAGGAACATCCGTATTTTTATGGAGTAAACTGGAACAGTCTGCTCAGGCAGAAAGCTGAGTTCGTGCCGCAATTGGTCAACGATGAAGATACAAGCTATTTTGACAGTAAGTTTCAAGCATCGACCAATGCTTACGTACATTGTCGGAATCTCTTGGCGATTGTGGAAGTAACAATTAATCTTTTTATATTATTGTTGTCTCATTATGTTTTATCAATTTTTGTTTTTAATGTTTCAGCTCGTATGGATAGGTATAATCACGATTTAGGCGACGACACAGACGACACCGATGATTCTCCCTTGTTCGGCTCGTTCTCGTCGTACTCACCTCAATCGCGCAAAATCTCGCAAACGCGGCCGCCTCAGTTGAATCCTGACGTTGAGTCGGACGCTACGAAGAAACAATTGTTCCGTTACGAATTGGAGCGCACGGTCGCTCAATTATCGCTCGGTTCGAATGCGTCGTCCGTCACACCCCCGTCGAAACTGGCCGACGAGAAGCACCGGTCGCTCTCGTCGTTGAAGAACAGTTCCTGCACCGAAAATCAAAACAGAACCGATAAATCAAACACGTCAGCCACGTCCGCCACAGTCTCGAGCAACGAGTCCCAGCTGACGGTTGTGAAGAATGCCCAGACGGAGGGAATGTCGATTAACCTGAGCACACCCGATTCCTCGCAAACCGAGTCCGAGGACATTAGCCCGCAGATCCAGAGGAAGCGGCATACGCACTCCCGTGACAAGCTGCCCAGGTTCAGTATATCCGTTGATGACGAACACATGTGAGTCATTCAGTGCCACATCACTCCAATTTTAGTTCTAATCGACTCTCACATTCCTCACCATTGATTCATACCATTGATATGATGTCTATCTTCAATCTGCACACTTTTCTTTTTGTTTCACATGTGCGCGTATCTTAATATTTAACTTAAGTTAAAGTTACTTACCACGATAATCAAGATATTTGTGGTGTAACCTTTTGTATTCAACCCTCGCACAGTGAGGGCTATACATATACATGATTCATTGCTCGCGATACACCGCGAACACCGACCGACAGCATTCAATAGTAATGCAATAGCAATTCACTGTCGCTCGCAGGTTGGACCTGGCAGCGGCGAACAAAGACACGGCGGAAGATAGTAAGCATAATTCCAGCACCGACTCCTTCGAGTCCTTCAGCGCGATACCCATGTTACCGTCCGCGAGGCAGAAGTCCAGATCCGTCATCAAATCCGCGTCGACCAGTGGACTATCACTGGTCATCCCAACCAGCGACTTTTCTTGTATGTATTTCCCGAAGATGCAGCTTGGAATTTGCTCTCACGCGGGACATGTCCACATTTTCAGATGACGCGTCGCTGAATGCTCAACCCATCGAGTCACCGGGTGGCTCCTCAACCGCCTCCTCGAGGGACACTTCGCCCTGTCGCGAGCTGAGTCCTTTAGTGACTAGTCTGAAACCGCCCATTATTATCCGACGTGGACCATGCGGTTTTGGCTTTACCGTGCACACTATTAGAGTTTATTATGGCGACAGTGACTTATATACTATGCATCATCTAGTGATGGCAAGTGCAAATGATGGGATGAAAGGGTCCAGTAGCCGCGGTGCAATCTGTTAATTCACTGCTTCGCAGGTTTTATCAAATGGGGATTGAAAAGAAAATAATAAAAAAAAATAATACGCGTCCTCATACACACCACTTAATTAATATTTCATCAATTGATGTGCGCACATGCGCACCTACTGGCTACTGGCTTTACTTTTATCCAACGTGGAATATTATTTCACAATGCAGGATATACATTCCGTGTTAAGAAGCGCGGGTTGATCTTACGTGAATATTTCTCTTCTGCTTTTCACAGGCGGTCAATCAGTCCAGCCCGGCATTTGAAGCAGGCTTGAGACCGCGCGATTTGATAACGCACATAAACGACGAGCTGGTGCAAGGTCTGAGTCACACCGAGGTCCTGAAGCTGTTGCTGAGCGGTGGTGACCATGTGACGTTACGTAGCACGCCATTGGAAAACACCAGCATCAAGACCGGCGGTAGGAAGCGGGATCTCGCGCAGAGTAAGCTGGCACGCCGAACGTTGCACAAGCAGCGGAAACAGAAGCGCGATCACTCGGACAAGAAGCGCAAGACGTCGCTGTTCAAGCGGATTAGCTCGAAGCGCGCGAGTGTGGAGATGCAGCAGGTAAACGAGCAAAGTTCGCGTATTCGTGCAGCGACCTCGTGCTAAGCGGAAGTCGTCGTTTCGCAGGATTATTTGCATATCTTAGCGATACTTTTGACGTTGTGCAATTAATTGTCATGTCATTCGCGATTTGTGATATGTGAATCTGACGACAATTTCACGTACAAACAACAGGGATATAAGTAACTCGGCAAGCGCAAGCAAATAATTATAAGCAAGTATCAGTAAAATAAGAACTGACCGCGTCCATGGTCATTTATTTGTAACTCTGTTGCGTTCTGCTGCACGATACCTTTGACTTTGTTAATAACGTTTCAAACGGCAAAATGTTCGCACGAAAGAGTCACGTTTGTTCTTCTCCACACTGATATTACTGAGGGAACAAGAGACAAATAAGCTTATAAGGCACCAGCATACACTGATTATGTTAAGCGCATTTTCTTTTGCAGCCATTAACTATCAGTTGTCCATTGTCAGCACCCATTTTGCCCAGCGACAGCAAACCTCCACTTATGGTATGATTTCTTATTACATTTATTCGTTCGTCTTTTTACCGGTTTTTACCGCTGACATGACTTTTTTTGTTGCGTCGTTTCGTTGAGCAACGTATATATGTATATATATATATGTTTCCTTCTACGATTATTATGTAGCTTTTCCGAATGTGTGCGCTACACTCTGCAAGCGAAAACGTCCAAACGTCGGTGTAAATTTTGAGCAGACCTAAACAACACCCACACAATCGTCAGTTAATGCGTAAAATCTTTCAATTCTAGTCGGAGTCGGAGTGGATTTAATCTACCGAGAGATCACAAAGCAATACTACGCGGTACAGAAAAGAAAAACCTCGAACTTTATTCACTGGAAGCGCTCTTCGATCTTTTTCAGATGGCCGCCGGAATTTGCTCGCCCTCGATGGTCACACCCAGTCGATCGTTTCAGTCGTTTACTCGCTCGCAGGAGACGTCACCTTACTTCGCGGCATGCGCGAAATCTGTTTGTAGCCCGTCCCCGCCGACTAATCGCGCTAATTCGGAGTCTTATCATTCCACTGGGAATTCGAGCCCGTGCTCGAGCCCGAACTCCTCGTCACCGGGCTCCAACACGTCCGTGGGAAATCTCACCGGCATCTCGAACCAGTCGCACTACCAACGTCCGAGCACACTTCATGGTCTGAAGCACAAATTGCATACGGCTGCGAAGAACATCCATTCGCCGAATCGCAGGAAGTCCGTGGGCCATATACCGTTGTCGCCGTTGGCTAGAACGCCGAGTCCGTCACCGATACCCGCTAGCCCGACGAGAAGCCCGAGTCCGTTGGCGTTCCCCACGGGTCATCAGCCGGGTAGTTCCAACACCACACAGTCGTACAGTCCAGGTACGCCTAGAAAGAGAAACAAGGCGCAGAAAGCACTGCTATAACGTAACGATTGTTAATTCACTGTGTTTTTTATTTACATTATTTATAATTATTATTTATTGTACACTTAATCAAAACGATCGGGATTGTGACCACTCGACAATCGTATTCACGAACCCGTTTCCCAGGTGTGTGCTTGTCGACGCCGAATAGCCAGAAGAAAGGATACGGCCGTCCCAAGTCCGCAGAGCCGGGTTCGCCGTTACTTCGTCGAGCGCTCAGTCCCGACCGGCTGCATCCGCGCTCAGCGGAGAGCAAAACATCGATCTCGCCGTTGGCGAACACTGTGGTGAAGGTAACGCCTCGCGTAACTATCGCGCAATCGTCGCACAACGAGGCGTTCGACGACGCCGGCGACGGTTTCAAGGAGACCGCTGATGCGAAAGGTGATAAGAAAGTGCCAAGCGAGCAGAAAGCGGATTATTCGAAATTGACGCACGGTATATCCATCAATTTGGGAAACGTGAGCATGTCGAATTCTTGCGCGGGCACGCAGCTGCCGCGGATAGCCGAGGAGAAAGACTCACCGACTGGTAGCAAGGGTGACGACTACACATCGAAGGAGATCAGCGAGAAGAGCGAGAAGCAGTCGACGAGTGCCAGCCAATCTGGAGATGCTGGGAATAATGAGGCGCGCTGCGACAATGAACACGTGATCACGGTTATCGATAAGGCGTCGCAGAGCAGCAAAAAGGAGGAGAACGTTCAGCCCGCAGGTGTTTCAGCGAACACGCAGCTAATGCATCACGTTACTACTACTACTACTACTACTGCGACCTCGCAGAAAAACGTGGACCAGAGACACGGTCAAGCTGGCGAGAAGTCGACTACGTCGTCCTTGACACACAAGACGCACGTGTTCGAGCAGAAAGCTTCCGCCAAGGGCAACGTAGAGGCTCATCAGGAGGCTAGGAAGTTACTGAAGAAACATAAGATCGAGTCCACCGACAGTACGCACGAGAGCAACGCTCCGCTGGGAAAGGACAAGAAGAACAATTAATACCGGCGTTGGTAATGGAGGAGGAGAAAAAAGCATCGGTCGAATATATATGTCGCGAAGAATCTTTTTGATTAGATATCTGTGTGTTAATCAAACGCGAGATAAGAAGCAAGTCATCTTCCGCAGGATTTGAAGTGGAAGATATCTGATGTTCGTACGAGACACGAGAGACTAATCAAAAGGAGAAGAGAGAAAGAGGAAGAGAGGGAGAAGACGAGAGAAAAGCGAGCAGAAGAGAGAGAGAGAGAGAGAGAGAGAGATGGCAGATTTTGAATTTATAGCTTTATGAAATTTCTATATTCAAATCTATAGGCTTCCGTCAAACAAATACCTGAAAGCGATTAAGATACTTATATTTCCGAGAGGTTTTAACTATTTTTCCGTAAAGTAAAATGTTTGTCATACACAAGAGACGTACGATCGCATGACGAGGAACATTCAAACAGATATACAGGCGAGAGAGAGAGAGAGAGGGGGGGTGGAGGGGGGAGAGAGAGAGAGAGAGAGAGAGATACGTTATTTTAATTGTGTCCAAACGCATATTCGTAAAGTTACTAACTCGAAATCACGAAACGGCATATTATAGTTGCTCCAGCAGTGAGACCACGTTTCAAGTGAAGTGAAGTTATGCTTCGGGCTACAGTATTTACACGATCTCATTTACATTTGTATCTAATATTAGTGCACATACACATATACACACATATATACATACGCTCACCCATACACCAGAGAAACACACATTCATGTTCACATATATAAATATATAGTCGACATAGTATTCGATGGCTCGCATATATCATCTTGCGTACGGTATAATTTTATAATAGGGTGTTTATTTTTCAGAAATTTGGGGAAAAAAGCGGAGAAAGAGAATTATATACGATACGCTATTTTATCGCGATAATTTATATACAAGATGATTCCGTTGGACACATTGTCGTGAGATAATCGAAATTACAGAGAGAGAAAGAGAGAGCAAGAGAGCAGTGATATGTGCCGTTACGAAGAGAGATGCAATTGGTGTTTGCACATTCGCATAACTCAGGTATCTCGTCGCGTATAACTGCTTAACGATGTTACATCATCATATAGGTCAATTAGAAGTATACAGGTATACCTACTGTCCACTAGCACAGCAGAATCAAACACTTATCGCCGCGGAAGCATCTTGCATAATTTAAACGGTAGAGATAGCAGCAGAGATATATGAAAGGTTGAAGCTCGATACACCGCAAAATGCATTGAAATTTTAGTATTATACATATATATATATGTATCATTAGTTTCACACACTGTTAATTTATTGTATATACATATATATATATAATATTGTATAATATTAACGAGTCGAGAATGCTTTTACCAGAGAATATATTAGCGTTTCGTTACACTTGTGTTACATTTGATCGAATTTGAATTTATTTTTGCTCGCTGTTGCGTCAACGAATAAAACGAAAAAAAAAAAAGAAACGAGAGGGAAATGAATCTGCATCAGCATCGAAAAACAAGCAAGCAAGCTTCGTCTCTGCCATAGATACAATTTGTCCGCATTGCCACAAGCGATACATGACACCAGTAATTTTGTCGCAAATCAGCACGATGATTCAGTCAGCTGAGAATCGATTAGCTCGTTTTCGAATCAATGGTAATCGGTACGTGCTGACATTTGTAAAATTGTATTTGATCACATGTCCCGTATTGATCAACTGTCGCTAACAAAATCGTAGCTTCTATTCAGTCGATAGAATCGCGAATTCTATTAGCGATTATCATCGAGACGTGAAAAAAAGTGTCGCAGATGCTATTCGTTAATAGAATTGAGTCGCACTGATCGATATTTGTAAAAGTCTGCGTGTTTATTGTTGCAGAATTCGGTAATAGTCGTTTTAGCTTCGCTTAGCAAGAATGTAATGCCAGCTTTGTTTTTTTTTTTTTTTTTATTTATTCGTGTAGTCTCCTTTTTTCCTTCTTTTCTCTTTGTAGTCCGTCCGATTATACAAATGTTAGCGCGTACTATAATCACTGCTCATAGCGATAAAATCTACTCTAAATGTTCATGTTGCTCATTAGTTGTATAAAACGATACGTTCACGCCATGCGATAAAATTAAACTTGTAGACGTAAGGCTATTATTACATGTAAGAAGAAAAACTGCGCGGCGCTGAGCGCTTCGAGCGACTGGGCAATTTGCTGCGGTAGCTTAAAGCACGCGAATTTTCGTCGGAAAGTCCCGCGATGAGTTTTTTCTATCGGGGATTTTCCGCGGGACTTATTTCTAAATTTTCACCGCATATCGTCGATTACCTCGGTATTCACACGCGCTTGTGTACTCGAGTTTCGTATCTAAAACGGGAGCCTCAACAATCTCGGACTCTTCGGACGAAGATTTCGCGCGAGATTTCACAATTTCTCTCCCACGCGAACGGTAACGGCGCGATAGATTTAGAGACACGTATCCGAGTAATTTCTTTCTATCACTTCGTGACGAGCCATGTTAATCGAATTGACGTATCGAGCGATGTTATTGAGTAGGTAGGTAATGTCGCGCTTTAATGGAGTCGAGCGCAGAGCGAGCTCGAGTCGTCGCACGAGGGAGGCTGAATTGTTCGCTAATAGACATCGCACCTTCGTCTTGTTTGTTGAGCATTTTTTCGTTGAGCATTGTATATCTCGCTGAGTTACTGATATTATCATTGACGTCCGTTTTAGTCTTTAGTCGTTACTGCGTAGGTGCTCGCGATTTCGAAAATGCGGCTAAGTTTCCTGAACACGTTGCGAGCCATATATACTATTTATTACGGCAAGGGAGTCGAGGAAGTAAACTTCCTCCTCTTCGCAGCTTTTGAGCAAATTTTTGTAATTCGTCGTCGATCGACTCGTTTTCGCTATTGTTATTGTTTAAAAAGTTGTGTGGTTTAGCTTCCTTCATTATGATGTGATGTTTTGGTGTTTCTTCGGAGAATACTTCGGCGATTCGTTGAGTGATATCGTGTGAGCGCGTCGCTACAAATTAGAGAAGGGAGAAATACACGTAGAGACACACGCTCCACCTAATAAGTATAAATCATACTTTACATCGTGTCGTACGTAGTGCGCCCCGTGTGAACGATTCTGAAGCGATTCACTCGGAGGAACGACATACATGATTATTGCAATCAGGAAACTCAGTCCTAGAAGATTTAAAGGAGCACTGGATGTTTCCGCGTATTAAGTTTCGTGTAACGGTATGGAGTAATTAATATTATTCGTAGGCTGTCGTAGCTAGCGTGTATGAGTTGTACATTATTATTACATCATAGACACGAAAGCATTATTGTTACTTTTCGAATCGATAGAGACAGGGACGGAAAGAGAAGGGGAGCCGTTTCCATTGTCATGCTTGCGTATCGTAAGTGACCGGTTAACGAGAGAGAGAGGGAGGGAGGGAGGGAGGGGGGGAGAGAGAGAGAGAGAGAGAGAGAGAGACGCTTCTCGTAACGAGCTACGAGATTTGTAAATTCTTTAAAATGATGCCGTATAAAATCAGCAGAACGAGTATCGAGAACGATGAGTCGCTTTGTCGCGAAGGACAATCTAACGTGGATGAGGCACAAAGGTAGCACAGAGTAGCCGAGTTGGCGTTACCCCGTGATTCTATCGTTTCCCGGAATAAGGTAAAGGACACGGCTCCGACTTTTAGTATTGTACATGAATTCGTTCTCGTAAGAGACAGTCGCGCGCGCATAGACATTAAGAGCGCACGTAGAACGTGTCATCGTCGTAATCGTTGCGGACGGCGTGAGTTTGCAAGACAGCGAACTCGAGTCGTGTGTGTTTGTTTGTTTGTGCGTGAGGTTTCTCTGGAACGTTGAATGAATTTGCAGGAAACACAAATGAAGAAGAGACGCGTGCGCGTCTGGTTTTGTTGAGAATCTAACGGGTTCGTTTGAAGGATGAGATAAGCCCATGATTGATCTGTCGGGAGAAGAGAAAGAGATCCATTTTAGATGACTTCATATTTAAACGGAGTGAATGAACGATTAGGTGATTGTGTACTTATTTTCATTCTCGCATTGAAGCTTCCGATATTATTTCGTTACCTTTTACCGTCGGTTGTGATTTTATAGGGAGAAGAATATGCGAGCGAGTGATGAATGTGTTGCTATATCTATAAAAGCGGTTACTTTCTTTTTTTTTCTTTTCTCTTTTCTTCTTGTCACACACACATATACACACACACACACACACAACGCAGCGCAGGTTTCCCTGGAACGTCAGAATATCCAGACTCCCTTCAGCGCGCATTCGGCAGCTTGAAACGAAGCGTCGGCCGCACGTGTGCGTATACTTTCTTTTGTATCGCTACGAGAGCAAACAAGATGATTGTACTTGAGTGTGATTGTAACAAGATACAGATTTGTATAAATGCCAATGATACGCATCGAGTCACCTGTCCTCATTCCCTCACCAGTCGACTTTGCTCGTCCTCATCAACCTTGCTTTATCGTTACTTGACGACTCGCCACGCAACATGTCACCCGATCATCCGGTGTAAAGCGAACGGGACATCCGGGCCGGTACCAGGCGATACCGTGGGAGTTTCACTCACATTTGCATTATTTAACGCCTGTCGGTGTCGGGCGTTGAGAAACAGGATCCTTGAAAACCAGCAACGTCCTATAACGAGCAATAGTTACGGTGCTCGCCGGTATTCGCTATTCAAAGGCGACTTTTGCTCGATGAAGCGGAGTGCCGGGACGCGAACAGTCGGCGGTTCTGTCTGGAAACAAACGTGAGCATTCATTTGCGACATCAGTTCGATCGGAATATCAAACACGGTGAGACTGATCGCCCATCATCGTTCGACCATTAAGATGAACGTCCCAATGGACGGCCATGTTCCAGTATCCGGCCATTTTGAAAAAAAAATATTTACTGTTTATTTTAACAGTAATGAATGAAAGTAATAACTTATTGTTGTAAATTTTTTAATGTTGTTTTATTGTAAATTGTATTGTAAAATTTATTATTGTAAAAAAAATTCCAATATTTGACGATTGGTTGGGAAACAAGTATACTCAATTTGATGCTTTTGTGTTAATATAAAAATTAATCAAACAAGTGTACGCTTATGGTTTGACAAAATAGTGGTCAATCGTTAATGAATTCATTAAGAGATAGCATCTGCATTTATATTATTTCCCGTAAGCACATACTAATTTTTTAATTGCGACTCTCAGACACTGGGACAAATATATCCAAACATTGGGCCATAACCTGTTTCAAATGTTGAGTCACTGGTGCATTAACGCGCTTTATTACTTATGTAAATATTTCATTAATAATATATATATATATACCCATATAGCACAAAAGTTGCAGCAATATTGCTGCAACGTTGCTGTAACATTACAATATTGCAGCAATGTTGCTGCAACTTTTGTGCTGTATGGGTACATTGGCTTAAATCTTTCCTCTCTACTTAAGGAAATCTAAAGGTTTCGAATAAATGCAAATATTTGTATCAAAACTATTCTTAATATTATATATTGCATTTTTTGTGACTACCTACCCTTGAACATCCGGTTATCGGCACTTATCTTACTTGTCCAAGTTACCGCTTCGCAGTCGCGCCATGGCAGCTTCTCGTGAGTCGCCCTGTACACGGTGATCCACGACGACGACGACGCGCGTGTGTGCGTGCGTGAGCGCGACATCCGACCCACGCGAGAGCGATCCGCGCTTTAGCAGCCATCCAGCTCTCGCGTCAGTACAGCTTCAGACGACGGCCTGTCGAGAAGAAGAGGAAGAAAAAGAAGAAGAAGAAGAAACAGCTGAAGCACCAGCTGAAGATGAGGCTCCTCGTTGCCGCTCCGCTCGTGCTGCTGTTCGCGGCGTGCGCCTACTGTACCGACGCGATCGAGACGAACGAGATCGAAGACGAGGGCGACGACGACAAAGTTCGTGCGGACACGCGCAAGGAACACGAACTGCCGATCGCCGAGGTCTTCGAGAACGCGGTCCAGGCGTACCTCGAGGATGACTGGCGCGGCTGTCTCATGGGCTTCAACGAGGCCCTGTACAGGTACGCCTTCGGCGGCTGCTTTCATTTTTTTTTTCTCGCAGCCGGCGCTCGATATATCGATTCCGCGGCGCGCTCGATTGACGCGATGATGAGCCAACTTTACGCCGTATTTGCCAGTGAAATCGAACAACGCTGATTCCCTGTTAATGTGCTCGTTAATCGCGTGTGGAATTGATGTCGCGGAAAGGGAACAGCAAATACCTAACCCAAAATACCGACGACCACCTGGACGATGAGAATGCCGACGGAGGAGTTCGCGGAGGTGAGCTGCGCATCACGACGCGTTACTTGGTCTGTTCTTTTCAGCTGCGTTACTGAATTACCAATGCAATAAGTTAGAGTGGGACAACTATATTATTTCTCGCTCTAATTTATCGCAGCAGTTGTAACATTGTAACTAGAAAGAACAGATCCTCTCTCACGGCTCTCAATTTAACGCGGCGATGAAACGATTAAGCCTTGACTCCAAATGCCGGCCTTGCGGCGCTTTAATAAGTCGTGAAGCAAATTAGGCGCGCTCCGAATTCGTGCGGCTGCTCGTCGCGACGGAATACCGGTAGTGGCTTTCGCGTGCGCGCGCATTTCACGGCTTCCTCGGCAGCTATTTAAACATGTCAGGTCAGGTCTTGGCTGAAAAATCTGTCGATCGCTTAACTTACGAGTAACGAACCGTCTCGTCTCCGATTCTCGAGGTAACGTATTTTTCTCTTTTCGTGGAAAAATATCCCGCCGAAGATGAAGCGCGTGTACGCGCGCGCGATCGCTTCTTCAATCTGCTGCATATTGTTATAAACGTGTTTGAAGTTTTTAATTTAATGCAGCTCACTTGTCTCTTGTTAAACGCGCGACATTTTGCAGGTACAGGAGGTACAAACGCATGATAACGATATGCCGACAAAAGTGCAAAACGGAGGCGGCGGGCTCCTCGCCGATCGTCGCCGAGGACATCGAAGATCTGCATTTCTATGAGAAGAAAGTACGGGAGACACTTTGCTTGATGAAATGCAATCAGGATTATCGAGAGATCGCGGGTGCGGGGGCGCTCAAGCGACTCCCACGCAAGACGGAGAAAAAATTTGTCGAATACGCCGCTTACGAGTATCTTCACATCTGCTATTTCAAGGTGTGAAAATAAACGCGATTCTCGCGCGAATTCTCGAGGTAACGCATTTCCCTTTTCGTGGGAAAATATCCCGCTGAAGATGAAGCGTGTACGATCACTTCCGATCTTCAATCCGCTACATATTGTTAATAACGTTTTAAGCTTAATTTAATTCAGTTATATTGTTATCAAAGTTTTAAGTTCAGCTCAGTTGATCATTCAGTTATGTCTGATATAGTTTTTCATTGCACGTCGTCTAAGTCGTATTTACTTAGAGAACGAGAAATAGGAGAGAGGAGAGGCGAGGAAGTAGAAGAGAGAAACGAAGAAGAAGATTCACAGCGTCACGAAAATACACACTCCTCCAAACCCTAATCTGGCGGATTACGCAATTTTGGCGTGGCTGGCACGCTACGCTTCGCGCTTTAACGACTCTGACTTGACCCGCGATGACGATACGCATCGTCTTAATTATTAGATTAGATTAGCGCGGCTCTATTTTGGAGAGTTTTACGTAATCGCTCGTTACTCGATAAACCCTCGGAAGCCTTGAGAGATGTTTTGGTCGAAATGGAAAAGAGGAGGCCTTTTTCTCGTACTGATAAAATCATATTTGCGAGTTTGCTGTTGTGTGTGTATATGTGTGTGAGAATCGTAGAAATAAATTTATTCGCGAAATAAAACTATAGTTCCGCCGAAAAATGCGATCCATCTGCGCGATATGCCGCGATATGTCAATTATAGCTGTAAATTAATTTTTTGCAGAAAGAGAAATATCAAGACGCGGCGAACGCGGCCTTCACCTTCCTGATCTATCATCCAGATCATGAAATGACGAGGAGGAATCTTAGGTACTATCTGACTTTGCCTGGCGTAGTCGAAGAGAAGATTGTGAATCTGGAGGCGGCCCCTTTCATCCAGATGTACGTCCGAGGAGTTCAAGCATACGAGGATGAGAATTATAAGGAGGCCGTGGGCGAGTTTGAGAGCTCCCTCGGATCTTACATGGAATCCGAGGAGGAATGCAGGATTTATTGCGAGGGCCCGTTCGACCAAGGATGGTATCCTGAATTCACGTCGTCGGTAGCGAGTAAGATTCTATTTGACTTGTAATTTTGTTACAATATACAACTATAATTATTTAATTATCTTACGATTTAATAACAATATATAATTCGCTGTATGTTAATAATCTTTGATAATCTCTTTTAGATCATTTTACATTCTGTCTAAAGTGCAAGCGTGAATGTTCGCTCAACTTGAACAGCGTGAATGGCGAATATCGGAATAATTTGCTCAGCAGTCATTACAATTACTTGCAATTTGCTTATTACAAGTGTGAGTGGTTTAATTTCATTCGACCGATTTGAATGGAGACATCCTACTCAATAACAGTCGGTACATCTCCAAGAGGAGATTATAAAACAGCGCGGTATCATAGAATACAATTGATTAGAAATATCAGACACATTTTTAAAAATAACGTTTTTCGTCTCTTTTGCGAATAGTGGGCAATATGAAAGCAGCCTGCGCAGCGGTTGCGAGTTATTTGTTATTTTTACCTGCGGATGAGACAATGCTTCATAATAAGGATTACTATAGTGCCCAGCCGAAAGTGACGGATGATTACTTTACGCCAAGACAAGTATGTAAAAATTAAATTACTCGATTATCAAACATTTAAATTATCAGAGATAAGCGAAGTAGTGCCCTCCCCTGTGCAACTGTATTTATTTTAGAGAGTCTTGATTCATACAGCATAAATGATTCAGAGACATCTTAGAGAAAGAGTGTGAAAGATATCCTATTTATTTTAAATATTTCCAGAATATCTATAAGACATATTTTAAACATTTGTGTCGTTTGGAAATAAAGTAAACTTACGGACAGTAATAAATATTACTTCCAGGAGGCACTTGCTTACGTGAAGAGGCAAGAATATGAGTTGATGCTGTTGCATTACATATCGGAGGAATTTGCAGTGATCGACGCCAGGTTTGACGCATTTATCAAGAAGAATAGCACAAAGAAGAGTAGTAAAAAGAAAGAGAAAGGGAAAGAATTCGGGAAGGTAAAGAACGAGATATATAATTGATTGACGCGTGATTAAATGCGTGTCGACGTAATCGTAAGATCTTAAAACGTAATCTTTGTTGTATTTTGTTCTTTGAATTTTTGTTCGAAGGATGATGCACGCATAAACATAACCATTGGATATCGTGTTTAAACCGGTTGTTCGAAAACGATCGACGGACTGTGTGTGTTCTGAGTACATTGCCATTAGTTTTAATATCAAGATACCCTCTGCTCTCTGTATATATATATATATACTGGAAGAACAATAAAAAGCTCACAAGTGTTTTATTATTAAGAGTGGACTTTCATTGTGGGGAAGAAATATTGTGTTGACTATCTTTGACTTTGATAAAATTGAAACGTTAACGGAATTGTCGATTTGAAGTCGATTTTAATGCACGATAATAAATTGTCACTAAGGGAGATCCTCCATTTGATCGTCTCTTTAAATGCAACCCTATTTGCTTCTGCGCTCATAACTATGCAGGAATGCAGGCGCTACGAGTATCATTTCAGCATTTTACTCATTATGACTTTCTTTCAGAACTCTTTCGCCAGATCGATCTTGCACCCTCCTCCGGGACATTCTCCATCCACCCGGATGCAATACCTGGGAAACTTATCGGTGATCCGAGACAAAGAGGAAGAAAGAGAGACGCGAAGAGACCGAATCGTAGTAAAAGATGACGTACGATTAATAGCGGCGGAGAACGAGCTGGGTGGAATGAATCGCTATGTTGCCGACAGTTTTCTCAATTCAACCGAATGTGATTTGCTTACGCAATTGGCTCAGGTATTATTTCCTGTATTTAATCAATACAGACAAAAATCAATCCTCTATTCTCTAGTATCCAAATTCCATTTTCAGTAGAACATGTTTCTTTTAGAACAAATTCATTGTTGACAAAGTCCAATTTTTAATTGTCATCCATTTTCAATAAAACTCATAAATTTCAGATTGCCGTGGAAGGAGACGGCTACGAGGAGAACAAGAGTCCGCATTCACCTTATGAGCGCTTCGAAGGTGTAACTGTCGGCAGAGTTGCTTTGGTAAGAATTATTCACAGGGGGGAAAATCAACGTTCATTACAAGTTAAGAGGAACATTTCACGTGCTGGAACTCCTGCAAGAGAAATCTTTCATAATATTAGCGATCGATCTCAGTGCACGTGCTGCTGTTCTCATTGTAGATGGTGTACCTCGGTCTGACGAAACCGGAACTGCTGGAGCTGTTCTTGCAAAGCACGGAAGCAGCTCGCGATCACGTGGAAAGGTATTTCGACCTTGATCAACAACTGTATTTCACCTACACCCATTTGGTCTGCCGAACGGCATTACCCGGTAATTTTCATCTGACGCATCCTCGCGCTTCCGCTGTCACTTTCGCTGATATGCTCGCATCGTAACACTTGGTAACGGCATGTACAAATTAATCCATTTGTTCAAGCAAAAACAACCTCTGCTTGTTCAAAGACACACGCAGAATATTACGCAGAGTATACACGTATACTCGGAAGAACAATGAGGACGTCGGGAAGAGAATGTCCCATCTTATCATTTCGGTCGTTCATTTCTAGATGCGCCGGCGAATCGAGTCGACCTGAGCCACGAGATACACGCCGACAATTGCCTGATAAAAAACGGGAGCTCCTGCGTGCGAGAGAATCCTGCATACACATGGCGAGATTACTCGGCGATTCTGTATCTCAACGATGACTTCGATGGCGGCGAATTCTTCTTCGTCGATGATCGGAAGGAACGTCGAGTTCAAGGCATTGTGCATCCCCGATGTGGACGTATGGTGGCTTTCTCTGCCGGCGGTGAGAATCTTCACGGTGTTCGGGCCGTACGTAGCGGCAGGAGATGCGCCGTAGCGTTGTGGTTTACTCAGGACGACAAATACTTGGAGTACGAGAGAGTGGTGGCGGATACTATGCTGAAGCGAGTTCGCTTATTTGGTGCAGTCCCACGGGAAGGTACTCATCAAGCACCTCTCAGGTAGAATACAAACTATCGTTCGATTGTTAATTGAAGAGGGACTTCGGATCGCACTTCTTCGGATATCATTTTTTTGCAAACTGTACAGATCAACTGAAGCTTATTTTTTTGCCCAGGTACGAGGACATGCTGATCCAATGCTTCAAGGAAGACGAGATGTTGAGGCATATACTGAGAGAATCTTCATGAGGAAGAAGCGAAGACGATAATATCGATTGCGCAAGTTTTCACGAGACGTAGGTGCTATTTTTGTTTCGCTCTCCCGACGAATGGCTGGTCCATTGAGCCGGAAATCCGTGAGAATTTTTCACAGATTATTTATAATGCGAAAATAAGTTACACGATAAGGTCGATAACGTTTGATACGTACACTTCGTCGAGTCAACTAGTATTTAATCGTAGAACGTACCAATGAAATCTCGCGAAAACTTACACAATAATTAAACGATACACGCTAATGATGGAATGCTGCGATCATCGCAGTCGCGGTTTATAGAAAATATTCTAAATCTTTATTAGAACATGGACATTACATGTCAACAGGTTTACATAATCACGCTATGCATCGCGCAATACGTGTATGTGTATGTGTGTGTGTGTATGTGTTTTGTGTAGTGTATATCTGTATATCATATTATTAATTTATTTCTTGTATTTATATTATGTATAAGAGTTACTCGTGTACGAGTACACGGCTGCATGCATCATCATAATCATCATCATTATCATCACCTTCTTCTTCTGCCTCTTATTTATTACACGGTGGCCAAGCCCCGTACACATAATGTTGGACTTCACACATCTCTTTATAAATCAATTCCGTCGATTAAGCGTGCGTATATACCGGTCGCTATTAACACCGTCGTTGACGTTACTACATCTCGCCTCTAAACAGCCGACGTCCGCGACCTGCCCGTTCTGCGTCGTCGTAATCGCGGGACAAACAACGACACGCACTTGCCAGATCGCCGATAAGACGCGAACGATTCGGCGGGAGGAGGTAGATGAGAGAGTCGTGGAAAAAGAGGAAGAGCTGAAACTCGCATTTTTTGCTCTCCGCGAGAGCTCTTCGTATCTTCCAAGATGAAGTTGAAATAATCTGCCATGTGATACGACACTTGGAATAAATCGCCCGGGTTTTTGTCTTGAAATGTAGACGAGGAAATCGCTGAAAGAAGAAGGAACGAACTTGACGAAGAGTCCCTTTTGCGAGAACTGGACGTAATTTTGCGAAAACTCTCTAAGAATCGTGTATTTCGCTTCGTTAAACTGCTCCGACCGACCGGATTCATTCATGCGAAGACTAAAAACTCGCGAGCTCACGTTGATAACGTAAATGGTATTTACCAGCAATATGACCTCGCGACTTGTTATTTTGCAACACACGACAATTTACTATTTGCAATCAGCTATCGTTATCAACGTAGAAGCCTCGTCGATTCGAAAATCACGAAGTTCAGAGTAATATATGACCTGTTAGCAAAAATACATTTCATTTTTTGCGTATCGTGCTTCTACTTGATTAATAACACGTATGCGACACTGCGTCTGATTGACAATAGAAAAATCGACTATGACCCTCCGCCGACTTCGATTGTCAAATTCGTCTCCTTCTTTTTCTTCGCGTATCAAGCGTTAAATAATATCTCCGCTATGGGTTGTCGTTTGTAAATAACATGTACAAACGCACACGTAAGACAATGAAACTGATAGATACTCGCACAATAAGATCGCCTTCGTAATTCAATATGGAATAAAATAGGAGAACGTGTTTGGTATGTGCATATATGTGTGTGTGTGTGTGTGTATGTTTTTTATATTCCTCGTTTCTTTAAACCTTCTCCGCCAGCGTCGTCATCGTTACCGGGATCGATCAGGAAGAAAGTCGGGAACGCGATTACGATACGCCATATTATAATATATATGTATATATATAATATATATGTTTCAATACAAACGTTTATTACGAAATTATATGGTGACATCTGCGTATCACAGGAGAGCTCAGTCGATTCTTCAGAAACCACTCCATCATCGTGTCAAATGATAAAACGAGGGAAAAAAACAACCGTAACAAGTTGCTACATCAATAGTAATATTAATAATGTATTGAAGTGTGCATCATAGTCGAACAGTTTTTGATTGTAGACCTTTGTATTTGTGTGAAGAACCGTGAGATGTGTGACGGACGAACGAAATGCAAAAGTAAAATCTATCGAGCGAAACCCCAATATCTATCGATATAAAATTTCGTCTTGTTAGCAAATTAAAAATTTCGGATGGAGTGGTCGCTAATTTCGTCATATTTTACAGATGTTTTCGTATTGCTCTTCAAAGACCTTGTTTTGTGTGTCGCCCCTCTCTTCATGATATACAATCTAAAAAGTAATGTCGAAAGTGACGATTTCGCGTCATTTCATAAAATAGGCGCGCTGAGAGAATGTGTGAGTGAGTGAGTGAGTGAGTGAGTGAGTGAGTGAGTGAGTGAGTAAGTGAGTGAGTGAGTGAGAGAGAGAGAGAGAGGCGCAGAGTATCGCAGGAATTATCGCTGATAATTAATGACAATAACAATAATATATAATAATGATGATAATTATTATCTCTTACCGGTGTACTGTCTGCTTTGAAAGCGGCGGAAAGTGTAAAAAAACGATACGTCCCGTCTATGTGAGCGATCGTTACAACGAAAGGACGTACCATTAGTGCCCGTCAATTCGAAAAAGCCAGACTCAACTTCCGAGATGCTACCTAATAACGAGCTTACGGCTTAACAATTATCGAAGATAGTTTAGTTAGTTTCAAAAGCGGGAGAAATCGTAAATTCTTAGACCCGAAGGACAGCGAGAGTACGCGCAATGAATGTTTCTATAACCGGCCGCTCGAAACACGGAAGAAAGCATCAAGTGTGCCGGACTGTTTTTGTATAATTCAAGTTAGACCACTAAGGAGAGTTATATTACTTCGTAAATCTTACTATGTACATTTATCGATGTGTGATTGCGTGCTCGCTCGCACACGCGCGCGCGCGCGCGCGCGCACACACACACACACACACACACACACACACACACACACACACACACACACACACACACACACACACACACACACACACACGCACGCACGCACGCACGCACGCACGCACACACGCATCCGAAACCGGTCCTCTCTTGTGCATGACCTCGAGCTGTACCTCGACGTGCACTTGGCCGCATCGGGGTAATCTCGCTACAAGAGAAAAAATGCACAACACGAATGAGCCCGATTACACATCGTGGAAAATGAGGAGCGTTTCGTGAACGAAAGATCGACGTTGTCCTCGAGAGTAGAAATTAACCCATTCAACGGCCACTATCATCCCCTTCTCTCTTTTCGCAGGGACGAGAATTTTGCATTGTAAGTAAACAAAGTATGATTTATAAGCAATAAATAATATCTCTCTTTTTGTATTCCTTCGACATCTCTGTATTCCCAAATATATAATTAAAGTTCTCCACGAGAATAATTCGTCTATATTGTTCTATCTAACAATTTTAGTATCGGTAATTCTAATTTCTCGCGCGCTCATAAATATAAAAATAATTTTACAATTCAAGTCATTCATAAATATGGCCTTCAATGGATTAACGAAATGCCATCATGTATAGTAGTTAGTCTAAAATAATAATAAAAGATGAAAATGATATAATCTAGCGAGCAACGGGAATTTTCCGAATCCGACTACGTATTGCACAGTAATATCTCGTTAGACTGCATCGTCATTACACAGTTATACGTACTCGTAGTTTCGGCAATATGATTCTCCAGATGTACGCGAGACTGAAATGAGGAGAAAGTAGAAGGCAAATCTTCCGATAAATCGCAACGCGTTATAGTCGGGATACCCGATATGCAATCCGAGATCTCTACGAAATAATCGCCAAAATTGATCAATAATTGCTCAACGCTGATCAATTATTGACGCGAATAAGGAATCCTGTTCGAATGTGCCATCAGGCTTAAAGATTGGCTCGCGCCAAGAAATCGATGTTTCGTATGAAACGCCTCAACAACGTCTTATCAATAATACTTCATAACGTAAAGGATCTCGCAATTGATCGGCCCGCGTTAGAAAAGCGACCGTGGTGACCGTGGTGAACAAGTGTGATAACTATAACGAGAGCGTCCCTCGTGGACGACAAACGGAACGATCTCACAATCGCAATAGAGATAGGAAACTTTCAGCGCGCGTTTACGTATAATACTAGAAAGACTCCGTCAGTTTGAAACATTTAGAGATGAACGATTTCCCTTCTCGTTCGTCAATCTATATATATATATCTATATATATATATATATTTACCTACTGCTATCCTGTTATCGACATCGAAATTGTTTTTTAGCCTTTAAACGTTCAAAAATACAGAACCGTATTTGATTCGTCTCGCATCGAACGTGCTACATTTAAAAAAGTATCGTTGATTTAAATTTTTTCTCATTCTCTCCCTCTCTCTCGCTCGCTACCTAACTTATTCGCTCGCTTTCGTCATTTCATATACGGTAAGACAGTTTTATCGTGTTCGCACGCGAGTCATTATTAATACTCTCGTTTCGCGTGTATGAAAATAAACTAAGAACATACACACAGATCTTCTCGCCGAGAGACTCGCGCGAGCAACACATACGCCCTTTTCTGTGCAAAGTATAAATGCTACTATACATATGCGTAGTCAAACGGTGTTTACAACGGTGTTTCTACGACGTTCTTACACGTTTCCTTATCCCGCATGGTCATCAACAGTGCAATATATGTTAATATGCCTCGTCTGTACTAACAAAACGAAAAGGTCTACTAACGATCGAGTGTTGTACTGTACTTTTTCCCTCTTCAAAGTGGAGCGAGACTGAGAAACGCAAAGGAAACGTCGCGACTCATTTTGATTTTATGTCGAGAGAATTAAATGGCGGGAATCGTGCAGCAGGGAAGTATGCTGGACACCAAAGAATCTTTCTTCTTCTGCGCGAAACTACTTTCGCACCGCGGACAAGATTGTGTGATCGTGTTGTATCGCGTATAAATCTCATTAAAATAGTATATCCTAGCGTGAAATATATAAAAAATTAAAAAATATACAAGTTATAAAACACATATGTAGAACGTCGTTCATCGTCAGGTAACGCGTGACTTTTACCAAGCCAGATCTACGCTTTAATTGTTTCTATGTTTAATTGTTTGTCCTATAGCCACGAAATCATCACATCGGTCCATATTGTCGGAGCGCATTTAACGCCGAGCATAATCCCTACCCGTAAATTTTGCGACTGCTCCCATCAAGATAGAATATCGCGCGTGCGCGCGCACCAGCACAAACAAACACCTCTGAGCGCGAGCGCGTTCAGTGCAGTTCAAATCTAAACGGAGATACCAGACACGCTTCGCCAGAAAAGGCGTTATCACCTTGCCGGCTTTGTTCATACAGTCTGTCTTTCCTGCATACGTTTACGAACACGACCTTTATAGAAGGAGCCATTTGAGAGCCTTAACAAGCGCGCACACTTTGGTATCCAACAGCCTTCTCCACACGCGTACAGACTATGAACGATTGATAGTCGTGATATGGGCAGTGAATGATTAAGCAAGTACCAGTATTAAATGGGCTCAGTCTCCCATTGAGGTGCCCATTCTGGAAGTCGTCAATCGACGTTGGATGGCGGCGCGGCGTATCTGCTACGCGTGTCTGAATCCCCGTCACATATGTATTTTCCTGAAACAATCAAGTTTTTTTCGTCCGTTCGCCCATTTTTTGTTGATTCTTCGTTCGCGATCGGGAGCTCGCTTCGGGAGCGACGATAATAACTGTCAGAGAGTTGGGGAAGTTATTTATGAAAAGTTACGTGTTTTATCAGCCGACTCTGACAATCTTATCTAATCAACGAGAATAGTTACATACCAGACACGAATTTTCGTTTCACCAAGCTCAATCTGTAACCGGAGCCCACAAGCTCGAACTCGACGCCTGACAGTGTAGTCCCCTCGCAATTAAATTGGGTAAATATCGTGCCCTGATTACCCGGACCATGCTCCAGCTCGACTCGCGCCTTCAGGGAACCCACTCCGTTACCCTCGCTGTGCTGCGACAGCTCCGTAAATTTCCATAACACTCGATTCGTGTCGGGTAACCATTGCGCCGGTGGTTTGCTGTTGAGCGACTTGAAACCACCGTCGATCGGTGCCGCCACGTGAAGATTCAGCAGAGGACTCGGCGAGGCCATAGCGCGACTGTTATATTTGTAATCGATCTGGAGTATAATATGATTCGATTCGATTAGGTGAGATCAGACGATCAGAGATATGCGATACACCGCTTGCGATAAAAACTGATTATCAGAGCGGATCATCAGAGGTTTGTCATGTATTTATACCTTGAGATCGGTATGGGTGGTCTCGCACTTCCAATATGCGACCAACTGGAAAGGACAGGAGCCGGCGCCCTCCTTGCACTTGATTTGGTACTTGAGAATGTCCACGTTGAAATACGAGGCCGAGGGGTTCTGTTCAGCTTGCCGCCGTAGTAACGTAGTTAAGGCACTCATGTTGAATTCGAAGATTGTACTGTCGACCGTAGTCTGCGTTGCGTCCCTGAAAGCACCACACACATGTTTCTCATGTGCGCCATCGCGTCCTCGAGTACGAGCGATATCTTGAAGACAAGTCGACAACGCGAAGACAACGCGATAACTCACATGCTGATGAGTTGGTTGTTCGGTAACAGTCTTTCCAACCTGTTGGTGTTCCGCACACGAAAGGTCAACTTGGCCGGATTGGGATTGTTCGCAAGAACCGCGACGATGCCAGCGGGGAACGAGAGCATCATGTCGCCGTTGAGCTTCACCTGACACCGGGTCTCGTCCGTGCCTCGAAAGTAGGAATGTACGATCTCGTGGAACGCCACCGCTAATGGGATAGTGTCGGCAAGGCCGATCGTAAGTGGAGATGGTCCTCTCGAGGATCCCACACCTACGCCGGCCGTGCGAAACTCCAGACTGGCCACGCTGTCGGCACGAGATATGGTGGCAGGTGACATCCTGCCCCGTGACGAAGGACCCTCGCCTCTTCGCGACGGCGGCCTGGGTATCACGATCGAACCCGTCGGCGTCGAGGACGCGGATTGCTTCGGAGGTAGAGCAGGCGTGATATCGCCCACCTCCGAGAACAGATCGCCATCTGGAAGCAGATCATTGATATAATTGACATATTGAATTATAATATTATTATAACGTAAATCAAGATGAACACGAATTAACGCGATAATGAAGCAGATTGATAATTCCTGTTAGCACAAGCTTGCGTAATTTATCTTCGCGGTTTACACCTCGAATATGCAAGCTCATTTTTGCCTCGCATAAGGATATAACTCTATTCACTATTTCCATAGCTCGATGCGTTCTGCTATATAATCGAGCTATATCTCTCAGGCGAGCGAGCAGATAAGCTCGTTAATGAGACCTACCTGGAAATCGAGTGTGGGGGTGTGTAGGCGGCGCAGACTGCGGCGGCGGTGGCTGCGGGGTAGGTGACGTGGAAGGCGGCGGTGGACTTTGCAGCGGGGCGTAAGGGTGACTGCCGGTCGGTGTCGACGCGCTCGACGGCGTACTGCTAGGATTGAACAAGTTTAGGCCAAGTAAATCTGAGCTTGGCTTACCTCCTAATTGCTGTGACACTGACTGAGACCTTTTCATGTGATGATCGGAATCGGTATTCGATTCTCTACGTCCCTGTTCGAACACGAGGCATCGTCAGATGAATAGGGAGACTTTGTGCGAGAAATCATTTTTCAATAATTACGTTTACAGATTGTTCTGAAAATCGCCAATACAACCGAGAGAAGATAATATTTTTTGTGCAAAAATCTCATATAGATGATTGCTATAATTTGATACAGAAAAGATTTATTTGAAAAAGATAGTCACTAAAGAAAGCTCTTTTATTTGCGATTAAAATAAAATATTTTATTTCTGAAGAAATTAATTAAAAGAGAAAAAATAGAAGTATATTTTTTCATTTTTGCATTTGTGACTAATAAAATAAAATGAACCATCTTAATCCAGAGAAAATTGATCAAAAGGTAACAGAAATATATGCTATTTGCAAAACTTGCTTTTTAGTTAGTTAGTGAGATATCTTCCTCATGGTGCATTAGGATCTTTGGAATATTTTTAAAGCACACATGTACATGATGTACATTGTTTTCGGTTGCGCGATTAGAATGTAACGCATGCGATACGAGATTTCACTGCACAAAACAACTCACTGTTGGCGCAGGTGATAAAGACAGATTTTCCACTGTCGCCCTCAATTCATCCACGCTGGCGCTCATGGGTGCACCGCCGTTGCTGAGAGGCTTTATCTCCACTCGGATCTTGCGCTCCCTCTCGTCCTCCGAGTCAGTGTCCGAGCTCGAGTAGAAGCCCTTCTCGTTCTCCCATGGATCCGGCTTCGGTCTGATGCAAAAACCATCCTCGTCTACCTCCGGCGTTGGTGTCTCGGACTTCCTGCTGTCGTCCTTGTCTTCCCTATCGCGTGTCGTGACAGGGAACGTTTAAGGTAATGTACTTTCGATAGTTCCAGCAGGCCCAGTGCATTGTACAAGTAAATTCTTTCTCAGTGCCAGAAGCATGCCAAGTGAAATTATTGCATTCGTGAGATGAGACAAAAGAGACGAACAAAGACTGCGGCTTGTGTGATTACACAAAGTGAAAAAGAACGCAAAACTTTCGGCGGGGGAAGTCAGTTCCAAGTCTGAGATTCACATCCAACGAGAATGCATGTTTAATTCCGGACATTTTCGAATTGCAGTGTTCGAATTGCGATACCGACAAATGAGAAATGCATAATGCACGTATGTTCGTTTACAGCGCGACCCGATTGTGCTGGTTGTGAAACTGACTCTATGTGCACTAGGTCTGCTGTGCATGCATATACTGACAGGTCAGACTTTTCTTCTTTATTGCTGCTCGTTTCCACGAGGTCCTTCTTCTTCTTCGCCTTCTTCTCCTTCCGCTTCTCTCTTCTGCTGCGGAGAAACCCTGTTGGCCGTGGATATCCCAAATGTAGACAATAGGACGGATTGCGGTGTATGCTGTACTAGCTACTTATAAGTACGTACTTATGTAACACAAATTGCTCTTACAGCTATCACGATCTAGAAGAATTCTCAATATCTGCGGAACTGAACGTGAAACTTTATCACGAAATCACGATCCTTGAGTCTAATCCTACTAATAATATCCTACGGATATACTCTATGTGTATTCACATCTATCAATTCTAAAATCTATTCTTGTAATTTGCGTGACACCGCGCACCGCAGATAGGATTCCGCACGAAGGAAATTATGCTCTTCTATGATTCACAATACTACCACGATACTATTCCAGTTGTACTATGATCAGTGAAACGTAGCAAAAAAAAAAAAAAAAAAAGAAACTGATCTCAATATTAAGAAAATGCCATGAGGTATTTCTCGTAATTAAATTATACATAAACGAAATAAAAAGAAAAAGAAAAAAAAAGAAGCGAAACAAAACTATGCACAGCTGCATTACTATACGGATCTAAATGACGTATAAATATACGGTGTGCGACTCGTACGCGAGCACTTTCTTTGCGTGTGAACATGGGCTACTATCAAGCACGATTTCACCTCGACGTTATTGCTGGTCTCGACGACGATACGCACCGTATATTTATAATCCGATGAAAAAAATGAGAGGTTCAATTTACTTTCCAAGTGTTCGAAACGTAGCACAACGTGATCGAATAGCAATCTAATACAAGACAAATTAAAACGGACGTCGTATCCAGAACTAGCTGATGCATTTCTAAGCTAACTAATTGACTTTCGCATTCACCGATAATGCTGATATAAATTCCATTGCGGCGGACTTCAATCTGTCACGTAGATATCGACAAGAATATATAACACCGATTTGAATGACGTATAAATTGCATAAAATGCGAGATTGTAAGTAACTGTGATTGCCGATATTCGGCGGGAGTTACACCCTTCAAGGAAATGCATATCAGCATTCTGCGAGGCCACTAACAACATAAGTCAATACCTATGTCAAATGAAATGCAGATGGCAGAAGAGTGAAGTACAGAACAGAAAATTTGGCAATAGATAGCACGGTCACATTAGTAGAAAGAGTACGAAAGGGTACCCCAACGCCACCACCACCATCAAAAGTCCTACTAGTCTGCGTCGCCTAATCTCTTCTTAAATTGTTTTTCTAACAATTACCAAAACCTACAGAGATACACTGTAAAATCGCAGTCTTGACAGCACGCTCTTCCTCGTGCGTCACTTTGGAAGATTAGCACGCGGAGAAATATATTTTCTGCAAGCAAATGTAACGTTTTATTATGCATGCACAAAGGTCATTTCGGGCATTTGAGGCGAACGGCCACAACAAACGTTCAGAAGAGTGAGATCGAAAGAGAGAGAAAGAGAGATGTTCGAAAGATAAGAAAAGGAGCGTACAATATCTAACGTTCGAAATCAACGTAGACGTTGGCGGTGGGTGCTATGGAAGATGAAAAAAAAAAAAAAGAAATAACGATCGTCATAGATGAGAAACATAGGTAGCTCGAGGTAGTTGCTTGCAGAATCATATCACGCTATAATGATAAGAACAAAAAAAAAGAAAAAGAAAAAAAAAAGATAAAAAAGAGGGACTTCTCCTACACTTGGAAAATAAACGTAACAACTAGATAAAAAAAAAAGAAGAACGTGAGCCATGCAAATTATGAATCTTATTAAAAAACGGCTCACCTGAGGCCCCGTCAGTAGCCAACCCCACACTTGTCTTTCAACATTATTCAAGTCCAACTCCCTTAGTTTACTCATTATTTGCTCTGTTTTCTTACGTCTCACTACACCGTCGTTAAAATGAACTTCGAAAGACCAATGCAAGATGCAGATTTTGATGATCATCCGTACAATTGGACATATTAATGACGTGCCATTAGTACAGTATATGTGTAAGCTGATTTGGATAGCTCGTGTAACACAACGCGTGAAAATGAGATTATATTACCGCGGATTACACGCGGTTTTATGAGTGCTTCCCTTCTGAATTTTGTGTCGCATGACTTATGTTATAGTCTCGTCGTTCTGTCTCATCTTTTACATCACCGATTCTGAAAATTACTACGAGTTTGTAATTCTGCGTCGAACATCCGCACCCTCTTTTTTACGAAAGAAAGGAACAAAGAGACAGACCGGACGCGTCTTAGATATTGCAGAACTTCGATATTACAAATTCGACTGTGTGTGTGTGTGTGTGTGTGTGTGTGTGTGTGTGTGAGGATATTCTACGAATATCTTGTGCACAGAGAAAACGATTTAGTTGAATCTAACAAATGCTTATTTGGAATAGTCGAAATAAATTTTTTGATTGATCGAACAAAATTTTGTTTGACGCAACAAAAACATTTCGTTGGAACTAAGCTGCAACAAAATATTTTTGTTGCGTCAAACAAAACTTCGTTCGACCAATCAAAAAATTTATTTGGACTATTCCAAATAAGCATTTGTTAAATTCAACTAAATCGTTCTCTCTGTGTGTGTATTCCTTTATCGTGGATGTGTAAGATCGTCAATGGGCAAATCGTGTTTCTCGTAACTGGATATGTTTATACACACATGATTGTTAGAAAAACAATTTATAGATGAAACCTTGTAGAGAGAAAGAGAACGAAAATAATTACTCGTTAGATTTCTATGTACTTCTAACGCTAGATGCCTAGTTTCTATGCAAGCGTCTTTTAATACGTTAGAAGAGTTTTAACGAAAAATATTTCTTCCTTTTGCCTGAGGTATTTTCGCGACGAGACTCTTATCTTACTCGCGAAAATACGCTCAAACGAAGAAATATTTTACATGTGTGCGTTACAAAGGCAGTGTAAATTAATGTTACATCGAGGTAAATATTTACGATGAGATTCATTTCTTATTGATCAATCAGCTTATGTAGTGTGTCTTTGCAGCTGAATGTAACATTAATTTAAAGCGATTAGACAAAGTTAGTATACGTACACTGCTGTTCTAAGAGTGTGCAGAGTGGAGGAACCATAATACGCGCAACCACTGTAAGTCAGCAGATTATTTATATGTAAAAAGTAATTAAATAAGAAATAATATCACTGTCACCGAGCATCACATAAAAAAAGAGAGAAAGAAAGAGAGACAACAACAAAAAATATGAAAATACAGAAAAAGTAAAGGTTCACTATGGAGGAACGTTCGAATAAGATTGGTCAAATACATCATGCTATGGGAAAGTTAGAAGAAGAGAGAAGGAATATCTTCGCATTGAAATATCGCAAAACCTGGAACGTGCGAGTTTATGACTAAGGAATATTTGCGGCTACACGCACACTTTTACATCTTTTATTCAGATTGATCACTGACCAATCATATTCGGGCTAATATGTACAAAATGTCTGGACAAGACTATCAGATGGTGTGTGACAATCGTGTAGGCGATAGAAAGAAGAAATAATAGAAGAATAACGAGTGCACGACAAGTTACCTCGCGTTTTGTACCGTTCAAACTGTCGTCAGCGAAACGTAAAGGAGACGAGATAGATAAACAGAGAAACTGTACGAATAGAAGGACGATCGTTAATCATTTCGTGTCAGCGAAGATCGAGTAGAGAGAAAGATAGTGAGAGAGAGAGAGAGAGAGAGAGAGAGGGAGAGAGAGAGAGAGAGAGAGAGAGACAGAGAGCAGCACGTTCACTTTCGAGTCGTGCTCGGCTAACGTCAGTTGCAGCGAAATAGTTTAATGCAGGTATGCTAAAGTGAGGGAGTACGGTTGGAGGTACAGGTAATCACAATGTAAGCTGTTACATTTAGATCCTCTGAGAGGGTTCCTGGAGATGCTGGGAGGTGGAACAGCAGGAGGCAGGTTCCCTTGAGGAGTGGCAGGTGCCGAACCGGAGCCTGCTTGCCTCTGTTTGTCTGAAACAACACTCATCGCTCACGTCTCTCAATGCTTTGCCGTTCATGACGGCCTTTCTTTCACACTCTGCATTGCTATACGCGCACGTTAGCTATACTGTGATTGGAATTTTATCGACCTTTGCACTTTCAGTGGCATAAGAGCGCGTTCCAGAGGGGTAAAATGAGATTTTACGAGTACAACTAAGCGATCATCTAAACCGATGTGGCTGTTTACCTAGATAAGTGTAAATTGCAATCCCATGTACAAGAGTAATTATTGTGTGCACGAATAATGTATGTAATCAAAAGTTAGAGGAGGAATACAGTAATTGCGTAAAATAAGAAGGTGACAAACGTGACGTGAAAATATGATTGGTAAACTTCTCGATGATCGATCGCATAAGCAACAACTTACGAATCCATCGTTTTGCTCTTTGTCATATTTGCTTCCCACATGTGAGTATAAAATAAATGTATTAAATATATATTTGTCTAAAGTACGCTTCTATGTGAAAAATCGAATCAAATTGAAATCAAGACTGGTGAAAAAAACCCCCTGGAACACAGTGTGTTCTGTATGCCATCCTCCACCTAATGTTAGAGATCGTTACGCATAAGCAGTAATAACACAACAACCACATAAGCGTAAAAATGTTGATAAAACTGTATCGCACATTTTATTCGAACTGACATATCTGTGATTGAGTGCTGCAATTAAATTGAGCGAGTGTATACGTGATACCACAATGACATGGTACTGACGATATAAATAAAAAAAAAAAAAATAGCAGAACAACCCTACCGAGACGTGTGCAATGTATGCCAATGAGTCGACACGTACCGCGAACGTTTCTTCACACAGAACGAAACGAGGGATCAAATTTGCCAGAACTGATCGCAAATTACTTTTGTTCTCCGCGTGATTACACACGGTCGTCATGTCGCAGAGATCGGTACAACAAAACATACAAAACACGAGTTCCAAGAAATACGGAAAGGAAAAGAAATATGTCTCTTTACCGAGATAAGAGATCTCCACACACACGCACACACATACACACACACACACACATTGCATCAGGCCAAGGTAGGTCGAAACTATCGCAATTAAAGAGATAATAAGATCTCGAAAAATCTACATAACTTCAATGAGACCTACCCTGGGAGTTGGACATGAACAGGTTGAGTAGCGAGGTAGTACGGCGGGAAGCCTTGGTGGCTTGCGCATGTGACAGTTCCCTGTCCTTTTCCTTCTGTTTTTCTTTTTCTCTATCCTTTTCCAGTACCCTCCCCCTTTCCCCGTCCACCCTCAAACCTTCCCCCTTTAATCCCTGATCTTTCTTTGAACTGTGACTGTTACCGGCTACGCCTGTTTCTCCATTGGCTCCCTTTGACGTTTCCTTAGGTGTTTCTACGCCTCCTCCCTCGGACTGCGCGTGGCCGGTCATTTCCGCCAAGCTCGTCATGACCTCTTCGTACTCGATCACACCTGGTTTACACAGTGGCCGTTATACGACGGGCGTTGAACCGCGACTGGACGCAACCGCGAAATCGGGATACCGAGATAACAGATGAGATCCGTTTTTACCTGGCTTTTCGAAACCTGTGTATTTACTTTGAACGAACCGCTCTAATAGTTTCTCCACCGTCAAGTCGATGCACTGCCGCTTAAAGTCAATGTGTACCTGGCCGACCTGCTCGTGATTGCTTTGTAATACGTCGGCGTATGTGTTTAAAAATTCCTTCATGTGTTTCAAGTGTGTCTCCTCCACGTCTTGGAATCGCTTGGGTATGGAAAGAGAGAAAACAGACCGATTATAACACGTCTCGCTTGATCTGCCGGTTCCCGACCGATTATCATCTCGGGTGGTTACGATGTTTTATGATTTATAAATCGTGGCATCACAATACCCGGCATGCCTGTGTCATTTTCGTCTCGAAGTCGTTCCGTATGACCGTGTACTTGTCCACTAGAGCCTTGTAGTCGTCCTGAGCCTTTTTGAACTTGACTTCCGCCTTCTCCAACTCCCTCTGACTGGCATTGTCCTTCCTCAATTTCTCTAACTCGAGACCCTTTTGCATACACATGTCTTTCGCTTTGTGCAATGTCACCGTAATACTCTGAATATTTTGTACAACTTCCAAGGTAGAGGACTCTTCTTCCTTCACCTGGATATTCGAGCAATATTAGGACCATCTAACAAAGAGTCAATCTACATCTACTTGAGATACTTTCGTCTGCGCGCAAACAAGTAAATTACTACGCAACCGCATTTCACTACTACACACGTAGACGCGTATCCTGACAGATAGGACTCTCTCTCTCTCTCTCTCTCTCTCTCTCTCTCTCTCTCTCTCTCTCTCTCTCTCTCTCTCTCTCTCTCTCTCTCTCTCTCTCTCTCTCTCTGCGTATCAGCAGACCACAGTCGAATCATTTGTACGACAATGAGGGAACTCACTGACCCGATTGTGGGCGGTTACCGATAATACACGAGACATCAAATATTCTATAACGAAGCACAATAATCGTGAGCGGCGAGATAACGCTCCGCGTGCGCGTAACTTCGCTCCGAGGCCGTGTGATCGAATAAACGAAGGAAAATAAATTTATTAGTCGAATAAACAACGAGTAATCGTGACCGGAATAAACAGACGGCGACGTACGTACAGCCTTATGCTTCTTGTGTAGCTCATCCGCGTATTTCGACACATCTTTTATGAGTTCGGTGACCCGCTGGGCCATTTGCAAATGCAAACCGGCAAGTTTCTCAGCAGCACCTCTTAGAGCGGCCCATACAGGTGCGAACGATCCTTGCGTGCTATTGCTAGCTTGTTTCGCTACTTTACTAAGCAGCTTATAATTGTTCTCCTCTATGGCTGACCTTTCTCGTAAAAATTCAGCCAATTCCTTACTGGCAACCACACCATGCTTCATGTTATGATACAACACGTCAAATCCATTGTTCTTTTCGCCCTTGAATAATGAAAGAAAGAAAATGCCATTTCAGTAACATTCTTGATCGCACAATCAGACAGATATATTGCAAACCGATTTTCTCTCTCTCTCTCTCTCTCTCTCTCTCTCTCTCTCTCTCTCTCTCTCTCTGTTTTCTCCGATTTCAGTCGTTCTTAAATCGGTTTAAATTGTGTCGGGATTAACTGATATGTAATGTATTGATATGTAATGACACACACACACACACACACACGCACATATAATTTGCTTCAGAGGTTTGAGGAGTTTATTTAAAGAATAACAGAGAGGAAAAGCTTTTGAATAAGAAATTCACATGGAATGTTATATTTTCGTCCGTACGAGAGAGAAAGAGAGAGAGAGAGAGAGAGCACTCTCGATTGTACGAAAATTTTTCTCCTAATTAGAATATCGCGGCTTCAAGATATACGTTGATACAGTACTTAAGGCCACTTAGCCATTTAACACTTGAACCCTGATCGTGCAGTAAACTCACATCAGGCAGAAGTCTAGAGTGACACCGCCGCAATAAGCTGTCATTATATATTATTACTCTTGTCATCCTATTGTACCAATTACTCGCGACAATCAATATAACAATCTTTTCTTTTTACTATAGCGCGAAAGTTCTGCGATTTGTTCCCGAGCGATGCGTTGCGTGTACATTCATAAATGCGGCGGTTTTATATTAATTTCAAAATAATCTCCAATAACCAGGATAACGTGTTTTGTAAAAGGAAACGACGACTATCTTATCGGTATAATGCAGCGCGCTGCCTGGCAAAGAGGCAAAGATAAATATATATCAGTTCTCACATGTTAACTTGTGGTACATTTAAGAGAATAAAAATAATCCTTTAATACGCAGGACATATATGCACATGAGAGTTTTTATAAATATTTCCCGTTTGTTTGTGAGATGAGGTTTCTTCTCCAACATATCCTTTCAGTGATTTCTTTTATTTACTCGGTTTGAAGACCGTCGCTGAACGTCATTAGGAAAAGAAGCACGAATATTCTCACAATTAAAGAAGACTAACTGCGTGACGGAGATGCAAATATGGAGAAACCGACACGACGGCAGGTGTTGCTCGTACACCGCTCGTACATCCTTACTTTGCATTCGTATACTGTCATTACGAGGCTGCGAAAATAAAAACGCGGTGCACATGTCATGTCATCGTGCATCGCCAGAATGAATCGTCTATTTTTCTCGTATTTTTACATTACACGCTTGACGCTCACGAAGTATAATACGACGCGTAAGTACCGTAAACGTGTGTGAGAACGAAAAGAAACAGAAGGAGGGAGAGAAGAGAAAAAGGTGAAGTCAGCAAGACGTCTCAAGAGATGCGAATAACGAAAGAGAAAGAGAAAGAGGAAGAGAGAGAGAGAGAGAGAGAGAGAGAGAGAGAGAGAAGAGAGAGAGAGAGAAAAGAGAGAGAGAGAGAGAAAAGAGAAAGAGAGAGAGAAAAGAGAAAGAGAGAGAGAGAGAGAGAGAGAGAGAGAGAGAGAGAGAGAGAAGAGAGAGAGAGAGAGAGAAAAGAGAGAGTGAAAAAGAGAGTGAGAAAGAGAACGAGCGATCGAGAGGAAAGAGACTCGTTGATGAGTGCACCGCGTACATCGCATCGCCGTGGCAGACGACCGAGAGGGGTAACGATCGCGCGGCAAGGGAGGGGGACAGGGCGAGGGCCGAGAAGAATCACGGCGAGGTCACGGTGGATGGTATACGTTCTCCCACGACATAACCTAAATTTGCACGCACGAGAGTGACGTTTCGCAACGATCGGCCGTTGAAGAGACAGAGTGAGGCAGACGCGAGACGCGAGACGCGTGACGCGAGAGACGGAAAGAAACAGAGAATGGAGAAAGACGAGACGACAGACACTCACCCAAAAGTAGTCGGCGAAGTCCACAGTCATGTTGAGACCGCGATCAGACCATTATACTCGCCTGTTCTCGCGTACGTATCAACGCATCGGCGCAAACTACACGACTGGACGACGACGTCGAGAGGAAAAAGAGCGTGCGGTATGCACGGGACCTTTACAGCACACAGTTTACCGCGGCGCGCGGTTACACGGTCGGCGGTTACGAGGCGTAGTACAACTCAGCGTGTAAGCACAGCTCGCTCGACGGCGACGGCGACGGCGACGGTGGCGGCGGTGGTGGCGATGACGACGACGACGACGACGATATAGCGTATCGTTTCCGTGTCACCGGGAGTTGCGAGCGGAACGGGCGCGCTCGAGCGCGGAGATAAGGGTCAACTTATTTCAACTGTCCTTCTCCCTCTATCGCGCCGCCTGTCCCTTGCCCCTTGCTCGGCCCTGCCGTTTCACACCGCGCTGCGCGCGCCGCTCACGACCGTGCTGCGTGCGAGGAACTAGATTTTTAGTTATATTCGAGAAATTTTTATAAATGAGTACGAACGTATCTCACGATGAGTGTCGTAACGGATAAGAGGATCGCGTGCGTGAGGTGACAAATGACGGTGCCGCATCTGCGACTTCGCGTTTGACAAAAGAATCTTCTTTATGAATGTTTACGAACGACTGCGACGAGGTAACTAGGCGCGGGGCGGCTGCGCGATGCTTGCTTCAACGAAGCGGAGCCTGCTGCCATCTCGACGCTGCAATCAAAGTCGAATTGCAGGTACATGCATGCGCTCGGTAACAAAGTGTTCGCCTTTCAGACGCGACAGCGATCCGATTCGATGCTCGTTCGCACTTCAGATTCACTTTCGACGTGTTGAGAATACAACGAGTATCAAGTAGTCGCGGCGAAACCTTGCGAACTCATCTAACCTGAGTAGATGTTTAAACGATCGTGAGTACTTCCGACGTGATAATCGAGATACGTTATTTACGATACGGTATTTACGACCACTCAGCTTTCAATACTATAATCGTTTACCGTGATTATCCGAGCATCAGGATTGTTCCAAGAGCTTCGCGTACTTTCGATCGTGAGATTTATCTCTGACGAATAAACGAGTCAGCGTGATTAGAAACTCGCGCGCGCGATGTAGCGTCGGCGTGACGATATTTCGCTGATGTGACAACTTGTAATGTTCGTTTTATGATATGCGCGAGGGAACTTGCGTGGAAATCTATTTTGCTTCGTATATGATTCTAACTTACCTTGAGAATGACGTCTCAAGTCGCAGATAGAAAGTCTCGCGTGCTCGTCGTAACGAAATATTAGGAAATTGCTGGAGATAAATATGGCGCAGATCGGGCGTCGGTAGTACCGAGTGAAGTTGCGCGCATCGACGCTTCGAGAATCGTAACTGTCGAATCGCGACACGCACACACATACCAGTTGCGGCATAGATCGCGAGGCGGTAGCGCGGGACCTGAAAAGTGGTCCTGTGTGTATCTTGCGATTTCAACCCGCTGAAGCTGAATATCGCGCAAGAATCATCGGGAGTGACGAAAGTAAGTGTCGCGACGTCGACGTGACAGACGTAACGTTGGGCAACCGTTGGAAGTAAATATTCCGCGAAACGCGAGCGATCGAGGTTACCGAGCAACGCATCGCGAATTCGCGATATAATTGACGGTTTCCGAGTCCAAGAGGCCGCGATTTTCGTCCTAAGATCGTTGAGAACGGGTTTCGAGCCACGAATAATCATCTCGTCAGTAATGTCGACGGAAAGTCTCGCGCGCTCGTCGCGGCAAAAGACCGGTGGAAAACGCCGCCGAAAGTAAATATGGCGCCAGGCGATCGTCGGTAGCGCCGAGTGAAATGCCGCGCACGCTTCGATACCTCGATAGATCGTCGAACTATCGCGGCGCGCGCGGTTAGTTACAGAAGGAGACACTACGCGGCAGCACCGGTCCGAAAAGCGCCTCGAAAGTTCCGCCATTTCCGAATCGCCGAAGTCGAGTCTCGCGTGTGAATTATCGTCGGGAGTGCCGAAAGTACGTTTCGCGGATTTGTTGTCACGAGACATTCGCGAGTGTCGAGCGGAAGCATCCCACATTCATCTCGTTCATGGCGGTTCGGAGTCCAAGTCGCCGCATTCTACGTTTTCGATTCGACGAGAGGAAGAGTCCGTAAGCATCAATCAGAATAAGATACAACAGGTAACGAGTCTGTGGCTTTAAAGTATTGCTTATTTTCACACTTACAATGCATAATGCACACATCCCTGTTTGTGAATATAAGCGAACCCAACAGCATCCCAAGCCTCATTTGTACGAAATTTCATTTTCGCAAACGATGCATCATTCAGCATCCAAGACGAAACAAAACGCGTATTCGGCGTTCGCAAGACAACAATGCAAGCCGCACGTCAAGCGTGTCGTGCATAGATCGTAAAAAATCGAATCGCGGTCGGGGAATAATATATATATATATATATATATCGATATATAGTAATATATATCTGTGTACAACAGTGCGTTGACACGTAAACTCGCTGATTTGGCGTATTTATTGGCCTCGGAGGCCAATCGTTGATTGTGTTTTTCGTTGTTACGAAACTACGCACAATTTTTTACTTTTGGGACTGCGTACGCGAAGTCCCTGTCTTTATTTCACTGTACTTCAACGTTCTAATATTTTAATTTATCATTCAATGGCGTTGGAGAATTCGCCTTAATAAGCGCCTGGAGCCAACATTGAGAGAGAGAGAGAGAGAGAGAGAGAGAGAGAGAGAGAGAGAGAGAGAGAGAGAGAGAGAGAGAGAGAAAGAGAGAGAGAGAGAGAGAGAGAGACGTAAATTCGCTCAGTCGAGAAACGCTGAAACAAAACTCGCGACAGGCAGACTGTAGCGATGTCGTGCGCGGAGACGAGTCTCGAGGCGCGAAATTCGAACAACACGGCGCGCTCACGGCGCAAGGCAGCGAGAGGGATGAAGGGGCAAGGGGGTGTCAGTAGTCATGGCTTCGGGGGTGAGCGTGGCTGAATGTAGTCAGCGAGCACGCGTCGTATGCGCACACGCACACACAGCACGCCGAGTGACGCGCACGTGTATCGCGCGGTGTGGCGTGCGTATAGCGGGGCGAGAAAGTTTCGGTCGTTATCAATCTCCGCCGATCGCTGGACTGCTGGAAGTGCTCGTCGTTCTCGGTGATCTCGTCGCGGGCGACTGGCTGTGAGAGGTAATCGGGCTGGTGGACGAGGCAGGAGTAGAGCGATAGGCGGGTCAGCTCTCTCTCTCGACGGCTGAGAGCCGAGAACGCTGAATGATGCCCGCGAACAAGTCGAATCTGTCAACGCCCCGCAAAGAGAAGTCCGGCAACGGCCTGGTCGCCGCGTCCACCGTCGCCGCTAACGCCGCCGCCAAGAAAAAGAAGCGCTCGTCCTGCGTTAAGCATAAAAAACATTGCAAGCAATACCTGGTGAGTGTGTGACGAGACAGAGAAAGAGAGAGAGAGAGAGAGAGAGCACGACATTGACGAGACGCCGCGCCGTGAGAGGCGCGGGCCGTGCGCGAACGGCCATATTGACGACGGAAAAGGGGATACGTATGTATCCGGACGAGAGATAAGCGTCCATTCGTAGAGACCATCACCTGGCCGATCTAAGCACAGTCCCGATCGATCGTTCCGAGAGTCGCAGTCAAATGCGTCCCACCGCCGCCGCCGCCGCCGCCGCGGCCTCTGTCGCGCCTGGAATTTCGTGTGTAGGGAACTCGACGAGGTTATACCGCGGGGTGCGTCAGCGCGTTTTCATCGAAAATACATTCCGTCGGCGTCGCCCGCGTGTATGCGATGTGTCTTCCGCCGGTTGTAAATTTTTTAGCACGCTTCCTCATGGCGGCGGTATAGCACGCCGCTGGTGGATTCGGCAAATGAGCGGTTCGCGTGAAGTAATAAAAAAAAATATATTCCTGCTCCCTTCTAGAGGGTACATCGACTATTATCGATGCGGTAATCGCGCGCAGGGTAATAAGCGGCGTCCCCTCGCTCGTGGGCTTTTCGCCCGAGAGAGTTTGCTCCATTCGCTTCGCTTCGACCCCTTTCTCTCCTCTCTCGCCTCTTTTTTCTCTCCCCCCCCTCTCTCTCTCTCTCTCTCTCTCTCTCTCTCTCTCTCTCTCTCTCTCTCTTTTTCTACATTGTTCGTTCCATTTTACATGCGGCGAGTGCAAAAGAGTGCAGTTCACCGCGGAGCAGGTGCATGGCTGGCGACGAAGGCGGCCTTCCTTTTCGACGTCCTCGTTGCGATGATGAAATTCGCGGTGCGCGAAATTCGCGTGATCTTGGGCGGAATTAGCGACGATCTGACGAGCGGGAATGACGATGAACGGAGCGCTTAGGGAGAAATGCTTAGCTAAAAGGGATCTCGGCCGGGTCGCGAAATCCGACGGAAGCCGGAAGACGCATGTGGTGCTTGAAGGCGATCGTAGAGGTGAATGCTCGAAACGTGTGGCCGTTGCTCATTGCTCTCGTTCTTTCTCGCTCGCATCAGTTCGTTTCTTTTTCCTTTTTTTTTTGTTTCGGCGGTGGAAACGCGGGCGGGCTGTGGGATTGCACATCTCGCGGTTTGAAATGTAGCGAACTGGCAACGATCGATCGGCGTTGAGTATGCCTCGATGTCAATCACGACACGACTCGATATTCCAAGTTCCTCTTGATGTTGCGCGTCGAACAACCGGACGCTGAGTAATCAAGCTGATTTAATAGCCCAAATGTTGAAATGCGACGTCGTAATCAGGACTCGTGACTACAATTGATGCTCCAACGCGCACGGTCTTCTCGGAAAGTTTTCGAGATTCGCGACGGTTTTCGACGTGAGAAATTTGCCGGAGCACACGGTATTTCGGACACCAATTGGCGAGATACAACAAACACACAGATACTAGATCTACAATTATATTTGACTCTCTCGATTAACACTTCGATATAAATTCTGCGCAAACTTCTGCAACATCTCCCTTCCCCATATTATGTCACGTCAAGTGACGTGCGAGCACGGGAGTTAAGGATCAGAGTGTGAGAAAGGGGGAGATATGATGAAAGCAGGACTCGGTGACGTGACACATCACGAGGAACTTGTCACCGGCATTGTACCCAGCATTCTTTTATCACGCACCCTTAGTTACTTCATTAGCGGTAGCTGTCGAATTATTCTACTGTACATTGTTGTGTGGCAATATGTATATATAAAACGACGTTGTGTAAACACACTGTTCGAATGTTTTATTTTACGATCAGGCCCCGCACTGTCTCTGAATACAGACACCCCCCCCTTTCCCTTCTACTCTCGTTGCTATCCACATCCCTGTGATCAAAGTAAACCGGTAGCTCTTTTTGCACCCTATACGTATAATTTTCTCGCACGATCTCGTGATTCGAGACGATTTAGATGGCAGATAGGCAGAGTGAGGATCTCGTTGAGAGTGAGAGAGAGAGAGAGAGAGAGAGAGAGAGGATGGGACCTCGGGTGTCACGGGAAAGTGACAATTCACGTATTGATTCCCGACAAAGCCGGGAAAAAGAGGTTGCTGCTGATTCGGCGGGAACAAAGGGTGCCGGCACAATTCCACTTCCGCGGCCACTCGAACCTCCTCTTTCCCATTATGCTTTGCAGGTGCAAAAGTTGACGGAGCAGTTGGCACACGGCTACATGGAAAAGAAAAGAATGGAGAAATTAGTTTCTCCTTTGTACGTGTAGTCTCACAGTCGTATTAATTGGCGCCTGGCACATAGTTCGTGTGCTCAACGATTCCGTTTTGACTGCTCCGTTTACTCAAGATTCGTTTATTCCACGAATAATGTGTGTGTGTGTGTGTGCGCGCACGTGTATATCGAGACGTAGCAGCTAGCGTGGAACGAAAATAAGATATGCGCAGACGGATTCGTCAAATGCGAAAAACTCACCGAAATTTACTCTTTTTCTCTCCTTTCCTGCTTCTCTTCTTTCATTTTATATCGTACACCGAAGAGAAGACTTTCTGTTGGGATATTATTTTAATAGTGATCGAATCGTCCCGTTCAAACTCGTTCGCTTTGACTACATTTTACTCCGTATCTAATTAGTAAGTTCTACTACGCACAACGGATGTAAAATGTATTATTTATTCGTGCGCAATTTGTTGCACATTCGTGAGCGCGACTGCTTTGTTGCGTTGGCGCTTTGCCGCATCGCGAATTGCAATTTGAGCAGGTGCGACCCGCTCCTCGTACGCGCGCGAATAACATAACTGCGGGGAACGGAAACGGAAGTCGAGCGTAACGTGTCGTCGACGAGCGTGGGGTGCACGTGTGCGTGCATGTGAGTGCGTTAATAGTGTTGCAATCACGAGTCGCTGTTCTCGTTCTTCATCTTTCTCTCTCACTCTTTCACCCAAAAAAAGGTAATCTCAGAACAAGCGGAACCGTCTAAATTTTAAAGGATTTTATTCTTATATATGGATTCCTCAAGAGGATTCCTCTAAGATTAAGAGAAAAATATTATAAATACATTATTCTTAAAGTTAGAGAGATTATATGTTATATGTATAATGCAAATCTGATTGATTTTAATATAAAGTTCCTCTTATGCACAGATTATTTAATCTTCTTTTAAGAAGATTATTATTTACTGGTTATATTCTTACTGGTTGTACTAGTTAATTTGAAAAAAATTGTAAGCTATATAAGATTCTTGTATAGCAAAAAGTAATATATATATATATATATATATATATATATATATATAGATGTACTTCTGGCTCCAGTTTTACAACAAGTAGGCACAAATGAAATAAGAACATTATAACAAACAAATTTCCTATCAGTTTTGTTATGGACTTTATAGATACAAAGATGTTCATCATAATCAATTGTATGAAACATAGTTAAAAGAAAGAATATATTCAATTTCTTATTCAATTTCTTATTCAATTTCTTGCAGTAGATTGTAAACTGTATTTGACCAAATATGAGTAAATTATTTTCAAGTTATATGTTGCAGCAACACACGCACACACCTTTTTTAAAAAGTGTTCCAAATATTCTGACCCATGAACATATGATTATTTTTTCGCTCATGTCTCGAGATAGAGTATGACTGAACAAAAGAAGCCGACATTCAAACCAACATATTCCTCTTCATATAAGAGGAAAATTAATTGATATAAAAGAAAAGCTCTTGAAATAAGAGGGAAACAGTTAGAATGATATCTAATAAATTTTAGACGAATGTAATTCACTGTAATCGCTTTATCAAAAGAGGAATCCTTTTCCTGCCAGAGGTTTCGCATAGAATATGACACTGTGGGAAAAATCACTTTACAAATAGAATACTTTTTTCTGGGTGAATTCTTATTCTCCCTGTCCTCGTACGGAGGACGTACTTTTTTTTTTATGTTGGTAGCTACGTATCATAGTTTGATGCTTAATTTCTTAGCTCATGCACGATGCATCCTTGAGGAACGATGAATATTTATTCGCCAGGTAAGTGACGATTCTCCGCGACGATCGACAGACACGAAAGCTTCGCTCCGCATCGCGAAGTACTCATATCGCGGTATATCCCAAAGTGAAAGAATGTTCCGCAATATTTCTCCCCGGAGACACACACGGAGACTGTCGCACGACAGCGCACTTTGGAGAAACTCCGGCGACAGCGGTATCGCCGAAAGCGCGACCACTCGCGTTTGACGCAACGTTGCAAAAATCGTGCCACGTCATGAAATGCTATTCTTCTCCATTTTTCGACGTTAAGCTAGCAAGAGTCAGTCGAGCTGCCAATGCTGTTGTTTGCCAACGGAGTGTCGGCGCGCATAAAAAGCCGATTATCAATCGTCGCGTTTGAATGAAACATCGCGAAGCGCGTGGAATTACTCGAATTAATTGGCAAACAAAGTACGCGCGTGATCGAGCGACATTTCAATTGAATTCGGAATAACAAGCGCTCGTTGCGCGCCAGCTTCCCCAAACATTGCACTGCGAAAGAAATTTCGTGCGGTTGCAGCGCAATGCGCCGGTGAAACTTCATTAACGCTGCTCGGAACGTAATTCATATATTTTAACAATTACGCTCAGACGTCGCTGAGAGAGGCGACGCGCATAAATCTTCGTTATTATCTGTAACACGCGATGTGCACGTTCGAGGAGGCACAATTAACAGTACCTACGCTTACGTCACTCACTCGGCAAATGTTAAACGTGCACACGGCTCAATAGCTTCGGTAGCTACGCGTGCGAGGCCGATATTAGTCTTAAAAAACCACAGTCGTGGTTTTCACCTCGTTCTTCACCGGGATGCTGTTTTTCTTTTTTCTCTTTTTTTTTCGCAACAGCGCACGTGCGATACTCCGGCGACTTCGCTTAATCCGCTAAATCGGGAGCGCGCTCACGAAGTGACGAAGGAATTCCTCATCGTCGTCGTCCGTGTAACGAAGACACAATGCCCTCTTTCTCTCTCTTCATCTTCTCTCTCCCTCTCTCTCTCTCTCTCTCTCTCTCTCTCTCTCTCTCTCTCTCTCTCTCTCTCTCTCTCTGTCTGTCTCGCGATGAAAAAATAATTTCCAGCTGTCCCATCGCCCCGGGCGGCCCGGACGCGAATCCATTGTGAATTCTTGGAGACCTGGCCTCGGTCCCGTGGATATCCTCACACACATTGAATAGGAAACGGCGAATTCGGATCTATTTGGGTCACGGATACGTGTTATTTCACGCGGATCGAAGCGCGTGGCTATCGCTCGAGAATGCTCGCGATACTTCGTATCGATGGTTATATCCACGATAAGTCGTTGGCAACCCGCGGTGTCGTTGAAAGAAACATGATCTCTCTTCCGAGACTGTGCGGGCCACATAATCGCTCATGAATATATTATTTAACGAACGTTTTCATTAGCCAGCCCCACCACACCTGATATCGTTTGACCCGCGTCGCATGCGCGAATATTAAATTAAATTAAATATTAAATTAAATGCAACAAAGCACCGCTGAGTTTGGCGCGTCCCCCGCTCGACGACCGCGAGTGTTTCGCAAATTTTCACCGCGAATTTCCGTCACTCCTTATGGAGTGTCCCCCCGTTAAGAATCTGGGACAGAAAGTGCGCAGAGATCGAATTATACACGTGTGTCCGACGACTCGCGGTAAGTTTTCGATATATTTCACCAAGTCCGTGCTATCGAGCGCGTAGGCGGGGGTGGCACGCGATCTAAACTAATTTATTTCGACGTACACCGCCGGCGAAAGATTCCCACGATTTCGCGCCGCTGACGTCACAATTCAGTAAGTACGCTCGCGGGGTCGGCGCGGAGGAGGCGCGATCGAAATGATCTCTCGCGGTTGGTCTCCGCGTCGTCGATCGTCGTGCACGAGTCGTTGTCGGTGCGCTGGCGAACAGGTCGCTTTCTCGCGGGTGTCACGCGAGTCGAGCGAAATCGTCTCTCTCGCGCGCGCGCACACACACACACACACACACACACACACACACACACACACAGACATATTTCTCGCCCCATCCACTTGTCCCTGAACTCGCCCCGGCGTGAATTACCTCCGACGCGTTGCTACGCTCTGTTGGGAATATTATGGCGCGTCTCAGGTATTCTGAATCCGTGCACCGGACGAAAATATCCACCTGACGACTGTGAACGGGCGCACGTAAACGTGATTTCCCGCAGTCTCCGGCGAAAGGAACGTGCGGCCGCATCGACTGCATAGCGTGCGGCTCCAGCGCCGGCGGATCTTATCGATTGTACGCGATTGCCATTTTTTTGCCACGGCCACTTGGCGTCTGCCGCCGCCACCGCCGCCGCCGCCGCCGTCACCGCGCGCGCTACGCGTCGAGTCCGACTAATGAATCATTAACGTGATCAATCGGCACTCATTATCTGCAGCATCTGGAAACCGTCGATACTACGCTCAATCACGCTGAAACGCTCGCGGACGATAAAAGGAAGTTCGAAAACGCCGCCATTAAAAGTCGGATAAAGCGCTGTTGCGTGTTGGCCGTAAAAACGAGATACGGCGCTCGCCCCCTGGAGAAACGAAATCTCGAAGGCTAATACCCGTATTCATAGTCAGGTCTTATATTTGAGGCCTCGTTATATCTTCCATCTTTAGATGCTGCGCGGATTATTTTATTGGCTACAGACCATCTGAAGGAATAAACTTAAGGAAGGAACTTAAATATAAGGCCTGACTATGAAACACGAATACGGGTGTAAGTAGTTGCGGATGGTATTAAACGCGGACGCGGTTAATCTTTTCGGCTCGGACGAGCCGAAAATCTATCCCCGGTTGATTGACATCGTTCCGTTGTTGTTATAAGCCGTGTTACAGCCGTATCCGCGTTACATTTCACCGTAAACTCGCCCCGCGTGACGAACGAGTAGCGCGAGGGATAACGCGTTATCCTTGAAATTTAACGTACGCCAGGAGCATCACGCAGCACGCATTACTACCCCCGTAAGCCACAAACACGGCACGAAGGCATTAAACCGTTTCCCCCCCCCCACCGCGCGCGTCTGGGGTGCGATCGCGCGGGTGTTTTCTTCGCTTCGCTCCGTCTTCGTTGCCGCGGAAATCGTCACGATTCGACCGTTCGCCGTGACCGCCGCGCCCCGCCTGAAATTCCACGCTCCACGTGCAAATTCGAGTTACATTACACGGCCAACTTTC